GAAACCGTTTATCGCTTTCTTTCTCAAATTTTGAAAATGCAAATGCATTTTTAAATAATAGTCACTTAGAAACACATAATTTTAAGGCATTTATACCTTCTTTCCATGTAACCCGTATGGGAATTGTGAGGGGTATTCCTAAAGATTGGACAGAAGAGGAAGTAATCCAAAATATATCAGTACCTATAGGTTGTGGGAGAATTCTAAAAACCAGAAGAATTAAGAAAAAGACCATTAATGAAGGACAACCAAGTTTTATTAATACTGAAACCATTGTTATTACTTTTGATGGACAAATATTACCAAAAAGAGTATTTATGTTTTACACATCATTAACTGTAGATTTGTACATTTACCCCACTATCCAATGCTATAACTGCTGTAGGTTCGGACATGTCAAGATGCAGTGTCGTTCAAATCCTCGGTGTTATAAATGCAGGCAAAATCATACAGGTGATAAATGTGAAGTAGATGAGGAAAATGTTTCTTGTATCTTGTGTAATGGTTCTCATTCAGCAATTAGTAAGAAATGTCCTGAATATGCACGTCAGAAAGCCATTAAAGAAACAATGGCCCACAGTTGTGTTTCTTATGCTGAAGCATCAAAATTTCATCCTCCCACTTCTAAACTATATTCAGATGTATTAACATCATCATCTCCGTCCAATAAATCTCATTTTCAATCTTCTTTCCTCAAAGAGAAATCATCATTACCACATATTCAATCATCACATAAAAAAACAGTTACGCTTAAACCACGCTCTCCTCAAAAAGCACAACAAGGATATGATCGTTCTGCCCATGAAGCCATAGTTAAGGAATATAATATTCCTGCTCCCTCTAATGGTTGTGCATTATCATCAAATAATATTGACAATAATCAATCCATCTTTGATATTATTCTCATGCTTATTAAAGTGTTATCGCAATCGAAAATGATACAAACAACTTTACCACCGTCCAACGATGCCATTTACAATGTATTTTCTCAATTATTAACTTCTCACAATGGATTACAAAGTCCTAATAATTCAGTGGAACTGTCGTAGCATAACAAACAAGAAATCAGACTTATTTTATTTGATTAATAAATATAATCCTTTTATAATAGCTCTCCAAGAGACTTGGTTAAAGCCAGGATATCCTTTTAGGATTTCAGGCTTTACAAGTCTCCGTGATGATAGAGCTGACGGATATGGCGGTGTTGCCATATTGGTCAAAAACTCCCTTCCTTTTTCTTCTTTTTCGCTTCCTGTATATAGCGGCATTAATGCAGCTGCTATAATTATAAATGGTATCTGTTTTGTTACTTTATATATTCCTGATCCTACATGCCAAATATATTCACAACTAGAACAATTATTTTCAATTTTACCTAAACCTTTTCTCGTAATGGGCGATTTTAATGCTCAACACCAATCGTGGGGCAGTTCTACTTCTAATTTTTATGGTGGAAAACTCCTGACGATAATTGACACTTACAACTTATGTATTATTAACTCAGATGTACCAACACGTAGAACTGCACCGAATGAAGGGTTTAGTGCTCCTGACATTTCAATATGTTCTTCTGATTTAGCTTCTTCACTGTCGTGGTATCCTCATTCCTCTACTTTCGGAAGCGATCACTTTCCCCTCATTCTTTCTTTTCCAATTTCCATTCCCTCAAGTCGAAAGAGTGGTCCTCGGCTTAAATATAATTTATCAAATGTAGACTGGAATATTTACAAACAATATTTAGATAATAAAATATCGGAGTTACCTATTGTTTACCATGGAAATGAACATCAATGTTGTAATGACTTGATGATAAATATGAAGGAGGTTGCTGATTTATTATTTCCTGTTAAAAATAGTGCTTCAGGGAAAATTCCCTCGCCACCTTGGTGGGACAAAGATTGTACGGAAGCAATTAAAAATCGTAAAGAGGCTGAAAAAAATTATAATAATTACATGACACCAGAAAATTTTGAAATTTACACCGCAGTTTCACGTTCTACTCGAAAACTACTGAAAAAAAAGAAATTAGAAGGCTGGAGAAGATTTTGTTCTTCTATCTGTCCAGAAGTTAATTCATCAGTCGTTTGGAATAATATTAAAAGATTCAGATCTGCCTTTAGTGATCATACATCACGTTCTGCACTCGATTTAACTTTAGCGAATAAATTTTTAGATCGTCTTGCTCCTAGTTATGTGCCGGAATGCCTTTACAATATTTCTCTATCCGTCTCTGACGAATTATTCGAACTTGACTCTCCTTTTACTCTAGTAGAACTTAAAGGTGTTCTAGCTTCTATTAAAGACTCTGCACCGGGAGAAGACGGTATACCGTATTCCTTTTTTAAAAATGCTAGCGATGCGACATTAATTTACTTTTTAAATATAATTAATTCCATAATTATTTCGGGAAATATACCTACTTCATGGAAGTCTCAGATTATTATACCATTTCTAAAGCCTCATAAACCACCTTCTGAACCATCTTCATACCGCCCTGTTGCACTTTCCTCTGTCTTACTAAAGCTAGCTGAACATTTAGTGAAAAACCGTCTAGAATGGTTTTTAGAAAGTAATAACTTACTATCCCCGAACCAGTTTGGTTTTAGGAAAGGTAAGAGCACCTTAGATAATGTGAGCATTCTTATTTCAGATATTCATATAGCTTTCTCACAAAATTTGTCAATCCTCTCAGCCTTTTTAGATATAAATTCTGCCTATGATAATGTAATAATTTCTATTTTAAAAACTAAATTACAAGCTCTAAATGTACCGGTAATGCTTTCTAATTTCATTATTAATATTTTATCAGAAAGAACAATATATATGAATTTAGATGAAGATACCAAATTATCTAGAACAGTATGGAAAGGCCTTCCACAAGGATCTGTTCTCAGTCCAATCTTATTTAACATATACACATACGATCTAGAATTATTCCTTGATAAATCCGTCAAAATTTTACAATATGCTGATGATCTTTTATTATATTTTATTGCGAAGTCCATAGAATCTGCTTCTGCCAAATTATCTGATTCATTAGATTTGTTAAAAACGTGGTTAGATGCAAATGGTCTTAATCTTTCTGTAACCAAGAGTAGTGTAGTTTTGTTTTCAAGAATGAGATCACCGCAACAAATTAAGGTGCTTTATGATAACTCATACATTCCTATAAAGACTGAAATTAAATTTTTAGGTATCGTGCTAGATAATAAATTAACAGGTCTGTCCCACTGTAATTATATTTCTACGAAATGTGAGCGTAACCTCAACATTCTTAGGTGCCTTGCTGGAGTTTGGTGGGGAGCACATCCCGTTTCACTAAAACTTGCTTATAATGGTCTTATAAGGAGTGTCATTGATTATGGAACTTTTTTGTTAGCTCCAGGAAGTTCATTTGCTTTTAAGAAATTGGATTTAATTCAATCAAAGGCCTTGAGGATTATCTCTGGAGCAATGAAATCAAGTCCAATCAATGCTTTACAGCTCGAAGTCGGTGATCCACCTTTGGTTTTAAGAAGACAATATCTATCTGATCGCTTCTTTTTTCGTTGTTTACAATTATCTGATCATCCGCTTATTCAAAAGTTATCTCAACTACATATCTTTATTTCGTCTTCATCTTATTGGAAACATAAAAAACCTCCATGTTTAATACAAAGTTATGAAAAATATAAATCCATAGAATCTCCCACTTTTACATCGTCCTGTTTTCCCATTTATAAATGCTCATATCAATCTTTAGTTTTATCTCCTAATATTAAATATGATTTTGGGTTATTAAAAAATGATTCAGAATTGAATGCCAAATTTATGTTTATAACTGACATTGAATGGAATGAATGGCACTACATCTTTACTGATGCATCAAAACCAGACAATAGCGGTTGTGTAGGTGTGGGTGTGTTTCATTCACAATTTAATATCGTTCAAAAAATTAAACTTCCACCGGAGTCTTCAGTTTTTACCGGGGAATGTTATGGTATTTTAAAAGCTGTAGAATATATACTTTTAATGAAATTACATAAGGCAATAGTTTTCACTGACTCTATGAGCTCTTTGCAAGCTCTAGCCAAATATCCGTTTAAATCAAAACCAGTTTATCCCATTATTTGTGACATAAGACAAAGTCTTTATCTTTGCATGTTGAGAGGTTATTCCGTTTCTTTTGCCTGGTTACCAGGACACAGTGGTATTAGCGGCAATGACAAAGCTGACCTTATTGCAAGAGAGGCTGTAACTTGTGGTGATATGTATCCGTATCATAATTACTGTAGTGACCTAGCTTGTCTCCCAAAAATATATTTAAGGTATGCCTGGAAGGAATATTGGGAAAAAACAAGTACAATAAAAGGAAGATTTTATCGCCTTATACAACCCGATATTCCTTTCAAACCATGGTTTTGTAAATTAAAGCTTGGAAAGACCGCAACAACTATTATAACTCGTATGCGTCTAGGTCACGTATGCACACCTTCTCATTTATACAAGCTTGGTATTGTACAAAGTTCGTCGTGTAATTGCGGTGCTGAAGTGGCGGACTTGAATCATATATTCTTCTCATGTTCTAAATTTGACCACACCTCCCTTTTTAATCATCTCCGATCCATCCGTGTTCCATTCCCAACTTCTATTCTTACTCTACTTTCTTCCAATGATCCTATTATCTATAAAATACTATCTTCATATATATATGATAACAATATTAAGATTTAGTTATATTACATGAATACATTTATAGTTGCATCAATTGCTTTTCCTATATATTTATAAGTATATTCTCATATGTACAAGTATATCCTTCATATCCTATAAATATCCTAGACCTAATCCTTATCCTTTCTAAATTCGTTTGTGTTAGGTATTTTTATTACTATTATCGTTTCCCCGTTTTGTTCTTGGCAAAATACCCTAATATCGGGGTGAACGCCACAAAAAAAGAAAAAAAAAAAAAAAAAAAACTTTGACGTTTGTGAAATGACATTTAAATTTTCTATTCGCCGAAAAAAAAAACAAACAAGACTATAAAAATATTATTCATAAAAAATATATATTATTTATACAAAAAATAAAATTTTGTAATATAAATGGAGCAAAGGATTTGTCCCATCTGTTTAAGCAATGACAGAGAATTGCAACAACCTACAAAAGCATTATGTATTACATTAAAAATGTTAACTCCAGGTTTGGTTAGTACAAAATTGTGTACAGTGTCTTTGTAATAAGCAGCAGAATATGCTGCTTTCATACTCTGAGATTTTTTTTGATGGATGAAAATGGAATGGTACCTTACCTGCGCTAACGGGATACGCTGGCGGAGCACCAGTGAAGGGTGATAGATGAGAATGAAAACAGGCCAGTTAGCCCATCATAATGAATTCATCAGGAATTAACCATGATAGTTTCCAGGAGGAACCGCGAGGAGGTCGACCTGGTTGGGTATATTGCTAGCAATGAGATTCTCAGCTTCATCACTAACAATCCCTTTCCCCCCCATACTCTGTGATTTCACTGCTATATCCCACCCTTCAAACTGAAACACTGCCCTCCAAGTACAGTTGCTTCATGCAGGAACGTGTGGATTAGAGGTACCTAAACATATGCCTTTTCTACAAAGTTTGCCTCTGAGATGAAAGAGATTGAAGTAGCTGGAGGTCTTAATATACACTGTATTGGGTCCCTCACAAGAGTTTATCTATTTATTGACATTTTATTACTCCATAAAAAAAATACAGTGATTTTAATGAGAAATGATACAAAAGGCGGCCTTATTGCTAAGCAAACTCTTTCAGACAGCCTATGAGTAGAGGGCATTAGGAAAAATTACAAAGGGTAGGTAGCACACTATTGTATAAATGCTAATAAAATATACAAACAGGGGAGGGAAAGGATTTTTAATAATGGTGGTTAGTAGCCCCATTGTTAGTATTATACCCTGTCAAGTCAACCTCCTCACGGTTCCCCCTGGAAACCATAGTGTTGTAATTCCAAATTAATTCGTCATGATGTGCTAACTGATGTGTCTTTTCATTCGCACCTATCATCCCTCACTGGTGTTCTGCCAGCATATACTGTTAGCACAGGTGGAGTTACCATTCCGTAATCATCCATTAAAAAAAATATGTACAAACATGTGTTACATATATTATTTGTTGTATGTAACATAACAACAAATAACAATCAACAAACAAAGGCTTTGAATAGAAATACATATACACACACACACACACATACTTAATAGCACACACATAACAGCAGAGAATAAAAATGGAAGATTAAAAGACAACACAGGAAAATAGTACTTATAATTTTTTTTTTAATTATGAACTAATCTCAGAGAGATGTAACATGTAGTGTAGTGGATACACAGCCTCACCTTCCATGGTTGCAGGTTCGGTCCCAGCTCAATACAAAACTTTCAAATGTTTCAGGACATACAAAGACTATGTTGGGAGTGTATGGCTCGTTTAAAACATGCAAACGTATTAATGTTCAATGCAGTAGAAGCTAAACATAATTTGGATGAATATACTAAGGTTGGTTTATTATTAAATATCATTTTTTTTTTTGATGGGTGAAAATGGTATGGTAGCCCCGCCTGCGCTAACGGGATACGCTGGTGGAGCACCAGTGAAGCGTGATAGATGAGAATGAAAACAGGCCAGTTAGCCCATCGTGATGAATTCATCAGGAATTAACCATGATAGTTTCCAGGGGGAACCGCGAGGACGTCGACCTGGTTGGGTATATTGCTAATCATCTTATAATCCAGCGATTGCAGGTTCAATTCCTGCACAATACTAACATTTGCAGTATAATATAATATAAACATGTATGTTTTTAAAAATATCTATCAGTTACCAGAGGGAGACTTTGTACAAAAGTCATTTACTTGGTACCTCTGTCCCATTCGTGTTTCAACCGTGAAGCAGTTGTGTTTACATGGCTGTGTTTTGGTTTGAATATGGCATGAATTTACAGGGTACAGAGGAATAACACCTGAGTCCTCAGGAATGGCAACGCATGGGGAGTATCATGGGCGAAACAGTATACTCTGTTATGTCCATGGTACTCTCCATCAGGTGGGCCGTCAGCTTGTTTACCATTCTAAGTTGTATAAAAAAAAAGGAATACTCCTGTAAAATGTTCCTAGTAAATGTTAACAAGCATTTTGAAACATTACAGGGACCTAACTACAGTAATGTAGGATTTAAATCAAATTTAAACTTTTCAAATATATTGACATTTTGTCTACCTGGTGAAAGCTTACAAATATGTGACATACATACAAATATTGTATCAAAATCCAAATTTACAAACTCTATAACACATATAAAGAAAGTACAACATTCAAGATTGAATGCTATTAAAATGTCAGATAATTGTGTAAAATTTTTAGAGAACAATAACATAAGAGAAAAGAGAAATATTACAGAGATAGAATTAGTGAAAGATAAAAAAAGAAATGTGATGCCTAAAAAGATAACGTGTAAACGAAGAAATAGGTTAAGGATGGCCAAAAATGAATATAAATGCAAGGAATGTAGTAAAATTTTTGAGTAAGTATAATATATGTATTTATTACTAGTATTTACTCACGACTTTGTCTGTATGATTGAGGTATTTTCACTGAATGGGAGAAAGTGTAACTTATTCATCTATCTCCAGAGGGAGACTTTGTACAAAAGTCGATTGCTTAGGTGCCTCTGTCCCATTCGCGTTTCTACTGTGAAGCAGTTGTGTTTGCATGGCTGTGTTTCGGTTTGATGGGTGGGATACGGCGTGAATTTACAGGGTACAGAGGAATAACATCTAAGTCCTCAGGAATGGCAACGCATGGGGGATATCATGGGTGTAACAGTATACTCTGTTATGTCCATGGTACTGCTCATGTTTATAGGCGACGATTACCACTTTCCATCAGGTGGGCCGTCAGCTTGTTTGCAATTCTAAGTTGTAGATAGATACTCGTTTATTGTTTCCTCCAAAAGATTACAATAGTAAACTTATTGTAGATACAAACAATTACAAGAAATAATCACAGTGAGAAAACAATGGGTGACCTTATCGCTGCGATCTCTTCCAGACAACCTTTGGATGGAAAGGAGTAATTATAAACAGTTTAATCGAAGGCACGATGATATTTCTATTAATTCTCAATATGGAGATGTAATAATGTAAATATATATCCCGGGCGAAAGGGGTTATTAGTAATGGAGACTAAAAATCCCATTGCTAGCAATATACCCAACCAGGTCGACCTCATCGCGGTTCCCCCTGGAAACTATCATGGTTAATTCCTGATGAATTCATCATGATGGGCTAACTGGCCTGTTTTCATTCTCATCTATCACCCTTCACTGGTGCTCCGCCAGCGTATACCGTTAGCGTAGGCGAGATTACAATACCATTTTCATCCATCAAAAAAATATTTTTAACAAATCTATATTTCTAATTTTAAAAGTAAATAATTATTAAGTATTGACAACGACTGTTTACAACGCAGAAGCCGAGGTAAATATGAGTATCACAGACAGAAGCACCGCGGCGGGGCGCAGTGTCCAACATGCTCGTGCGTGCTCGCGAGCAACGCAGCGCTCGTCGCGCATCGCCGGGCGAAGCATGCACGGTTACCACAGCGCGAGGATGCCAAGTTTGTATTAATTCAATTCTATTCAATTTATTCTATAACAGTGTTTCCCAAATCTTTTTTGTGTCATGCCCCATTTGAACATTTCTAAAATTTTTACGCCCCCATACATAATTTTTCCCGATAAAGTTTACTTGACGACTCTAATCGCCCAGTTGATATTTCGGTAACGTCAAACTATTTTTAATTTACTTTTTGTTTTTTTGTTAAATTTGGCACCGATATCTACTCGTAGCATTGCATTTAAATGGGCCGGGGCAAGAGGGTTAAAATCGCTCCGAATCCATTTTTTAATTGCCCCTCCTTAACTGTCAAATTGCCCCCCTGTGGGGCGTGGGCCCCACGATGGGAAACACCGTTCTATAGGGGGCAAAGGGATTGTTAGCCCAACCAGGTCGACCTCCTCGCGGTTCTCCCTGGAAAAAGGTATATTGCTAGCAATGGGATTCTCAGTCTCCATTACTAACAATCCCTTTCCCCCGGAAACAGTATATTAACTATGCTATGTGTAAAGTTAGAATATGACGTAATGTTATTTATTAATATTATTATATTTGCCATGTGGTCCCAGCGTAGAATAGGCTACCCCTTCCTTTCCCGTGGATGTCTTAAGAGGCGAGTAAGGGAGGGCGAGGGATGGGCAGCAGTGTCCCTCTAAAAACACCTCCAAAGCCTAACTGATTTTACCAATCCGCCTGCCAAACGTGACAAATACTAGCAAACCCCCCCAAGGGGGAGGCTTATGTTCAGCAGTGGACGGTTAAAGGATGGTATGATGGTGATGAATATATCAGCCTTTAACTGTTCACTGCTGAACATAAGCCTTCCCCTTGGGGGGGTTTGCCAGTAGTTGCCACACGTGGCAGGTGGACTGGCAACTTATGCTACTTCCCTCTGTGGAAACTGGCCTGCTGCCATCTTCTATCGTCTCTCATTAGTGCGCTGTCAGTAGTGTCATTGTTAGTAATGATGTTTAACAGACCCACTGCTAACACCCTATCAGGTCGACCTCCACGCGGTGCCCCCTGGAAACCATAGTGACTAATTTTTGATCAATTGGTCACTATGGGCCAACTGACCTGACTTCATCCTCACCTGTTACCCTTCACTGGTGCCCCGCCAGCGTATACCGAGTTCCCTTAGTCGCCTATTACGACATCTAGAAAGGAAGGGGGTGGCCCGTTCTATGGCGGGACTAGATGGCACACAAGGAAGGGATTGTTAGTAATGCACTATTGCTAGCTATATACATTATCAGGTCGACCTCCACGTGTTCCCCCCTGGAAACCATCGTGCTGAATTCCAGGTGTATTTATCACGATGAGCTAACTGGCCTGCCTTTTCATTCTCACCTATCATCCCTCACTGGTGCCCCGCCAACGTATACCGATAGCGCAGGCGGAGTTACCAATCCATCTACACCCATAAAGAAATATCCATTAATATATAATCGTGCAGTGTACTTATGTGAATTTTTTTTTTATTTCAGTTTTTATTGTCAACCGTGCGGGAAATTTTTCAAAACAAGCTGCAGTTATAGGAAACACCAGCGCACAGCTAACAAACATCTCGACGTTAGCACGTTGAAGTAAGTTTTATGTATATTTTACAGTACATTTGATTATATAGATATGTTAAATTGAAAATGTTTGAATCTTGAATTGTGTCTAGTGTATTTTTCTATGCCATATGCACGCCTCGCCCAATCCCCAAACTCGGGTTTCTCGAAACCTATGTTTACGCAAATAATTTTTTTTTTAATGGATGATAATGAAATGGTAACCCCACCCGCGCTATCGGTATACACCGGCGGGGCACCAGTAAAGTATGATAGGTGAGAGTGAAGCAGGTCAGTTAGCACATCGTGACGAATTCAACAATAAACCAATCAAGATGGTTTCCAGGGGGAACCGCGAGGAGGTCGACCTGATAGAGTTTATTGCTAGCAATGGTATTGGTAATACCCATTGCTAACAATCCCTTCCCCCCCCTGCAAATAAATTATTGACTGTATTTAAGTTGAATGATGATGATGGTATTAGCTGTTAACTGTCCACTGCTGGATATAGGTCTGCCCCATAACCAAACCTCCCGGTCATTAGTTGCCACGCTTGGCAGGTGGGTTGGCAAACACAGGCTTTTGCTGATGTTTTAAGGGGGATACTGCTGCCTATCCCTCGACCATTTAGTACCCTTAGTCGCCTCTTCCGATACCCACGGGAAAGGAAAGGGCCCATTCTATGCCGGGACCATACGGTAAATTGAAGTTAAATAAATTTACCAGAGGGAGACTTTGTACAAAAGTCGTTTGCTTGGGTACCTCTGTCTCATTCGTGTTTCAACCGTGAAGCAGTTGTGTTTGCATGGCTGTGTTTCGGTTTGAAGGGTGGGATATGGCAGTGAATTTACAGGGTACAGAGGAATAACACCTGAGTCCTCAGGAATGGCAACGCATGGTGGCGTATCATGGGTGAAACAGTATACTCTGTTATGTCCACGGTACTGCTCATGTCTATAGGCGACGGTTCCATTTTCCATCAGGTGGGCCGTCAGCTTGTTTGCCATTCTAAGTTGCATTAAAAATCATTTTATGGTCGATGACTGAAAATCGACGTCAATATGACGAATAATTGATACCTGGACTAGGAGTCTGTCTGATTGGGTTCCTATATTTTCTAAAATTCAGATGGTTAGTAAATAAATAATTTTAGGTACCCATGTCCTAACTGCGACAAGCGTTTCACGAGCACCTTAAAAGCGAAGCTCCACAACGAGACAGTACATCTACGTATGAATTTGTTCATGTGTGAAGTTTGCAACAAGCGGTACTGCAGCGAGCGAGCACTGAGCGGACACAAACGACGCAAGCATTCGACCGACACGCGCACTAGATGTTTCATTTGTGAGACCTGCGGGAGTAGACTCAAGGTATGTTTTTTATTTGATAGGTGATAATGGTATGGTAACCCCGCCTGCGCTAAATGGAATACGCTGGCGAGGCACCAGTGAAGGGTGATAGATGAGAATGAAAACAGGCCAGTTAGCCCATCATGATGAATTCATCAGGAATTAACCATGATAGTTTCCAGGGGGAACCGCGAGGAGGTCGACTTGGTTGGGTATATTGCTAGCAATGGGATTCTCAGTCTCCATTGCTAACAATCCCTTTCTCCCCAGTTGTTTATAGTTAAAAATTGTAAAACACTTGACCTCATTTTTTATCACAAACTAGTTATTTTAACTGTAACAAAACTGCTAAATCGTTTTTGATGAAATTTCTATGGTACCGATCTGTAAGTATTTCCTTTCAGATAAAACAATAATTTTCCTAATAAATTTGAAACTAACAGAGTTATTAGGTAACAAGGATAAAGAAATTCAAGTGAATTGAGTACCTTCTTTTTTTAAGTCGGATGAAAATTGGCAAACTTCATTCGCATCAGCATTTCTCCTTAATCCTTTGTTGTTTATTTTTTGTAATATTTTAATATTTATTTGTTACAGACGTACCAAATACTGAAGCGCCATCTACAGACACATCTCAAAGAGCAAGACAAAAGTAAAGGACTAAATAAAATATGATGTCGAAATTCTTTTTTTTTATTTGTACTATAACCAAAATTACATGACCAAAAAATGATATTTTTTTTTTATACAACTTAGAATGGAAAACAAGCTGACGGCCCACCTGATGGAAAGTGGTAACTGTCGCCTATATACATGAGCAGTACCATGTTCATAACAGAATATACTGTTTCGTCCATGATACCCCCATGCGTTGCCATTCCTGAGGACTGGCAACGAGGGAGGGAGGGAGGTTGATTTTGGAGGAGATACAATTTTATTTAGAGACAAGGGTAAATGACATCAACACGACAAAGATTTCTTTGGCATTTTTAAGTAAATATGAGTAAAAATCAACGGCACTAAAGGGGCTAAAATAAAAAAGGGATTTCATGTCATAAGTATGAATGAAATTATTAAAAAAAAAAACTTCATTGCATGTAAATGGTCCTTATAACTAACAAAAAAATAAAAAAATCCAATTTAATTTAATACAATACATTTTATTTATATAATAATAAATTTATTTTAAATAATACAAATTAAAAATAGCTTAATTTAGTACAGATTTTTTACAATACAATATTTACACTAAGACACTAAGGTGATTTTGTAAACGCAATTGTTTGTCGCCATTGTGGTTATGTCTTGCGGTAACGTAAGACAGAGGAGAGGGGGGGGGGGAAGGGAGTGTTAGTAATGCGAACTGCCAGTCCCATTGCCAGCAATATGCCCTGGGAGCATAGCCTCCACGTGGTCCCCCTGGGAACTTGTGCTGAATTCCAGGTGTATTCGTCACAATGGGCTAACTGATCTGTCTTTTCATTCTCACCTATCACTCCTGACTGGTGCCCCGCCAGCGTATACCAGCGTATAGCGCAGGCGGGGTTACCATTCCATTATCATCCACAATAAAAACCGCCTATGCTATCGACGTACGCTGACGGGGCACCAGTGAGGAATGATAGGTGAAGATGGAAACAGATTGTCCTATCTTGACGAATTTAATAATAAATTAACCAAGATGGTTTCCAGTGGGAACCGCGTGGAGGTCGACTTGGCAAGTCGATGTCTGTCCCCCCCCCCACCGCAAGCAGCGTTACCATTACACGAGTCCCATTATTGTTCTTGTTTTGCGGTATCCATAAACTCGATAACGCGTTTGGCCGGAAACACTTTGTGGACCCGTTTCCGATGCGTATACAGCGACGCCTTCTGTTTGAATGTCTGTTGGCAGATGTCGCATGATAGAGGGCGCTCGCCGGAGTGAATAACCTCGTGCTGGTTTAGAGCTTTCTTGTCCTGGGAAACAGGAAATTTATATCAAATTGTGATCGCGGCGAAAATATTTTATATTATATAGTTAATTTGGAAATATAACTAAATATATTTACACGCTAGGCATGAGTAATATGGATACCGATCCAATATCTATTATTGGGTTACTCTTGTCTATGATGGCGGAAAAAGATATTATTGGGGAAACAAAATAAAGGAGAACATAACTGTCGATAGTTTCTGATCCTCAATATATTTTACTTATGTGTGTATGTATATGTATGAATGTATATGGATAAATGTGTGTGTGTGTGTGTGTGTGTGTGTGTGTGTGTGTGTGTGTGTGTGTGTGTGTGTGTGCGTGTGCGTGTGCGTGCGCGCGTGCGTGCGCGCGTGCGTGTGCGCGTGCGCGTGCGTGTGTTTTAATTGGTATATTTGAGAAATAATTCTTGTAAGAAGCAATTTACAGTGGCACCCTGCACTTTGGTTATGCGCTTCATCGTGAACAATTCTTGTTGAATTCGTCATGATGTGCTAACTGAGCTGCTTCATCCTCACCTATCATCCTTCACTGGGGCCCCGCCGATGTATACCGATAGCACGGGTGGGGTTACGATTCTATTATCACCCATTAAAAAAATAGTTTAACACATATAATAACCCAATGGTTGACTGGTAGAGAACACCGTCCGCCATATGTTAATTCATGCCATTAAGTCCGCCATATGTACATAGAATTTTACTGCGCGTTAAAGTTTAAATAAATAAATATACTGGTACATGTGGGTAAAATGACCCGTATGGTCCCGGCATAGAATAGGCCACCGCTTCCGTTCCCGTGGGTGTCGTAGCAGGCGACTAAGGGAGGGCGAGGGATGGACAGCAGAGTACCTCTTATAACATGTCTAAAAACTTAAATGCGGTTGCCAACCCGCCTGCCAAACGTAGCAACTACTGACAAAATTCCCCTTATGAGGGAGACTTACGTCCAGCAGTGATTTTTTTTTAATAAAACTTAGAATGGCAAACAAGCTGACAGCCCACGTGATGGAAAGTGGTAACCGTCGCCTTTAGACATGTGCAGTACCATGGACATAACAGAGTATACTGTTTCGCCCATGATACCCCCTATGCGTTGCCATTCCTGAGGACTCAGGTGTTATTCCTCTGTACCCAGTAAATTCACGCCATATCCCACCCTTCAAACCGAAACACAGCCATGCAAACACAACTGCTTCAAGGTTGAAACACGAATGGGACAGAGGAGCCCAAGCAACCGACTTTTGTACAAAGTCTCCCTCTGGTAAGTAGGTAATTAACGGCTGAAATAATGCGAGTAAAGCCGCAAGTAACAGCTAGTAAAGAATACACACCGTGAACGCCTTCCCACAAGTCTGGCACACGTGGTTCCTCGGCTTCTCCTTCTTCTCAGAGTGGACACGCATCATATGTTTCTCCACATATGCTCGGGACGCGATCGGCTGAAATCGGGGAAAATAATAATTTTATGCTTGGGTACTTATGTCCCACTCATGTAATTACTGAAACGACACTAAACAAACACACAAAAACATTTAACACTAGACTCCGAGTAGAGATCTAATAATTTGCCTGAAGATGCTTCGTTCAGAGGTGAAACACGTGTCACAAAATGTGCGTGGACGAAATGGCAGTCGGAGATTAACAATATGGAAGGTTGTGGACCATTAAATGAAGTTTAATTAGTGAAACTAATACGAAATTGATTATAATGGCAATTTTAGATAAATAGATAGATATATACTCTTTATTGTTTCCTCCGAAAGATTACAATAGTAAACTTATTATAAATATAAACAATTACAAGAAATAATCACAGTGAGAAAACAATGGGCGACCTTATCGCTAAAAGCGATCTCTTGCAGCCAACCTTTGGATGGAGAGGAGTAATTATAAACAATTTGATACTGCTCATGTCTATAGGCGACGGTTACCACTTTACAACAGGTGGGCTGTCAGCTTGTTTGCCATTAAAATACAGGGGTTGATCGTAAATTGATGAAAATTTAAAGTTGTATGTATTTTTCAATGCTAAATCATATTTAAAACACAATTAAAAATTTTGTCAAAGAAATATAAAAAAAAATTTTAGGGGTGGGTCACCCTATATATATATATATATATATATATATATATATATATATTAACCCCTGTGTGGGTGTAGTCGCATATTTCTGTAGTATAAAGTTTCTTTCTCTCTCTCTGTCTCTCTTTCTTTCTAATAAAATAAAACGCTTCTAGACAGCTTACCTTCTCACATATCGGACACTTGTGCGCCGTTTTCCCTAGATGCTGATAGTTGAAATGGTCCTGCATAGCCTCCTTTGTGGGGTACCCTTTGTTGCACATGGGGCATGGGAATCTGTGAAAGAGATACCATAGTTACTCTGGGGTATTGTTCGGATTGATACCTGAGGGCCTACCATGAAATAGATAGATAATTTATTTACATTGCTTACAGAACACAAATTTCAATAAAAAAATATTATTATTAAGCTCCATTTACTGAGTCGATTTAAGTACGAACAAAAACACGAAATTGAGCGCGAAAATTCGGAATTTCATCTCATGGTAGGTGCTGCCCCCTGTTGCTGACTTTCACCGTCGCACAACCCGTCACAAACTAAAGTTCCATCCCAACCATGTGGATTAGTGGCGATTCTCCACCAGGCGTTTTACAAGGTATTTTGGTGATGTTTTGAGAGGGACGCTGTTGCCCATTCTTCGACCATAAGCTCCCTTAGTCACCTGGCAAGACTAAAGGAGGAGGCCAGTGTTCAGCATTGGATAGTTGAAAGCTGATATGATAGCGGTACTCACTTGAAAACCAGGGGAAAGGGATTGTTAGTAACGTGGTCTAATAGCTCCATTGCTAGCAATATACTCTCTCAGGACCTCCACGCGGTTCCTTCTGGACACTATCATGGTTAATTCTTGTCCAAGTGATCATGGTGGACCAACTGACCTGCATTCATTCTCAAAAGGGGGGTAAAGAGGTTTCTTCAGGGTCGGCAACGCGTGTGTAATACCTCTGGTATTGCAGGTGTTCGTAGGCTACGCTAACCGCTTACCATCAGGTGGGCCGTATGCTTGTTTGCCACCTCAGTGGTATAAAAAAAATCATTCTCAGCTATCATCTTCCACTGGTGCCTCGTCAGTGTATACTAATAGCGCGGGCGGGGTTACCCCATTTTCACCCTTTAAAAAAACTCACTTGAAAACTTGGTCGGACGCATGCGCTCTGCTGAACTTGAGGTGCGCCTGGTACGTGGTGAGGTGGGAGAACACCTTGTCGCAGTCGGTACACTTGTATCGGCTCTTGTTCTCGTGTCTCCTTATGTGGTACTTGAGCTGGATCACGCGGACCATCTTGTGGCAGATGGGACACTCGGACCGCGGCAGGGGACCCTCGTGTAACCTGGAAATAAGGTGGAATTATTAGTAATGCGGAGTACCAGTCTCATTGCTAGCAATATACCTTGTCAGGTCGACCTCCACGTTGGTCCGCCCTGGAAACCATCGTGCTGAATTCTAGGTGTATTCATCGTTATTATTTTGCGGTCAATTATATGATCACCAACCTCAGATGCGTGGCGAGCGTGGTACGATTCACGAAGCGTTTCTTACAGTGGTCGCACTGCAGACCTTCGCGGTGGAACCTCGCCACGTGATTCTTGCGCGATCGGGAGTTTCTGGAGCAAAAACAAAACATTACTCAATTGTACCGTCGAATGTACTTAATAATTCCTTGCCGTGTGGCACTAGTCCAGACATAGAATAGGCCACCCCCTTCCTTTCCCGTAGGCGTCGTAAGAGGCGACTAAGGGAAATTAATGGGCGAGGAATGGGCAGCAGCGTCCCTCTTAAAATATTACGAAAGCCTAACCGAGTGGTCAGTGTAATAGTTGCCCAAGTGTCCGAGTGTCCAGTGGTCCGATGTCTGAATATCCAGTGTTCCAGGATCTGAGTGTCCGATGTTCTTGTGTCTGAGTGTCCATTGTCCGAGCGTCCAAGCATCCAAGTGGACAGTGTGCGAATGTTCAAAGATACAAATGTCAAGTGTTCAAGAGTCCAGTGTCCAATGTCTGAGTGTCCGAGAGTCCAGAATCGCAATGTCCGAGTGTCCAGTGTCCTAGTATCTGAATATCCAATGTTCCAGGCCCTGAGTGTCCAATGTTCTCGTGTCCGAGTGCCCAGTGTCCGATTGTCCAAGCGTCCGAGTGAACACTCACCGAGAGTCCAAGCGTCCAAGTCGGATAGTGTTCGAGTGTCAAGTGTCACATAGAAATCTCATCAAAATTGGTTCAACAGTTTAGTTTTTTAACCATAACCCCTGGCTTTGAAGTCGTTTTTTTATGAAACACAACCTTATCATATGACATTAAGGTCGCCATTTGTACAAAGTTTTATTGTGCAATAAATAATAAATAAATAAATCTTAAACTTTCATCGCTAAAAGAACTACTCACTTATATTCGCATATGGGGTCAGCTAAGCTGTTGCACGTGGACCCATTGAGATCTTTTGTGCTTCCCCCTGCCTTATACCATCATTTCATAGATCCTTTGTGTTACCTTGACGATATCCCGCGGTTTAAGATATCTGTAGTCCCCTGGTTCTGGATAAGCCGTTCCCAGTAGACTCATACGCATACTTGCCAACGAATCGCAGTTGCACATCAAGTGTTCCATGGATTCCGATTTCTCCCCGCACAGTCTGCACAGTGTGTCCGAAGATAGACCCATCTTGTGTAGTATATGCCTTATTGGCATATGTCCATACTGAGTCTTGCCTGTTGTCTGCCACCGCTGTAGATAAGCTTATCCCATCCTTTAACATTGTCATTTAACTACTCACTTGAAGAACATGTCGCATTCCAAACACTGGTATCCCTCTATCGTAGTCTTTGATAGGAGCTTCCTCAAGTCCTTAGGAGGCGTCTTCCCTTTAGAGTCCTTCTTCTTCCGACCCTGAAAAGAAACTAGAATTAACGGATTTTTTTAAACTGACACATACCACCATAGCCTTAGGGAATGGCAACGCGTGAGGAGTCCCATGAGCGTCACAGTGTGTTCTGTGATGTGATAGGCGACAGCTACCCCTATAGGTGTAAAGGTGACCAGCGGCCCTGTTGCTTGCAATTTACCCTATCAGGACGACCTCCACGCGGTTGTCGCTGGAAACTATCGCGATTAATCCTTATAAACTCGTCACGATGTGTTAACTGATCTGCTTTCGTCCTCACTGGTGTGCTGCCAGGGTATACCGATAGAGCAGGCCAAGGGTTACCATTCTATTATCACCCATTAAAAAGTTATAATTTTTTGTCATTTTCCGTCCATTGCTGGACATAGGTCTCCCCCCAGACTGCTATAATGAACGATCCTGAGCCACCTGCATCAAGTAACTCCCTGCAATGCATTCGAGGTCGTCACTCCCTCTAGTTGGGGCTGATCCAACACTCAAGATCCCCCCAGGGAGAGACTTATGTTCAATAAATTTTTTTTATACAACTTAGAATGCCAAACAAGCTGACGATCCACCTGATGGAAAGTAGTAACCGTCGCCTATAGACACGAGCAGTATCATGTACATAACAGAGTATACTGTTTCGTCCATGATACCCCCCAAGCGTTGCCATTCCTGAGGACTCAGGTGTTATTCCTCTGTACCCAGTAAATTAATGGATAGGTAAAAGCAGATACGATACAAAATGAAATAAAAAAAAAACAGTTTTAATTTCTAAAAAGCGACTAAGCCGCCACCCACCTTCCCGGTCGCGGCGAGGGGAGCCGAGTCGCCAATCTTGATGACGGTACTTGGCAACTGCTTGGTGGCGTGCTTGTACTGTATGTGCATCTGCATGAGCCTCTTGCTGTACTCCCTGTGGCCGCAGAGGCAGCAGGTGCGGCGGAAGTAATGCTCGTCCACGTGACTTGGTAATTTCGCCTCCTCCACGTACACGTAACACACTTTGCACGCGACGCGACCCGGTTTCTGGAATGTTTTATTGTATTATTTTTAATCAATCTATAGTTTATTTTAAAAAATAGTATAGTAAAAATTGTTTATTAGTAAAAAATGGTAATAGATAAAATTTTGTCTCAAAAAAGAATTGCTTTTTTTTTTACAAAAGTACTAATATTTCACCAGAGGGAGACTTTGTACAAAAGTCGATTGCTTGGGTACCTCTGTCCCATTCGTGTTTCAACCGTGAAGCAGTTGTGTTTGCATGGCTGTGTTTCGGTTTGAAGGGTGGGATATGGCGTGAATTTACTGGGTACAGAGGAATAACACCTGAGTCCTCAGGAACGTCAACGCACGGGGGGTATCGTGGGCGAAACAGTATACTCTGTTATGTCCATGGTACTGCTCATGTGTATAGGCGACGGTTACCACTTTCAATAAGGTGGATCGTCAGCTTGTTTGCCATTCTAAGTTGTATAAAAAAAAATTACTAACATGGGACAGATAAAGGAAACACTAGGTCTCATGTCGTATAAGGAGATCAAGGATATGGCCTGGGATAGAGCTGGCTGGAAGAAGATGCATGAATTAGTTGCACCGACAAGAGGAAGCTCTCAAATGAAAAGAGAGAATTAAATTTGTACAAATAGAGAGTTTACATCTATATTTTACTTTACATCTATACTTTACCAGCTTATATTATGAAAAACAAAATTTTCCAAATAAAAAAAAAACCGCACAGTACAAGGTGTATCATCATCTTCATCACCACTTTAGCCGTTAACTGTCCACTGCTGAACATAAGCTTTAACCAAGAAGGGCCTTGCCAACAGTTGGCAACCGCTATACGGCTTTGGTGACGTTTTAAGATTGACGCTGCTGCCAATCCCTCAATCTTTAAGTTCCCTTAGTCGCCTCTTATGACACTTACGGGAGCGGAAGGGGTGGCCTATTCTATGCCGGGACCACCCTGCAAAATTGGGTCAATAAACTTACTTAAATAAACTAACGATCCGTCCCGGCTTCGCACGGGTGCACATTACATTACATCATATTAGAAACCTCTAAATTTATCAGTGTTTCTCTACAATATTATGCATGTATTATACATATAAACCTTCCTCTTGAATCACTCTATCTATTAAAAGAAACCGCATCAAAATCCGTTGCGTAGTTTTAAAGATCTAAGCATACATAGGGACAGACAGACAGCGGGACGACTTTGTTTTATACTAGGGGTTTCCAAACTTATTTTGTCTACTGCCCACTTCGAGAATAAATTATTTTTTAACGCCCCCATTTTTCCACCTACATTAAAACCACTATTGCTTTAAGATCAACAAATCACCTCCCAAGCCTCTACACAATGCCCCATTGTTTTTTTGGGTCTCTTACCGGCCCCCTTTAGGCCTGCAGCGCCCACAAGGGGGCGTTATCGCGCACTTTGGGAAAGGCTGTTTTATACTATGTAGTAATACTGATAATAGGGGGGGAAAGGGATTGTTAGTAATGGAGACTGAGAATCCCATTGCTAGCATTATACCCAACCAGGTCGACCTCCTCGCGGTTCCCCCTGGAAACTATCATGGTTAATTCCTGATGAATTCATCATGATGGGCTAACTGGCCTGTTTTCATTCTCATCTATCACCTTACACTGGTGCTCCGCCAGCGTATCCCGTTAGCGCAGGCGGGGTTACCATACAATTTTCACCCATCAAAAAAAAAATAGTGATAATAAATGCCAAGTTACCGCTCTGTGAGCGCTCACGAAATGATCCTCCACCTGCTGCTCTGTATAGAATCCAATTATGCACAGCTCACATTTGTACACGGAACTTGCATATTGCACTTTCTGCTTGGCCTCCTCTCTGCAAGAATAATTAAACATTGTAAACGACAAAAAACCGACTTCAAATTTAGTAAAATCAGTTTTTTTTTTTTATACAACTTAGAATGGCAAACAAGCTGACGGTCCACCTGATGGAAAGTGGTAACCGTCGCCTATAGACATGAGAAGTACCATGGACATAACAGAGTATACTGTTTCGCCCATGATACCCCCCATGCGTTGCCATTCCTGAGGACTCGGGTGTTATTCCTCTGTACCCAGTAAATTCACGCCATATCCCATCCTTCAAACCGAAACACAGCCATGCAAACACAACTGCTTCAGGGTAGAAACACGAATGGGACAGAGGTACCCAAGCAATCAATTTTGATTTGAAGTACAACACCATAGCCTTCAGGAATAGCAACCTATTTTTTTTAATAGACATTCAGAAACTAACCTGTACGCTAACATTTCCGCTTCCGTCATATACTCTGTTATGTATCCCGACTTCGCTTCGCTCTCGTTGCTTGTAGGCGATTTGCGACAGACTGCAATCATCGACTGGATCTTGGGTGATGTAATTGTTCTGTAACGAATGGTAACATTACTAGTACCGCATTCGAGTATTCTGACACTTCCCTATGGCTGATTGGGAGATAATGCTTTTAGCATTAAGTCCGCCATGTACACATATGTGTACTAATGAATATATATATAGATAGATACTTAGTATATATACTAGCTGACTCGGCAAACGTTGTTTTACCATATACATTATTTCTAGAAATATACATGAAAATATATCGTACTACAATTATTATATTCGATTGCCATCTTGCAACCCTATTGCGGTATATAAAAATCGCGATTAAAAAACAGGGGTTGATCGTAAAAGCGTGAAAATTTGAATTTGTATGTATTTTTCAATGCTAAATCATAATAAAATAAAAATAAAAAAATAAAAAAAAAATTAGGTGTGGGTCACCCTCATCATTGAGGGGTATGAAAAGTAGATGTTGGCCGATTCTCAGACCTATCCGATATGCACACAAAACTTTATAAAAATCGGTATAGCAGTTTCGGAGGAGTTTGGTAACAAACACAGCGACACGAGAATTTTATATATTTTTTTTATGCAACTTAGATTGTCAAACAAATTGACGGCCCACTTGATGGAAAGTGGTAACCGTCACCTGTAGACATGAGCAGTACCGTGAACATAACAGAGTATACTGTTTCGCCCATGATACCACCCATGCGTTGCCATTCCTGAGGACTCGGGCGTTATTCCTCTGTACCCTGTAAACTCACTGCCACATCCCACCCTTCAAACCGAAACACAACCATGCAAACACAACTGCTTCACGGTAGAAACACGAATGGGACAGAGGTGGCCAAGCAAACGACTTTTGTACAAAGTCTCCCTCTGGTAATATCTTTGGCAGGCTACTACTAAAAACAAAAATATATGTTTGTAATATTATTCAATAACTGTACTTCACGAGTTAACCCTTAAATACCTGAAGTTTCAAATTTGATACCGCGGTTTGCATTGTTTCATTGTTAAATAAATTTAAATGTTTCGATTACCGTAATGCCTAAAGTATCAAAAAAGATACCAAATGTTTTTTCAAAATAAATATATAAAAATATATCGTTTTGATTTTTTTTTTTACAATTTTTCCCCGTTAGTAAACACATTAAAGGATACACTTATATATTTTTTAATTTGATTTAAAAAAATCAGGCTTTTCAGGTTTTTTTTTAATGGATGATAATAGAATGGTAACCCCGCCTGCGCTAACGGTATACGCTGGCGGGGCACCAGTGATAGATGATAGGTGAGGATGAAAAGGCAGGTCAGTTAGTCCATCGTGATGAATACACTTGGAATTCAGCACGATGGTTTCCAGGGTAGACCACGGGGAGGTCGACCTGTTAGGGTATATTATTAGCAATGGAACTGATAATCCGCATTACTAACAATCCCTTCTCCCCCGGCTTTTGAGGGTTAAGGGAGCGTGCTGGAGTAGGATACTTCTGATTGACGGTTTTTTATGAAAATGAAGGGTTCGCTCACTCCACAACCATCGAGGTGTCATCCTTCTTGCACGCATCCGGCCGGGAGACCAGCGCGTCCGTTCCGACCACTATGTGGGACATCACCCCCGTCACCGGGTTCTCTAGGACTATCTCTGGCACTGAAACATCACAGAAAGAAGTCTTACCATAAATAATGTTAAGGAAGGTTGTCAGTTTTTTTTTTATTGGATGAAAATGGAATGGTAACCCCGCCTGCGCTAAGGGGATACGCTGGCGGAGCACCAGTGACGGGTGATAGATGAGAATGAAAACAGGCCAGTTCCCATCATGATGAATTCATCAGAAAGGTTGTCAGTTACAAATACCCTATAGATCGATCTCCATGTGGTTTCCTCTGGACACTACCACGGTTAATTGTTGTGGAATTTGTCATGATGGGCTAACTGTCTTGCTTCATCCTCACTTATCATCTTTCACTGGTCACCCAGCAGAGTATATCGATAGCGGAGGTGGGACATCACGTGGTTGTCGTAGACTGGTAATCTGTATTACTAACAACCCTCCCCCCTATTGGGAAGTTTTTTTTAATGGATGATAATGGAATGGTAACCCCGCCAGTGCTATCGGTATACGCTGGCGGGGCACCAGTAAGGGACGATAGGTGGATAATGAAAAAGCAGGTCAGTCAGCCCACCGTGATGAATACACCTGGAGTTCAGCACGATGGTTTCCAGGGGGGACCACGTGGAAGTCTACCTGACAGGGTATATTGCTAGCAATGGAACTGGTAGCCCCCTGTTGGGATGTTTTTTTTTTATACAACTTAGAATGGCAAACAAGCTGACGGCCTACCTGATGGAAAGTGGTAACCGTCGCCTATAGACATGAGCAGTACCGTGGACATAACAGAGTATACTGTTTCGCCAATGAATGGAATGGCAACGCACGGGGGGGTACCGTGCATTGCCATTCCTGAGGACTCAGGTGTTATTCCTCCGTACCCAGTAAATTCACGCCATAATCCACCCTTCAAACCGAAACACAGTCATGCAAACACAACTGCTTCACGGTTGAAACACGAACGGGACAGAGGTACCCAAGCAATCGACTTTTGTACAAATAAACATACCTTCCAACATATGATCGTCCATATCCAAATTTATGTTGTCCCTAACAGCTTGGGCCACCACAAACTGCTCGCTCTTGACATTGTGCACCGTTGCTATGGTCATGAAGTCTTGAGGCCAATCAGTCTCTTGCGTATAATCGAAGTATATTTTATCGTAATCCACTTTGGTAGACATCTCGAGCGAGGACAGGGACTGAGACATGTATGTGTGGTCCATACTCTGAAAATAAATTAATTATAAAAAAAAAAGTTTTTTAATAAAAAATAAAAATCTTTATCTATAGGTCCTACAAAATATGAAAACTATTGAGGCCAGAACAGATCAGAGAAGGTTCCATGTTGTCCTGACATAGATTAGGCCACCCCTTCCTTTCCCATGGTTGTCGTAAGAGGCCACTAAGGGAGAGCGATGGATGGGCAACAGCATTATCAACATCTCCAATAGCCTAATTGCGGTTGCCAATCCGCTTGCCAAGCGTGGCAAATACTGGCAATAACCCTTATGGGAAAGACCCATTTCTAGTTCAGTTGTGGACAGTTAATCACTGATATAATAATATTAATAAAATATTAACCAGATGGAGACTTTGTACAAAAGTCGATTGCTTGGGTACCTCTGTCCCATTCGTGTTTCAACCGTGAAGCAATTGCGTTTGCATGGCTGTGTTTCGGTTTGAAGAGTGGAATATGGCGTAAATTTACTGAGTACAGAGGAATAACACCCGAGTTCTCAGGAATGGCAACGCATGGGGGGTATCATGGGCGAAACGGTATACTCTGTTATATCCATGGGACTGCTCATGTCTATAGGCGACGGTTACCACTTTCCATCAGGTGGGCCGTCAGCTTGTTTGCCATTCTAAGTTGCATAAAAATATATATATATATATAAATATATAAAATTTTGACAAATATCTCTCAAATACAAATTATTTTAATTGTTTCTCATTTTATTAATTGTTTTACTAAATTTATTGTCAATCATGTTATGTTAATAGTATTTAAACGTTATGACATTTATATAATTGCTAGCTAATAACTTGTTCTTAAATTGTTGCATGCCAATAGTTAGCAATAAAATTCTATTCTATTCTATTCAAAATAATGATGGGGACAATAATAATAATATACTTTATTATTCAGACTACAGTTTGGTCCATTTTGTTAGTAACAATTTTCTTAAAAACTATGTTAGTAAAAAAAGAAAGCAAATTAATTAAAGCAGTTCACTCTGTTGTGAGCCAGCCGACTAGAACAGCATCTGAATGAAATGCTCAATTATAGGCGAGTTATATTTATCGCCTATTACTTTTAGAATGCTGTTGGTGCTTGTCCTAACCCTGTTTAGCAATGATGCAGTCCTCTTTCTCCTTATAGCGTAGTAGTCATCTACGCGAGATTGAGCAAACATACTGGAGGCGCTACAAAAGCGAGGTAGCCCCAACAGCACTCTAAAACTATTATTGTACTGAATAGCGGGTCATTGTCCATTAAACAAACATTAATACACAATAGGAGCCACAGACAGATCGGCGAAGTCGACTTCGGAAAAAGTGGCTGCTCACGTAATCCTGGAATATGAAGCTGTGGCCCATCAACTTTTAGAAATCCTCGGAATGGTGAGATCGCTCCATGAGACCTGTGAAGATCCCGGGAAGCTTCTGTGCTTCTGGGCAGAGCTAGGTTGGCTGTACTAGCCACGACTCATACGCACAACGGCCCAAATGAGAGGCTTAGCGTGGAAAATAGAGTCCTATTCACATTTCTATTCAAAATGTAATTTTTGAAAATATTTTATTGTTCAATAAAAATGAGAATACCTCTTGTGTGCTGCTCAAGGCCAGGACTCTTAGATGTTCCTGAGCATTATGCACCTGCTTCTTGAAACGGGCAAACTTTTTAAGAATGGCGAGACACTCCCAGCACACAAGCTGCTTCACGTCTGCCATAGCCTCGTTATACTGGAAATTAGATACAGAACTTTAATAAAAAAAATATCTGTGAGCCCACATTTTAACTATTGTTATTTTTTTTAATATGAAAGGAAGTATCTTGGTATGTTTTAAACTTTTTCTTTTTTTAATGGGTGATAATAGAATGGTAACTTGGCCTGCACTATCCATATATGCCGGCGGAGCACCAGTGAGGGATGGATGATAGGGGACAATGAAATCAGGTCAGTTTGCCCATCATGACAAATTCCACTAAAATAAACAATGATGGTTTCGTAAAGGGGAATGAGAGGGGGAATCACATGGAGGTCAACCTGATAGACTAGCAATGGGTTAGCTAGACTCCATTACTAACAAACCCTTACCCCTCCTGTTTACCTTTTAACACATTAACACCTTAACCAATCACTATGAAATTTTATAAAAATATGCTATATGGGAAGTAGAAGGAGAACTGTGCATGGCTTTACATACATGGATAATTTTTGAAAATAATATGTATCATATACAAATATATATAAGTATCTGTAACAGACATATATGAATAAAGATGATAGAATATATGAATACCATATATTACTAACTGATAATGTAGCTTTCTATGAAATAGTTGAGTTTATATATATATATAACCACATCTTTCCTGTTTATAATATTAGTATACAGATGGGCATAACAATTAACAGCCATAATTTAAAAAAAAAATAGTAATTTTGATGTTACTGTTATAAACAATAATAATTATTAAACAATATTGGTTCTGTAATAACGTTTAAAGATGGACCCTATTCTAATATTTTTTCTTATTTCAATAAAAAGTTGAAATATTTTTTAAATAATAATTTATTGTATTATAGATTTTATGGTAAGAATAAAATTTTTATACTTTCCAATATTTAATGAGTAAAACGTTCTTGGGGTGTGATTCGTTTAAGAAAAAAAATAAAAAAATATGCTATTAGTGGAAGTTCAACGACCTCATTCTCTACTTCACACAGTAAATGATTTATACATCAAATCAATTCGTAACTTTTGATTACTCACCCGGTCTCCCGCAAAATCATACATAAGCAGCCTGAACATTTCATAAACTGGTTGTAAATTACATATAGAAAATAAATTACGATCACTACTTAAGCAAGCACTGCAGATACTTATATACCCATTATCGACATCTTGCTCCATTTTCTATGAATTAGTTTGACGATAATACTACTTTCAAAACTTGTTTATTGTTTTGATTGGTTTCGAAACCACAACAAAAAGTAATACTTCCATGTAAAATAGACGAAATTTAATAAAGAACAATCAACCCAACTACGACACCATAAAATGGCTGCTTTACCCAGTGTTGCAATACTAGAAATAATTTACTATTTATTTACCTTTTTATTATCAGACATTATTTTTATTACAACATTTATATTTAGTTATACGAATAAATAAATTTTAATAACACAGTTGTTAATAGTTACTTATTTTTATCATAGAGTGTCATAGACATATAAAACATGTGATGATTGTGCCTACGAGATAAATAAAAAATAAAGAGGAGAAAAGGTAGAACAAAATAACAGTCAGTGGTTTTTTCTTGCTCATGTATCCTTACTAATATTATAAATGTAAAGTGTTTATTTGTTATCTATTAATACTTTACCAATTTAATCAATTTTTATAAAATCTGGTATATGGGATGGGACGGAAATAATAAATAATAAACTCTTTATTTACTTTACTCTTTATTTATTTTATATAATTACAAAAGAGATATATACTGGGAGTATTTATACAGAATATGTATATAGACAAAGACAGCCTTGTCGTTAAAATCAATCTCTTACAAACAACCTAGATGGTACTATATGGAATGAAAAAAGTTATAGGCTACTCTTTGTCCAGGTCAGTGAACATATCTGTAAAAGCTAGTTATTGATAAAATATAATAATTATAAAAAATAAGTTTTAATTTAGTTAAGAAATATATTTATTATCGACATAAAATAAATTTTTTTTGTACTTTATATAAGATTTATATATTAAAATATAATGATGATTGATGAATGTGGAAGAAGCGAAAGAGGTTTGTTTGAATCGAAGCATTTGGAGTTCCATTGTTTCTGCTTACCCTAATGGGTGACAGGCATGACAAATATGTATGTATGTAAAACATACAAATAGTTGTCGCGTTTTATTGGTTTCTTTATTTAGTTGTAAAAATTATTATGTAGAAATTAAACACATGAATAAAATAAAAAAGTTTTTAACAGTTTGATTAATTACATCATATATTGTTTATTATCTATTTAATATCATAATAATCGTTTAATTGCTGACTTTGTACACATAATATTATTTTATAAAATCCTCATAGTAAGTATTTATGTGAACTGCCTACTAACATGTCTTAATGTAAAAATATAATTATTTTCTATAAATTTTTTTTATATTAACTATACTGGTAGAATAAGATATTTTGTGGTTATAAACACCGGATGCAGGAGCTGTCAAATCACTGTCAACTGTCAAGTCGATATGTCAATCATGTGTTTTAAAAATGGCGGCGATTTGTTTTCAGTGTTTTGTTTTTATTACTGAGGAGAAACTGAACTAATAATTTATTTTTATCAATGAACATATAATTTTAAAATAATAAATTTTATATGTCTATACTATGTATTTAGTATAATGACAAAAGCGTGGTCTCATTTTTTTTTTTTATTAAATAAAGAATGTTTCTTGACGTCCTTTGCTGATTGCAATTTGAAGAGTTAGTTTTAATAATAAATAAACAAATGCTCTACTTTCCATTTGATAATAAATAAGTGATATTATTTAAAGTCATTACTTTTATTAAGTATGTCTGTTCTTTTTAATTTTCAATGAAATGAATTGATACAATAAAATAATGGAGATGAAAGAAGATATTGCATGCAAACTGCTATGCATGTCTTGTTTATGTTTTGGTCGGACGTTAAAACCGGTTACAGAGGAGAAACTAAAGAAATATTATGTGGATATACTGAACGAGATACCTGTAAGTAATAAAAAAATATAGTTATGCAATTTCGAACACGCTGATGCCATTACAGTGGTAGATTTACATATTTATAAACATATATATCAGCTGTAGGCTACTAAAATTTATCATAATTCACAATTATAGTAATTAAATTTTTTTTTGTAATTAGTAATAATTTTTCATATTTATAAAACAGTCTATTTTGTTCTTAATTTGCCACCCCCTAAAATCTGCCTCTCAACCTGTTGATGAATCCGCCTTTACAACAATAATTATAATAATATATTTATTTATTTACAAGAAACATATTTTTAGTTTATAAATGTTACAAAAGTATAAGTCCTCATATTTTGACATAATTAGGCATGCAAATATTAAAACTTAAAAAGTATAAATGTTAAAATTCGAATTTTAATGACTTCTAAAATTTTAAATGATATAAATAAAAAAAATACATCAAAAATGTCAGACACTTGTCAACAATATATATAGATATATTATATTCTTTATTGTTTCCTTCAAAAGGTTACAGTAGTAAACTTCTTATAAAAAAATATATAAACAATTACAAGAAAAGATTATACTAAGAAAATAATGGACACCCTAATCGCTAAGAGAGATCTCTTCCAGACAACCTTTGGATGGAGAAAAGTAATTATAAACAGTTTAGCAATTTGGCATGGTTCTGCACAGTGCTATTTTTTTTTAAAGAAAATACAAGTCATTTCACTGATCTGGCTTTCTGTGAGTGAAGGAACTTTAAATCAATGTGTACACAACCCAGAACATTCAGGCCAGAGCCAATTTAAAAAAAAAATAACTTTTTCTAAATCTGTGTGGCCAGGAATCAAATCTGGTGCCTCATCTATATGTATAGAAAGATGTGCTCATAATTGTATCACAGAGGTCATTGAAATAAGTATTAATTTAATTTACAGCTATACGACACACAAATAACATGTCCAAATTTGTGTATAGACTGCAGAGCTTTACTCAAAAAGGCTGTGTCATTTAAGGAGCAAGTACAAGACTCATTTAGGGTACTACAAACATATACTAATGAGGTAATTGTACATTTCATGTTTTTTTTTTTATGGATTACTGTTATAAATTTTGTTTCCTTTTTTACTTAATTAACCTAAATGATTAATTAAGAATAGACCAAATACTAAAAACCTAGCCCTCTATGTGGAGGCTGTTAGACGCAGAAGAAATGGCTGTTCACATAATCCTGGAATGTCAAGCTGTGGCCCCTCAATGTTTTTCATTTTTTAATAGATGTAAATGGAATGGTAATCCCACCTGCGCTATCAGTATACACCAACGAAGCACCAGTGGAAGATAATAGGTGAGAATGAATGCAGGTCAATTGGCCCACCATGATGAATTCGACAAGAATTAAACATGATGGTTTCCAAGGGGAATCGCATGGAGGTCAGTGTATACCGATAGCGCGGGCGGAGTTACCATTCCATTTTCACCCATTAAAAAAAACCTCATATATTTGTAATGTTAGTAAAAATAATACAATTTTAGAGCTTGAACGAGTGCTTACTGACAGAGGTGACACGGCAGCCCCGTCTTCGAGTCCACCACGTAGACCCCATAAGCATATCTCCCATCGAAGATGAGTGTACCGATATCCATGATGTACAGTTAGTGTGTGTTAAGGATGAAGTGAAGAAGGAATGGAATGATAAAGGTATTTTGTTTTCTATTACATTTTTTTTTAAATATTTTTTATACATCTTAGAATGGCAAATAAACTGACGGCCCACCTCTTGGAAAATGGTAACCGTCGCCTATAGAAATGAGCAGTACCATGCATACAACAGAGTATACTGTTTCGCTTATGATACCCTCCATGCATTGCCATTCCTGAGGACTCAGGTGTTATTCCTCTGTACCCTGTAAATTCACGCCGTATCCCACCCTTAAACCTGAAACACGGTCATGCAAACATAACTGTTTCATGGTTGAAACATGAATGAGACAGAGGTACCCAAGCAAACGACTTTTTGTACTAAGTTCGCGTCGATTGTACCTGGGTTCATCTATTTTATTATGCTCTGTGGGCAAGTGACGCACCAGAAACGCTACAGAGCAGAGTGCAATTATCCCGTTTGCCGAGCGAACCCGTCGCGCGCGCGCATCGCAGTGAAAAATATATTATACAGTTTTGTGTTGAACAAATCAAGTTAAAAACTATTCCGTGCTATTCTGCCCAGCGAACCCACCCAAAAACAGCATAGAAGACAAGGAGCTGTACTGAGGTGGTTAGGTCATCCACTTAGGCACACCAGCGCTGTACTCGTGAGTTGCAGCTATCGAAGGTACCCATAACTTCCGCCTTTCGCCTTGTCCAGTTTTTTTTTTTAATAACATCCTAATAATTTCACTTCTAGATTTAGAGGACACCGTTCACTCTGAATGCCCCTTATCAGAAACGGAGGATATAAAAGATATCGATGCGGAATTGGAAACTTTACTAAGAACGGTGAAGAAGGATAAGAAGAGAAAGAGAAAAGAGGACAGCAAGGAGAGGAAAGCGAGGAAGATCGTGAAGAGTTTACAAGTGAACAGTAATAAGGTACAAGGGTCGATTCTGGGGCGTCAATTCTTTAAACGAAAGATTCCTAAACTATTTTGGGCTTGAGACCTCTGTTTCAAAATGAACTGACCTAACCTAACTGAAATGTACATGGTGATTGTTAGAAATACGGACTATCAGTCCCATTGCTAGCAAAATACCCTGTCAGTTCGACCTCCACCTGTTCCCCCTGGAAACCATCGTGCTGAACTCCAGGTGGGCGTAGGCGGGGTTACCATCCCATTTTCACTCATAAAAAAAAGTAATATACACTTACAGATCGACTTGCACGCAGTTCCTCCCTGGAAACTCCCTGGAAATATAAACAACTGGGGGGAAAGGGATTGTTGGTAATGGAAGCTGAGAATCCCATTGCTAGCAATATACCCAACCATGTGGACCTCCTCGCGGTTCTCCCTGGAAACTATCATGGTTAATTCCCGATGAATTCATCATGATGCGCTAACTGGCCTGTTTTCATTCTCATCTATCACCCTTCACTGGTGCTCCGCCAGCGTATCCCGTTAGCGCAGGCGGGGTTACCATACCATTTTCACCCATCAAAAAACTGAAATATCCGGGGGAAGGGATTGTTAGTAATACGAACTACCAGTCCCATTGCTATCAATATACCCTGTCAAGTCGACTTTCACGTGTTCCCCCCTGGAAACCATCGTGCTGAATTCCAGGTGTATTCATCACGACTCTCTAACTGATCTGCCTTTTCATTCTCACCCATCATCGCTCACTGGTGCCCCGCCAGTGTATACCGTTTTTTTAATGGTTGATAATGGAATGGTAGCCTCGCCTCGCAGGTCAGCCCATCGTGATGAATACACCTGGAATTCACCACGATGGTTTCCAGGGGGGGCCACGTGGAGGTCGACCTGATAGGGTATATTGTTAGTAATGGGACTGATAGTCCACATTATAAACAATCCCCCCCCCCCCCAGCGTATACCGTTAGCGCAGGCTGCCACTATTTACACCCATTAAAAAAAAACATGTGAAAAGTATTTTTTTGTTTTCAGGAATTAAACAATTCAAAAGGGACAAACGATCAGAAAATCATAACAATAGAACTGACCTACGAGGAGATGTTGTTAGAAAGGGATAGCGAATCGAAAAGGGAGAGTTACGTACGCTCGGAGTACAAGTGCGAATCGTGTTTGGTCGGCTTTAATTATAGCAAGAGTTATAAGAGACACGTGACCAGCAAACATTCACCTGTGAGTATATATCATCATCGTCGTCATCATCATCATCATCTTCAGCCGTTAACTGTCCACTGGTGAACATTTTTTTATACAGCTTTGAATGGCAAACAAGCTGATGGCCCACCTGATGGAAAGTGGTAACCGTCGCCTATAGACATGAGCAGTACCATGGACATAACAGAGTATACTGTTTCGCCCATAATACCCCTCATGCGTTGCCATCCCTCTAATTTCAAAACCCTCTCCGAGGCTGAAACATACCGGTATCTGGGCATGTCACAAAACATCGATGTGAGGGAGGCGGATATGAAACAGTCAGTCCGCGAGGAATTTTTGCGCGCCTTACAAGAATACTGAAAAGTTCCTTGTCGGGCGCCAATAAAGTCCGAGCTTATAACGGCTGGGTCATACCCGTACTCCTTTACACTTTTGGCGTGCTCAGATGGTCTCAAACCGATCTCGAAGCCCTGGATCGGAAAGTCCACACAACTATGACCCTCCATAGAATGCATCACCCGAAATCGTCAGTCATGAGACTGTATATCCCGCGGAAGGCTGGTGGTCGAGGCTTGTTAAGCGTTAAGACCATGCACAACCGCGAGATCGACAGCGTCAGGACATATTTTCTACAAAAAAGAGACGAGGGTATGCATAGAGAAGTCATAGAATGTGACAAAGGATTCACCTCTCTTTCCCTTGCTAAAGAGGACTGGCATAAACTCGAAGTCCTGGGTACCTCTCAGCGGGAGGCCGTATGGAAAGAGAAGGAGTTGCACGGAAGGTTCTTCAAAGCCCTTCACGGGCCGAACGTCAACGCGAACGCGAAGACCTCCGCGCACTGGCTACAATTCGGCGATCTCTTCGGAGAGACCGAGGGTTTTGTCTGTGTCAATACAGGATCAGGTGGTTAAGACGAACAATTACCGAAAGCACATTCTGAAGGATGGCACAGAGGACATCTGTCGGGCGTGTCGCCATCCCGGAGAGTCACTCAGACATGTGCTTTCGGGTTGTTCAGCTCTTGCCAACACTGAGTACTTGCACAGACACAACCAGGTAGCCAAAATACTCCATCAAGAGTTAGCTCTGAAGTACGGCTTCGCGAATGAGAGGTTACCGTACTAACAATCCCTCCCCCCCATACCCCCATAGAATAAGATTAGATCGCCCATTGTTTTCTCACTGTGATTATTTCTTGTAATTGTTTGTATCTATAATAAAGTTTACTATTGTAATCTTTTGGAGGAAACAATAAACGAGTATCTATCTAATAAAATAAAGCTAGCTTTTACCCGCTAATTCGTCTGCTTGACCGGGATACAGGTACGGCTAGTGCGGGTTCCAAGGTACTCACGTTGTATATTTCTTGTGTTTAATTAATAAATAAATAAAATATATAGCATCGAGTATATAGCAATAATGATAATAGTTAGTTGCCATCTCCTCTCCTTAAGAGGGGAGATGAGAATTTTGTAAAGTTTAATAAAATAATAATAATGTGGTAAGAGAAAAAGAGAAAATATCTCGACCTGGCTCACGAGGTGACCGAAATGTGGGGGATGGCGTCCACCGAAATCATTCCAATCGTTATGTCGGTGAACGGTCTTATCCCAACCAGTCTAAAACAACATCTCAGACGGTTGGGATTCCGAGGCGGCTCACTCCCGGAAAAGATGCAGAAAGCGGTGCTCTTAGATTCTGTCCGCATTGTACGCCGGTTTCTCTCCCTGGGGCCCTGAACCGCGGCCGACTGTGCTTCTGCCGGGGGTTAGTTTACCATCTCCTCTCCTTAAGAGGGGAGATGTGAATTTTGTACAATAAATAAATAAATAAAAATGTATTGTTTCAGGAACTAGGCGACTATAGTTGTCCTATATGTAAAACTGTTATAGCCTCAGTGGAGTCCTTCACGGCGCATTACAAGAGACATATGAGAAGGTATATTTTTAATCTATACTTATAATAAATCTGTAGAGAGGTCAATTCTGTACATGAAATATATTTCCAAAATAACGTATCAGGCGGTGATTAGTGATCGATACTGATGCCAAAAATGCAATCAGTAAAATTTTTGTCTGTCTGTCTGTCTGTATGTTCGTTATAGAAACAAAAACTACTCGACGGATTTTAACGAAACTTGGTACAATTATTCTTCATACACTTGGGCAGGTTATAGTATACTTTTCATCGCGCTACGGTCAATAGGAGCAGAGCAGTGAAGGGAAATGTGTTTGTTACATTAAAACGACTGAACCGTAAGGCTACTTATTTTACGAAAAATGAAGGAAACGCGGACGAAGTCGCGGGCAACAGCTAGTATAAAATATTATAAAGCCTATCCGTGTGGTCCCGGCATAGTATGGCCACTCCTTCCTTTCCCGTGGGTGTCTTTTTTTTATGGATGATAACGGAATGGTAACCTTGCCTTTGTTAACGGTATACGCTGACGGGGCACCAGTGAAGGGTGATAGATGAGAATGAAAACAGGCCAGTTAGCCCATCATGATGAATTCATCAGGAATTAACTATGATAGTTAACAGGTGGAACCACGTGGAGGTCGACCTGGTTGGTTATATTGCTAGCAATGGAATTCCTAGTCCATTACTAACAATCCCTTTCCCCCCTCCCGTGATTGTTGTGAGAGGCGACTAAGGGAAACTTATTGTTGCTAAAGCGGTAACAGGCTGGTCGCATAGCTCGAAGAACAGACAACAGAAGGGGAAAAAAGGCTTCTTGAGTGGCGGCTCCGTACGTGCAAACGTAGTGTAGGACGATTCCCACATTAGATGGAGTGGCAACCTCTAGTGCATTGCAAAGATTCAGTGGAAGCAGGTGGCTCAGGATCGTATCTTATGGTAGTTTATGGGGAAGTTTATTTTCAGAAATGGCAGATAGCTTTTACCAGTAGTTGCTATGCTTGGCAGACGAGTTGGCAACTGTAGTTAGGCTTTGGTGATGGTGGTGGGACACTGCTGTCTATCCCTTGACTCCCATAGTCGCTCACGGCACTCACGGAAAAAGAAGGGGTGGCCCATGCTATGGCGAGTCCACATTGCATAATGAACTAATAAGTCGTTTGCTTGGGTACCTCTGTACCATTCCTATTTCAATTGTGAAGCAATTGTGTTTGCATGGCTGTGTTTCTGTTTGAAGGGTGGGATATAGCAGTAAATTTACAGGGTACAGTGGAATAACACCTGAGTCCTCAGGAATGGCAACGCATGGGGGGTATCATGGGCGTAACGGTATAGTCTGTTATGTCCACGGTACTGCTCATGTCTATAGGCGACGGTTATCACTTTCCATCAGGTGGGCCGTCAGCTTGTTTGCCATTCTAAGTTGTTATGGTATTGTACTCCAGGTACGAATGCAGCATCTGCCAGAAACGGACCCAGGACATGAAGGTGATGCAGCAGCACTACTTTAGTACGCACGATATATCGCTCAAGAGGTACAAGTGTGATCTGTGCGGGAAATTGTCCAAGTAAGTGGTTCAAATACTAGTTTCTACTCGCGACTTCGCTCGACCGAGATGTGTATAGTACACGTCCTCTATTCTAACTCTAGCGTAGCGTACATTTTAGTTTTTTTTTTTATACCACTGAGGTGGCAAACAAACACACTGCCTACCCGATGGCAAGCGCTCACCGTAGCCTATGAACACCTGCAATACCAGAGTTATTACGCGTGCGTTGCCGACCCTGAAGAAAGCTGGTGGAAAGTGGTAACCGTCGTAATGAGTCGACTTGCCTGCTGTTATCCTTACATATCTACCCTCATTGGTGCCCCGTCAGTGTATACTGTTAACGCAGGCGGGGTTATCATTCCATTTTCATCCCATCCAAAATCAATGTACCCTCCACGTATTAAAATGTACATTGCTTGTTTCAGTTCCATAGACACGCATCGGTACCACAAAGACACACACAAGGCGCGCGTGCAGTGCTCAGAATGCGATAAAACTTTCACGCATCGGGCTGGCCTCATGAACCATAGACTGTAAGATGTTTTTTTTAATAGGTTCATTTTATTTGAAGATTAAATAAAATCAATACATATAATAAAATCAAAACTGGTTGCTGTCTGTACATGGAAGGTATATAAGAGAAACTATTGTAGGCTTTATGAACGCAATAGAACCAAAAACAAAGATTTTTAGAAATTTTGTCTGTTTGTCTGTACGTTTGTACACGCTAATCTCAGAAACGGCTTAACTGATCATCACATCACATCAATTCAAATCGCATTACATCATATCATATCACATCACATCGAGTCATATCACATCATATCATATAATATCACATCACATCGCATCATATGATATCATATAATATCACATCATGTCATATCATATTACACCATATCATATTTTAGTTTTTTTTATTTTATTTTATTGGCACATAAAACAGATCACAACCATAAAAAACTTAAATAATAATTACATTTGTGATTCGGCTAGGTTATAATCCAATCACATTATGTGCACAGCTTGAGTAATTCATTAAAAGCAAACACATAATATAAAAAGAAGTAAATAAAATGTTATATAAATATATAAAAATAAAACTATATAAAAAAAAACATATTTTCAATCATATTCTACAAAATAGAAAACAAGTTCTTCCTAAAAATCAAATATCACAGCATATCATATCGTATCGCATCGCATCACATCACATCATATCGTATCGTTTCGTTTAATGCCATATCGTCGCTTGTTGCAGCGCAGTGCACGAGTTCCACAACGCGTTCCCGTGCACGGTGTGTGACAAGGTGTTCCGCTGGAAGACCAGCCTCAAGCGCCACCTGGAGAAACACGCCGCCGAGGTGGTGACTATACTATTATACTGGCTTTGTCTGTGTAACTGCCATGAGCAAATAGGTGATAATGGAATGGTAACCCCGCCTGCACTATTGGGATACGCTGGCGGGGCACCAGTGACGGATGATTAATGAGGTAGAAAAGACAGGTCGGTTGGTGCATCATGATGAATTTACCTGGAATTAAACATGATAATCGCTATGTAAGTCCCAGCGTAGAATAGGCCATCCCTTTCTTTGCCGTGGATGTCATAAGAAGCGACTAAGGGAGCTTTATGGTCGAGGGATGGGCATCTACAAGTTTTAACTGCTATTGCTAACTCGCCTGAATTTACAGGGTACAGAGAAATAACACCTGAGTCCTCAGGATTGGCAACGCATGGGGGGTATCATGAGCGAAACAGTATACTCTGTTATGTCCATGGTACTGCTCATGTCTATAGGCGACAGTAACCACTTTCCATCAGGTGGGCCGTCAGCTTGTTTGCCATTGTAAGTTGCATAAAAAAAAGAAATACTGCAGGGCAAGAGCACCACGGCGGCCGCCTTCTGTTCCACGTGTGGTGTGAGCTTCTCATCCGTCTGCTCTTACCAGCGTCATATGAAGAACAGCCTCAAGCACGTCAGCCATGAACAACTCAGGTATGTTTATTAGAACTGCTTTTATGTGGAGCAATATCTGAATAAATGAAGTCACCAGAGGGAGACTTTGTACAAAAGTCGATTGCTTGGGTACCTCTGCCCTTATTCGTGTTTCAATCGTGAAGCAGTTGTGTTTGCATGGCTGTGTTTCGGTTTGAAGGGTGGGATATGGCGTGAATTTACTGGGTACAGAGGAATAATACCTGAGTCCTCAGGAATGGCAACGCATGCGGGGTATCATGGGCGAAATGCCCATGGGTGACGGTTACCACTTTCCATCAGGTGGGCCGTCAGCTTGTTTGCCATTATAAGTAGCATAAAAAAAAATGAAGTGAATGTAACAAATGAAATAAATGAAAAGAATAAATGAAATGACTAGTGTATTGAGTTTTTTAAAATGTAATGGAGCAAATAAAGGATTAAATTAACACTGACATATTGAAATAACATAATAAATTAATGTAAATAAAAATAATATGAAGATATGTAAATATTTTTTTTAATGGGTGAAAATGGTATGGTAACCCCGCCTGCGCTAACGGGATACGCTGGCGGAGCACCAGTGAAGGGTGATAGATGAGAATGAAAACAGGCCAGTTAGCCCATCATGATGAATTCGTCAGGAATTAACCATGATAGTTTCCAGGGAGAACCGAGAGCAGATCGACCTGGTTGGGTATATTGTTAGCAATGGGATCCTCAGTCTGCATTACTAACAATCCCTTTACCCCCGGTATGTAAATATTAGATATATTTACATGCATATATAGCGTAGACGCGTGCACTTATGATTTTTATATGTAAAACCTTGTATTTCGTGTTTCAAATGAACGATAAATAATGTAATGAAATGAACGAAATTAAGGAAATAAAAAAAGAGAATGAAATTAATGAAATGAATGAAATTAATGGGATTATTGAAATGAGTGAAATGAATGGAATTAATGAAATGAATAGAATTAATGCAATGAGTGAAATGAATAGAATTAATGAAATGAGTGAAATGAATGGAATTAATGAATAAGTGAAATGAATGGAATTAATGAATAAGTGAAATGAATGGAATTAATGAAATGAATAGAATTAATGAAATAAGTGAAATGAATGGAATTAATGAAATGAGTAGATTGAATGAAATGAATAGAATTAATAAAATGAATGGAAATAATGAAGTGAGTAGAATTAATTAAATGAATAGAATGAATGAAATGAGTAGAATGAATGAAATGAATAGAATGAATGAAATGAATAGAATGAATGAAATGAATAGAATGAATGAAATGAATAGATCTAATGAAATGAGTGAAATTAATGAAATAAATGGATTGTGTAGTTTTTCTGAGTCACAGATGCGATAAATGAATTAGACGAATGGCATAAATGAAATTAAATTTTAATTTACTGCTTCTCGTATGAAATTTGCGGGGCGTGTTATAGGTTTATATGCGACCACTGCAACCGGCGGTTTGCGGACAAAACGAAGCTGCGCGACCACATCGAGGAGAAACATCTGCACAAAACGTACCAGTGTCACATTTGCCTCAAGGTATATGAGTTATAGCCGTGTGGTCCCGGCATAGAATGGTCCACTCCTTCCTTTACCGTGGGTGTCCTAAGAGGCGACTAAAGGAGGGCGAGGGATGGGCAGCAGCGTTCCTCTTAAAACATCTCCAAAGCCTAACTACGGTTGCCAATCCGCCTGCCAAGCGTGGCAACTACTGGCAAAACTTCTTTATGGGAGGCTTATGTTCAGCTGTGGACAGTTTTTTTTAATGGGTAATAATGGAATGGTAACAAGCAGGTCAGTTAGCCCATGATGACGTAATGTAATGGTGTTATTTGACCTCATTACTAACAATCCCTTTTCCCCCCAGCAGTGGACAGTTAACTGCTGATATAATAATAATAATTAATAATATTATAAATGTGAAAGCAAGTTTGTTTGTTTGTTAACTTATAGTGCCTTAACAGCTTAACCAATCATTATGAAATTCAGTATATACGTACTATGTGGGATTGGGAAGGATATAGGTTTTTTATCCTGGTCAGTAAAGCTATCCTGGTGACGTGAACGAAGTCCCTGATGAAGACTAGTTTTTTTTTTTCTTTCTTTTTCTAGTCTGCTAATTGGCAATCTGTTCCTTATAGAACAATAATCCAATCTGCTGTTTGATTGTCAGGTTGATTGTCAATAAATGATGAGGCCAATCCATTAACCAGCTCTCAGTCTCTGCCTGTAATCAATCGGTGAAGACTAGTAAATGAGAATTCTGTTTCCACAGCCGTCCAAGAACCGCATGGGACTCGATCAGCACATTAGGAACGTGCACCGTGGAAGGCCAAACAACAAGATATGCCATCACTGTGGCAAAGGGTTCCCGGTTAGTGTATTTTTTTTAATAGTTGATAATGGAGTGGTAGCCACGCCTGCGCTATCGGTATACGCTGGCGGGGCACCAGTGAGTTGTTAAATATAAAAAAAAAATCAACTTTTTCCCACACACCTATCATCTCTCACTGCCCCGGGTGCCCCGGCACCAGTGAGAGATGATAGGTGAGATTGAAAGGGCAGGTCAGTTAGTCCATCGTGATGAATACACCTGGAATTCAGCACGATGCTTTCCAGAGGTTACCGCGTGGAGGTTGACCTGACAGGGTATATTGCCAGCAATGAGACTGGTAGTTCGCATTACTAACAATGTGGATGTCGTAAGAGGCGACTGAGGGAACTTATTGATCGAGACAGGGGCAGCAGCGTCCGTCTTGAAACATCACCAAAGCCTAATTGAAGTTGCCAACTTAGTATGGCAACTACTGGGTAACACTACTGGGTAAAAAGCCCCTTTATGGAAAAGACCTATGTTCAACAGTGGACAGTGGAAAGGCTGATATATTGGTGATTATTATTAATTACTACCTGACCCCGTAAACGTTGTTTTACCACTTATTGCGAAATATAAAAATCACGATTAAAATACAGAGGTTGATCGTAAAACGATGAAAATTTTAAGTTGTATGTATTTTTCAATGCTAAATCATAATAAAATAAAAATGGAAAAATTTGTCAAAAAAAAATATTTTGGGGAGGGTCACCTTTATCATTGACGGGTATGAAAAATAGATGTTGGCCGATTCTCAGACCTACTGGATATGCACACAAAATTTTATAAAAATCGGTTAAACCGTTTCGGAGGAGTTTGGTAACAAACACCGCGACACGAGAATTTTATATATAAGATATAATTAAAAAAAAAAAACTTGGTAACATATAATTTGAAGGTGTCCATTCTTTTTAACTGAAATTGTTTGAAAATAACTTAAAAAATGCTTACATTAAAGTTTATTTGTAGAAAACATATTCATATCAAAGTAAATAAGTTTTTTTATACAACTCGGAATGGCAAACAAGCTGACGGCCCACCTGATGAAAGGTGGTAACCGTCGCCTATAGACATGGGCAGTACCATGGACATAAAAGAGTATACTCTTTCATCCATGATACCCCCCATGCGTTGTCATCCCTGAGGACTCGAGTGTTATTCCTCTGTACCCTGTAAATTCACTGCCATATACCACCCTTCAAACCGAAACACAGCCATGCAAACACAACTGCTTCACGGTAGAAACACGAATGGGACAGAGGTGCCCAAGCAAACGACTTTTGTACAAAGTCTCCCTCCGGTTTAATAAATAAATAATATTTATTTCTATTGTCCAGACGAAGGTACAGTTGGAGTCGCACATAAGGACCCATACAGGCGAGAGGCCGTTCATATGCGAGTATTGTCCCACCACATTCTCGCAGCAGTCCAACTTGTACAAGCACAATCGACAGGTGAGTCGAGCGATTCTCAAGATTGATGACTGATTGGGCGAATAAAGGAATGGATTAGTGATAGATTGAATGAAATATTGATTGGTTGGATGGTTGATTGGAATAATGATTATTTGGTTAAGCGATTGAAAAAATGAATAATATATTGTATAATTTGATAATATTGATTGGTTGGATGGTTGATTGGAATAATGATTATTTGGTTAAGCGATTGAAAAAATGAATAATATATTGTATAATTTGATAATATTGATTGGTTGGATGGTTGATTGGAATAATGATTATTTGGTTAAGCGATTGAAAAAATGAATAATATATTGTATAATTTTATAATATTGATTGGTTCGATGGTTGATTGGAATAATGATAATTTTGATTTACGATTGAAAAGATGAATAATCGATTGCATAATTTGATAGATTGGATGAAGATCTTAGATCACACACATCAAGATTGTCAATAATGGGCCAAAAGACAGTCAAACGTCACTGTACACGCGTTAGAGCGACGTCAATTATATATATGACTTCATAGGTCATTTTTAGCTTACTTTTTTATTTTACACCTTATTATTTTCTTTTAAAACAAAAGAAGTGCACGGCATTTTTTATATTTTTTTTTGAACAACTTATTCTATCATTATTCCAATCAATCAGTAAAAGTAATCATCTATTCAATTAATCTAACCAATGTATTGTTAATCCAATCAACTAATCATTTAACCAATCGACCATTCAATCAATATTTATTTTTCCAGGTACATCTTAACATAAAGTCTAAAAGGTATTCAGTGTGCAAGAAGAAACAGGACGTGTCAGCCGAACCGCTGCCACCTCAGACCCAGCCGGACCCTTACAAGCCGGTGGCGGTGTTGCATTACACTCTACCAGATAGGGGCTTCCTTATATGATCATCATCATCGTAATCATCATCTCATCATCGTTTTTATAATATGTTGTCCACTGCTACCGCTCGTATGAGTATAGCGCCCTCTGATGTCAAGAGTTATTAAGTAATTCGTACGCGATTGAAAAATAATAACAAAATTGAGTTACCCATATTAACTTAATAGTTTAAGGTCGTTCCAATAGGGAGGCTATGGGGAGGGGATTGCTAGTATTCTAGAGAGAGATGGGTTCTAGTGATCCTATTTTTTTTATTGGATGAATATGGAATTGTAACCCCTGCGCTATCGATATGCACTCGCGGGGAACTAGTGAGGTTTTTGGTAATGAATGGTAGTGGAATGGTAACCCTGTCTGCGCTGTCGGTATTCACTGTCGGAGAATCAGTGAAGGATGATAGGTGAAGCAGAAGCAGGTCAACCCTCTGGAAACCATCATTCTGAATTCTAGGTGTATTCATCACGGTTGTCTGTCCACTGCTGGACATAAGCCTTCCCTATAAGGGGAGTTTTGCCAATAGTTGCCACGCTTGGCATGTGAATTGGCGACCGCAGTTAGGCTTTCGTGATGTTATAGAAGGGACGCTGCTGACCATCTCTCGCCTTCCTTTAGTCATCTCTTATAACACCCATGGTAAAGGAAGGGGTGGCCCATTCTATGCTGGGACCACAGGGCAATACATGGGAGATGTTTAAGAAAAAATAATTTGAGAGGTCTGAATAGAACCAGTAGGAGCTGAAACATAATTTTTAGATATTTTTGTCTGGCTCTCTGTACATATTTTTCCCAAGTGTGTCAAAAAAATTACTGCACAAAATTGGATGCAGTTTTCATGGTTTTATTTCTATAAGTCTGTCTTAATAACTGATGTTAATTTTATCTTGATATGTCATCTAGTATTGTCTATTTCATGGAAGGATCCTATTTTAAGACCAATTAAGTCGCAAGCAAAAAGGAAGTTAAAAGTAAGGTATTTTAATATAGTTGTAAGTTTACCAGAGGGAGACTTTGTACAAAAGTCGTTTGTCCCATTCGTGTTTCTACCGTGAAGCAGTTGTGTTTGCATGGCTGTGTTTCGGTTTGAAGGGTGAAATGTGGCAGTGAATTTACAGGGTACAGGGGAATAACACCTGAGTCCTCAGGAATGGTAACGCACGGGGGGTATCATGGACGAAACAGTATACTCTGTTATGTCTATACTATTGTTCATGTCCATAGGCGACGGTTACCACTTACCATCAGGTGGGCCGTCAGCTTGTTTGCCTTTCTAAGTTGTATAAAAAAAGTATGTAATAAATAAAGCCAATTGTATTATGTGCAATAAATATTTATTCAAATGAATAATTTTTTTTATTATCTCCACTCGAATCTACCAGATGGAGCCACTTAACTTTGTCTTGTCTCATTCTAGCAAAAATTGCAATTGTACTGTTTGTTTTGATGGATGATAATGGAATGGTGATCCCGCCTGTGCTATCGGTTTACGCTGCCGGGGCACCAGTGAGGGGTGATTGGTGAGGATAAAAAAGCAGGTCAGTTAGCCTATCGTGACGAATTCCACTAGAAATAACCACGATGGTTTCCAGGGGGAACCGCGTGGAGGTCGACCTGATTTTAAAATATTGGTATTGAGTTATATGATATTGGTTGGTTCGAAGGGCGCATATATTATTAATAAACGCAATCAGTACAGAAAATAAAACACCAGCTCTTTGAACTTTCTGTTATAGTGTAAATACTTCTCGATAGTTAGTTTGTTTTATTGTACCTGTCTGTTACTGAATTGTTACCTTAATAAAATTATCTTGCTACTAAAAACATCACTCGATTCCTATTATTTGTTGTTCTCTGATATTTAGCCCAAACTCTATATGTATAAAAGGTTATGGGCCCAGCACGCTTCCACTGCGCAATAATGATAATAATTTTCCAATGACAACTCTATGTTTTAAATTATCTACATTCTAATAGTTTACAGATGGCCAGTACGAAGTTTAACATTGATGGGGGTGTATTGCTAACCCATTGTGATTGTATAGCAATGGGTCATTACGGACAATCCTTTCCCCCCTGCAACGCACTGTTAGTGTGGGGCACTTGTTTAATATTAAAAAAAAATCAACTTTTTCCCCACACACCGAAATTATTTGTTTAAAATTTTCTTTTATACACAGCTAATAGTACACTTTCACTAATTTGAAGGTTCACTTTGATTCGCGACGCGTAAAACAATTGGTTCAGGGTTTTATTGAACCTGGATGATAATCATCCAGGTTCAGTATAATCATCATCATTTATTGACTAGATCGGCGAGCAGAAACCAGGTTCGTAGCTGACCAGCAATTTGGCTAGCCAAATTACGAATGGCTGATTTAGATATTGTATGAATTTATATAGGCATAATACTGCTGATGTGAATGGAAATAAATGGTATTGCTGGTCAGCAATAATATGTCTACATGCTAGGGCTGTAACAGCACGTACACACACAAGGCACACGCACACACATACACACACGCACACGGCACACGCACACACATACACACACACACGGCACACGCGCGCACACACACACACACACACACGGCACACGCGCGCACACACACACACACACACACGGCACACGCGCGCGCACACACACACACACACACACACACGGCACACATACACACACACACACACACACACGACACATATACATACACACGCCACACGCACACACGCGCGCGCACACACACACATATTATTGCTAGACTGCTGGAGTAGTTTTGTAAATATATATTTTTTATTCATATTTTTTTTATTATAACCCCTGTGTGGGTTTTGTTGTATGTTTCTTTCTTTTTTTTCTTATTATCCCGCTGGTACTTACCCCAGTGTTCACCAGCGCTTGCAGGTTTTTTTAATGGATGATAATGGAATGGTAATCTTACCAGCGCTAACGATATACATTTCATCTTCACCTATCACCTCTCACTGGTGCCCCGCCAGGTGGCCACTGGCGGAACACCAGATGACAGGTGAGGATGATGTCAGGTCAATTAGCCCATCGCGACGAATTCAACGATAAATCATTCACGATGGTTTCCAGGGGGAACCGCGTGTAGGTCGATCTGATAGGGTATATTTATAACTTTCCCATTACTAACAACCGTTCCATAATTATTTATTCATCAATCTTGTCGACTCATCGGTTTTTACATCTTTGAAATACATCTCGATTTCCTGCAACGTCTTGTCCTTCGTCTCCGGCATGTATTTGTACAATAAATACGTCAATATAGTAACAGCCAGAGCATAAAACAGAAACGCACCGTGTGTACCAAATTCCTTGAATAAGTATGGAGATATTTTCAATACAGTCGACAGTGTGAGGTTAAACGTCAATCCGTTCACGATAATGCCGGCCATCTTGAATCTTATAGGTAATATTTCGCCCGATATGGACGTCGAAAATATGACAGGACCACAGCTTAAAAATATATTCAAAATGGCCAGTAACATCACTGATACTACTTTGTTTTCTGTAATAAAATTGCATTTAACCAAATACAAATATAGAGAGATGATATATAAAAATATATTGGCCATAAGCGACGAAGTTAAATACATATGTCTCCTTTTAAAAAACTTCGACAATACACAGCCCACGTACATACTGAACACAGTGAATCCGTCCAAAATCAACATTCCCATGTACGCTGTCTCTTCACTGGCTGTTATTTTCTTTATAACCTCTAAAGCGTAAATACTACAGACGAATTTTCCAGAAAAATGGTACTGTAAAATCATAAATATAGATAAGAGAATAGGTTTGTAGAACTCTTTTAAAACGACAGCTCGTCTAAAAGTGACAGGTTTCGCTTTATTTTTTTGTGATGCAATCAAATTTGCCAGTTCTTTCTCCGATTCCGAGTCTTGGCCTTTCAACTGTCGATGCGAGGCTGTACAATCATCGAATCGACCTTTACTAGCCAACCAGACGGGAGATTCGGTCCAGAAAACAGCTGATAATGGATAAAGAGAGCAGACTACGCCAATTATGGCGATATTTCTCCAATGACAGTAAGTTCCTATTGCGTTCGACACCCATACACCCCAGAAGCCGGACGCGGATTTGATTGCCAAAAATATGCCCCGATATTTTGGTGAAGTGTATTCCGTTACGATTAAAATGCAAATGGTCGTGCCGTATCCTAAAGCACTGCTGTACATTATTTCGTAAATCAATAGTTGAATAGAACTCTTGCTTGTATAGAAAATGATGAACGATGTAACGAAAAAGACACTGCCGATTAAGATCGGTTTTTTTCTACCGAATTTTTCTGTCACCACTCCGACTGCGACGACCCATGGTATTGCGCTGTAGCCGAAGACAGAGTCTGGAATGTAAATGATTACATAGATAGAGAATCGAGCCTCAAAAACGAGTCAACTATTTGTCAGCTAATTACAACAGTACTCTATATATTTACGCATAAAATGTATCTTGACATATTATTTATTAAATAAAATGAATGTTTACGCATTAAAAAGATGTAGAATTTATAAGACAAAATATAATAGATGTTATAAAGGAATTACTCATAACTATTTTACACGCAAAATTGTATGAAAAAGTTGACCCGTTTTTCTCAAAGTATTTCTATGGAGACACTCTACCTACATAATCTAAGTATAAATCTTAATAATATAATTAAATTGTGTGTGACAAAAAAACGGACTTAAATTGTGACAAAATCAGTTATTTTGAATTAAACAAAAAAAAAATTGAAATAAACAAAATTAAAAAAAAAAAACTAAACTACCAATATTGATAAATATTTTATGTGACCAATCTGTAATGTCTGCATGTATGTATGTCCTTTCAGTTAAAAAAAAAAAAGAAATTTCTTAATATTTTTTTTTTTAAATAAAAGAAAGATTATATAGAGAAAGAAACTTGAAATCTGTTGTATGAATCATAACCTTAGGGTTCATCTTGAAACACTATTTATATGTGTGTTTCGTTAGTTTTACTTCTGAACTCCCAAAGGCTAATATAATATCGTGTTATTGTTACTACCAATCCCATTGCTACCCGTATATTCTGTCAAGTCGGGGGCGGGAAAAGGGATGGTTTAGAAATGGTTTAAAACGACCCCATTGCTATCAATACCCGCCATATCCCACCCTTCAAATTGAAACGCCCACTGAATTGCCCCCTGTGTTTTAAAAAAGAAATCCTTGAGAATCCGAAAGGAAAAGGTATTGGAATTATAAATGGAATGATAACTCCGCTTGGCTACCGGTATAAGCTGGTGGAACATCAGTGAGGGATGATAGGTGAGAATGAAAAGGCAGGTCAGTTAGCCCAACGTGAAGACCAGAGGGAGACTTTGTACTAAAGTCGATTGCTTGGGTACCTCTGTCCCATTCGTGTTTCAACCGTGAAGCAGCTGTGTTTGCATAGCTGTGTTTAGGTTTGAAGGGTGGGATATGGCGTGAATATACTGGGTACAGAGAAATAACACCTGAGTCCTCAGAAATGGCAACGCACGGGGGGTATCATGGGCGAAACAGTATACTCTGTTATGTCCATGGTACTGCTCATGTCTATAGGCGACGGTTACCACTTTCCATCAGGTGGGCCGTCAGCTTGATTGCCATTCTGAGTTGTATAAAAAAATACCTAATATCTATACTATAAGTAAATGTACAAAAGCGTATAAATAAATAAATAAAATACTCACATAACCACGCGACGATGTTCGGACTCGTGTCAAAAGTAGAGTTACTTTCCTTCTTGATTTGTGCCATATAGACAGTAGGAGCACCCAAACCTAAGCCGGATATGAAATATATTGTCCAGACGGTGCTAGCTACGGATAACTGCGAACAAAATTGATTATATTAACCGACTTCAAAGGGGGGAAAGGGATTGTTAGTAATGGAGACTGAGAATCCCATTGCTAACAATATACCCAACCAGGTCGACCTCCTCGCGGTTCCCCCTGGAAACTGTCATGGTTAATGAATTAATTCATCATGATGGGCTAACTGGCCTGTTTTAATTCTCATCTATCACCCTTCACTGGTGCTCCGCCAGCGTATCCCGTTAGCGCAGGCGGGGTTACCATACCATTTTCACCCATCAAAAAAAACCGACTTCAAAAAAGGAGGTCCTCAATTAGATTGTAATTTTTTGTGGTTTGCCACCTCAAAACTTTTTCGTTTATGAACCGATTCGGAAAATCCTTTTGTTTGAAAGGATATCATTTAGATACATCATCGTCACCGTGTCAGTTGCGAGCGTGCAGTGCGTGTTTTTTTTAATGGATGATAATGAAGTGGTAACCCCGCCTGCGCTAACGATATACGCTGGCAGAAATTCAGCAAGATGGTTTTCAGGGGGGGGGGGGCATGGGGAGGTCGACCTGGTTGGGTATATTGCTAGCAATAGGGTCCTTAGTCTCCATTACTAACAATCCCTGAATGATGATGATGGGCCAACTGGCCTGTTTTCATTCTCATCTACCACCCTTCACTGGTGCTCCGACAGCGTATCCCGTTAGCGCAGGCGGGGTTACCATACCATTTTCACCCATTGAAAAAAAAAGCACTGGTATAGTATTATTTTATCTGTGCTAAAACTAACCTGTCTCATAAATGGTTTCCCAGCCATATTTCTATGCTTGTCTCTCGCGCCTAATACAGTACCACCTTCCATAACTGTAGAATAAGTTTTAAGACTCAATACCTGTTAACTGTGGTTGTAAACAAATTTGACACAAGTGTATAATATATGTCATATATTTATATGATATGTCACAAGTAAATAAGGATAATTAGGAATTTCGTGAAATACCTAGAGATATTGCAAATTTGACGGCGCTCATTGGACATGGCGATAGAGTAGACTATATATTTATTTATTTACTAGTATATATTTATTTATTTATTCTTTATTGCACAATAAAATATTTGTACAAGTGGCGAGCTTAATGCCATATGGCATTCTCTACCAGCTGACCATTGGGTAAAAACAGAAAGCGTATGAAGGGCAGATGTGGTGACAATTATAGTATATATATATATATATATATATATACCCTTCCTTTTGAGGACACGACAGACTATACAAATAAGTGCAGTCTTTGTTATATTTAAAAATATTTAGTTTAACTATAACTTAACTAATACGCATGCGCGTATTTAACAATAAAATCACGTTTGTACAAGTGTAGTTTGTTATAATAGAATTCGCAATTTGCAGTTTATATATTGTTATAAATATATAACAAACAAAACGATTTTATCACGGCTTCGACGGTATTAAAAGTGTAAAAATATTTTCTTGAAATTGTTTGTATTTATAATAAGTTTTTACTATTGTAATTTTATAAAGGAAACAATAAAGATTATCTATCTATTTATCTATTTACATAGTGGGTTTGGTTTTAAAACACATCTTTGTTGTTATATACCTAAAGTTATTTATACATATATAATAATTTCTTTAAAGACATGGTAATGAAATTTGTCTAAAAAGGAAAACAATTCAAAAAGGAACTCTTTGAAATAAAGAAAGAAAGAAAGAAGTATTTTTATTGAGGTAAACTTAGATTTAAGTATTTTTGTATAGTAATTTTTTTAAATACTTTTCAAAGTTGTGCCCCTAGACCGGTGTTTCGCAACGTGGGGCCCCGTGGGGCCGTGGGAAACACTGCCCTAGACATACTGTTACAACTCTAGCATGTAGATTATATTATTGCTGAATTACAATATCACACATTACCATTCAAATAAGCAGTATTATTCCTATATAAACTCATACAACATGCCGTGTGGTTCCGCAATAGAATGGACCGCCCTTTCTGTCCCGTGAGTGTCGTAAGAGGCGACTAAGGGAACAGAATGGGCTAGGGACCGGCAGCAGCGTTCCTTTTAAAACATCACCAAAGCCTAACTAAGATTGCCGACTAGCTCGCCAACCGTGGTAACTAATAGCAATGTATAATCCGTATTAAATTAAATGCTGTAACCATAGAAACAACAGAAATACTCCTCACGTTGACCACTAGATGGTACCGTTATTTTAGTATCTGTGTCCTACAACGCGATATTAAAATTTCTGGCATGTCTATATAAGCTCAAAAATATATTGAATAATAATAATAAATCTCAACTGGTACAGTTCAAGGGTGTATTTATTCATTGAAACCTAAATTAAACGGACCTATACTCAGGGATGTGAATAAGGGTTGTTCAGGCATAACCCCTTTTATGGGGGAGTCTTATGTTCAGCCATGGACAGTAATTGACAGATATGATGTTTAAATATTTAGGTAAACTGGGAACACTATTCTCATGGATATAATATCTTTAAATTTAAAATAATAGCTTTAAAAGTAAATACCATAAGACTAAGACAATCTCTTTCAACCGGTCTGGCCAGTAAACTAGTTGGCTGTCCAGGCTCAATACACCCTGAACTAAGGGTCTCGAACATCACGAGTCGTGGGGAAAGGGATTGTTAGTATTGAAGATCTACTAACAGCCCCTAATTGCTAGAATACCTTGTTAGTCCGATCTCGCCGTGGTCCAGCCTGGAAACCATCGTGCTTAATTCCAGGTATATTCGTCACGACGACTGACCTGCCTTTTCATCCCTTAATGGTACCCCTCCAGCTTGTACAGTTACCACAGGCGGGAATATCATTCCATTGTCTTCCATTAGCACTTATTATTAATAATATTTCTTAACACTTTTTTGAGTTTTACATAACATTTTACCAAAAGGAGACTGTACAAAAGTCGTTTGCTTAGGCACCTCTGTCTCATTCGTGTTTCAACCGTGAAGCAGTTGTGTTTGCATGGCTGTGTTTCGGTTTGAAGGGTGGGATATGGCAGTGAATTTACAGGGTACAGAGGCATAACACCTGAATCCTCAGGAATGGCAACGCATGGGGGGTATCATGGGCGAAACAGTATACTCTGCTATGTCCACGGTACTGCTCATGTCTATAGGCGACGGTTACCACTTTCCATCAGGTGGGCCGTCAGGTTGTTTGCCATTCTAAGTTGCATAAAAAAATTGTTGTAAAATAGAGCAACTACAATTACAGCTACAGCAGAATTGAATAAAACAACTTTAAACAAACATTAGATATATTTATTTACTATTCTTGTTAACATCTTTGAAATAGTCTTCGATTTCTTGTAACGTCTTATCTTTAGTTTCTGGTAGATATTTGTACAATAGAAACCAACATGTAGTCATTGATACACCGAAAAACAAAAACATACCGTGCATTTTGAAATATTTAAAAATGAACGGTGCATTTTTCAATAGCGACGATTGTAGGAATATAAAAAATAATGATATTAACACGGTAGCTTCGCGTTTGTGTTTCATAGGCACTAATTCGCCATATAAAGAAACAGACATTATGACTGGGCCACAACTAACTGATATAGAAAAACCTACTAGCAGCAAAATTGATACAATTTTGTTTTCGTTAAAAATTGATATGTTCACTAAATACAAATATATTGATAATGCAAAAAGAAATATTATAGAAATAGATGAAGACCAAAATAACAATGTACGCCTTCGTAACAATTTAATGAGTAAACAACCAAAATACATACTGAATACTGTTACACCGTCCAATATTAACATTGCTACGTACGCCGTAGATTCGCTGTCCGATATTTTTTTTATAATTTCAATGGCGTAAATGCTGCAAATTATCTTTCCAGACAAATTGTACATTGCTATTGAAAGGAACGAAACTAAGAGCGGACGGTAAAATGATTTCTTTATTAACGTTTTAAAGAATTTCAACGCCAATTTGTTACCATTTGTTTCTTCTCCCAAAGACTCCGCTTTACTGTAAGTGCTAATCAAATTCTCAAGCTCTATCTCGGCTATTTTACCTGTACCTTTTAACCATCTATGGGATATTTTGCACTCCTCAAACCTCCCTTTGCTGGCCAGCCATAAAGGTGATTCGGGCCATAGGAAAACAGTCAAATTGTACAACGAACACACAAAACCAAATACAGGTATGTACTTCCAATGAAAGAATGTGCCAATGGCGTTAGATACCCAAATACCCCAATACAGTGTTGCAACTTTTAAACCCAAAAATATGCCTCTATATTTAGGAGATGCGTATTCTGCTAAAATTGTAATGGACACAGTCAAAGCAGCTGAATATGGTGCTCCTAATGATATTTGAAATATTAATAAATGTTTTGGTGTATTACAAAAGTAGAAAGCGATTGATATTACAGTGATGTATACGAAAGTGGAGGCCGACGTGTATTTACGTCCGAACACTGAGACGGCCGCTGAGTGAATGAAGACCCACGGCAGTGCACCGTAACTGCATCCAGATGCTGAAAGAGTGAAAGTTAAGTTTCAATTAAGGATTGTTAAGAACTTCATCGCCATGTGCTCCCAGTATAGAGACCAGAGGTATACTTTGTACAAAAGTCGATTGCTTGGGTACCTCTGTCACATTCGTGTTTCAACCGTGAAGCAATTGTGTTTGCATGGCTGTGTTTCGGTTTGAAGGGTGGGATATGGCGTGAATTTACTGGGTACATAGGAATAACACCTGAGTCCTCAGGAATGGCAATGCATGGGGGGTATCATGGGCGAAACAGTATACTCTGTTATGTGCATGGTACATTTTAAGTATATACTGGGATGGTAATTTTAGTAATTTATGTTTGATGAAAATATATGATTAAGCCCTTCATCATTACCTACTCTTCATCATATCAGCCTTTCACTGTGTACTGCTGAACAAAACCCTCTACCTTGAGAGATTCAGTAGCTGCCACGCTTGGTAGGCGGATTAGCAACCGTAGTTAAAGAGGTGAGATGTTCTTAAAGAGGTGCGCTGCTGCCCATCCCTCCCTTAGGCGCACAACACCCACGGGAAAGGAAAGAGTGGTATTTTTTTTTATACAACTTAGAATGGCAAACAAGCTAACGGCCCACCTGATGGAAAGTGGTAACCGTCGCCTATAGACACGAGCAGTACCATGGACATAACAGAGTATACTGTTTCGCCCATGATACCTCCCATGCATTGCCATTCCTGAGGACTCGGGTGTTATTCCTCTGTACCCTGTAAACTTACTGTCATATCCCACCCTTCAGACCGAAACGCAGCCATGCAAACACAACTGCTTCACGATTATTTTACCATGTCACGTTAATGTACTATATTTTTAGCAATAAATTCATTTATTCATTCATTAATTGAAAAATTTGTAAATATAATATTTCCTGATACTCACAGATCCAAGAAGCCATCTCGTCAGTGATTACTGTAGAATTGGGCTCCTTGCGAAGCTGTGGCAGGTATACAGTTGGCGCGCCCATGTACAAACCACATATGAAGTACACTGTACATGTTCCACTCACCACAAGGATCTTGAAAGCGAATTTAAAAATTAAGTCACGTTCAAGTAGGTAATTTTTTAATGGTAAACGATTGTTTGCCATTTTTATTGCCATTCTAGCGGGCCGTTAAAGATGACGGCCCACCTGATAGAAAGTTTTCTTTATTTTTTTGCGCAACTTAGAATGACAAGCCGATGGCCCACCTGATGGAAAGCGGTAACCATCGCCTATAGACATGAGCAGTACCATGGACATAATAGAGAGCTGTTTCGCCCATGATACCCTCATGCGTTGCCATTCCTGAGGAAAAAGACTCCATTTTCCGCGCTTAGTCTCTCACTTGGGCCATTGTGCGTATGAGTCGTGGCTAGTGCAGCCAACCTAGCTCCGCCCAGAAGTGCAGAAGCTTCCTGGGTTCTTCACAGGTCTCACGAGGCGACCTCACCGTTCCGAGGATTTCTAAACGTTGATGGGCTACAGCCTCACATTCCAGGATTACGTGAGCAGCCGTTTCTTCGGCGTCGAAACAGCCTCGACATAGAGAGCTGTCTGTGTACCATTCGTATTTCAACCGTGAAGCAGTTGTGTTTGCATGGCTGTGTTTCGGTTTGAAGGGTGGGATATGGCGTGAATTTACTGGGTACAGAGGAATAACATCTGAGTCCTCAAGAATGGCAACCCATGGGAGGTATCATGGGCGAAACAGTATACTCTGTTATGTCCATGGTACTGCTCATGTCTATAGGCGACGGTTACCACTTTCCATCAGGTGGGCCATCAGCTTGTTTGCCATTCTAAGTTGTATAAAACTAAAAACAAAACAGACTTTTCTTACTGTAGTGCCACAGAGGTAACAAATTACGCAGAAATGCATTTTTAATATTTATTTTATATGGCATAATTCGATTTTTTACATTTTTCCAATATTATATTATTATAATGTTTGATTTTTTTAAGTTTTTGGTGAATGCATTTGTAAACCTCTAAAACTCACCAAAAATAAATATTGGAATGGTACCCCGCCCGCGCTATCGATATACGCTGGCGGGGCATCAGTGAGGGATGATAGGTTTCTTTTAATGAGTGATAATGTAATGATAACCCCGCCTGCGCTATCGAGATATACTGGCGGAGCACCATTGAAGAATGATAGGTGAGGATGAAGCAGGCAACTGACCTGCTTTTTTTTTAATGTATGATACTGGAATGGTAACCCCACCCGCGCTATCGGTATACACCGGCGGGGCACCAGTGAAGAATGATAGGTGAGGATGAAGCAGGTCAGTTGGCCCATCGTGACGAATTCAACAAGAATTGTTCACGATGGTTTCCAGGGGGAACCACGTGGAGGTCGACCTAATATTGCTAGCAATGGGGCTGTAAAATTCCATTGCTAAAACTCCCTTTCCCCCGGGATGATAGGTTAGGATGAAAATGATGTATTACCTGTCTTAAAAACGGTTTCCAGGAACAGCTGTCTTCTTGATAATTAAGAGAGACATCATCACCGATCACCTCCTTGGTGTTAACTTGCTTGTATTCGCAAGCCGCCATGTTTATTTCAGATCCATTCGCAAATTATCATAATAAGTGATAAAATAAACTGGTTTTTTTTGGTCTGTAATTAGTAAAAGTAGAAAGTTTTGAATAAAATTTAGGCAAATTTTTTAATATATTTTAATAAATTACTTTGTTTTGTACCACTGAGGTGGCCAATAAGCATACGGCCAATCTGATGGTAAGCGGTTACCGTAGCCTATAAACGCCTGCAATACCAGAGGTATTACGCGCGCGTCGCCGACCCTGAAGAAATCTCTTTACCCCTCTTTTGAAGAACCCCATGCTGTAGTCTCTTGGGAAAACCTCGGCAGGGAGCTCATTCCACAACCTGAGTGTTCGTGGGAGGAAACATCTCTGAAACCGCGTTGTACGCGACTATTTAGGCTGTAGGGTGTGAGGGTAAACTCCCTGTCGATAGCGAGTTGTACGATGATGGAAAGTGGCCGTGGGCATCCTTCTTATAACATCAAAGGCGTAACTGCGGTTGCCAACCCACCTGATAAGGGGGGGAAAGTGATTGTTAGTAATGAGAACTATTAGTCCCATTGTTAGCAATATACCCTATCAGGTCGACCTCCACGTGGTCCCCTCTGGAAATCGTCATGCTGAATTCTAGGTGTATTCATCACGATGGGCTAACTGACCTATCTTTTCATCCTCACCTATCATCTCTCACTGGTGCCCCTGCCAGCGTATACCGATAGCGCTGGCGAGGTTACCATTCCATTATTACCCATTAAAAAAGATCCCACCTGATAAGCATGACAACTACTGGCAGAACCCCTCTTTTATGGTAGCCTATGTTTTGCAATGGACAGAAAACAGCTGACGTGTAATGTCTGTCCGTTATTTTTTTTCTTAACTTACCATAGACACTATTTATTTCTTTTTTCAATCCGCACTTTTTTAAACTGTGATGTCGAACGTGTGACACAACAGCGAGAATTTTATCTTTATTACTAACTACATGCTCGTTTACATATCTAGTAATAAATTAAGACCTCGTAGGCTTAGTTTATTTGTACTGCCATATAATACAATGCGATGTACAGTCAGCGCCGTATTTTTAATAATAATAATCATACTTTATTATTCAGACTTAAATTTAGTCCATTTTGTTAGTAACAATTTCCTTAAAAACTACCTGCGTCGACACGGTGGCGCCGTCTCACCTTCCAAGTACATCCAAGAGGGCTGGTGCCTCCGCAACACACCAGGAGTCTATCAAGCGCCGTCAATATTCATCCTTTGGAAATGGATATATATTTGCGGCGTTTGGAGTTGAAACTCTGGGTCCGTGGGGCCTCGAGGCCATGAATCTTTTCAAAGAGATTTCACGCCGGCTGGTGGAAACTTCTGGTGACCAGAAGGTTGGCCTATTTCCAACGTATTTCCATTGCTATTCAGCGTGGAAATGCAGTAAGTATCCTAGGCATCCTAGCTAGCACCCAGCTGGCAGTGATCTCAAAGAAATTTTTTATCTTTAAATATATATATATATATATATATATATATATATATATATAATATATATATATATATATATACATACCCACCTACACATATACATAAAACATACAATATGTAAGAAATAAGTATGCTAACCAGATAAGCAAATTACTATGACAGCTTGATATATATATATATATATATATATATATATATATATATATATATATATATATATAAGGTAGGGATATATATTTATATTATTACATGTATTTCATCTCACTTGATGGTAAGTGACTACCGTCGCCCATGATTACCCACAACACCTACGGCATTGCAGGTGTGCTGCCGGCCTTTTAAAAAGGAATAGGCTCTTTTCTTGAAGGTTATGTTGTCGTATCGGTTCGGAAATACTACTGCTGGAAGTTGATTCCAAAGAGTAGTTGTGCGTGGAAGAAAGTGCCTTGAAAAACGCACGGTGGAGGACCGCCAATCGCCCAGATTGATACAAAACGATATAGACCATAGGGAAATATTGGTTTAATTCAACTAAAAATAACGATACATTGGCATTATTACAGACAATAGTAGTTAGAAAAGGAATGTCACAATCTTAAGTCAATAATAGAAAAACAAACCAGTATTTGTAAAGAGTTTCGTATACTACATTCACCCATCCTTTTTTTAAAAAACCTAAGTTATTATAATTCATAATCCCCTAAATAAGCGGGTGGTCTTCTTTCACAAATAAGCCGCTGAGACGAATCGACCACCATTGAAGGCCCAGTGCCATCAGCATTCAAATTGTCGGTTTCAGTCGTGGTGTTGTAGCTCTCGGTATCTGTATCGGTTCGAGATCGATCGGAGTTCTCAATTTCGTCAGTGTTAGCTATATCTCCAACTAATCTATTAATTGGGGCAAGATGTCTATTAGATACAGTATCCTCTCGTCCATCAGCAAAACGTACTAAAGAATAATTTGGGTTGGATTCTAGCAATTCGACTTCTTCTACTAGAGGATCATATTTATTTTTTTCTTACGTTTTTCTTCAAAAGTATTGGGCCAGGAATCATTAACCACGAAGGTAAAGAAATTCCATTACCAGATCGTCTGGGAAAACATAACAACTTATCATGTGGAGTTGCATTCGTAGCAGTACATAACAAAGAGCGTATGGAATGTAATGCTAGAGGTAGTACCTGTTCCCAATATCGTATGTCAAGGTTCTTGGATCTTAAAGATAATTGGATGGTTCTCCACAGTGTCCCATTCAATCGCTCAACTTGACCATTTCCTTCCGGATTGTAAGGTGTAGTTCGACTACAAGCAATATTATTTCTTAGTAGGAAATCTTTAAATTCTTGTGACATAAATCCAGCACCACGATCTGAATGAATATATAGAGGCGTTCCAAAAGTAAAGAAGAGGTCCTTTAAACACGTTATGACAGTTCCTGATGATACGTCTTTACACGGGTAAGCAAATGGAAAACGAGAAAATTCATCAACAATAGTTAATATATATTTATTTTCAGTATTCGAAGGTAACGGCCCTTTAAAGTCTAAACTGAGTCTTTCAAATGGAGAAGTAGCTTTGATAAGTCTTCCTTTGCTATTTGCAAATCTAGGTTTTATCTCGGCACAAATAGGACAACTCGCAGTCATGTCTTTAATCTCTACAAGAGAATAGGGCAAATTTTTAGAACGCACCCAATGAGCCATTCTTGTGATTCCTGGATGGCATAGAGTATTGTGCAGTTGATATAAATTTTTACGTGAAAATGTACTAGCACAAACTCTTGATAATGCATCTGATACTATATTTTGTCTACCAGGTCGATAGACAATATCAAATTTAAAACAAGACAGTTCCAGTCTCCATCTCTCTATTTTTTCATTCTTAATTTTACTTGTATGCTTCTGATTGAACATAAAAGAGACAGATTGTTGATCAGTTATTAAAAGAAAATGTTTTCCAATTAAATGATGACGCCATTTACGTAGACTTTCAACAATCGCTGATGCTTCCTTCTCTATTGACGAATGGTTTCTTTCAGAATCTGTTAAGGATCGGGAAAAAAATGCTACAGGGCGTCCATTTTGCGAAAGCGTTGCTGCCAAAGCATGATCAGAAGCATCTGTTTCGACAGTGAACATTTGTGTGTCGTCAATTGCTACCAAAGCTGCATTTGCAATATCTTTCTTGATACTTTCAAATGATTCGCTTGCCTCATGTGATAAAGGAAATGAGTTATTCGTTATTAAAGGACTTATTTTCTCTGAATAATTGTTTATCCATCTAGAAAAATGTGCAAACATACCTAATATTTTCTTCAAGGAAGTTAAGTCTGTAGGTGCAGGCATAGAAAGTAATGGTTTAAGACGCTCTTTATCAGGCTTTACAGTGTTATTCTCTATAGTATAACCCAATAAGTTAATAGACTCAGAGCCAAACTTGCATTTATCTTTATTTAAAGTAATTTTATATTTTTCTACTGCTGTCATAAATTTGGCTAAGTTAGCATCATGGGTAAGTTTATCCTTTCCACAAACAGTGACATCGTCTAAGTAAGCATAAGTATCTGTAAGATTTTCATTATCAATAATATATTGCATCGTTCTTTGGAATGCTGATACGCCATTTGTAACTCCAAAAGGTATACGTGTAAATTGATATAATTTACCACATGCTTCAAATGCTGTATAAGGTCTTTCCTTTTGCAGAATCGGCACTTGATGGTAAGCACTTTTAAGGTCTATTTGGCTAAAATATTTATTCTGAGCAATTTTAGATACAAGAAATTCAATGTTCGGCAATGGATACGCATCAAGTTCTGTAAATTTGTTTATCGTTCGTGAATAGTCAATAACAAGACGTTTTCGATGCGTACCGCCACCAGTTACTAGGACTTGTGCTCGCCAAGATGACATACTTGGCTCTATAATTCCATCTTTTAATAGCTTTTGAATTTCTTCAGAAATGAATTTTTGGTCATCATCATTATAGCGCCTTGATTTTATTGCCACAGGTTTGATATTAGGCGACAAATTTGAAAATAGAGTTGCGTTAGGTAAATTTGCAGCCATAACATTGCATATCTTCAAAGAATCTCTGGGACCTCCGAACTGGAGTTCTAAAGAACGGTGATTTTTAAGGAAATCATGACCTAAAATAATGTCAGTGCATAAGTTACGTACAACTAGTAACTTGGCATTGCTGTAAGAGTGATTATATAATTGTATAGTAGCATTACAGTAACAGGTGACTGGAGATGTATGATTAAGTGAAGCTAAAGTAATAATTTGCTGACAAGGTTTCTGTCTCAATTTCAAGAGTTGCGCCAATTCTTCATTTATGAAACTTATCGAGCTTCCGGTATCGATAAGAGCTTCGGCACGATAATTATTAATAATAACGGGTACAGTTGCCTTATGTAGACTTGGTAAAGAAGCTGCTGATATAGCAGCAACCTCCACAGAATAATTAGTATCATTTTCGTTTGTTACAGCAGCATTCATAGTTTGTTTACTTCGGCAAACATTAGCAAAATGTCCCTTTTTAGAACAAATCTGACAAGTACTATTCAAAGCTGGACATTTTATTCGCTGAGGAATTACATTACTGCCACAGAAGAAACATCTTCTTTTATTTGAAGCAGCAGCTAAAGTAGACTCAGCCAAATTATCTCGTACAGTAGATACATCGTTGTTGTTCAGGGAACATATTTGAGTTTTCTTTTGTGAATTAGATGAAATAACGGCATCAGCAGAATTAAGGGGCAAAGAATTACCATTGTAAGCTAGGGAATTAATTTCTGCCATCTCGAGTGAAATTGCTTGATTGAAAGCTTGATCAAGTGAGAGTTCAAAATTTTCTAATAAACGTTGGCGAATGTTTTGTGAGGAAATACCAGCAATAAATGCATCTCTAATATATTCAGATCGATATTGTTCAGCTTTAACATCTTTGAAGTAGCATTTTTGAGCAAGAAGCTTAAGTTGGCGCAAGTATTGGTCTATAGATTCATCACTGCGCTGCTTTCGAGTGCCAAGGATATGACGTGCATGTATTTCATTTTTTTGTTTAATGTAAGTATTATTTAAAATTGAAATAGCTGACTCATAATCATTACATTCTTTTATGTACACATAAACGCTGGGAGATAAGTGATTAATCAAGATTTTTAATTTATGCTCCTCCGTAAACTCACCAATACTTTCTGACAAAAAATTATCGAATGTATATATCCAATGTGTCCATTCTAAATCAGCATCGGTAGAGCTTGGATCTAACTCAAATCTTTCCGGCCGTAGGTAACGCGACAAACTTGTTGAAGCCGGCCCTGGAGTTGACGATATCATCTCGGATTCAAATTTCTTGTTACGGTTTTTTCTTGACATAATTAGTTGTATTTTATTAGTTGAATTAATTGATACAAAACGATATAGACCATAGGGAAATATTGGTTTAATTCAACTAAAAATAACGATACATTGGCATTATTACAGACAATAGTAGTTAGAAAAGGAATGTCACAATCTTAAGTCAATAATAGAAAAACAAACCAGTATTTGTAAAGAGTTTCGTATACTACACAGATGTGTATTTAAAATAACAGAATTTTCATCGTGCCCGTTTATAATTACTCCTCTCCATCCAAAGGTTGTCTGGAAAAGATCGCTTTAGCGATAAGGTCGCCCATTGTTTTCTCACTGTGATCATTTCTTTTAATTGTTTGTATTTATAATAAGTTTACTATTGTAATCTTTTGGAGGAAACAATAAAGAGTATGTAGAGGTGTAGATTTCAGAGGTTCAGAAGGAGTGAGAGAAAGAAAGATTTAGTACGAGATTGTATAATGAATAATATTTACAGTAAATAAATCCAGATATAATAAGTCGCCATACAAAATATAGTTCGGTAAAATTGCTAAGACAAGAAGATTGTCAAGAACGTCACTGTCTATTTTTTTGCAACTATGTAGGTTTAAAAGGGGTTGGTAGCCTACAAGTATCTATCTATGTTTTAGTATAATTGTTCATTTTCAACCGACTTCAAGAAGGAGGTTTTGTTTATTTTCTTTTTTATGTTTGTTACATGAGGTAGCCTCCTAATAAACTATCCTCTCCCCTCAGTTCTAAACCGATTTGGAAAGTTATTTTTTTATCCAATAGGATAATAATAATATACTTATGACTTAGTCCTATAGAAATTTAATTTAAATCGGTAGTTTTGTCTTTAGAACAAAATAACTGGTTTTGTCGTAATTTATTTATAAATTACTCACCACACTTACAGTCTCCCAAAACGTGTAGTGAGCCATAGGTTTATTTTACAAACTTAAAAATTTTAAACAACATTTTAAAAATATATCTATTTTGTCATTATAGTACATTACTGCAGCGGCCAGCAACTGAGACATTGATGGACGAATGTGCAAATGTGGGCTGAGGCGTAGCCGAGGCACATATACGTGAGTCCATCAATGCCTAGTTGTGGCCAAGGCTTGTATAGTACTTTTCTCAAATAATGCGCGGAAATCAAAAACACAATTTATCTTTTTAAATTCAATGACGAATAACTAACAATAATAATTTTTCACGCGTCAAAATGATCCTTTGTTTTTTTTTTTTCAATAAACAGCTTTCTATTTCCAAGCCAGTTCGAAATTTAAATAAAACCTTTTATTAGTTACCTCCTTGGTAGCCATGTTTCGAAATAAAAGGTCATTCCATTTTTAAATTACAGGACAGATATGAGTTTACATAGTAATTTATCTGGCCGCAAAACACGACAGATATGGATTTTCATACAACTTTTGCCGGCCGCTGCCCGCATGTATCTGGCCAGTACGGCAATTTTGATTTATCTCTAAGAAGATTGTCAAAATAATGCTCACATTTCCAAGCATGTTTGAGAAAAATATATCAATATCTGGCTGCTGAGCAATCAGAGAATTGAGCAGAGAAATAGCTTGATAAGTGGGAGCAAACTGAGCAGTACAGGTGCGAACCGGCGGCGCTGATAGAAATCGACAAGCACGCACTTGAAATTAAAGTTTTTTTTTGTGAGACACAATCTTTAAGTACTGTTTTTTTTTTTATATATATTATTCGCCAACTATCCACTGCTGAACAAAGGCCTCTCTCATAAGGAAGATTTTGCCAGTAGTTGCCACGCTTGGCAGGCATGTTGACAACCGCAGTTTGGCTTTGACAATGTTTTAAAAGGGACTTTACTATCCATCCCTTAATTATTTAGTTACCTTAGTCGCCTTTTACGGCACCCACGGGAAAGGAAGGCGTGGACCATTCAATGGCGGGACCACACGGCTATTATTTAAAATACAGTTATTTAGAAATGATTTTGGTATCTACGAATATTAATGTACAAAACAATTAGACATAGTTTATATCATATTACATTTAGTAATACGTATTGTAATTTTTTGTCTTAACTTTATTATCAGCATTAAAAATTATAATAGATATATGCGAGTTAAAAACTATGTCTTTAATCTATTTGTCTATTGATAAAAAAAAAAGTTAGAGCTGTATTCTTACCAGTCAGTGAGGAGTCATAAACAATTATGTATTCATTTATTGAAACTCCAATGCACAATTAAACAATAAATAGTAAATTAAATAGGCGATGCATTTAGTAAGTAAACTACTAAACTAAGTACAAATAAAAATATAATCTTTCTTTTTTCTCTCTATTTTCCTTTATATTTTATTTATACGGTTTATTTTAGTCGTAGGTATTTTTCTGCCTTGTTTTCTTTTATCATCTGATCATATTTATTATATCATTTCATACCAAGTAGGTAATACCTATGTAAACTTTTTTTTATCTGGAGGGCTATACTGGCTAGCTGTAAAAAAATCGAGTATCATTTGTTTTTTTTTTTCTCACAAATTAAAAAACGAATGCATTTGTTTGAATTTTATAGCGTTTTCTTTATTCAAATTTAGTTTTTTGTATCAATTTTATGATTTAAACAAAACTAAGGATTTAATACGAAAACACATTGTAAAATTGAAATTTGTATGTGTTGCTTAGACTTTATATATATGTATATATATATATATATATATATATATATATATATATATATATATATATATATATTTTTTTTTTTTTTATTATCAATAAAAATACAAGTTACAGAATTTATGTTCCATTAGCATTTAGAAACCACGTAGGTTTATATTAATACTAAATACATTAAAATTATTTAGATTGTATTAAAACCATGCAAGAAGTATCGTTTTAATTTACACTTGATGTTGCTAATAGTAATATTATCTCGTACATCGGTGGGTAGTTCATTAATAAATCGAGGAACCAGGTAGTCAGCCGTACGCTCACCATAACAGTTATTTACGCGAGCGCTATTGGTACAAAGTTGCTTCCGTGCGACCGCCCTCGTATATACAGCATGATTAATTTCGTTCCAATATTTATTGTTAAAAAAGTTTTCCTTAAGAAATGTGTATTTAAATTGTAGATGTACAGGTAAAATATTGCAATGTCGAAAAAGACCAGTATCATCGTCATAATACTGCATCTTAATTTTGGGAGATACAATAGTTCTTAAAATTCTACGTTGAAGTTTAAAAATATCATTTAAATATGTTTTATAAGTGCGGCCATAACTTGACAACCCATATTGAACATAAGATTCGACCAATGAATTATACAGCATCAGTTTTACTTTAAAGGGAATTCGGTGTCTAAGGATGACTATATTAGCTAAAAATTGTCTTAATTTGTTACAAATTTTTTCGATGTGTTTACTCCAATTAAACTTACTATCTATAGTTAAGCCAAGATATGTTTGGCTGTCCTTGACCGTTATAGCGGGGCAGCTGCAAAAGTTCCTTTCATTAGTTATATGTAGACACTTGTGGTTGTGAGCAATGATAGGTTTATATAGAGGACGAAATTTTAAATAGGGTGATTTTATGATCAAAAGTTGTGTTTTAATTGGATTTAATACCAATCCGGCATCATGACACCATTCAAGAAGGACATTGACATCAGATTGTAGAAGGTCTCGTGCTTTTTGAATATTTTTGTCAGACAATACTAGACACGTATCATCTGCAAATTGGTAACATGAACTGTGTTTCAAGATATTATGCATATTATTAACATAAGACAATAAATGTAGCGGACCTAATACAGATCCTTGTGCCGTACCTTCAGTTACTGGTACATGATCACCGTATACATCATCTATTTTAACGGTGAATTTACATATATATATATATATATATATATATATATATATATATATATATATATATATATATATATATATATATATATATATATATATATATATATATATATATATATATAGAAAGGGGTCAACTTTTTGTTGTCAATCGTCAACTCGTTTTTTTTTTATCAATGTACTATATCTTGATGCATCTATTTTTAATTATTTATTTATTAAATAAAGTGAGTTTTTACGCATTAAAAAGATGCAAAAATTATAATACTATGAGAGAGCGAGATAAAGACAACAGTGTCTTCTCTGTTACACAATTCTTAGCAGTGTGGCCATTACAAGAAGTCCAATCTGGTCCAGTAAAATGACTGTTGCCATATAAAAAAATCTCATTAAACAAAAACAAAATAAATATAGAAGTTATAAAGGAATCACTCATAACTATTTATCACGCAGATTTGTACGAAAAAGCTCAACCGCTTTTCTCGAAGCATTTGTATGGAGACACTCTATCTATATAATCTAAGACTGACAGTATTTTTTTTAATGAATGATAATGGTATGGTAACCCCGCCTGCGCTAACGGTATACGCTGGCGGGGCACCAGTGGGGGGTGACAGGTGAGGATGAAAAGGCAAGTCAGTTAACCCATCGCGATGAATACACTTGGAATCCAGCATGATGGGTTCCAGGGGGGCCACGGGGAGGTCGACCTGTTAGGGTATATTGTCAGCAATGGGACTGATAATCCGCATTACTAACAATCCCTTCCCCCCCACTGACAGTATATTAAGGGTAAATTTATAACGATGGCCAAATAGAGGGAAGGGGAGGGATTATCAGTAATGGGTGCAATTCTTTAAATAGTTGTTAGGAAAAATATCAAATAAAATTCATTATACACACGATTTGTCATTTATTTACAATTTTATAGTAAAATACATAAATTAAATACATTTTCGTACAATACAATTTCTACTATAGTACCAGAGGGAGACTTTGTACAAAAGTCGATTGCTTGGGTACCTCTGTCCCATTCGTGTTTCTACCGTGAAGCAGTTGTGTTTGCATGGCTGTGTTTCGGTTTGAAGGGTGGGATATGGCGTGAATTTACAGGGTACAGATGAATAACACCTGAGTCCTCAGGAATGGCAACGCATGGGGGGTATCATGGGCGAAACAGTATATTCTGTTATGTCCATGGTACTGCGACGGTTACCACTTTCCAACAGATGGGCCGTCAGCTTGTTTGCCATTCTAAGTTGTATAAAAAAAATATTATATTGACCCCAAATAATTGGGATAAGGGCAGGAAGATGATGATGGTGAGGTTCTTGAGCGTTTATCAACTTAGGACAGCATCTGGTACAAGCTGAGGGTCTTCATTGCCTGTTGAATAAAAAAAAAAAATTACCATTATTACAGCAACCTGGGCTTCGGGTTGAAGGGTGAGTACATACAGTAAGGAGGTATAACCCTTTCAGACCTGAACGATACGGGCGTGAGTTGTAACTTTAGAAAATTCTAAAACCGCGCGCAATTCATTTTTACGCACGAAGCTGAAATAACATGATAGTGAGATTCTAAACCAGCCAATAAGAAATCATTTTAGCGGTTAGGTGGTGCAGTAGTCTCGTGCGTGCCGGCAAGATGGCTTGGCTCCAAAACACGAAAATATATTTAATCTCAAAGAAAAAAAATCTTGGGTCTGAAAGTGATAAGGCCATAATCCTCATTAGTGGTAAGACCGTTTGCACTTAGGTATATTCTGTGATACCTTAGTGCTTATAACATTTGTAATAGGAAATCAATCGTGTAGTCCCGGCATAGATTAGGCCACCTTTTCCTATCCCGTGGGTGTCGTAAGAGGTGATTAAGGGAGAGCGAGGAATGGGCAGCAGCGTCCCTCTTAAAACATCTCTAAAGCCTGACTGCAGTTGCCAATCCGCTTACCAAGCGTGGCAACTACTGGCAAATTCCCCAAAGGTGAGGCTTATGTACAGTAGTGAATAAATAAAAGCTGATAATAATGATAAGCCGATAGGTTTAAAAATTTAAAATTCCCTTGGTGCTGTTCATGTCATGGACATGAACACGGATGACTCCATTGCTGTGTTTTGGTTTGAAGGGTGGGATATGGCAGTGAAATTACTAGGTACAGAGGCATAACACCTGAGTCCTCAGGAATGGCAAATCATGCGGGGTATCATGGGCGAAACAGTATACTCTGTTATGTCCATGGTACTGGCCATATCTATAGGCGACGGTTACCACTTTCCATCAAGTTGGCCGTCCGCTTGTGTGCCATTCTAAGTTATATAAAAAAGATTAAAAAAATACTCCATGGCTGTGATTCGGTTTTATAGGAGGGGTATGGCTGTGAAATTGCTGGATACAGAGAGATGACACTTTAATCTTCAGTTATAGTAATACATGAGGAGTATCTTGGGTATAATAGTAAATTTGTCCATGGTACCGCTCATGTCTATAGGCGACAGTTATCACTTTCCATCAGGTGGGCCGTCAGCTTGTTTGCCATTTTAAGTTGAGTAAAATTGTATTTATAATAAAAGATTGAGAGTTGATTACTGACCAGCATCGTCTTGGTTGCGTGGCCGCCGCCTGCGGGCGGCGTGAGGGCCGTGTATCCGCTTCAGGTGGCGCGAGAGGCACGAGTGCCACTTAAAACGCGCCGAGCACGAGCCGCACCGGTACGGCGACTGCTGGCTGTGTATGGCCGTTATGTGGGTGCGGAGCTTCGCGTTGTTCTGCAATAATCAGGTGTGACAATGTCATGAGAACGCAACTGTCAGGTCGGATAACGTGATGTGACAATGTCACGAGAACGCAACTATCAGGTCGGATAACGTGATGTGACAATGTTACGAGAACGCAACTGTCAGGTCGGATAACGTGATGTAACAATGTCACGAGAACGCAACTATCAGGTCGGATAACGTGATGTGACAATGTTACGAGAACGCAACTGTCAGGTCGGATAACGTGATGTGACAATGTCACGTGAACGCAACTATCAGGATGGATAACGTGATGTGACAATGTCACAAGTACGCAACTGTCAGGTCGGGTAACGTGCTGTGACAATGTCACGTGAACGCAACTATCAGGTCGGATAACGTGACGTAACAATGTCAGAAGAACGCAACTATCTTTAAATGGATGATAATGGAATAGTAACCCCGCCTGCGCTATCAGTATACACTGGCGTAGCACCAGTGAGAGATGATAGGTGAGGATGAAAGCAGCTCAGTTAGCCCATCGTGACGAATGCGACAAGTATTAATCACAATGGTTTCCAGGGGGAACCACGGGAGTCGACCCGACAGGGTTTGCTAGCCACTAGTTCCCATTACAAACAAACCCTTTCCCCGAGAACGCAACTATCAGGTCGGATAACGTGATGTGACAATATCACAAAAACGCAATCGTCATTTTTTCAAGTGTTCAGTACACGTGTCAATAGCAATGTTATAAAAACAAAAATTTCTACGCTGAAAATTAATAGTGACAATGTCACAAAAATGCTCACAATCTAATTTCAACTACAACTCGTACAGTTGTAAACTTGAAACTCTTGTCATTTTCTAAACTTATCTCTTCGTATCACGAATTCACGACTAAATGATATCAGCCGTTAACTACTAAGAGGGGGTTACCATTCCATATTCATCCGTTAATAAGAACTGAACGTTAAGTAAGCATTTATGCTGTATTTAGTTCATTATCACATGGTATAGAGAATGGTACATAATATTTAAATATTGTTCACAATCTTCACCAGAATCTGGCGTAGAAAATTTATTTAATTGTGCCACTATACTATGCTAATACTATTATATATATATATATATATATATATATATATATATATATATATATCATATATATAAATGTCAACATATTTACATATTAACCCTTAATTTTATATTGTCTGCTACACCGAACACAAACTGTAAAAAATCCAAGTTATTAAAATCACCAGAGGGAGATTCTGTACAAAAGTCGATTGCTTGGGTACCTCTGTCCTATTCGTGTTTCAACTGTAAAGCAGTTGTGTTTGCATGGCTGTGTTTCGGTTTGAAGGGTAGGATATGGCAGTGAATTTACAGGGTACAGAGGAATAACACCTGAGTCCTCAGGAATGGCAACGCATGGGGGGTATCATGGGCGAAACAGTATACTCTGTTATGTCCACGGTACTGCTCATGTCTATAGGCGACGGTTACCACTTTCCATCAGGTGGACCGTCAGCTTGTTTGCCATTCTAAATTGTATATAAAAAAAATGTATAATATTGTTTTATTACCCTACTTTGGCAATATCCGCCACAAAGGGCATGTATTTTCACAAAAAGGGAAAGAACATGTTTTTTTTTTATTCACAAAATATTTTATTTCACAAAATTTTTTAGTTCCTAAAACATATATTATTCACAAAATACTTTTTTTTCTGCCAAATTAAGGGTTAATTAATTAATTACAATCAATTAATTAAATCACATATTTAAGCTTTAAAATGTTTAAAATATTCATTAATTGAGTAAAAACATTTTTCTATCGGCCATCTTTTTAGTTTCTTTTTAAATATATTCAAATGTAGTGTTTTCATTTCGCCTGTTAGTTTATTATAAATGCTTAGCTTTAAATGCTTGTTTTAGTGAAAAAAAAAATTCATTCATTCATTCACTCTTTATAAAGCGACGTAGCAGTTGTGATATGAAATTTCAAAAATAGAACAAGTGTGAAATATTCCAAGCCTAACGAAGTGTTTCCCGCAGTGGTCGCACAGCAGTTCCGCGTGCCCCATCTGATGCAACACTTGGTTGTGGCAATCTTCGATATTTAGTAAATAAAATTTCATTCATTCATTCGCTGTTTGTGACGCGACGTAGCAATAGTGATGTGAAATTTAACAAATGGAACAAGTGTGAAATATTCCAAGCCTAACGAAGTGTTTCCCGCAGTGGTCGCACAGCAGTTCCGCGTGCCCCATCTGATGCAACACTTGGTTGTGGCAATACTACGGGCAATCACCGATATTTAGTAAATAAAAATTCATTCATTCATTCGCTCTTTGTGACGCGACGTAGCAATAGTGATGTGAAATTTCACAAATGGAACATGTGTGAAATATTCCAAGCCTACCGCGAAATGTTTCCCGCAGTGGTCGCACAGCAGTTCCGCGTGCCCCTTCTGATGCAACACTTAGTTGTGGCAATGCTACTCGCAATCACCGATATTTAGTAAATAAAATTCCATTCATTCATTCACTCTTTATAAAGCGACGTAGCAGTTGTGATATAAAATTTCAAAAATGGAACATGTGTGAAATATTCCAAGCCTACCGCGAAGTGTTTCCCGCAGTGGTCGCACAGCAGTTCCGCGTGCCCCTTCTGATGCACCACTTGGTTGTGGCAATAGAGCGATGTGTGCGTCTTGAACACCTGTCGATTTCAATTTGAAATTAGAAGCGTGCATAACTTTAGGTTACCGTAGTGTGGCAACATATAGCTGTGTTTCGGTTTGAAGGGTAGGATATGGCAGTGGATTTACTGGGTACAGAAGAATAACACCTGAGTCCTCAGGAATGGCAACGCATGAGAGGTATCGTGGGCGAAACAGTATACTCTGTTATGTCCATGGTACTGCTCATGTCTATAGGCAATGGTTACCACTTTCCATCAGGTGGGCCGTCAATTTGTTTGCAATTCGAAGTTGCATAAAAAACTTAACAATTACTTATAAAATTTGAGAACTAGTGAAAAATTTTTTCTGATTTGGTAGATTATTTAAAAGTTCTCTGATAGCGAGCTAAACACACAGCCCGGACACTTCGTATAGAAGTGACACGATAAATGGTTGTAAGAACTATAGAAACGTAGTTTGTATGGACAAAAATTGTTTTAGTTGGGAGAGAAGGATTGGAGAAGCTGTAATGGTAATTGAAGAGGTAGAAAAGTACCCTGGATCCACATACGGACCTTGATTGTGGATTACAGTAAACTAAGGCAGTCTGCTTGCTTACCTTCTGACAGAGCGGACACTTATGCACATAGTTCTTCAGATGTTCCCAGTTTATGTGGTCTCTTAGTTGGGTTTTGTTGGCGAACTTTTGGCCGCAGTCGCTGCACATATATCTGGACACAAAAATAAGTAGTACTAGCTTATAATATATATATAATTTTATTTATTCATTAGTACATGTATGTGTACAAGGTGGATTTAATTCTAAAAGCATTCTCTTCCACTTACTGTACTAGTAGCTAGTTAAAATTCATCGTTAATTATAATTAATATCTTACGAATAATTATAAATAAATAAATATTTATTCTATTATATTATAAAAAACGGCTAAGAGACGCATTTCCAAGCCAACTCTCCAAAAAAAAAAAAAAAACATTTAGCAGTTCAAAGCGCCGATCTAGATTTCCCGCCAAAACTGATATGACATTGACAGATCATTGCGGTCGATTCGGAGACGCCATTTCTCTAAACCCCATCTCTAAAATCTAAAATTAAAATTCGAATTTGTTATCACATCGAAATCTTTATTGTAAGGATCAATGTGAATTAATTTTCTAATAATATTTTTAAAATATCAAAATTAATAAAAATTTTGCTTAGGACGAATTTAGAATATTAATTTCTTGAAATAAATTAAGATTGTGGGTTAAGAGATAGATTTAGAGACATGGCACCTCAGAATCGATTCCATTGCGATCTCTATAGAAAAAAAAAACTACCGCCTAAAGTACTTACTTGAATTCGTCTTCGGTGATATGCTTCTTGCTTATCGTCATATGTTGTTTATACGTAGCGATCGACGAGAACGTTCTGTTGCATGGTGCGCATATTAGATCACCGTTCGCCCTGCACAGGATATTCGACTTTATTTACAATTTATTTAAGATTTATTTTTATACTTCTATACTTGATATAATTAGACAAAATCTTGACATGTTGCTTATTGAAAGAAATTAAATTAAAAAATTTAATTAAAAATGTTGTGTTTATTCTGAAAGCGTCACCAAATGTTAACTATCATTGTCAACCCGTCTGCTAGGGGGGAAAGGGATTGTTAGTAATGGAGACCAAGAATCCCATTGTTAGCAATGTACCCAACCAGGTCGACCTCCACGCGGTTTCCCCTGGAAACTATCATGGTTAATTCCTGATGAATTCAACATGATGGGCTAACTGGCCTGTTTTCATTCTCATCTATCACCCTTCACTGGTGCTTCGCCAGCGTATGCCGTTAGCGCAGGCGGGGTTACCACACCATTTTTATTTATCAAAAAAAATCCCGTCTGCTAATCAAGGCAACTGTTGGCAAGTATTCGCACATTGCTGAATATAGGTCTCCCCCGTACATTACCATAAGGTACAGTCCTAAACCATCTGCATTCACCGTCTCTCTGCAATGCATTTGAGGTCGTCGCTCCTTCTAGTGGGGTGTCGTCCAGCTGCTAGTAGTTGCCACGCTTGGCGGGTGAGTTGGCAACCACAGATAAGATTTTTGTGATATTTTAAAAGGGACGCTGCTACATTTCTCTCCTCCATTAAGTTCTTTTAGTCGCCTCTTACGACACCCACGGGAAAAGAAGGAATGGCCCATTCTACGCCGGGACCACACGGTAATTATAATATTATTTGTTGATAAGGGCTAAAAATATTATGATACATAGACTTTGACATAATTTTAAAATTACTGTTTGACGTTACCTTTTGTTTTGTCCTCCATTGTTCTAATATAGTTTTTTTTTTTATACAACTTAGTATGGCATACAAGCTGACGGCCCACCTGATGGAAAGTGGTAACCGTCGCCCATAGACATGAGCAGTACCATGGACATAACAGAGTATACTGTTTCGCCCATGATACCCCCCATGCGTTGCCATTCCTGAGGACTCAGGTGTTATTCCTCTGTACCCTGTAAATTTACTGCCATATCCCACCCTTCAAACCGAAACACAGCCATGCAAACACAAATGCTTCACGGTTGAAACACGAATGGGACAGAGGCACCCAAGCAATCGACTTTTGTACAAAGTCTCCCTCTGGTAACTTACTTGGCAGTGTGACTCTGCAGGTGTCTCAGTAAATTTCCTCGCCACTGGAAGCTCTTGTCGCATTGCGTGCACGAGTACTTCTGTTTGGACTTGTTCACCAACGTCTTGATCTGTTCTATGTGCGCTTGCTGCTTCTCTGGTGTCACTGAATCTTCTGTGAGCGAGTCATTCAGTTTCCTGATAGAACAAAGGTATATTACTAACTGCATTCCGCTGCTTCACTCACGTGCGCCAGTACATATAGAATCCTATGTGAGAAATTAGGGCATACCCAAGTAATATTTTATGTATTTATTTATGTATTTATTGTATATATATATTTATTTAATATATTATGTGTATGTTTATATAATATTATATGAATCACCCTAAATTAAGTTTTATATAAAAAAACCCAATACAATTATCATTTTAACTTCAGTTTCATATAAAAACCCAACAGAATTATCACTTCACTTCAGTTTCATATAAAAAAACCAACAGAAATTTCTTATTAACTTTAGTTTCATATAAAAACCCAACAGAATTATCACTTCAGTTTCATATAAAAAAACCAACAGAAATTTCTTATTAACATCAGTTTCATATAAAAACCCAACAGAATTCTCACCTTAATATCAGTTTCATATAAAAACCTAACAGAATTCTCACCTTAATATCAGTTTCATATAAAAACCCAACAGAATTCTCACCTTAACATCAGTTTCATATAAAAAACCCAACAGTATTGTTACCTTAACTTCAACTGCACTTGGTGTTTGGAACTGGTCCTAACATGTTTCTGGAGGTTAGACGTAGTCATGAAGGTTAATCTGAAAAATAATTTAAATTTCATTTCGAGCAACCACCTATTTTGATATTAAAACTAAACCACTGAACCATTTTTGGTAAAATTTCTATGGGACCGATATGAAAGTATATCCTTTCAGATACGACAAGAATTTCTCAAATCGGTTTATAAATTATGGTGTTATTGAGTTTATCCATTACAAACAAAAAACAATTTTTTACTCTTAATATATATATAATATATAGTATAAATATAAGTATAGATATAGATAGATGAAAATGGAATGGTAACCCCGCCTGTGCTAACGGTATACGCTGGCGGGGCACCAGTGAGGGATGATAGATGAGAATGAAAAGGCAGGTCAGTTAGCCCATCGTGATGAATATATCTGAAATACAGCACGATGGCCTATCGTGACAAATTCATAGGGAATCAACTAATGTAGGTTTTCAGAGGAAACACCAGGTGTTCCTACAGTGAAGCAGTTGTGTTTGCATGGCTGTGTTTCGGTTTGAAGGGTGGGATATGGTGTGAATTTACTGGGTACATAGGATAGATAGATAGATAATTTATTTACATTACTTACAGCACACAAATTACCATAAAAAAAATACACATAATACATAGTAAAAGAGATAAAAGAATGAAATTAAAAAAGCACAAATAAAAAAAACAAAGAACAAAATATATAAACTAACAATCTGCCTTTTTTCCTTTCCTTCATGCGTGTGCCATAGTAATACAAAATGGCCACAACTCAGTTTATTGCTTGAGGAATAACACCTGAGCTCAGGAATGGCGGGGGGGGGGGGGGGTATCATGGGCGAAACAGTATACTCTGTTATGTCCATGGTACTGCTCATGTCTATAGCTTGTTTACCATTCTAAGTTGTATAAAAAAATTCGACCTGACAGGGCAATAGGGCCGCTAGACCGCATTACTACCAATCTAAAGACAGTTTTTAATTAATCAATTTATTGTAATCTTTATTTCTTAGTTAGTTCATTAGAATCAATCCTTATTTTTTGTATCCGATGCCATAAAGTCTAAAAACAAAATATTGTATCTCTATCCCTTTCTCACCTGCACGCTTCACAATAAGGCTTCCTCTTCTGTCCCATTTCTATCGAGTGCCTCTCTATATGTTTGCGCAACGACGTCTTCCACCTGAAGGTTTTCTCGCAATAGTCGCACGGGAACTTTGTTGTAGCGAGGGTTGTACTTTTATCACTGGAAAAACAAAATTCTAGAACTTTCTGTGCCTTCCTTTGTGTATTCTATCGCTTTTTTAACGGATTTTTCATCATCATCATCATCATTGTATCAGCTGTTATCTGACCACTGCCATATACCTTCCCCATAGACTTTTAGGAATGTGGCCGTTCCTTATGGCAGTTTAAAATTTGGGAGATTTTACTAGTAGTTGCTACGCCTGGCAGATGGATTAGCAACCACAGTTTGGCTTTTAGTGATGTTATAAAAGGGACACTGTTTTTTTCTTTTATGGGTGAAAATGGTATGGTAACGGTAACTCCGCCTGCGCTAACGGGATACGCTGGCGGAGCACCAGTGAAGGGTGATAGATGAGAATGAAAACAGGCCAGTTAGCCCATCATGATGAATTCGTCAGGAATTAACCATGATAGTTTCCAGGGGGAACCGCGAGGAGGTCGACCTGGTTGGGTATATTATTAGCAATGGGATTCTCAGTCTCCATTACTAACAATCCCTTTCCCCCCCGAGTTACTGTTACCCATCCCTAGCCCATTTAATTCCCATAGTCGCCTCTTACGATACTCACGGGAAAGGAAGGAATGGCCAATTCTACGCTTAGACCACACGGCATATTGTATACTGACGAACCGATTGTATTTTGAGGAATTATGCAAAATAATGCTTTGCACAGCCACCTTTTATCATTGCATCGCTCTACAGAGAATCCATCCTCATAAGCTTGAACCTAAATGGTCACGTACAGTGCGATTTCAGAAGAGTTTCTTCCCGCGAATGCTCAGGCTGTGGAATGAGCTCCCTGCCAAGCTATTTCTTTCTCTTTTCAGGGTTTCTTCAGGTTTGTGACACCTCCAGTATTGCAGGCGTCCATCATAAATTTACCAGAGGGAGACTTTGTACAAAACCTCTGGGTACTCAAGCAAACGACTTTTGTACAAAGTCCCCCGTATGGCACCGATAACATCGTACGGCTGGATGATGGAGTACATGACTGACTGTATCTTGAGCAGTGGACGAAAAATGGCTGAAAATCATCATCAGATGATTGTAATAAAAATATTGGAACTGACCTGCACTCCTCCGTTTGGTCCAGCTGTCCATTTTGTTTCTCTCCATGATAGTCATATCGGAAATCGATCCTAAAACAATAGTCACTGAATCAGCTTTCAAACTTATTCTTTTTGAAGGTGGTTAAAAAGACAGGTTAATTAGCCTATCGTGATGAATACACCTGGGATTAAACGCAATGGTTTCCATGGGGCACCGCGGGGAAGACTATCTGACAGGGTATTCCATATGATGCCCACAGTCACTTTCTACCATCGTGCGGCTCGCCATTGACAGGGAGTTTTTTTTTTATACAACTTAGAATGGCAAACAAGCTGACGGCCCACCTGGTGGAAAGTGGTAACCGTCGCCTATAGATGTGAGCAGTACCATGGATATAATAGAGTGTACTGTTTCGCCCATGATACCCCCCATGCGTTGCCATTCCTGAGGACTGAGGTGTTATTCCTCTGTACCCAGTAAATTCACGCCATTTAATTTTCATTCTCACCTATCATCCCTCATTAGGGCCCCGCCAGCTTATGCCATTAGCGCAGGCGAGGGTACCATTCCATTGTCATATTTATTCAATAATTAATAATTACATATTTATAAATATTTTATATATATAATATAATTATTATTTATTATTAAAATCCTGTTTGGTGTGATTATATTGTACATTAATACTATTGCACTCACCTGTACCCCTGACTATGCGTCTTCTCGTGATGTTTGAGCACCGCCCGCTTGCATACAAACATCTCCCCGCATTCCTTGCACTTGTACCTGTGCAGATGTCTCCCCGCGTGGTAGTTGTACGCCACCTCGGTTGCGAACGTGCAGCCACAGATGTCGCAGTTGTATTTGGACGCATTCTAGTACATAGACATAGAATAACAGTGAATCAAACAAAATTATGTGCTAAGTTAGTTAACTTATCCGTGTATCAAATTCCATTCAAATCTATTTAGTCATTTAAGTGTTTTTGAGCAACAAATATATAAATTTCCAAAAACTAAATATCCTTCTTCATATGGGCAAAGCTATGGGGAACGGTTAGTCAAATCACAAGGCAGGCAGATTGGCAACCGCAGTTAGGCTTTGGAGATGTTTTAAGGGACGCTGCTGCCCATCACTCGGCCTTCCTTAGTCGTCTCTTACAACACCCATGGGAAAGAAAGAGGTGGCCTATTCTATGCCAAGACATAATACAACTCACCAATTCATGTTTTAAATATATATGGTCTTTTAAATCGTCCATATTTGGAAATGCCATTATACATTTTTCACACTTGAACATAGCATTCAGATAGTCTTCTTTTAAAACCAACAGTCTCCTTTCTTCCTCCAACTGCTTCAATGTCAGCTTAACTTCTTTGTACATCTCCGATACATCTTTCCTCTTCTTCCTGCCTACTTTTTTGTTCTTTTTACTCTTATGTTCTATTTTATCATCATTATTGTCTAAATCATCGTAGTCACACAATTCCTCCTTAATATCACATGTATTCTCTATATTTTCATTGTCTATGGTTGTGTCATTGGGTTCAGGTAAAAAATGGTTATTATCAGCTTTGGGGACACTAACATTTGACTTAATCTCATTTGTTTTATGTTGAGATGGGTTAATCCTCTGTAAAATTGTAAGAGAGTAAGAATTAGATTGTTTATTAGAAATTTAGATGTGCATGAATAAAATCCATTCTTATAACTGTATTAGAGCAAGATGGAATTGGATTAGAATAGGATGGAATAGGAATGAAGTAGGAATGGAATAGGATTGGAATGGGAATGGAATAGGATTGGAATGGGAATGGAATAGGATTGGAATGGGAATGGAATAGGATTGGAATGGGAATGGAATAAGATTGGAATAGGGATGGAATAAAATTGAAATAGGTTCAGAATAGGAATAGAACAGGAATGGATGAGGATTGCAATAGGATGAAATAAGGATGGTATAGGATTGGAATAGAATAGGTATAGAATAAAAAAAAATGAAAATGATTAGAATCCAATGAGGCAAGGGTGAGTATACCATCACTCCCATTCTATGTTTGTGAGAATATTCAACCATGTAACAAAGCACTTATAAACAAAATCTTTATAATAAACAAGCAGTAAAATTACAAAAATTTTGTATTATTTAACTATACCATATATTATTAATTTGTCCTTTTTATTTTTAATATATTAAATTCATAATAAAACAACATGTTAAGATTTTTTTTTTACTAATTATATCAAATATAGAAAAACTGTTCATAAACATCAATACCTCTTTTGCACAGTCAAGTAACATTTTATATGCATGTTGCACTTGCTGTTTGAACTTGATAAACTGGCTGAGTAATGTTTCACACTCCCAACACAGCCAGACAGCTGAGTTGATCGGCTGAGACATCTGGAATAATGATGAATATTTATATATGAGTAAGGTTTCACCATATGAATTAATATGCAGTTAAAACTGACAGTCCAGTGGATTCAGTAATAATAACATGGCATACTGATGGTCCAAGCCTTATTAAGAGCTAGATCAGTCAATTAAAAAAGGTAAAGCTGTTTGCGCTTGAAGCTGAGAAGTTCTTGACGAAAATAAAATACTTGTCCGTGCCTCAAGTTTTATAATAAATTAAAATAAATACAAAGGTGTGTGTAGTCTTATCCGTTAACAATATTTGAATGTTTGACCTTCTAGCGGTTAAACGGTCTATATCTATGTTTCTAATATTGCAAGTACGAAAAATTTACTTTTTATTAAAACGTCTATACTGCCAAATCTTGAACACTAAGTTAAAATCAAAATGCTTCTGTTCTCCATTTTTTTTTATACAACTTAGAATGGCAAACAAGCTGACAGCTCACCTGATGGAAAGTGGTAACCGTCGTCTATAGACATGAGCAGTACCATGGACATAACAGAGTATACTGTTTCGCCCATGATATCCCCCATGCATTGCCATTCCTGAGGACTCTGGTGTTATTCCTCTGTACCCTGTAAATTCACTGCCATATCCCTTCCTTCAAACCGAAACATAGCTATGCAAACACAACTACTTCACGGTTGAAACACGAATGGGACAGACATATCCAAGCAATCGACTTTTGTACAAAGTCTCCCTCTGGTCTCCCTATACTGATATTACAAAAAGGAAAGGTTTGATTGTTTGTTCGTACATAACGAATAAACTCAAAAACTACTCAACTGATTTGGAAAATTCTTGCACCTATAGAAAGCTACATAATCAGTGAGTAACATAGATTACATTTGCTTTAAAAAATATTACCTATGAAATTTATAACAATGTAAAAATCCAAAGTATCAGAAAATTGCTATTAAAGCTGTAGTGACTTGGGATATTTACTAAACCTAGTCACTAACTTGGCTTGAAGAAAGATTCAGATGAATCTCGCAGTTGAAGGACAAAAGGAAGTAAGTAATCAGCAAACATTAATAACATTTAAACAGAATTTAATATTATACATTTTTTAGGACAGAAATACAGAAAGCATACAAGAAATGAAGTAGGTAAAGCTAAACTAAATATGTATTTTATGTCGCATTTTTACTTATCGATGCAAACTAATAAGAGTATTAATATTAAACTGGCATAATTTTGTTGGCGCGCTTTTAAAAAGGTAGCGGAATATGTCGCTACAAAAGCCGCATAAAATAGTATTTATCTTTCTACCTATTAGTGCGAAAATGGAGGAAATCGGTAGTTTCTCATAAATTGTCTATGCCCGAGGGTCAAACACTATTTCACCGTAAATAAAACATAACATACCGGTATTTCATTTATAATTTTTATGAAACATTGCTTTTTACAAAAATCCTCGATCTTATTAATTTTTCTCTCCTCCGAGAGACAACCGCAGCATAGATTACTTTCGTCCATTGCAATTAACAATTAAGTTTAAATTAATTCAATAAAATCATTCTAAAATAAACAAAAATAGTAAAAAAAAAAAATATCGATCATTCGGATTGTTTACAGAAAATAAAAGACGCCTACCGAAAACAAAACAATAATCAAAGGAGATATGTCAAATTGAAATTCGAATTGTCAATTGCGTTTAGTTAATCGGTCTTCTCAGAAAATTAACAATTATGTAACGTCATTTATATATTAAACATTAGTAATCTCATCATTTATGTAAATTTATTACATAATTTTAGGGGTTTGAAATAAAATTATATATATATTTTATTCATTTAATGTTATTTTTTTATAAACAAAACGTAATATTTGGTACGTTCCTAGTTACGCATGTAGTGTTAATCGCATCAACATTACAAAACAGAAATTTTAAATGAATATAAGTTTATATGAAATATAGATAGATAAGCTAACTATAGAAAGAAACAAGATATTTAAACAATAATAGATTATAATCTATACTTTTGTTATTGAGTCATATTTTCAAGAATTTCAAAGTATCGAATTAAATACAATTTGTAAAGGAACGTTTCAAGTTAACATAGTTCAACGACAGAGGATTGGATGTTACGAATCCTTATTTTCATTTTGCATAAAAATGTCTCAATTTATACAATTAAATTTACCAGAATACGAGTACAATCAAGAGATAACAAAAACATTGCAGCCTGATATTATTTGCGTGTGTTGCTTGGCCAGAGATGTTAATTTTATAAATCTAGCCACATGTAAACATACTAGTTTTTTAGAGTATGTTCACAAATTCAAGGTAAGCAATTAATGTATTTTATCCAAAATATCTAAACACTAATTATATTAATGCAAATCTTAATATTTTTCATTAATAATAAATAGTAATAAATAGGTATAGTAGGGTCACTATAGATTGGTGTTTAAAGCATCAAACAAGATGGCTGCCAAATTCCAAAAGTTAATTTATTTTTAATCGATTATTATATTAAGTATGTTTATTTTTGTAGTAATTTGTCATTCATCGGCGTTGTCTTAATCAAGGAGAGTTTGTTGTATGTATTATTAGTAAAGGGGACTAGTGTCCCCACTAGTAACAGCACATTCTGTCAGATTGATTTCTACGCGGTTCTTCCCTAAAAACCATAATAATCTATACTTATAATAAATCTGTAGAGAGGTCAATTCTATACATGAAATATATTTCCAAAATAACTATCAGCGGGTGATTAGTGATCGATACTGATGACAAAAATGCAATCAGTAAAATTTTGTCTCTCTGTCTGTATGTTCGTTATAGAAACAAAAACTACTCGACGGATTTTAATGAAACTTAGTACAATTATTCTTCATACACCCGGGCAGGTTATAGTATACTTTTCATCACGCTACGATCAATAGGAGCAGAGCAGTGAAGGGAAATGTTAAAAATGTCCACCCGTGCGACGCCGGGACGGGCCGCTAGTTCATAATAAATTCATCACGATGGACCAACTGACCTGAGGGTCCACCATGAAATATTTTGCAAAATTCGAGGTCAAACAAAACACAAATTTGATGTTAAAATTACATACTCGTAATACATACTACTGGGGGGAAAGGGATTGTTAACAATGGAGTTTGACAGCCCCATTGCTAGCAATATGCCCTATTAGGTCGACCTCAACATGGTTCCCCCTGGAAACCATCGTGAACAATTCTAGTTGAATTCGTCACTATGGGCCAACTGACCTGCTTCATTCTCACCTATCATTCTTCACTGGTGCTCCGCCAGCGTATCTCGATAGCGCAGGCGGGGGGTTACCATTCCATCTCCATTATTAGCAATCCCTTCCCCCCCCCAGGCGGTACGTTAGACCACTACACCATCAAAGTTTTAAAATGGCGCTCAAAAATTACATATAGTAATTATTCCTCTCCATCCAAAGGTTGTCTGGAAGAGATCGCTCTTAGCGATAAGGTCGCCCATTGTTTTCTCACTGTGATCATTTCTTGTAATTGTTTGTATCTATAATAAGTTTACTATTGTAATCTTATGGAGGAAACAATAAAGAGTATCTATCTATCTATAGTTTTGTTTCAGTTGAACTTAAATAGCATTAATTCCGCCATTTGTACCATATTTTTTTTATACACCTTAGAATGGCAAACAAATATTAAAAAAAAAATCGAAAAACAAAATCTAATATATAAAATTTTCGTGTCACGGTGTTTGTTACCAAACTCCTCCGAAGCGGCTTTACCGATTTTTATGAAATTTTGTGTGCATATTGGGTAGCTTTGAGAATCGGCCAACATCTATTTTTCATACCCCTCAAAGATAAGGGTGACCCACCCCTAAATATATATTTTTTTATTTTTTTTTAATTTTTTTTATTTTTATTTTATTAGGACTAAGCATTGAAAAATACATATAGCTTAAAATTTTTACCCTTTTACGATCAATCCCTGTTTTTTAATAGCGATTTTTATATTCCGAAAAAGGGTTGCAAGATGGCAATCGAATATAATAATTGTAGTATGATATATTTTCACGTATATTTCTAGAAATAATGTATATGGTAAAACAACGTTTGCCGAGTCAGCTAGTAAAAATATAAAATTTAAAAATATACTCTAAAAAGGTGCGTTCTGCACAATTAACAAACATTTTATAACAAAGTTGTATGGCCAATAACAGGTTTTTCTAAATTAATTTCGTAGATTATGTAGTAGCCAATTGTTAAAGGAAAAGGAGAAAAAATAAACAAATTAAACAGGTAGGCAATCGTTGAAGTCACAATGATATTTTTACACATACGCAACGTCCCTATTAAAGCATTATTATCGCCTACCTGCGATCGCCAACCCGCCTGCCAAACATGGCAACTACTGGGAAACTAATAGGGGAAGTCTATGTTCAGCAGTGGACAGTCAACGGCCAATACGATGATGCTGTCTCATCATCATCGTCATGTCTTATGGTCGCGTCAATTATTCATTTGTTTGCGTTCTCGTTCAGTTCTATGGGCATTTATCATAATTAAAAGTGTTTTGTTACAGCTGACGTTACAAAGTCCCGCCGTATGCTTCATGTGTCATCATCAATTGATAAAAGTTGAAAGATTCAAACGAAAAATCGAAGAGAGTCTTGTCATTTTAAATGAGCAGGTATATATTCTTTGACACTTTACATACATAGATAGATACTCTTCATTGTTTCCTTCGAAAGGTTACAATAGTATTTTCTTTTTAATAGATACAAACATTTACAAGAAATTATCACAGTGAGAAAACAATAGGCAGTCTACATACATGCAGTCGTGTAACTATACCGTCTGAGGCCCGTGGTAAATTCAATGGATCGGACTCTTCCTTTATCCAAACGATTTTGGAATTGTAGTTTCATTTTTATGTAATGCTAACTAATTTATTACTGTTCATTTTACTTCCTTCGTCTTAAAATTTAAGTTATGTATCTAAGTGTATTTGAATAAACATTATTTTTATTCTATTCTAATAATTAAATAATTTTACAGGCACAACACTTGAGGATAAACAATGCGAAACCACATGATTTACAATTTTCCACGATCGATTGGACTGACAACATCGATACCATAGACAATGAAACAATCAAAGATGAAGAAAATCAAGCTCAGTATGATGAAATAACGACAGAAGTGAAAATAGAACACGAAAGCTCAGACGATATTGATGTGCCACTGTCTCAGATTAAGAAAGATATTAAAAAGAAAAAAAAGAAGAAAACCATAGAGAAGAAGAAGGTTAAGGCCGGCGTACACGATAAATACGAGGGCAAGATTCGTATTGTAGTACTTACTAGGGAGGAGATGATGAGTGAAAGAGACAGAGAAAGGAGGAAAGACGCATATTTGAAGTTGCCATATAAATGTGAATTTTGTATTACTGGGTTTGATCATGAACTCACTTTAAAAGATCATATGGAGAAAAGGCATAAGCAGGTAAGTTAGGTCCTTGATTTAATAACAAGAATTTTAATAGATGGAACGGGGGGGAAAGGGATTGTTAGTAATGGAAACTAAAAATCCCATTGCCAGCAATATACCTAACCAGGTCGACCTCCTAGTGGTTCCCTCTGGAAACTGTCATGGTTAATTCCTGATGAATTCATCATGATGTGTACAAAAGTCGATTGCTTGGGTATCTTTGTCCCATTCGTGTTTTAACCGTGAAGCAGTTGTGTTTGCATGGCTGTGTTTCGGTTTGAAGGATGGGATATGGCGTGATTTTAGTGGGTACAGAGGAATAACACCTGAGTCCTCAGGAATGGCAACGCATGGGGGGTATCATGGGCGAGGCGGTATACTCTGTTATGTCCATGGTACTGCTCATGTCTATAGGCGACGGTTACCACTTTCCATCAGGTGGGCCGTCAGCTTGTCCGCCATTCTAAGTTGTATAAAAAAAAGGAAAATCTGATGATTTTTCTATTTCGTCCACAAGTCTGAGTTTTAATTATTTATTTTTTTCAGAAAAAAGGCGGTTTCATTTGTGACATTTGCAAGTCGGTATTGAGTACTGAAATATCTTACAAAGAACATACGAAGAGACATACGAGAAGGTAACAATTTGACAAATAATAGTTACTTGGTAGTCACGGAGACGCTTCTTAAATATGCCTACGAATCTTTCCTCTTTTCTTCCTCTAGGTACGAGTGCTGTGAATGTGGTAAACGCAATAACAACGTCTACTCCGTGGTGAAGCATTACAACGAACAGCACGGCATCATCAGCACCACGTTCACCTGCCAGGACTGCGGGTACACCACGCAGTCAGTATTAGTGTTAATCTCACTAAATCTTTCTTTTTAATTTTTTTTTATACAACTTAGAATGGCAAACAAGCTGACGGCCCACCTGATGTAAAGTGGTAACCGTCGCCTATAGACATGAGCAGTACCGTGGACATAACAGAGTATACTGTTGCGCTCATGATACCCCCCATGCGTTGCCATTCCTGAGGACTCGGGTGTTATTCCCCTGTAGCCAGTAAATTCACGCCATATCCCACCCTTCAAACCGAAACACAGCCATGCAAACACAACTGCTTCACGGTTGAAACACGAATGGGACAGAGGTACCCAAGCAATCGATTTTTATACAAAGTCTCCCTCTGGTCTTTTAATGGATGATAATGGAATGGTAACCTGCGCTATCGGTATATGCTGGCGGGGCACCAGTGAGGGATGATAAGTGAGGATGAAAGGGCAGGTCAGTTAGTCCATCGTGATGAATACACCTGGAATTTAGCACGATGGTTTCCAGGGAAGATCACGTGAAGGGCGACCTGACAGGGTATATTGCTAGTAATGGGGCTGGAAGTCCGCGTTACTAACAATCCCTCCCCCCCATACCCCCATAGAATAAGATTAGATCGCCCATTGTTTTCTCACTGTGATTATTTCTTGTAATTGTTTGTATCTATAATAAAGTTTACTATTGTAATCTTTTGGAGGAAACAATAAACGAGTATCTATCTAATAAAATAAAGCTAGCTTTTACCCGCTAATTCGTCTGCTTGACCGGGATACAGGTACGGCTAGTGCGGGTTCCAAGGTACTCACGTTGTATATTTCTTGTGTTTAATTAATAAATAAATAAAATATATAGCATCGAGTATATAGCAATAATGATAATAGTTAGTTGCCATCTCCTCTCCTTAAGAGGGGAGATGAGAATTTTTGTAAAGTTTAATAAAATAATAATAATGTGGTAAGAGAAAAAGAGAAAATATCTCGACCTGGCTCACGAGGTGACCGAAATGTGGGGGATGGCGTCCACCGAAATCATTCCAATCGTTATGTCGGTGAACGGTCTTATCCCAACCAGTCTGGAACAACATCTCAGACGGTTGGGATTCCGAGGCGGCTCACTCCCGGGAAAGATGCAGAAAGCGAGGCTCTTAGACTCTGCCCGCATTGTACGTCGGTTTCTCTCCCTGGGTCCCTGAACCCCTGCCGACTGTGCTTCTGCCGGGGGTTAGTTTGCCATCTCCTCTCCTTAAGAGGGGAGATGTGAATTTTTTAGAAATAATAATATGCATGTATATTCCCTACTTCAAATTTCGTAGTATAATGTAATTTAATATTGAAATGAGATCCCTGCCGAGGTTTTCCTAAGAGACTACAGCATGGGGTTCTTCAAAAGGTGCGTAAAGAGGTTTCTTCAGGGTCGGCAACGCGCGCGTAATGCCTCTGGTATTGCAGGCGTTCATAGGCTACGGTAACCACTTACCATCAGGTGGGCCGTATGCTTGTTTGCCACCTCAGTGGTATAAAAAATATTAAGGGTAAGTGTAACTACCCACATAACAAGTTATATTTTTTTATAGTTTTTTTTTCTATCGTTACAGATCACACCGCGGTTATAGATACCACCGTGACAAACACAAACAAAAACAACATTGTACTCTGTGCAACAGTACGTTTATTAACAACGCGGGTCTCAGAGTTCATATGTAGTAAGTAAGAAAGTGCAATATTTTTTTTTATGGGTGAAAATGGAATGGTAACCCCGCCTGCGCTAACGGTATACGTTGGCGGGGCAATAGTAAGGGATGATAGGTGGCAATGAAAAGGCAGGTCAGTTGGCCCATCGTGATAAATACATTTGGACCTCAGCACGATGGTGTCCAGGGGGGACCGCGTGGAGGTCGTCCTGACTGGGTATATAGTTAGCATTGGAATTGGCAATCCGCAATACTAACAATCCTTTCCTTCCCTGTGTGCCATGTAGTCCCGGTATAGAATAGGTATTCCCTTCCTTTTCTTCCATCTTCCCATCCGTCGCCACTCTTCAGGAATGGCGACGGAAGGAATCATGGGCGAAACAGTATACTCTGTTATGTCCATGGTACTGCTCATGTCTATAGGCGACGGTTATCACTTTCCATCAGGTGGGCCGTCAGCTTGTTTGGCATTCTAATTTGCATAATAAATGTTTCCTTCCATGAACGGTAAATTAAACATCTCTAAAACCGCGTTGTACGCGACCATCTAGGCTGTAGACTATGAGGGCAAACTCTTTGTATGCCTATAAACTTTATAGGCATACAAAAAGTTTACCCTCATTCATTTTATAGTATAAAGTCGATAATAGACGATCAATATCAAAATCAGTAATCATTTTGTGACCTTGACCATCCATTTATGTCTTCATACATATTACAGTACAGTTCACAAACAATCGAGTCGAGTGTATTCCTGTGAAGCTTGTAACAAAGTGTACAACGCTAAGTCGGGCCTCATAGCGCACATGACGTCCGCGCATTCGAACATCACAGCCTACTGCACGCTGTGCCGCCGACACTTCAGAACTGAGCACAATCTGGCACATCATCTGAGGACCAACTCGAAACATATCACGGAAAGGGATAAGAGGTTGGATTTTTTTTAATATTGGCCGACGTTATATCTATTGTGCAAAAAATATTTATAACGCCATCTAGCGGTACGGATTGTAAACTTTTTTCTATACAAATTTATAATGGCGAACAAGCTAACGACCTCTCCGTTGGAAAGCGTGGCTTGCAACAAAGTATAAATCGCTAAGTCGGGCCTCATAGCGCACATGACGTTCGCGCATTCGAACATCACAACTTACTGCACGCTGTGCCGGCGACACTTCAGAACTGAGCACAATCTGGCACATCATCTGAGGACCAACTCGAAACATATCACGGAAAGAGATAAGAGGTTGCATTTTTATTCATAATGGCCGACGTTATATCTATTGTGTAAAAAACACTGTATAACGCCATCTAGCGGTACGATTTGTAAACTTTTTCTATGCAATTTTCTAACGGTAGTGAGTTTTGAAAAGATATTTACATATTCTTTATTGCACTAAAACGTACAATAATAATAACAAATTAGTAACAAAATAAGCAAAGGCAAAGTTATCTCTAGAATAACCGTCATAGAATAGGCAACCCCTCCTTTTCCCATGAATCTCTTAAGAGGCGACTAAGGGAACTTAATAGGCGCAGGATGTATACCAGCGGTCTTTTAAAGCATCACCAAAGCCTAACTGCAGTAGCCAACCCTCCTGCCAAGCGCAGCGAAAGCCGTATGTTCAACAGTGGACGGTTAACAGCTCATATGATGTTGGGGGGAAAGGGATTGTTAGTAATGGAGACTGAGAATCCCATTGCTAGCAATATACCTAACCAGGTCGACATCCTCGCGGTTCCCCCTGGAAACTATCATGGTTAATTCCTGATGAATTCATCATGATGGGCTAACTGGCCTGTTTTCATTCTCATCTATCACCCTTCACTGGTGCTCCGCCAGCGTATCCCGTTAGCGCAGGCGGGGTTACCATACCATTTTCACCCAACAAAAAATACCACACGTCAATCACAATATTTTTTTTTTATTGGTAGAAAATGGTATGGTAACCCCGCCTGCGCTAACGGAATACGCTGGCGGAGCACCAGTGAAGGGTGATAGATGAGAATGAAAACAGGCCAGTTAGCCCATCATGATGAATTCATCAGGAATTAACCATGATAGTTTCCAGGGGGAACCGCGAGGAGGTCGACCTGGTTAGGTATATTGCTAGCAATGGGATTCTCAGCCTCCATTACTAACAATCCCTTCCCCCCCCCCAAGCCCAATAGTAATAAACAATTTATTAATTTTATTTTTAATAAATCAACAGGTTCACGTGTGCGGAGTGCGAAGCCAAGTTTTTGACGAAAAGCTCCCTGCAGCAGCACGTAGACTTTGTACATCTGAAGAACAGTAAATACGAATGCGACAAGTGTTGCAAGGTAAGATCAGAGCAGAGTAAAACACTTACAGGCTTTTTTTTATACAACTTAGAATGGCAAACAAGCTGACGGCCCACCTGATGGAAAGTGATAACCGTCGCCTATAGACATGAGCAGTACCATGGACATAACAGAGTATACTGTTTCGCCCATGATACCCCCCATGCGTTGCCATTCCTGAGGACTCAGGTGTTATTCCTCTGTACCCAGTGAATTCACGCCATATCCCACCCTTCAAACCGAAACACAGCCATGCAAACACAACTGCTTCACGGTTGAAATACGAATGGCAGTTCTCGCTCTCACAAGTAATACTGTATCTTAAGACTAGTTTTTACTGGATTAATGGAATATTTATCCAGCCTTCGCTATTGGTATACATTGGTGGGACATCAGTGAGGGCTGATGTGTGAAGATGAAGCAGGCCAGTTAGCCTATCGTGACAAATTTCACCAATGAATCAGTCACGATGGTCTCCAGGGGCAACCGCGAGGAAGTCGACTTGAGAGTTGGTATATTGCAAGTAATAGGATTACTAACAATCCCCCTCCCCCAACCCATGTCAAGTTTATTCCCGTTTAGGTTTTATATTAACGTTATTTAAACTATTTTGCAGGTATTCAAAAATGGTTCAGCCCTGAAAAAGCATGTAAGCTTCGTTCACGAGAAAATACGACCGCCTAGAAACAAAATATGCGATTACTGTGGCAGGGGATTCACGGTGAGTGTAAACCATAAAGCATTTTATTCATAAAAACATAATTTTTCTTATTTATTTATCTATTTTATTTGGGATAACAACAGCTTTTTACAAAATTGAATACATGTTACATTACATTTACTACATGCTAGCCAATTATAGTTTACCACAGAGTAAAACATAAGCATCCGTTAAGCGAATAAAACTATATTTTATAACAATATTAGTAATACCATCGATTATGTGCATCATATTCTATTAGAGTGTCGTATTAACACGAAGGAAAGAGAAGAACTCATGCGTCACTTAAACTTGAATAAATTTAATGTTGGTCTTATTCAAACTATGTTAGCTGAACTTGAACCAGAAATTTTCAACATCTCTGTAAATTATTGATGCCCATTAATTCTTCTCTTTCCGCGTTTAGGGAAAATATATAATGTTTTGTTTGAGAAATCAGTTCAGGGTACGATAGGACTGATATACCTGAAGGTAAAAGCCCTTTAAAAAATAATAATAAAAAAAAAAAACAATATTAGTATGGTGAGTCCGCTACAATGCTCGCACTGTACGGGTAGGTACACTGCGCGAACACTACAGCCGATGATCCCACAAACCATTCCGAGACCAATACGTCACACTTGCGCTATTTTTTTTTTTGATGGGTGAAAATGGTATGGTAACCCCGCCTACGCTAACGGGATACGCTGGCAGAGCACCAGTGAAGCGTGACAGATGAGAATGAAAACAGGCCAGTTAGCTCGTCATGATGAATTCATCAGGAATTAACCATGATAGTTTCCAGGGGGAACCGCGAGCAGGTCGACCTGGTTGGGTATATTGCTAGCAATAGGATTCTCAGTCTCCGTTACTAACAATCCCTTTCCCCTCAAACACTTGCGCTATTATACTTGCTCTTATAAATCTATTTTAGCTATTGAAGTGTTTAATTTTTTTTTTCTTTTTATTATTTTGAAGTAATTTAGCAGAATAATTATTGTTATATTTAAACAAAGTATTCATTTTTATATATTTATTAATATTTTAAGTTATAAAATGTATTAAAGCACTATTATACCTACTTGTACAACAATTAGTCCATTACCTTAAGGTTGTCTTGTAAAGATTGCTCTCAGCAATAAGACCGCCTCACTGCACTTAATACAACTGTATCGTTGTGTTTGTAAATTGTCTTGCTTATTTCCTATATTGTATAATGCAAATATACTCATTCATTCATTCATTCATTCATAAAGGCGACATATTTATTTTCTTACAATTACCAGATACCGACCAGAGAGAGTATTATTCTATATAGGTACATTTATTTATTTATTTAACATTTTATTGCACCAACCTAACAGGATTTGTTGAACAATTAGTGTAGTACTTACTACTTGGTGAATTTACAGGGTACAGAGGAATAACACCTGAGTCCTCAGGAATGGCAACGCATGGGGGGTATCATATGCGAAACAGTATACTCTGTTATGTCCATGGTACTGCTCATGTCTATAAACGACGGTTACCACTTTCTATCACGCAAAATTTTATTAAAAAGTCGACCAGTTTTCTCGAAGCATTTCTATGGAGACACTCTATTTATATAAGGGGGAAAGGGATTGTTAGTAATGGAGACTGAGAATCCCATATAATATATCCAACCTAGTCGACCTTCTCGTGGTTCTTCCTGGAAACTATCATGGTTAATTCCTGATGAATTCATCATGATGGGCTAACTGGCCTGTTTTCATTCTCATCTATCACCCTTCACTGGTGCTCCGCCAGCGTATCCCGTTAGCGCAGGCGGGGCTACCATACCATTTTCACCCATAAAAAAAAACTCTATTTATATAAGCATATACGTTATGTCTGTTATAGACGCTGACGATTCTACAGTCCCATATCCGGACGCATACGGGCGAGCGGCCGCTGCAGTGTGCCCGCTGTCCGGCCACCTTCGCCCACTCAGCCGCACTCTACACTCACAACCGGCTGTTACACCGGGACACGGCCGGACATCCGGACGTTGTTTCGTAAACCGGTCGTTTTTCTTTTAACCACTTAAGCATCTCGAACGAGACTCTCTTGCGCATCAAATGTGTTCCGATTTGCGCTATCCCGAGTACTTCTCGCCACTTATAAATATGATGTTTATACGCGGGTCATTTGAAAAGTTCTTAGCTTAACATACTTATTTATTTATTTATTTATTTATTTACACACATACACTAAACAAATCTTTCATTTAAATGATATCATTAGTTAGGTTTCTTTAGGGTCGGCAACGCGCGCGTAATACCTCTGGTATTGCAGGTGTTCATAGGCTACGGTAACCACTTACCATCAGGCGGGCCGTATGCTTGTTTGCCACCTCAGTGGTATAAAAAAAAATACTTGATGAAACCACACGGTTTTGAGTTTATTTTTATTTCTCGACATACTCTCCTCCGAGCTCGAAACACATTTCCCATCGACCCGGTAAGGCTTCGATGCCCGTTTTAAAAAATCTTTGTCTAATTCCATAAAATAAGTTACTGTGAATAAACTAAACTGTGCATACTTGTTGCTAAATAATGTAACTACAAAATGAGGGTAGTTATAAAAAAAAACCCAATGACTTTAACCATGTTAGGCTATGAACTTTTCAAATGACCCTCGTATTTTTATCTGGAGCGATACCATTCTCGCCCGTTTGTATTTCATAGAGCTTAGTGTATATTTATTGTATGCTCGTTCGAATTTACGCCAGTTGACCTCATTACACAGAAAAACTATCGCATTAAGTGGTTAAATGAATGATAATGGTATGGTAACCGCTGCGATAACGGTATACGCTGGCGATGCACCAGTGAGGGATGATAGGTGAAAATGAAAAGGCAGGTCAGTTAGCTCATCGTGATGAATTCACTTGGAATTGAACGCTATGGTTTCCAGAGGGAACTGCGAGGAGGTGGACTTGACATGGTGTTTTGCTAGCCCCATTGGCTATTAATCCGTACTATTACCAATACCTTCTCCCCCTAATCCGACCGTTTCTGGGGTAAATATGTATAAGATAGAAATGTAGTATTGGGGTCTAACAGGGTCATTTCTAACTATAATATACTCTAGTCGACCTCCACGCGGTTCCCTCTGGAAATTATGTTGGTAAATTCTCATTGAATTAGTTACGATGGGTTAACTTACCTGACTTTATCCTCACCTATAATTTCTCACTGGTGCTCCGCCAGTATATACCGATAGCGAAGACTAAATAGGTTACTATTCCATCAAAATCCATTAAAAGACGTTATATATTAGGTAAATTGTAGAATAAGTCTGTCATAAAACGCATCTTGTGGCTGCAGCTATTTTAAAATGTCTTTTATTTGTTTGTATCCTTGCTTTTTGACTCACGTATGTGTGCCTCGGCTACGCCTCGGCCCACATTTGCACGTTCGTCCATCATAGCTTTAGTCGCTGGCCGCTGCAGTAATGTACTATAAAATCTATGTATGAAAAAGAAACGGAATATTAAAACAATCGTTTCAATAAATTATTTATTACTATCATTATTACGTATTATAATTACCAGTACTTAGTATTTTAATTTGAAGCGTATATACGACTAGCGATCCGGCCCGGCTTCGCGCGGGTAGATAGAATTTACCAAAATAATATATAGCCTATATTACTCGCTGATAATGTAGCTTTCTGTACGTGAAAGGATTTTTAAAATCGGTTAAATAGTTTATGAGTTTATTAATTACAAACAAACAAACAAATCTTTCCTGTTTATAATGTTAGTATAGTTTGTACAAAGTCTCCCTCACCAGAGGGAAACTTTGTACAAAAGTCGTTTGCTTGGGTACCTCTGTCCTATTCGTGTTTCTATCGTGAAGCAGTTATGTTTGCATGGCTGTGTTTCGGTTTGAAGGGTGGGATATGGCAGTGAATTTACTGGGTACAGAGGAATAACACCTGAGTCCTCAGGAATGGCAATGCATGGGGGGTATCAAAGGGCGAAACAGTATACTCTGTTATGTCCATGGTACTGCTCATGTCTATAGGCGACGGTTACCATCAGGTGTGCCGTCAGCTTGTTTGCCCTTCTAAAATGTATTATATATATATATATGAATAAATATGATTGAATTCGTCACGATGGGCCAACTGACCTCCTTCATCATCACCTATCATCCCTAACTGGTGCCCCGCCAGCGTATACCGTTAGCGCAGGCGGGGTTACCATTTCATTCGCCCCCTAACAAAAAGTTACCCCTGCTCTCCAACCTCCGCAGTTCCAATTAACAAGTCTCGACGCCTAGAAATTCCAAACGCTAGCAGATCAACTGCCGCCCGCTGGGGTACTCTCCAGTAGTTCTACATTTTTCTTTTGTGGATAAATCTTGTGAACGCGTTTTCTGTAAATAAAAAAAAATATATTAATTATTCATTTATTGTTACACACACACACACACACACGCACGCACGCACGCACGCACGCACGCACGCACGCACGCACGCACGCACGCACGCACTAACGCACGCACGCACGCACGCACGCACGCACGCACGCAAGCGCACGCGCACGCGCACGCACACGCACACGCACACGCACACGCACACGCACACGCACACGCACACGCACACGCGCAAACGCGCACACGCGCGCACACACACGCATACATACACACACACACACACATATATACATAATATCATCTCAGCCATTGTCTGTCTGCTGTTAAACATAGATTTTCCCTATGGTCTGCCATTTGAGAAGGTCCTGAGCCACATGCATCCACTGACTCCCTGCAATGTATTTGAGGTCGTCACTCCATCTAGAAGGGCGTCATCCTACACTGCGTTTGCCCGTATGAGGTCGCAACTTAAGCAACTTTCTTCCCCATCGGTTGTTCTTCGAGCTATGTGACCAGCCCATTGCCACTTCAGATTTTTTTTATACCACTGAAGTGGCAAACAAGCATACGGCCCACCTGATGGTAAGTGGTTACCGTAGCCTATGAACACCTGCAATACCAGAGGTATTACGCGTGCGTTGCCGATCCTGAAGAAACCTCTTTACCCCCCTTTTAAAGAACCCCATGTTCTAGTCTTTTGGGAAAACCTCGGCAGGGAGCTCATTCCACAACTTGAGTGTTCGTGGGAGAAAACATCTCTGAAACCGCGTAGCACGCGATCATTGAGGCTGTAGGGTATGAGGATGAACTCCCTGTCGATGGCGAGCCGTACGATGGTAGAAAGTGGCTGTGGGCATCATATTGAACAAATTCTCTGAGCACAATTCATTGTACAGGCGGTAGAACACGCAGAGTGAGGCAAAATCTCTCCTAAGACTTAAGGGTTCGATACCGCTTGCGAGCCTGGGATCATCGATAATTCTCATAGCTCGTCGCTGCACTGAGTCGAAAGGTTCAAGCTGGTATTTAGGTGCTCCGGCCCATAAGTGACAGATTGCTTATCTTTCGCACTATGACACTAGCTTTGGCTCTTTTGTGGATGTCAAAAGTGAAATATTTGCAAAAATCATCATAATCATTAACTGTCCACTGCTGAACATAGGTCTCCCCCATAAAAGGAATTCTGTCAGTAATTGGCAGGCGGATTGGCAACCGCAGTTAGGCTTTGGAGATTGTTTCAAGAGGGACGCTGCTGTCCATCCCTCGCCCTCTCTTAGTCGCCTCTTACGACACCCACGGGAAAGGAAGGGGTGGCCTATTCTATGCCGGGACCACAACGTATGAATATGTGTAATTCTGTAATTCACCTGTGCGTATACAAGGAGGCACTCTGTCTGAACGTACAGCCGCATATTTCGCAAGAGAGAGGCCGCTCGCCCGTATGTATGAATTCGTGTTCTCTTAGCCCTTTTTTGTCCTGAAAAAAAAAAATCCACTAGTGATACTTCCCGAATGTGTACGAATAGATAGAAAGATTAATAGTTTGAGACTTTGTACAAAAGTCGTTTGCTTGGACACCTCTGTCCCATTCGTGTTCTACCGTGAAGCAGTTATTTGCATGGCTGTGTTTCGCTCTGAAGGGTGGGATGTGGCAGTGAATTTACAGGGTACAGAGGAATAACACCTGAGTCCTCAGGAATGGCAACGCATGGGAGGTATCGTGGGCGAAATAATATACTCTGTTATGTCCATGGTACTGCTCATGTCTATAGGCGACGATTACCAGTTTCCATCAGGTGGGCCGTCAGCTTGTTTGCCATTCTAAGTTGTATAAGAAAAGAAAAATAAAAACAAAGTTTAAATAAATAAATATACTTACGTACCCGAAACGCCTTTCCACACTGTTGGCATATTTTGTCGCGGGCGCTCTCCTTAAGGCCGTGGTGAGCTCGTCGCACGTGGCGTGTGATGCAGCGTCGTGTAGCCAGGGCCTGCAACAAAAATCCAATCTTCAACCAACCTGTAATCCTGGGGGGAAGGGATTGTTAGTAATGCGGACTATCAGTCTCATTGCTTGCAATATGCCCTATTTTTTTTTAATGGGTGATAATCAAATGGTAAGCCCACCCGCGCTATCGGTATACACCGGCGGGGCACCAGTGAAGGATGATAGGTGAGGATGAAGCAGGTTAGTTAGCCCATCGTGACGAATTTAACAAGAATTGTTCACGATGGTTTCCAGGGGAACCACGTGGAGGTCGACCTAATAGGGCATATTGCTAGCAATGTCGAACTCCATTGCTAACAATTCCTTTCCCTCCATTCCTGATATATTCATCACGATGGGCTAACTGATCTGCCTTTTCATTCTCACCTATCATCCTCCACTGGTGCCCCGTTAACGTATACCGTTATCGCAGGCAGGATTACCATTCCATTATCATCAATTAAAAAAAAACTTGCAGTCCTAATAAATATGCTACACAAATCAATAGTTAGAACGAGACACCATTATACGCCGAACACTGCAGTGGGAGCAGGATAGGAAATATTTTTGTATCTTGCTCTGTACGCACTTTTATATTTGGCACCTCAGTGGTCTAAAAAAATCTTTTAATTCGTATCTGGTAACCCTATCGCTCTTAAGCGATAGCTTGTAAAAACTATATAAATACCTTCCCACATACGGGACACTTGTGCTGTGTTTTCCCCATGTGTTGATAGTTGACGTGATCGCGCAGTTCACCGCGGGATCTGTAGCCTTTATCACACATCGAGCATTTATACCTGAAAATGTACCCAAAATAAACAGATATTAGCACACTGCCCGCTGGTGATTACCGCTTCTTTCCACTCAGGGTTTGCAGGAAGAAAACACTTTGCTCGTCTGTTGTACCAGGACTGGCCAGTTATAATTTATTTAAAAATATGATTACTTATAAATAAAAATAGGTACGTTCTAAATTCAAATCTTCCCGCCACATTTTTTGCGAGCTAATTAAAATTACCGTGTCTCATTGAAAAATGGATTTGCGTCGAGAACATTTTCGCGCTATGATTTTAAATGTCGCATGAAATCGGACGAATCGTACGATAGACTTCAAATGGTATTCATGGATGGAGGCCCTCCTAAGGCAACCGTGTATCGTTACAGACTACGTCATTCCCGAGAATGATCCACGAGCCAAGTTCTATTCGAGTATATTGACAGCCGCGTGTGACACCCGTTAGCGAGTATGACATTCCCGAGTATGATCCACGTGCCAAGTTCTATTCGAGTATATTGACAGCCGCGTGTAACGCCCGTTAGCGAGTATGACGTACAGACTACGCCACTCCCGAGTATGATGCAAGAGCCAAGTTCTATTCGAGTATATTGACAGCCGCGTGTGACGCCCGTTAACGAGTATGACACACAGAGTATGTCATTCCAGAGTATAATGCACGAGCCAAGTTCTATTCGAGTATATTGACAGCCGCGTGTGACGCCCGTTAGCGAGTATGACACACAGAGCATGTCATTCCCGAGTATGATATGCGATACATATGACGCTCACTCACCAGTGTAGCGTTCCCGAGTATGACGCGGTCCGTTGCACACTTACTTGAGTATATCAAAAGCCACGTGTGACGTTTGTTAGCGAGTATGACACCCACAGCATGTCATTCCCGAGTATGATGCACGAGCCAAATTCTATTATATCAACAGTCACGTGTGTCGCCCGTTAGCGAGTATGACACACAGATTATGTCATTCCCGGGTATGATGCACAAGCCAAGTTCTATTGAGTATATCAACAGCCGCGTGTGATGCCCGTTAGCGAGTATGACACCCACGGCATGTCATTCCCGAGTATGACATGCAATACATATGACGTCCGCTCACCAGTATAGCGTTCCCTAGTGTAACGCGGTCCGTTGCACATTTACTTGAATATATCGACGGCAACGTGTGACACCCGTTAGCGAGTATGACACCCACGGCATGTCATTCCCGAGTATGACATACGATACATGACGCCCGCTCACTAGTATAGCATCCCCGAGTATGACGCTCAGAGTATGTCATTTCCGAGTATGACACCCGCTCACCAGTGTAGCGTTCCCGAGTATGACACGAGACACTGCACACTTGAATATATCGACGGCCGCGTGTGACGCCCGTTAGCGAGTATGACGCTCAAACTTTGTCATTGCCGAGTATGACGCCCGTTCTCCATTGTAGCGTTCCCGAGTATGACGCGGTCCGTTACACTTACTTGAGTATATCGACGGCCGCGTGCGCCTGCGTGTACTTGAGATGGTGCTCGTAGGAGGCGCGGCTCACGAAGCACTTGTCACACTCCGCGCACGTGTACCGCTGCCGGGCCGAGTGGATCCTCGCGTGCACCCTCACCAGGTCCACCCTCACCATCTTCAGGCAGACGGGGCACTGCTCCCGGGGGGGCGGGCCTCGGTGCAGTCTAGAAGTGTGAAGAAGGGAAACCGTCAGCTTGTTTGTCATTCTAAGTTGTATAAAAAAAAAATGTAATTTTAACATCAAATTTGTGTTTCGTTTGACTCCGAAATTTCGAAAAACATTTCATGGTAGGCCCTCGGCTCATTAAAATTTCGCCCAACAACTGGATAATTTGTCACACTGTAATCTTTCATATCTATACTTATAATAAATCTGTAGAGAGGTCAATTCTATACATGAAATATATTTCCAAAATAACTATCAGCGGGTGATTAGTGATCCATACTGATGTCAAAAATGCAATCAGTAAAATTTTCGTCTGTCTGTCTGTATTTCCGTTATAGAAACAAAAACAACTCGATGGATTTTAACGAAACTTGGTACAATTATTCTTCATACTCCCGGGCAGGTTATAGTATACTTTTCATCACGCTACGATCAATAGGAGCAGAGCAGTGAAGGGAAATGTTGGGAAAACGGGAGGAGTTACTCCATTTTTAAGCTTCCGTCGCGTGTGCAGCCTTAATGGTCACTGTTTAAAATGTGAAAATGTCCACCCGTTCGAAGCCGGGACGGGCCGTTAGTTAGAGGAATAATTTGTCGCACAAGAGTCTGATTTTGCTCCGTAACAGAACAATTTTGCCCTGGTACAACAGGCAGCATCTGTACAATAAATTTAGTCCTCAGGAATGTTTTTTTAAACGGACGATATTGAAATGGTTGCCCCGTTTGCACTTAAGGTTATACACTGACGGGGCACCAGTGAGGGATGATAGGTGAGGATGAAAGGAGGTCAGTTAGCCCATCGTGACGACATCCGCTAGATTTTACAAAGATGGTTTTTTTTTCAATGGATGATAATGGAATGGTAACCCCGCCTGCGCTAACGGTATACACTGGCGGGGCACCAGTAAGGGACGATAGGTGAGAATGAAAGGGCAAGTCAGTTAGTCCATCGTGATGAATACACCTGGAATTTAGCACGATAGTTTCCAGGGTGGACCACGTGGAGGTCGACCTGATAGGGTGTATTGCTAGCAATGGGACAGTTAGACCCCATTACTAACAATCCTTCTCCCTCCCCCCTCAGGAATGTTAAGAATTTCAACGCGAGAGGTGAATGAGCATCACAGTATATACTGTGACGTCCATGGTTCCCTTTATGTCTATAGGCGACGGTTACCACTATCCATCAGCTAGAATGCCATTTTAAGTTATTAAAAAAAAGGATCAATACTAATACAGAGTAATATATGGTCTAGAAACTCACTGTTCATGCCTGCTCAGGTTATTCTTGAACGCGAACCGTTTCCCACACGTGGGACACTTGTACCCCTCGCGGTGGTAACGCTGCACGTGCTTCCAACGTTGGTTTTTGTTTCTGCAAATTTACAAAAAAAAATATATATATATATATACTTAATTTTTTTTATACAACTTAGAATGGCAAACAGGCTGACAGCCCACCTAATGGAAAGTGGTAACCGTCGCCTATAGACATGAATAGTGCCATGGACATAACAGAGTATACTGTTTCGCCCACGATACCCCCCATGCATTGCCATTCCTGAGGACTCAGGTGTTATTCCTCTGTACCCAGTAATTTCACGCCATATCCCACCCTTCAAACCGAAACACAGCCATGCAAACACAATGGCTTCACGGTTGAAACACGAATGGGACAGAGGTGCCCAAGCAAACGACTTTTGTACAAAGTCTCTCTCTTCACTTCATTATATGCCGAACATAGGCCTCCCCTATAGGTTTGGTTTGCCAGTAGTTGCCACGCTTGGCAAGCTGATTGGCAACCGCAGTTTGTCGCTGGGACGCTGCTGCACATTCCTCGACCATTAAGTTCCCTTAGTCGTCTTTTATGACACTCACATGTGGTCCCGGCATAGAATGGGTGGTCCGTTCTATGCCGGGACCACACAGCAGGAAGTGAAAATATAATTTAACATACTCACTCAAAATATTTATCACACTCCGTACATAGATAACCGTATGGCGTCCGTTTGTCCATCATAGCTTGGTTTCGTCGCGGCTTCGAGCCTGGACGTAGGACTTCGGGCGTTTTGCGTTGACCCTGTATCAAAGAAAACAAATTTAAACCAACGACGCGTGCCGGCTTCTTAGACAGTGTCGGGATCTCTATATTTTTCTTTAAATGCTGTATATGACCCCATTGCTAGCAATATACCCAACCAGGTCGACCTCCTCGCGGTTCCCTCTGGAAACTATCATGGTTAATTCCTGATGAATTCATCATGATGGGCTAACTGGCCTGTTTTCATTCTCATCTATCACCCTTCACTGGTGCTCCATCAGCGTATTCCGTTAGCGCAGGCGGGGTTACCATACCATTTTCACCCATCAAAAAAAAATGCTATATATGCCATATTAATCTCTGATAATGTAGCTTTCTACACGTGAAAGAATTTTTAAAATCGATTAAGTATTGTTTTTTTGTTTTATGCAACTTAGAATAGCAAACAAGCTGACGGCCCACCTGATGGAAAGTGGTAACCGTCACCTATAGACATGAGCAGTACCGTGGACATAACAGCGTATACTGTTTCGCCCATGATACCCCCCCATGCGCAGCCATTCCTGAGAACTCGGGTGTTATTCCTCTGTACCCAGTAAATTCAGTGCCATATCCCACCCTTCAAACCGAAACACAGCAGTTGTGTGACGGTTGAAATACGAATGGGACAGATATATATATATATATATATATATATATATATATATATATATATATTATTGGAAATTTATTGCATTTATCTCCAAGGCAATCTAGAGGGCACAGTTCTCACCTTTTTCCTATTCACGGGTAGAACGACATTTTTCATCGCATGCCCACTTTTCAGATGTCTCGATATATCTATTTGCGTATAACATATATAATCACAAAAATGACATTGGTAGCTGTAGTAATGGCTTCTCTTGTGTTCGGATATTGTTGGGTTAATAACATATGTTAGACAGACAGTACACTGCGTGTGATTTGGTTTCTGAAATAGGTATAAAAAATATATATATAGTACATTATTCTTTCTTTATTCTTTATTGTACACAAAACATACTGGTAATTACAATTCATTATAAACATAATGTACAAAGGCGAGCTTATCTCTAATAAGAGATTTCTTCCAGCAAAACCTTTCCATGTTAATGTGTTATTTTATAAATAAAAATAGGCAGTCATACGATCTGCATATATTGCATAAACGCATAAGTTATGTATACACAAAGAATAATACAAACTACACATTATAAATTACATAAAATACCCTGTAAACATACACATATATTTACACAAACATACATATACACATACATATATATACACATATAAACATATATAAATATACATACACATATACATAATACGTCAGCATAGTGATAAGTAATGCTCTCTTAGACGACGCTTAAACATGCCTATACTTGCCGATTCCCTTATTTCGGATGGCAGACTATTCCATAGTCGAATGGATATAACTGTAAAGGAATTCCCAAAAGCCTGAGTATGATGTGGTGGAGTTCTTAGAAGTAATCGTGTCTGAGGGCGAAGTGGTTTATCTCTTGAATATAAATATTCATAACGCTCGCGGAGATAACAAGGAATGGAGGGATTATGCAAGATATTGTAAAGAAGCGTCAGTATATGGACATTCAATCGAAAACGTGAAGGCCAGCAACTAAGGCATTGATGGACGAACGTACAAATGTGGGCCGAGGTGTAGCCGAGGCACACATACGTGAGTCCATCAATGCCTAGTTGTGGCCAAGGCTTGTATAGTACTTTTCTCAAACAATGCGCGGAAATCAAAAACACAATTTTACTTTTTAAATTCAATGACGAATAACGAACAATAATAATTTTTCACGCGCCATAATGTTCCCTTGTTTTTTTTTTTTTCAATAAACAGCTTTCTATTTGCAAGCCAGTTCGAAATTTAAATAAAACCTTGTATTAGTTACCTCCTTGGTAGCCATGTTTCGAAGTCGGTCATTCCATTTTTAAATTTCAGGACAGATATGAGTTTACATAGTAATTTATCTGGCCGCAAAACACGACAGATATGGATTTTCATACAACTTTTGCCGGCCGCTGCCCGCATGTATCTGGCCAGTACGGCAATTTTGATTTATCTCGAAGAAGATTGTCAAAATAATGCTCACATTTCCAAGCATGTTTGAGAAAAATATATTTTATTGCCTTTCATCAGTGTATAATAATTTACTAGGTAACACAGTATAGATTTTTTTTTTATTTGTAATAATGGAATGGTAACCCCACCTGCGCTAATTGTACACGGCCAACCGTCTTGCTTTCATTTTCACTTATCATTCCTTACTGGTGCCCCGCCAGCGTATACCGTATCCATACCATATTCAATAGGGGGGGAAAGGGATTGTTAGTGATGGAGACTGAGACTCCCATTGCTAGCAATATACCCAACCAGGTTGACCTCCTCGCGGTTCCTCCTGGAAACTATTATGGTTGATTCCTGATGAATTCATCATGATGGGCTAACTGGCCTGTTTTCATTCTCATCTATCACCCTTCACTGGTGCTCCATCAGCGTATCCCGTTAGCGCAGGCGGGGTTACCATACCATTTCCACACATAAAAAAAAACCATATTCAATAATCATCCATTAACCCTTCTTTGCATAATGGTGGAAATTTCCATCATCATATAACATTGAATGCCCAAAAATTATATAAAAGAACAAGTTCACTTTAAGTTGATCGTGTCTGGATACCTTTTTAATGTCCATTGCAGAAAAAAAACATAGCTGTCAAATTTATTTTTTTAAAACATTATTCTTTCAAGTTTGAATATAAATTATATCACTTTGATTTATTTCACCAATAAAAAAAATCATGCAAAGAAGGGTTAAAAAAAAAGAGAAAAAAAGCAATATATAATATTAGAGGGAATGTAGTGTTAGTAATGAGCATCCTCATTGCTAGCAATATCCATCAGGTCGACCTCCACATGGTTCTACCTGAAAGCCATCGTAGTTAATTCTCGTTGAATTCCTCACAATGGGCCAACGGACCTACTTTCATCCTCACCTATCACCCCTCACTGGTGCCCCGCCAGCGTATACCATAAGAGAAAATGGGGTTACTATTCCATTTTCTCCTCTGGTATTGCAGGTGTTCATAGGCTGCGGTAACCACTTACCATCAGGTGGGGCGTATGCTTGTTTGCCACCTGTGGAATAAAAAAAAAATTCACCCATTAAATCTGGGGGGAAAGGCATTGTTAGTAATGGAGACTGATAATCCCATTGCTATCAATATACCCTATCAGGTCGACCTCCACGCGGTTCCCCCTAGAAACTATCATGGTTACCATTTTCACCCATCAAAAAAAAAAAAACATTAAATCTGCTTTAAACCTCACCTATACCTACAGCACAAGCGTGGATTCCAATCCATTCTCAATTAATTAAAAATACTTACCTCAGTATGTAAATCTAAATTATGTTCGTTCAACCCAATCTCAGTCTTAAAAGCTTCTATACAAGTATCACATTTGAATGCGGCGTCTGCAAACGTTACTGCCAACTTCCTTTTCTCTCTGCTCTCTAACATTATCACCTCATCCATTTCGTTTATTGTGAAATACTTCTTATTACCATCGCAGGAGAGTCCATTTTTCTTTGCACCTTTTATTTTTTTCTTTTTTTTCGTGTACACCTTTGGCTTCTCGGTGTTTGGCCTAACCGCTATGTCGCTCTGAGCGTCAGACATATAGTTACTATGTAGCTCAGATAAGGGTATATCCTCTTCACTTTCTGTCTTAACATCCGTCATTAGTCCGCAATCAATAAAATTGTCAGATAAGAATTTGGTTTCTGTGATCATTTGGTCATAACTGTTTTTGTATGTGAACGTCAATTTTGAGAGGCCGTCCAGTTTTAGCTGTCGACAATAATAAAATATAGTTGCCAGACAATAATAAAATGAATAATTTTTTAATTCTTTTTTTCTAATAGAGCTTGCTTTTTATAGATAGATAGATACTCTTTATTGTTTCCTCCAAAAGATTACAATAGTAAACTTATTATAAATATAAACAATTACAAGAAATGATCACAGTGAGGAAACAATGGGCGGCCTTATCGCAAGAGCGATCTCTTCCAGGCAACCTTTGGATGGAGAGGAGTAATTATAAACAATTTTAATTAATTTAGGTGATTTGAAAAAAAAAAATTGTGCACTCTATATTAAGTTGATCTAAAAAAAAAGGTATATGCAGTATTGGCGTGGGGGATGGACAGTCTGGTAAAATCCGAAGTGCCATAGAGCACCATAGGATCTGTTTCACTCATATTTCTGCTGTGAAGCAACTGCGTCTATATAGAAAAGGTGACACAGTATAATAGTCTAGAGCATCCATGGTGGTGTTCCTCCCTATAGATGACTTAGCTTGTTTGCCATTCTAATTTATGTAAAAATAAAGCTATTATACACTCCTATGGTATAATGTTCTGAAAACTGTTGAATATATAGTATAATCCACAATTATTGAGGGGAAAGGGATTGTTGGTAATGGAGACTGAGAATCCCATTGCTAGCAATATACTCAACCAGCTCAACCTCCTCGCGGTTCCCCCTAGAAACTATCATGGTTAATTCCTGATGAATTCATCATGATGGGCTAACTGGCCTGTTTTCATTCTCATCTATCACCCTTCACTGGTGCTCCGCCAGCATATCCCGTTAGCGCAGGCGGTTTTACCATTCCATTTTCACCCATCAAAAAAAAATCTGCTTTAAACCTCACCTATCATCACTCACTGGTGCTGGTTACTGGTGGTGGTTTAGTGTATACTGATAGCGCATGCAGGGCTCACCATTTCATCTTTACCCATCAAAAAATCAAACAAACTATCTCTCACATTTATAGTATTAATAAGGATTCTTGTCTATGGTCGACTGGTAGGTAATCCCCCATTAATATAAATTTATTATTATTATACACCATTTAAATACATTAAGGTTTAATAAATAATTATGGATAGTAATGGAGGGCTTTACTTACACTAGTGCGACCATCAGCTATGCTCGAGAGTTCTTTCTGTGCAATGCAAGCCTGCTGCCGAAACATCCTGATTCTACACATGACCGCTTTACACTCCCAGCAAACAAACAAATTTGCTGCATCTTTATAGAATCCTTCCTGCAAAAAGATATACAGAGGGTAAATACATAATAAATGGATGGCATATATACCAAAGATGGTATTTATGCCATGTCAGACCTATGTGATTTAGGTATACTGTTTCGCCCATGATACCCCCCATGCATTGCCATTCCTGAGGACTCAGGTGTTATTCCTTTGTACCCAGTAAATTCCCACCCTTCAAACCGAAACACAGCCATGCAAACACAACTGCTTCACGGTTGAGACATGAATGGGACAGAGGTACCCAAGCAATCGACTTTTGTACAGTCTCCCTCTGGTTTATTATATTTTGTGCCTTTTGTTATTATGCCCATTATGTTTCGAAAGCTTGGCCTATTAGGAACAAAACCTGAAAATTTCATGGCTTACTACAAACAATAAAATGAAATAAACATAGTTATTATAATGGTATATTGATTCAGTCGAAAAAAATAAAGTCATCTATGTGTGACATAAAAAATAGTGGTTTTCCCGGAGTTTGGCAAAAAAACAAATTTTTCTGTGATACATTAAGTTTCCTTGATACATTTTTAATTAAATTATCTAATAAAGTTACCATGGCCCATGTGAAAAATTTTCTAATATTATCCTGGGGACAATATTAGAAACGTGTTAAGCACCACTGCTTGCTTAATTAACATGATATCAGCCCTTATCCACTGTTGAATATAGGGTTCGCTCATTAGAGCCAGTTTACCAGTGTAGTTGCCATACTTGACAGGTGGGTCGGCAACTGCAATTAGATTTTGGTGATGTTTAAAGAGAGATACTGCTGCTCATACCTTGACCATTAATTATGCTTAATATTTGTGTAAATTAGTTAATTATGGTACAGAAAAGAAAAGTAAAATTAAGTTCACATTGATAAAATTTTATTTTTTCATGAGTGATGAAATGAATACAATATTATTTTTTTTTATTAAATTAATTTATTAACTATCAAATAGTTTGTGGTCGACACACATAATGGGCCATCCATACCTTTCCTGCGGGTGTCGTAATAGGCAGTTAGGTAAATTTAATATATAGGCAGCAATATCTCTCTTTGAAATTACTAAACCCTAACTGCAATTCCCAATCCATTTGCCAAACGTGGCAACTACTGCCAAACCCATCCCTCCACAGTCCTTATGAGAGAGGCTTATGTTCAGTGAAAAGTTACTGTCTGATATGATAAAGAAGTAACAGATGACACCTGCCTGGTAAATTACGGTATTAGGGTTATCAGCATTAATAATAATAATAATAATACTTTATTATGCAGACTACAATGCGGTCCAATTTTGTTAGTAACAATTTTCTTACAAACTATGTTAGTAAAAAAAAAGAAAAACAAATTGATTTAATTAAGCATTTCACCCAGATGTGACCCAGCCGACTAGATCAGCATCTGAATGAAATGCCCAATTATAGGCGAATTATATTTCTCGCCTATTACTTTTAGAATGCTGTTGGTGCTTGTCCTAACCCTGTTTAGCAATGATGCAGTCCTCTTTCTCCTTACAGCGTAGTAGTCATCTACGCGAGATTGAGCAAACATGCTAGAAGCGCTACAAAAGCGAGGCAGCCCCAACAGCACTCTAAAACTAATTATTGTACTGGATTCGTAGGGCACTGAGTGAGGCCTGTGTGCAGTTAACCCACAGACTGCTCGTGTAGAATGTTTGGCAGTATGCTTTGAAGAGTGTGATTTTTACTTCTTCACTACAACGGGCAAACCTGCGAGCCAACATGTTACATCTAACAGCCAGTGCCCTACGCTCCCTTGCGACATCAGTTTGATCTTTAAGGTCATCAGTAACATAGTGCCCTAGGTATTTAAATTTATGCACTCATGTACCAAGTTTTTTTTTTTAAGTTATTAGAATTCTTTATTCAAATTTTAAAGGGCTCCGCGCAAAATATATGTATCCGACAGTCGTCAGTTTTTAACCGTCTTCATTAGAAAGTGTATTTAAGTTTGACTTTTTTTTATTTTTACATCATGATTATATCAGCCCTCAACTGTCCAATGCCTCCTCCGTACATTTTAATTCATATCTTCGACAAATAAGAACAGAATTTAATCATTCTTTAGTACTTTCTACAAAAATATTGCCGGTATTATCAAATTATTTACATCACATTAAATATTAGTTTTTCCTAAAACAAAATTTTAAATGATTTTACTTACTCTGTAAGCTTCCGAATCAAAAGTTAACAGAAGATATAAATTGTTAACACCGTCCGATACACGGCAAAGTTGATACAATTTGCGGTCTTTGCTTAAACATGTACAACACATTTTTCTTATTGAATATTCTTCCATTTTATTTATTAATTGCACATAACAACATATATAATATAAGCATATGTTTATTATTTACCCTTATGTAATTAAATTGGTAAGGTAATTCAAAATTTCAAATATAAATTAAAATTTCAAATAAGTAAAATGACTTTTGTTTTTTTTTTTTTTAGTACGTTTGTTCCGTTTGGAACAGGCTAAGGTCGGAGACCATGCTGCCTAGTCTTCAAAAAGATAATTTGTCTGGAATATGACTTTTGTTTATGTTGTGAAAATGACAGTTCAAATATACTCTGTACTCATCAATAGGTAAAAATGGTTTTCTCTAGTTTCGTAAGTATTCTATGTTTGTTTACCTCCTTAATATTCCTCCTATTATTAATATGCATCGTTTTATAGTTTCTGATAGAATAATATAAAGCCACTTGTATACAAAGGACTTAAGAGAGCGAAAACGCCGAGTATTGAGCAAATCAAATAGCTATGAGATTAGGGATGTGGACCTTTTTGAATACCATTCCTTTTTTAATTTTTGTTGAAATCTACAGACGTTCTATATCTGTGGTAAAATCGTAATAGGTCAATTTCTCTTGGATATAAACACTTTGGTCAATTGATTTAAGTTCATTCTTACCTGTTACTCCTCACTGATATCTCGCCAGCATATACCAACAGGACCTGAATCTATAATACCAATCAAGTTAAAATATCATTTCAGAGGGGAAGGGATTGCTAGTATTGGAAACTAAGGCCCCTATTATGAGCAATATACCTAACCAAATCGACCTCCACGTGACCCCTTGGAAGTTATCGTGCTAAATTCCAGGCTTATTTATTACGATGAGTTGACCTGCTTTTTTATCATCACCTATCACCCGTCACTGGTATCTCACCAGCGTTTACTGTTAGCATAGACGAAGATGCCATTCCATTGTCGTCCATTAAAAGAAAACTATATCATTTTTATTCATCAAAAAGGTAAAAAAAAATTAAAGCTTTTACATAATTTCGCAAATCCGATCCCATATGGAGTATTGCTATCACTTATGGGCGGGAGCACCTAGATACCAGCTTGAACCCTTCGACTCAGTGCAACGACGAGCTATGAGAATTGTCGATGATCACAGGCTTGCAAGCGGTATCGAACCCTTAAGTCTTAGGAGAGATTTTGCCTCACTCTGCGTGTTCTACCGCCTGTACAATGGATTGTGCTCAGAGGAATTGTTCAATATGATGCCTACGGCCACTTTCTATCATCATACGGCTCGCTCTCGACAGGGAGTTCACCCTCATACCCTACAGTCTAAATGGTCGATCGTTTTCTCCCACGAACACTCAGGTTATGGAATGAGCTGCCTGCCGAGGTTTTCCCAAGAGACTACAGCATGGGGTTCTTCAAAAGGGGAATAAAGAGGTTTCTTCAGGGTCAGCAACGCACACGTTATATCTCTAGTATTGCAGGCGTTCATAGGCTGCGGTAACCGCTTACCATCACGTGGGCCGTATGCTTGTTTGCCACCTCAGTGGTATAAAAAAAAAAACAAATGCGTTACATCAACTTATTTATTATTCACGACAATTATAATAGTGTTAGATTTCAATTTGCCCGCTCTTCTTTATGTATAGCCCGCGTATGTGTGACCAGTGCCGTTTTCTGTGCGAACGCTGCTGGGCATTGTGCACATAGAAACGGACGTTCGCCTGTGTGTGTACGTATATGATTCTCCAAAATACGATTTGTCTGGAACAGTAATTTAAATACGTAGTTTTTATGCAACTCCCCACTTTTTACCAAACTACAGCACCAACTATCAACAGCAGTATTTCCAAACTGACACGATATTGAAGTTTTAAAAAAAGAGCATATTTCTTTCTTTTTTTTTTTTTTTAGTACGTTTGTTCCGTTTGGAACAGGCTAAGGTCGGAGACCATGCTGCCTAGTCTTCAAAAAGATAATTTGTCTGGAATGCATATTTCTTTCCAAAAGGTTGGCAATAGACCTGCAATCCATCTAATGTTGCAGGTGTCTATGGGCCGCGATAATCATTTATAGTTAGATGAGCTGCTTGCTCGTTTGCTCCTTATAAAAAAAAATCAAAATGGCAAACAAGCTGCTGCCCCGCCTGATAGATGTATAATAGTCACTTATAAACATGAATAACTCCATATATTACAGTATATGCTGTAACGCCCATTATATCCCTTATTATTTATTGGCTTTAGATTACTACATATTAGTGCCTTTGCCTTTATCGTGCACAGAAAATATATATAAAAAATGGAACATATCAAATTCGAAATTTGAATTTACAGAGAGTCATTGATGACTTTAATTTTTCGATTTTCAAAGGGCGCCATTAAATACTTGCCTAGGGACATCAGGACAGTTATGGTCAGAAACCCCCCTCCCTTTGTTTTCTCTTATAAAGAATCTTACTTAAGACTTTGGTACGATTAGGGTATTTAGAAACTTCAAAGTGTTAAAATAACACTTTAAAAGTGCTAAATTAGCACAAATGAAGAGTGAATTGTATTTAATTTACTTACACTAAATCCCCGTCCGCATAGAGTGCACATTTTATTCTTTGGCCGCGATATTTTATCGTGTACGGTGGCCGTGTGCAACCGTAGACGGAACCCGTTCAGGAAATACTACAAACAATAAAAAAATTACCTAATACTTTTTTTTAACTCGAAATCTATTGCCTCATTTAAACAATAAATTACACACATATTTTCTATCTTCAAGAGTTTCTAGACCCTCTTTGTTATACACAAAGGCCTCTATCGTGGCTATTCATCAAGATGAGCTAACTAACCTGCTTTTATCCTCACCTACCACTTTTTACTAGTGCCTCGCCAGCGTATACCTATAGCGCAGGCGGGGTTATGATGTCACTATCGCCCATATCATCTTCCTAACCTTATCTCAATTATTATTTGGTGTCGGCGTAATATGTTTTTATCCATATTACTAAAAGATTTGGCTTATAGTTTTACGACCGGTCGCCTGCCTGACGTCAACACTCTTTGGGAACACATCACCCATAATAAAACTAAATTCATTATTCATTCATTATTTTTATATCTATTTATATGAGTTTTTGAGTAACATCTATATCTATCTATCTATATATATATATATATATATATATATATATATATATATATATATATATATATATATATATATATATATATATATATATATACATATACATATATATATATATATTACTATTTTAACATGAAACGGTGCCCCGTGTAGGTGCAAACTGAAAATCAGCGCTGAACGCACCTCAGTCCAGCAAAAGCCGAGTTTGTACCTATTGCCAGGCATACGAACACTGCACAATGTATTTATTAATAAATATATGTACATTTATTAATTTCTTTATTTACACTTTATTGCACCATTTATAAAATAGTAAATACATTTAACTGTAATAAGAAATAATACAAAAGGCGGCCTTATCGCTAAGCAATCTCTTCCAGACAACCTTTGGGCAGAGAACTTTGAGAAATAAAAGAAAAACAAAGGTTAGGTGGCGTACTATTATATATAACTGTATGTTTGTAAAGAATGGCAATAAAGTTATTTATTTATTTATTATTTATTTAAATACATACCCGATCGCATTTGGTGCATATAAACTGGGTCCTCTTCAAGTGTTCATAGTTGTAATGGTACTTCATAGTGATATGCTTATTGTATACCTTGCCGCACTCTGGACACGGGAAACTGGAACGCAAAGCAAACAATAGAGCGTTTTTTTTTTAATGGGTGATAATGGAATGGTAGCCCCGCCCGCGCGGGGCACCAGTGAAGGATGATAGATGAGGATGAAGCGGGTCAGTTAAGCCCATTGTGACGAATTCAACAAGAATTTTTCACGATGGTTTTCCATGGGGAACCACGTAGAGGTCGACCTGATAGTGTATTGCTAGCAATAGGTTCATTAGACCCCATTACTAACAAACCCTTCCACCTAACAATAGAGCGTTAGCTAACAGTAATAAAACACAGGCTCGTGCTCGCGTCACCGTATCTCATTTTTTTTATATACAACTTAGAATGACAAACAAGCTGCGGCTCACCTGATGGAAGGTGGTAACAGACGCCTACAGACATGAGCAGTACCATGGACATAACAAAGTATACTGTTTCGCCCACGATACCCTCATGCGTTGCCATTCCCGAGGACCCAGGTGTTATTCCTCCGTACCCTGTAAATTCACGCCATATCCCATCCTTCAAACCGAAACACAGCCATGTAAACACAGCTGCTTCACGGTTGAAACACGAATGGGACAGAGATAGCCAAGCAATCGACTTTTGTACAAGGTCTCCCTCTGGTAAAATAAGTATTCTCACCTCTTCTTCACTGGCGGTCGATGTTTCACGAAGACTTGGAAGTGATTTTTGTATTTTATGACATTGTCGAACTGTATATTGCATTCCACGCAGAAGGTCTCCTCTGATGGGTTCTTCACGTGCTGTATTTTCATATGCCACCGATGGCTGACATACGTCTTGAATTGTATACCGCATATTGTACATTTGTATTGGGCATGGCGTCTCCTAAAAGTCATGTTTCATTACTAGCTAAAGTCTAAGGCGAAAATACCTCCCTTTGTGTTTTCTACCGCTTGTATAACGGATTGTGTTCTGAGTAATTGTTTGAAATGATGCTTGGTCAAAGATGGCTGCCATGATCAAAGGTGGCTGACCTTTGATCATGGCATCACTCGCCATTGATAGGGAATTCATCCTTACACGCTTGAACCTAAATGGTCGCGTACAGTGTGGCTTCAAAGGATTTTATCCCGCGAACGATCAGGCTATGGAATGGAATGCTATATATGCTATATATGGAATGCCGAGGTTTTCCCTTGAGACTATAGAATGGGGTTTTTCAAAAGGGTAAGATTTCTTCAGGGTCGGCAACGCGCACGTGACACCCCTAGTTTTGCAGGTATCCATAAGCTACAGTGACAGTTTACCAACAATGGGGCTGTATGTTCGTTTACCACCTTTATGGTATAAAAATGCTATTTCCCATATATTTGCTGGCATAAATTGTGATAAATATAGCCAATTTTTTCCTATTTTTTTCAATGTATGAAAATAGAACAGTAACCATGCCTGCGCTGTCAAGAGCTGGTTAGAGAAGAGTGATAGCTGAGGATGATAAACAGGTCAGTTGGCCCATAGTGATCATGTAGAATCGACCACAATGATTTCTAGAAAGAACCATCCAGGAGATCGACCTATTGTTGTCGATTGTTGATGTAGTTATAATTTAATAAATAAATATTAGTATATTATTTTTCTCAAACATGCTTGGAAATGTGAGCATTATTTTGACAATCTTCTTCGAGATAAATCAAAATTGCCGTACTGGCCAGATACATGCGGGCAGCGGCCGGCAAAAGTTGTATGAAAATCCATATCTGTCGTGTTTTGCGGCCAGATATATTACTATATAAACTCATATCTGTCCTGTAATTTAAAAATGAAGTGACCTTTTACTTCGAAACGTGGCTAGCAAGGAAATAACTAATACAAGGTTTTATTTAAATTTCGAACTGGTTTGCAAATAGAAAGCTGTTTATTGAAAAAAAAAAACAAAGGAACATTATGGTGCGTGAAAAAATATTATTGTTCGTTATTCGTCATTGAACTTAAAAAGTAAAATTGTGTTTTTGATTTCCGCGCATTGTTTGAGAAAAGTACTATACAAGCCTTGGCCACAACTAAGCATTGATGAACTCACGTAAGTGTGCCTCGGCTACGCCTCGGCCCACATTTGCACGTTCGTCCATCAATGCCTCAGTTGCTGGCCGCTGCAGTAATGTACTATTATTTCTAATAATAGCCGGCAAATAATCTTCCAGCTACTATCATATCAGTAAAATAACTTAGCATTTGGCGTTCCATTGTTTCTGCCTACCCTAATGGGAGACAGGCGTGACAGATATTGTATGTATGTATGTAAAATAACTTACTGCATGTGGTTTTCTATTATGTACTTCTTGGAGAATCTTTTCCCACAGTGTTCGCACACGAACTGCTTATGGAAGTTTTTATGATGTTTGGCGTAGTCCAGGGTTTTTCTGGAATTACAAAATGAGTCCGAGTCAAATACGGTTTTGAAAACAAATGTTTATGACTATCGGACTTCATTATTGAACTAGATACACAAAGGATTTTAGTTTTTAACTGGCTTCAAAAAAGGAGATGGTACTCAATTCTTTTACAAATCAAATCATATTTATTTGCTTGCTAAAATAAGATGTTACATGTAGAGGTATGCAAATATTAAACTGTATTTAGTGTCTACATTATATTTAACTATTATATTACGTTTTTTTTATGCAACTTAGAATGGCAAACAAGCTGACAGCCCACCTGATGGAAAGTGGTAACCGTCGCCCATCCTTCACCCTCCCTTAATCGCCTATTACGACATCCACGAGGAAGACTGTACAAAAGTCGTTTGCTTGTGTACCTCTGTCCCACTGGTGTTTCAACCATAAAGCAGTTGTGTTTGCATGGCTGTGTTTCGGTTTGAAGGGTGGGATATGGCGTGAATTTACAGGGTACAGAGGAATAACACCTGAGTTCTCAGGAATGGTAACGCGTGGGAGGTATCACGGGCGAAACAGTACACTCTGTTATGTCTTTAGGCGACGGTTACCACTTTCTATCAGGTAGGCCGTCAGCTAGTTTGCCATCCTAAGTTGTATAAAAAAAAATGTCGCCTATGCTATGCCACAGCCACACTCTCAGATATGGGTCAGTGATCATCCTTAAAAATATCTTTGCACGTAGCTGACAGCTCCACACTTTATTCTGAGGAGAGCACTAAATATTTCCCGATGTGGGCACGTCCAACCCGACCCCCCAGGGGGGAAAGGGATTGTTAGTAATGGAGACTAAGAATCCCATTGCTAGCAATATACCCAACCAGGTCAACCTCCTCGCAGTACCCCCTAGAAACTATCATGATTAATTCCAAATAAATTCATCATGATGGGCTAACTGGCCTGTTTTCATTCTCATCTATCACCCTTCACTGGTGCTCCGCCAGCGTATCCCATTAGTGCAGGCAGAGTTACCGTTACCATACCATTTTCACCTGGAATTCAGCATGATGGTTTCCAGGGGAAACCACGTGGAGATCGACAAGACAGGGTGTATTGCTAGCAATGGGACTGGTAGTCCTTATGACTAACAATGCTCCCCCCCCCACTCCTCAAAATGAGTATATTAGGAGGCCGTTAAACCCCAATCCTAACACCTTTTACTTCGATCACCTTTTACTGGTGCTCCGCCAACGTATCCCGTTAGCGCAGGCGGGGTTACCATTCCATTTTCATCCAATAACAAAAAAAAAACCCCGACCCCCCAATAAATACTCCTACACCGGTTTATCTGTATAAATAAACTTACGAGAACTTCGCACCGCAGATCTGGCATTCAATTATCTTGTGATGAACGCTCAACAAGTGTTCATCAAGCTGCCACATCCTACAACAGGAGTAGTTACAGAGCAAGCAGATCAGTTTAGTGTAGTGCTCCCTGCAATGGGCCGCCATTTCCGTCTTTCTATGCGTCCTTATACCGCACATGTCACATTCGAAGCGCATTTTTGCCTGAAATATTATAAATTATTACCTTATATCACACAGAAAAATAATTCAAATTTTCTGTGTGATATATATCATTATTTATTAGGTTTATGTATATATATATATATATATATTAATTTACTGTGATGGGATACAAAAATACAAGTAATATATTCCTCTGGGTGTAACAAAACGCCATCTAGTAACAAACTGAGTAGAGTTTTATATATATATATATATATATATATATATATATGTACATACATTTGGCGGACTTAACACCGGACGGTGTTCTCTACCAGTCAACCATTAGGCAAATAAATTATCTAGTACGTACATTACAAACTCTACTCAGTTTGTTACTAGATGGCGTTGTGTTATACCAAGAGGTATATATTACTCGTATTTTTTATCCCGTCACAGTAAATGAATTTATGGCTTTACTAATATCTACAAATATGTACTATCTATTTCTGTGTTCTTTTATTTAAAATACTTTTAAATTTTCGAACCAAGAGAGCATGGAAGAAGAAAACCTGTTACCATGTTGAGTAGATATGACAAAAGCAAGTTCAGCTCCCTGCCTACTTTTAATTCATTGTGGTTTAAATAAAATAAGTATCTGCGTTCCTCTACGAACATTACAAATGTGAAAGTGTGTTAGTTTGTTCGTCACCTCTTGTGTGCATCAACGACGCAACCAACCATGAATCATGCTATAGCGTTATTGAAACCTTATTTGCTTATTGCTGGAAATTTTCCTCATAACATTGAATGCCTAAAAAACTTATAAAAGACCAAGTTCAGTTTTAGTTTATCGTGTCTGAATACATTTTTAATGCCCATTGCAGAAAAAAAACATAACTGTCAAATTTAATTTTTTCAACCATTTTTCCTTTAATGTTGAAGATGAATTATATCACCTTGATTTATTTACCCAATAAAAAAAAACATGCAAAGAAGGGTTAAATTAGAGAAGGACGTGAACTATTTTCATCCCGGACACGAGAACAATGTCGTAATCACGGTTCATTAAGTTATAAAATATTCAGTTAAAAGAATTGGGTAAAATGTTCGATTTCGACCATCAATTACTATGGCCGATATCTTGCTCACTTCTGATAATGTATCAGCATCCTTTTTGACAATATACCCGTAAATTCGTACCCTTTGCATAATTTTATTTAATGAAAACATCTTTTTCAAGTAAGCTCTAAAATTATTAACTATTTTATTATTCTTTCTGTTACTTTTCGAGTCAAGAAAATTGAAACAGACCTCTTTCGCTTTCTCCACATTCATCAATCAATGGGAGACAGGCGTGAGAGATACATGTACATAAGTATATATGCATGAAAGAGGCATAAGACCATAGCCCTCAAAAGAGGCAACGGTACAGTACTTACAGCGACGTTCATGTTCTATAGGCGACGGTTACCACTTACCATCAGGTGGGTCGTCAGCTTGTTTGCCATTCTAAATAGTATAAAAAAAAATGTTTGTAAACGTCGGTTACTGCTTCAAGTCGAGCATAACTTTATTTGTCATTCTAAGTATAAAAAAAATTAAAACTTACAGAGTGATATTCTTTCTTGTGCTGCCAAAATTGACTTTCTTCTTTGAAACCAGATAGACACTTGCCACATTTGAATTTCATTTTGGTGTAATTTTTACTTTCTTCTTCTTTCAAATTAAATTCAATTTCATCATTATCCATAGGAAGTCTATTGTAATACTTTGTTTTATCAGCATTAAGATTATCAATTGTTAGTAAAGTGACTTTAAACTTTTGCGGTTCAGATTTTGGTTGTCGTATTTTTTTCTTTTTCGTTTTGGTATTATCTCTTTGTGACACTTTTAAAGTCTGTTCACTTTCACTTATTTTTAAATCGTCATTTTTCTCTTTAATTATTGTAGTTTCTAAATTTTCATTTACAGTAAGATTTATATTATTATCATTATCAATATTTTCAGCTATAACGTTGTCACAATCACTGAAACTGTCAATATCTCTATTATATTGTGATAATTCGCAATTCGTTTCATTCGAAACAATATCCTGGTCATTTTCAAATTTCTCGACTTCCTCTTTGCATTCAACATGTATTTCTATATTTCTAAAATCATTTTCGAATGTTTTTGAATCACTTTCAGTTTTTTCTAACTTAATAATGTCAGGTTCAAATGTGTAACAATAATTAAAATCAAATATTCTTTTTGCGCTCAAAGTTGATAAATTTATATTCTGAAATAATAATAATAATTATTATTATTATAGGTAGCTTTCGAAAGGAAATTAAGTAATCACTTAATTATTCTCCTTAGAAGAGTGAAGTCATTATTTTTAGGGAAGAGTTCCTAGCGGAAGTATCAAGGGAGAATATTATTATGGAAGTATATTAGTGAGATTTCCATGCTGTATTCCTACCCCTATCTTTTTTGGCATATTTAAGATTATTAACCAGGATGTAGTTGGCACTTTAAGAATGTATATATACTCTCAAATACGTTCTTGTGAAGCCTCAAATACGTTCTTGTGAAATCTTGGAGTAGGCAGGAGACAATTTTAGGGAGTAGGAGTGGGGGGGGGGGGTTAGTGCAGCCTACCTGGCCCTTCTCTTAAATACTCTTAATCCTCTATCGACAGCATTAGTATACTCCTTAAAACCATTGTGAAGATTTCTTAGTAATTCGACACAATAAGCCAACTCTCAACATCTCTTCATCTGATACTGAGCTATTGTATACTATTGACTTAGGTGAATGTTCCATCTTCAACCACAAAAAGTAGAAGTTTCAATATGTGAATGCTCTATGCCACTTCTTGTTTATGTCGATTAGCTATGGTAGCAATTTATTTGGCTAGCCGTATGCTTGTTTAGAAACATAGTAGGGATAATGAAAAAAAAATAGGTTTATTACCTCGTTTTCTTCTATAATTTCCTTCATCCTTTTCCTATTACTGATAAAAAAATCTTGCGCTTTTTTCACTTTAAACAATAATTTTTCAAAATTTTTTAACGCCATCCGACATTCCCAACAAATAAGGAGATTCTAAAAATAAATGACTAATTTTACTGATAAATACTACATATTCACAAAATGCACTCCGAAAGAGATTTAATTGTACTATAAAAAAAAAACAGATTTATTGTTTAATGTATCTATATTATTGAAAAAAAAAAAAACTAAATTACTGTAATGGTTTAATGAAATGAGAATTAGCAAAAAAAAACTTAAATAAAATATGCAAATGGAAAGTAAATTAGAAGCATTAGTTAAGCTTCTGTATGTTTAATATTAATAATAAGTAAAATAGTTAAAATCTTACCTTATTTTCAAGTCTGTAACCGCGTTTTAAATTAGGACCTAGATTTTTTTTTAATAAATCATAGTATTTGTCTATTGGTGCCAATGTTCTAGTAGTACACAAACACCCACGACATATTTTCAAATCCTCTAAGTTATTACAAAACATTTTAATTGAAAAAAAGAAGTAACATGTACGTATTTTATGATGAAAATAATGCTATGCAAAGACGTGGCGTTAGCTCCTGGACAATAAAATGAAATTAATCGTACCTAGGTACCTAGTAGGTATCAGGGTAAAGCTGCTAGACTGCTGTCAAAGTGACAGCAATATATTGCCATTGATATTTTATATTGTCTATCTATGTCTTTTGTAGTAATTCTTAAATTGATCTAAAACATTTTATGGTTAGAGAATATAATAGTTTAAATACTGATAATTTTGGAAAAATAACATTTTACCTTTTGAAATCTTAGTCTAATTATATGAGTATTTAGGGATTCTCTCTTTTCTCATTATACACCAACTATTTTTTCATCTGTATTATTACTGTCAAAAATTCTAATATGTAATCTGTGGTCACGATTGTAGCGTCTGCTCGACAAATGGCGACTGATCTGTTGATCATTGTTTAAAACGTATATTTTTACTTCTATTTTTTATTTATTTCGCTTAATTATATGAAGAAACGAAAAGAAAAACTGTGTTTTAAATGAAAGGGACAAGTGTCACGTAACCACTATCGGTTCATAGTGTAAAAAAACGGCGTAATGACGAGCCATGGAGTTCCCATTAATCACCAACAACTTCATGCTGTGGAAGTAGAAGTGCCAGTTTTAAATCTACTAGTTCCTATGCAACATCCACAGCAGCAACCACAACCGCTATCCCAACCACAACAACAACAGCCACAACACAATACAACACAACACAATTTAGTGACGAACACAAATACAACAGTGAACGCAACTCCTCCTTCAGAGCCACCGCCTTTGCCTGGTAATGATAAAAAACCTAAGTTGGAGAAAAAAAAGAAGGAAGCCATAGACGGCCAAGCGCGGGAAATAATTTTTAAGGTTATAAAGTTTTTCGAAAGCGAAAAACAGAATAGGGGATACGCGTTTCCCGTTGAGAATGTAGTGAAAAGAGCTTGCGCAGCGACTGGCCTCTCGGAGAGTACTATAAAGCGTATAAAACGAGACGGACTACGCGCTGAGGCGACACAAACAAAAATGACTGGTCCCAAGAAAAAACGTATTAGAAAAACTAAAGTCCAACTTGATTACTTCCAGTTATGTGCATTGAGAGGTATTGTGAATAGTTACTCAATAAGAAAAGAGGTGCCGACTTTAGGAAAAATTTTAGCGGCTGCAAAGCACGAGTTAAATTATAGAGGTGGTAAAGAGTCTTTAAGATTAATTTTATTGAATAAACTCGGTATTAAGTTTAAAAAGTGTGAGAAGAAGAATAAAAAACCTCCCGAACAGAATCCTCCGCCAGTCCAGCCAGTACCAAATATTATGCCTCATCCACAGATGCAGCAAATGAAGCCATTAGAAAACCAGTGTGTATACTCCAATATGATGCCTCAGGTGCCCCCAGTATCTTACTAATAAAAGACTTTGTTAAAATTATTTTTACAATCTAAAAATGTAAATAATCATTACAATAACTTATAAATTAATGCTGGTCGGTTCATAGACATACAGAGTACCTGTTTTTTTTTTTACAAGTTAATTGATGCATTACTACATATAATGAAAGTTTTGCAATCAATTTTAAAACTAGGAGTGGACAACATGGATTTGTTTAAAGGTTTAAGTATACTGTCTACAAAATAATATCTATATTTGTTTTTGTTTTAATTTTTAATTTGGCTTGGTCGCAAATACTTTAGGTATTACATATTTTGTAATAAGATTTTATTTATCTGACTCTTATTGTTGTAGCAATCTGTCTCATATTTTTGGGATATTTAGCTACTGTTTTGTATTGTTTTACTGTGATCAGATGGTCCATTCATTTTAATAAATAAGTAATATGATTTAAAAAATTGAACCCATATATATATATTTTTAAATGGTTATTTACATTTCTAGTCATTTTCTATTTATACATTTGTTTATACTAATGAGTGATAATAATTATGATCTGTTAATTATTAAGGCAATATTGCAGTTTGATATTCATTTAAAAATATTTAAGAATAAACTATGTAGTTTTTTTATTAGGGTTTATAAAGCAGGATTTACATATGTGGACTTTTGTTTGTTACATACCAGTACAGACTAATGTGTTTACAGCCTAATAATAAAATAAAAAAAAATTAATGCCTTAAAATTTGGCATTAATATTCATGACATCCACAATAACCAGAACAAAAAAATATCCAATATGGCAACACTGAAGTGCAGTGACCCTTGATTGTTAATATTGTAAAAATTATAGTATAAATATTTTATATGAGGCTCTAATATGGTATTTAAGCAGTTCAGTATAGTTTTATAATTAATAAAAAATAGTGGCATTATGTATATTTATCAGATTTCAAAAAATGGTGGTCCATAAAAAGTAATCCATACTTATTATACTATCAAATATGTACTATTATACATATAGGGTGAAATCTAAATTGTTAGTATCCTTTTTGAGAAATCTAGAATAACTGAAAACTTTCCAAAGACATGGGTAGAAAAAAAAAACACAAAAAATTTAGAACTTTCCATAATATATAAACTTGACAGCTGGAAACACCATCTTAGTAGGCCTGGGTAATTTAAGTACCGCTCTGATATCTATATATTGGGTTTCTCTAGCCCATACCAGTTGAATATGTATATTAATTTTAAATGACTGCTTTGTTTCGCCATTATGCATTGCATAATCAGTATTTAATGTATTCATATTTCTTTATTAACCAATGTAACAGTTTTCGTCACACAATGGCAAGTGTAGCCTGATGTAGTACAGTATAGTATCTATAAATATTTCCCCTAAAGCAGTAAAAAATGTCTTATTTCATCATTACAGCACTTGCTTATATGTGAGATTATTGGAACACAAAGAAAATTTGTCCTTTGTATTTTGTAATAATAGAGGTTGCAGTACATTGCCAAAAATTAGAAATTATAAGTACATTTTTTTTTATAGACCATAATTAGGTTGTATCTGAATTTGGTAGGGTTATACAACCGTATAAACCTACCAAATTTAGATACAACCTGCTTGCACACTTTCTACATAAACTGTGTCGAATATATAATCTAGTAATGTAAAATTTGTCATTGACAAATAATTGACATATCAAACATTTTCTACACACTAGCCTGCTGTGAATTGAGAGAAATAACAAACGATGGTGTATCTTTCATCCTCTTTTTACTAATTATATATGATTTACAGTTTTTATTTTATCATTCCTTCTATGTAATTCCTTGTTCTTAGGTTTTTACTAATGCCATAGACAAAAACTTGTAGACTAAGAAAAAAAAATACGACTTGCCTTGTCTTTATGAACAAAATAGAAAGAGACAGAAGACAACAAATTTTTATGAATAGTTTAAAGGGATACTAAAGATTGCAAAATCACCCTATATGATACTGCTGTCCCGAAATTAGAACTATATCAATGTACTTCCATTCTGAGTAATTTATTTTATCCAACTTCATTCCACTATTAATCATGAATTAGGTGACATCTTCCTGAAATCGGTTGCTATTTGTCTAATTGTAAAAATCTCATATTTTCTTTATAATTATTTATGATTTATCAAGATGTAAGAAGTCATTTCCTACTGCTTGAGGAAATAAATAAAAAGCACTTACCTTATTTTTGTAAACATATGATTCCCAAATGTAAAGTTGGCGTTAACCCTTCTTTGCATAATGGTGGAAATTTCCATCATAACATTGAATGCCTAAAAATTATATAAAAGTCCAAGTTGACTTTAAGTTGATCGTGTCTGGATACCTTTTTAATGTCTATTGCAGAAAAAAAAACATAGCTGTCAAATTTATTTCTTTAACCATTTTTCCTTTAATTTTGAACATGAATTATATCACCTTGATTTATTTTACCAATAAAATAGATGATTACCTTACCTTACATTTGGCAATCTTAAATTATGTGGCTATCTCATATTGTAAGATCTAATATCAGTGAAGAATTTCTATAATATATCCATTTGTCTAGATTTAAATCAGCAATTTATTAATAAAATATATATATCTGCTAATGCCTACATTTTGAATAGATTTTCAACATCACTTTATGGTTTTAGTAGATATGGGAAATATATAGTTACAATATCTATATATTGGGCCAATAACGGATATATTAAATAATTTATTTCTTACCTCATAGTGGCTTAACCCTTAAATACCTGAAGTTTCAAATCTGATACCAGGGTTTGCATTGTTTCATTGTTAAATAAATTTAAATGTTTCGATTACCGTAATGCCTACAGTATCAAAAATGATACCATGTTTTTTCAAAATAAATATATAAAAATATATCGTTTTTATTTTTTTTTACTATTTTTCCCCATTAGTAAACACGGTAAAGGGTACACTTATATATTTTTTAATTTGATTTAAAAATCAGGCTTTTAAGGGTTAATAGCTTGGCCAATATCTATGAAATTTGGTGTACACATACTATGTGGGATAGAGAATCATGTAGGCTACTTTTTATCCCAGACTAAGTCGCGGATAAAAAACTAATACAATATATATCGAAATGTAGATGCCGATTGAAATTAATATAGATTTTTAACCAGTATGGGCAGTATTAAAATGGGCGATGAGCATTTTTCCCACCAACAATAACTAGGAATCCAATGTATAGATATTGGAATGACACCAGTGTTACTCGTGCTTAGGTTTTAGTTTTGTTGTATAGAAATTTTATTATTTTTATTTACATACAAATTGTATGTTTGTACATCACAATCAATCTGTAGTACATTACTTCAGTATATAAATGATAATTATGTAGAATATAAAAAAAAACATATATTTATAAGGCTGAATATTACATTATGTATTATAATTATTTTTAATGAAATAAAACTAAATATGAAGTTTTAATGTTTATTTCTTTCCTTTCATAAATTTCTGTAAATTAATGTTAATATTGTAACATACAATGGACTATTAAAATGTTGCAACATTTAAAAATAAATAAAAAAATAGTAATTAATGAATTCATGAAAAATAAATCAATTTTGGTCTTTATTCTTAAGTGCACAATTAAAAAAAAATCTTCATAACTTTTTTTTTAATACTTGCAATAATATAAAAACACCTACTTTAAAAACTTTGTTTCCCGCCAACACTCAAAACGGTGTTATCTGTCAGGCATAGACAAGTTTTTTTTTTTTCAATAAACTTATAGAACTAAAATCACTGTGGTACAGTATAGACTAGATTTTTGTGTTGCGTCTTCTCGTGGGTCTTCATTGCCGTCCGTTGCGCGAACGTAGCGGGACAGTGTGCGCACTTGTACGGCCGTTCCCCTGTGTGCGTGCGCCGGTGGTTTGTAAGGATGCGATTTGTCTATGGGCAGATTTATTTTACTTATTATTTTTGAGGGAAGTTTACAACTATAATAAATAAAAATACATGACAACAATAAGCTAATTAAAAGCTACCACATATAGTTAACGAAAATTTAATTAATTACAGTCTAGATTTTTTTATACAACTTAGAATGGCAAACAAGCTGACGACCCACCTGATGGAAAGTGGTTACCACTTTCCATCAGGAAACTATAGACATGAGCAGTAGCATGAACATAACAGAGTATACGCATGGGGGTTGCCATTCCTGAGGGCTCGGGTGTTATTCCTCTGTACCCAGTAAATTCAAGCCATATCCCACCCTTCAAACCGAAACACAGCCATGCAAACACAACTGGTTCACGGTTGAAACACGAATAGGACAGAGGTAGCCAAGCAATCGACTTTTGTACAAAGTCTCCCTCTAGATAATAAATAAGTGTGCAAACACAAACTAAACATAAATACCCGAATAAATAATTTGCAATGGGTTTTCTTACATACCTACTGCTACTATTAAATATATAATACAATTTTATCTTTATTTTTTATTTATTATATCATATATTAAGGATATGGCCTGGGATAGAGCTGGCTGGAGGAAGCTGCATGAATTAGTTGCACCGACAAGAGGAAACTCTCAAATGAAAATGAATATTAAGCATTTAATCTGCCCTGTCTGGTTTACATAAGAGAGAAATTAGAAACTGTTTTTTTTTTTTCTATTGCCTACTTCCTTATAGTAGATAAGAGACTTTGTACAAAAGTCAGTTTAAATGGCAGTGCCCACACCAGAATTTCCTGGTGGACACCTCAGAATGCGAGCTGAGCTTTTAAATATACGCAAACATCCCTCCTCCCTCCCTCGAGAAATATCCCTACATCATGGGAGGAGGGAAGGGATTGTTAGTATTGGGGTTTAACTGCCTCCTAATATACTCCATTTGAGGAGTGGGGGGGGGGGAGGATTGTTAGTCATAAGGACTACCAGTCCCATTGCTAGCAATATACCCTGTCAAGTCGACTTCCACGTGGTTTCCCCTGGAAACCATCTTTCTGAATTCCAGGTGAAAATGGTATGGTAACGGTAACTCTGCCTGCGCTAATGGGATACGCTGGCGGAGCACCATTGAACGGTGATAGATGAGAATGAAAACAGGCCAGTTAGCCCATCATGATGAATTCATCTGGAATTAGTCATGATAGTTTCCAGGGGTAACCGCGAGGTCGACCTGGTTGGGTATATTGCTAGCAATGGGATTCTCAGTCTCCATTACTAACGATCCCTTGCCCCCCGCTGAATTCCAGGTATATTCATCACGATGAGCCAACTGACCTGCTTTCATTCTCACCTATCACTTCTTACTACCGAATATCAATATCGCAGGTTGGGTTACCATTCCATTTTCATTAAAAAGAAAAACTATATCATGTAGGTCGTCAGCTTAATTGCCATTTCAGTTTACACAGAAGTTTAACAAGTAACTTACGCTGAAGCCCCTGCCACATATGTCGCACATCTTATTCTTGGGCATGGGTATCTTCTCGTGTACGTACTGGCGGTGTGTTCGCGCCGAATACGCTGAACAGAATGTCTGGCAACACAGAAATATCACTTTATAATTTATTCCTTTATACGCGGTACATTTTGTAAATATTACACACATATAGGGCTTAAATTTCCAAAATTTCTGTCTTATTTTTCTACTTTTTTTTTTATACAACTTAGAATGACAAACAAGCTGACGGCCCACCTGATGGAAAGTGGTAACCGTCGCCTATAGACATGAGCAATACCATGGACGTAACAGAGTATACTGTTTCGCCCATGATACCCCCATGCGCTGCCATTCCTGAGGATTCAGATGTTATCCCTCTGTACCCAGTAAATTCACACCATATCCCACCCTTCAAACCGAAACAGCCATGCAAACACAACTGCTTCACGATTGAAACACGAATAGGACAGAGGTAGCCAAGCAATCGACTTTTGTACAAAGTCTCCCTCTCCTACGCTATATATAATGAATCTATTTGTAAAATTGCCAGGTTCTAGATTTAGTAGGTGGTATTGGCTGTGTGTTGGTTGGTCAGTCAGTCAGTCAGTCAGATCCCCTTTTTTTCCTATATATCATCATATCAACCGTTAATTGTCCACTGCTGGACTTATCTCGCCCATTATTGGAGTTTTGCCAATAGTTATTATTAATTTTATTTTTAATTTTTACACAATACACTTTAAGCAGACCACTGTGTTGGTCAAGTGATCCAAACATTATTGTTATTATTAGGACCCCGCGGGTTGGCGAGGCTCGTGCTGAAAATCAGCGCTGTAGTATCCCTGACACTACAGCATAATGCTGAACCTGAGCTAACGGACCTCATTTTGCAGGTATTGCGACACACGCACACATACACTCATTTTGGATGGAACTGTTATTCATCCATTGTATATCAGTCCATTGTTTCTGTCTAGCCAATGGGAGACAGGCGTGACTGATATATATGTATGTATGTATGTTATATATATATATATATATATATATATATATATATATATATATATATATATATATATATATATATATATATATATATATATATATATATATAATATTTTGTGTGTTGTTTGTTTATTATAATTCTTAATATATGAATTTTTTTTAACCCCTGTGTGGGTGTTGTCATATATTTCTGTAAAATAAAGTTTCTTTCTTTCTTTCTAGTTGCCACGCTTGGCAACCGGGTTGGCAACAGCAGTTAGGCTTTGGAGATGTTTTAAGAGGGACCCTGCTACCCATCTCTCGACTATTATGTTACCCACAGGAAACGAAGGGATTGCCCATTCTATACCGGGACCACAGGGACCACTTACTTTATTGCAAATGTCGCATCTGTGCTTCGTGTCATTCATATGCACCGCCTTATAATGGTTGGTCATGCGAATTTTGCGCGCGAAAACTTTGCCGCACTCCGGACATGGGATCCTGTAACAAATAGCATAAGAATGAGAGTCCATTTTACTATAATATAGGCCCAGTGGTGAATTAAGCCAAACAGAGATTTGGGACGGCAATCAGGCGCCCAGTTTCAGAAGTTGATGTAGTTTTAAAAGCTTTTTATATAATTTAGACTTAAATAAACATACATAGAATATGGGCGTAGATAAGGAAAACGGACAAGTTTAGAGCCTCCCCCCTTCCCAAGATTAGTCCCCCCCCCTGTTAGTCCACTGCTGCACAAGTCTGACCCTCTTTTGGGTCCATCTCGTTTCCTGTTAGTAGCATAATGGGAACACAAGCCCTTTGCTAAAATTAAAAAAAAAACGTAGACATATTTTTCCACGTGAAAAACAAATACAAATTGTTTTACACGGAAAAATATACCTGTTCTTTTTTTTGCAGTTATTTTTTTTTATATATAATTTTTTTATCGTTAGGGATTTTTTTTATACTATTGAGGTGGCAAACAAGCATACGGCCCACCTGATGGTAAGTGGTTACCGTAGCCTATGAACACCTGTAATACCAGAGGTTGCCCATGCACATACACATGCGTTGCCGACCCTGAAGAAACCTCTTTACCCCCCTTTTGAAGAACCCCATGCTGTAGTCTCTTGGGAAAACCTCGGAAGGGAACTCACTCCACAACCTGAGTGTTCGTGGGAGGAAACATCTCTGAAACCGCGCAGTACGCGACCATTGAGGCTGTAGGACATGAGGATGAACTCCCTGTCGATGGCGAGCCGTACGATGGTAGAAATTGGCTGTGGGCATCATATTGAACAATTCCTCTGAGCACAATCCATTGTACAGGCGGTAGAACGCGCAGAGTGAGGCAAAATCTCTCCCAAGACTCAAGGGTTCGATACCGCTTGTGAGGGATGCAAACGAGCAGACGTTCCACCTGATGGGAAGATACCGTCGCCTATTAACACCTGCAACACTTGAGGATTTGTTGTGTTGTCGTTGAAAGTTGTAAAAATCCTTACTGGTATTATAAATGTGACAGTGAGTTTGTTTGTTAACCAATAGCGCGTTAACGACTTAACCAAACACTATGAAATTCACTATATACGTACTATATGGGATCGAGAAAGATATAGGCTACATTTATCCCCTGTCACGTGGACGAAATCGCCGGTAAAAGCTAGTAAACAAAGGACGCTTACCTGACCGGTTTAGGCGGTGTGTGCTTGGCGGCAGTAGCGAGGTGTCTCCTGTACTTGTAAACTGTGGGAAACTGTTTGTCGCACTCCACGCAGTACGCGAGCTCGGTACGGGTGTCGCCTCGGATCAGCTCGGGATGGTGCATCCTGTAGTGGTTCTCGAGCACGTGGTAGTGGGCGTACGTCCGGCCGCATGTGTGACACGTGGCCGGCAGATGGTTGCGTCTGGTGAGGTGAACAGAATATGTATAGAATACTGTCACCTTCCTGCCTTTATCCGAATTATTTGGGGTTGGTGTAATGTCGTTTTATTCATATTGTACAAGGTTTTGGAAAACGTATATTGCTAACAATGGGATTCTCAGTCTCCATTCCTAACAATCCCATTCCCCCCAAGGCTTATGTTTACCAGTAGACAGTTAACGGCTGAAATAATGAGTGTGTGGCACTAATTTATTTATTTATTCATTAGTACAAATATGTGTACATGGCGGACTTAATGCTAGAAGCATTCTCTCCCAGTCAACCGTAGGGAAGTGTCAGAATACTCGAATGCGGTACTAGTAATTATTGATATACATACATACTAAAATTACATATATGAACGAATAAATATATATAAATAACAAATATACTTACACATATATGATATATACTATATTATGCACTAATTATTAGGACTCACTTTATATGCTTTTCCAGGGTCCGTTTTTTAACGAAGCTCTTCCCGCAGTGGTCGCATATGATGCGTTCGTGTGCTTCCTTGTAGTGGTTGCTGAACTCGCGCAGCGTCCTGCAAATTATAAAACAAATCCCGTGTCACGATTTTCGTTTACGCCGATCTGCGAAACCATTCAATCGATTGTTTGTAATGTAAAAATTCACCGCCTTCTCTTTTGTTTTGACGTTTACTATAGAATAAACTGTCAGTTCTACACTTAGAATAGAATAGAATAGAAATAGAAAATCATTTATTCAAATAAACTTACATTGAAGCACTTTTGAATAGTCATTACATTTTTTTTAATTTACCGCTCGTTCGGAAAGCTGTCTCATCACAAGAAGAACGAGCAAGAAACTTGCGTGTTGCTCTTTTAAAAGACTTGACTTTAAACATATTTGAAAATAGATATTCTGTTTTCACAAACACACACACACACACACACACACACACACACATACACACCTCTCTTTTCTATAATAAATATATGTAATAGTATTAGAAATAAGTGCCTTATGGAACCTCAAATATTTTGCATTAATTTCGACTTTTTTTTTTTCTTGTTTAGTTATGTATTTTATTTTTTTATTTCATTCCAAACGTATTCTAATTTACGAGTAACTAAATGATAAAATTGTACAAGAACCGGACTGTAAATGGCAATAAATATGAACTAAATTAGCCACTCACTGGCTACTACGATACAGGCCTGCGAGCCTAGTGTAGTAATCACTGTGTAATAAATTGTGTACCCGATTTTTAGCTACAATAAAGTTATTATATATATATATATATATATATATATATATATATATATATATATATATATATATATATATTAGCTATCAAGATCCAGAGAAACCCAATATATAGATATCAGATCGGTATCCAATATTACGCATGCTTAATAATTAGTGCTAATCTAAGATTTGTTTAGGCGACTCACCCACTTTCTTATTGTGAAGGTGAAATTTTTTGTACATTTTTTTTTAACTTTTTTCACTGTGCATTTATGTCTATTGTTGTTCGTGTGCTGTAAGTAATGCAAATAAATTATCTATCTATCTATCTACATTACGTCACGCTCACCGATGGTAACATACGTTCAATCGAACGACTCACCGACATGTGTTGCACACGTACACCAGTGAGTGGGCTCGCCTATTGTGAGTGGTGAAGACCCCACACACAGAGTACACAGTGTGAGTCAGTGTTATTTTTACATTTAGTTTGAGCGACTCACAATGAGTGGATATTTCCTTTGTGAGTGACACGAACACCTAACCTCACAGTACACAGCAGTAACTTACCACGGTTTACTGCGTGTTCAATACAATAATGTTTTCAGGGTATTATTGTTACGGTTGCTAAGTTTTTGTAGTGCATCCACAATGTTTGCAGCGGCATGGACAGATGACTTCTATGCCATCAGACGCAAACGGATCGCATCTCTTTTATACCGACTGCGTGACAGCAGTAACAGCATTCTGTGAGCATTGTGTAATAAATACGATAGCCCGATCCTGTCATTGTGGGTCAAAATTATTATAGGGGCCATAAAATGATTTTTGTATTTTTTTTTCTACTAACATAGTTTAAGTCAATTGTTACTAACAAAAATGGATCTTTGTAATCTATAATAAAGACATATTATTATTATGCTGATTTATTTATTTGAGCGACTCACCGACACCTCGCGTCGCATGTGTTGCACACGTACACCAGTGAGTGCACCCGCCTATTGTGAGCTGTGAGCGCTGTGGGCCGGCGGGACAACCAGCCGCACAGCAGACAGCGGTAGTGGATGTTGTGCCGTCGCCAATGATGCTCCAGCGCTTGCCATGAGGTGAACCTTATTTTACACATTGTACACTTGAGGGGGCCAGATTGCTGGAATGTTTAATATAGAATTAGATATATAATTTTTTTTTTTTTTTATACAACTTAGAATGGCAAACAAGCTGACGGCCCACTTAATGGAAAGTGGTAACCGTCGCCTATAGACATAAGCAGTACCATGTACATAACAGAGTATACTGTTTCGCCCATGATACCCCCCATGCGTTGCCATTCCTGAGGACTCAGGTGTTATTCCTCTGTACCCAGTAAATTCACTGGCATATCCCACCCATCAAACCGAAACACAGCCATGCAAACACAACTGCTTCACGTTTGAAACATGAATGGGACAGAGGTACCCAAGCAAAAAAATATTATAATCAAAGGAAAAATGTTGGCAACCCTAACAGCTTATGTCTAGTGGACAATTTAACAGAATAAATTAAGTATATTCTCATAATATGCATAAGATACTCACATCACGGTGAGAAAAAGTGACGTGCCTTTTATAATCTACCTCCCTCTTGTAAGCCTTGTTACACTCCTCACACTTGTACGGCCTCTTTTTGTAACTGCTATTAACATTGTCCCTTTCTAACAACTCCTCTATCTCTTTCTCGCTCAAGTACACTCTCACCCAGTACTTTTTTGAATCGCTTAAATCTATATCACTTTTGATCACATGCGCTTTGCTCTCGTACCTTTTTATAGAGTGTTTCTTTATGTTCTCACTTTTTATCTCGGGTACACCGATATTGTCTATGACTCCCGGTGGATCTTCAGTTTTGAAATCATCATATGCGTCGTCTATGTCGTCCACCTCTTGTTTTATTAAATTGTCTATGACATCATCTTGTAAACTTTCCTGTATTGTTTTTGGTTGTTCATCCTCTATTACAGCATCGTAGAAATCTTTTTGAATTGTTGACAAATTCGATAGACCTGTTAGAGGCATGTTCTCCTGCGAAAATGTTACATCAAGATTAATAATATTTTAGATCTGATATTAATTCTTACTATTATAGGATCCCTGTAAGTCCCCATAAGGGGGGGTTTTACTAATAGTTGTCATGCTGGGGGGAAAGGGATTGTTAGTAATGGAGACTGAGAATCCCGTTGCTAGCAATATACCCAACCAGGTCGACATCGAGGTTCCCCCTGGAAACTATCATGGTTAATTCCTGATGAATTCATCACGATGGGCTAACTGGCCTGTTTTCATTCTCATCTATCACCCTTCACTGGTGCTCCGCCAGCGTATCCCGTTAGCGCAGGCGGGGTTACCATACCATTTTCACCCAATAAAAAAAAAAACAGTTGTCGTGCTTGGCAGGTGGGTTGGTAAATGTTATGCTTTGATGACATTTTAAGAGAGTCGCTGCTGCCCATCCATCGGCCATTACATTCTCTTAGTCGCCTCTTACGATACCCATGGGAAAGAAAAGGGTGGCCTATTCTATGCCGGGACCACACAACCAACCATGGTTTTATTTTTGTCTTTTTGTTTTTTATAGATCTTACCAGTGCAAAAAGTGACTGCTGCAGTATAAACTGTGCATGCTGGATACTGTCTTGAAATTTGCGAGTCCGTTTCAGCAGAGCCCTGCATTCCCAACATAGATACACTTTTGCATCCTGAAATAAAGTTGTGGTACAGGTTATTTTATTTATAGGGAGTCATCATAATTATTTCAGCCATTAATTTGAATTAATTAAAAAAATTGAAATCCATTCATAATTGTAGATGTTCAAAGTTTTTTTTTCTTTTTTTTATGGTTTTTCCGTACAGTATTTAAGGTATCCCGTCCTCGCTATTGGATACAGACGACAGAATGCCTATATAAGACAGTACATGGTGGACGCAGTTTAGGCACAATATTTGAGGACCATTAGGAAGATAGATGTTCAAAGTTGTTTACTGATCTTGTACTATTTTATTATAGCAAAACTGCACGAAATTATGTATCTAATTGAAGGCATTGGTGTCTAAGATGCAGGGTAGGCCTAGTTTAGACTATCAGTAGTCATCCTCACCTATCATCCTTCACTGGTGCTACCGTGTGGTGTATACCGTTGGCGTGGGTGGGGTTACCATACCATTATCACCCATTAAAAAAAAACCTATATTATTGGAGAAAAAGGGTTATGCGTAATGTTGACTACCAATCACATTGCTAGCAATCGACCCTGTCAGGTCGATCTCCACATGGTCCTCTTGAAAAGCATTGAGCTGAATTCTAGGTGTATTCGTCACAATGGGCTAACTGACCCGCTTTTACATTCTCACCTATCTCATCTCTCACTGGTACCCCACCAGCATATACTATTAGTGCATGTGGTGTTACCATTCCATTATCGGGGTGGAAGGGATTGTTAGTAATGAGGATTTTCAGACCCATTGCTAACAATATACTCTAACAGAACGCCCTCCCCATGGTCCCCCCTGGAAGCCATCTTGCTGCATTCCAAGTGTATTCATCACGATGGGCTAACTGACCTGTCTTTTCATCCTCACCAATCATCCCTCACTGTCGCCCCGCTAGCGTATACCGTTAGCGCAGGCGGGGTTACCATTCCATTATCATTCATTAAAAAAAACCATTCCATTATCATCTATTAAAAAAAAACTAAAGGTATCTATAGCACAAATACTTACGCAATATTGTTGCTGGTCACCTAATAAGCTAAAAAACAAGTCCACATGCCTTTTTATTAGTGCCGTCTGTCTGTTCGTACTCAGACATCCACGACAAATATCTTTTTTATACATTTCAACTTTTACTGAATACATTCTCGTGTTATAACTTTCTTCTATATTTCTTTTTATATTTCCACTTATAATTTATTCACGAACAGTTTTTAAACATCATTATTTTTCACTGATCTCAAGTAGACAGTAAATATAGAATTATTAAGTTTTTCTTTTTTGGGAAATTAGAGGCGATATTAGCAATTCAATTTATCATAATACAAAATTCATAAACATTCGTTATTAGCATCAGTTCTTCACCTTTATTATTAAAATAAAATTAGAATATGAGTCTATGTGAATAATATTTTAATAATTTTATGATAATTATCAATATTAAATATGTATTAATTGTACACAATAAACAGAAAATACAAAACAGGGAAAATCACAAACCCATTTTACTATATTTAATAAGTCGACATTACTTTCACATTAACAAAATAAGAATTAATCTGTGTAACTATTTGAAAGTAATAACACAGTAAAATAAATGAATTCCAGTATTTTATAATATTCCTCTATCTAAAACATCGATATTGATAGGGAATATCGTTTAGATTTTGCTACTTGTATATTGTACTGTATATTGCGAGTCTTAACATTTAATGAATTGGTTACATAGATTTACACAATTAATTTTTTTAAAGTGACGTGTCTTTGACGCAACAAAGGTCAAAACAATGACAGTAAATGTCATGAAACCGTCAGATGCAGCTTGGGGCTACGTAAAAAAGCAGTTTGAGCCAGAGAATGCTGTTTCTCACATAAATGTGCATCTAGCGCATTTACTAACTAGGAAAAAATCTGTACAATCCTAATATTTTGACAACTAACAATTTATTGCGAAATATCACAGAGTATTGCGAGTGCATAAGTATCATCTGCCATCATTGATCTCTTTCATAAAATGGGCAATAAATAAGTCTGTGTGCTTGACTCAAGCCGGTTAACAGCCTTAACAACTCTTTATAGAGTAATACCGTATGTACATAGATGTAAGTATACATGAGTATATATAGATATTTATGGTACATATAAATATAAATCTAAGAACAGGGAATTACATAGAATGATAAAAACTGTAAATCATATGGTTGTCTCCTTTCTTCTTATGCAAATATAATTAGTAAAAAGAGGACAAAAGATGATCTGCCTTGGATAACTATTGTGCTCAATTTCAGGTGTGTTCATCACGATGGGTAACTGACTTACCTTTTCATTCTTGCCTTACATCATTCATTAGTGCCCCGTCAGCGTACACCGATAGCCTAGGGGAGGTTACTATTCCATAATCATTATATTAAAAAAAAAACCTCATTCCCTCCCTTCTGCATTTGAATTATTATTATTTGCAGAGAATATCTAAATAACCTACAAATTTAATTATCTATTTTGTTTGCATGCAAAATTATACGAAGTCATAGAGATATGTCACTTAAATTACAAGATAAAGAAGAGAATAAATACATTAGAGTTGAGAATAGGACATGACGCATAACGAGCATCATGACGGTGTTGTTCATGTACAGTTAAAACTTTTCACCAAGTGACTCCGCTTATTTTCCTTTCTATCTAGCACAAAATTATAAAAGGAATTTAAGAATGTTTAAGGAATTAACCATGATAGTTTCCAGGGGGAACTACGAGGAGGTCGACCTGGTTGGGTATATTGCTAGCAATGGGATTTTTAGTCTCCATTACTAACAATCCCTTTCCCCCCAGAATGTTTACGTTAGGATTAATGTTGCAAAAGAATATAGACTTGTATTATAGATACTTGGATTCAATAGTTATTTATCTATGATATCAAGGGAAATTTATAACTGACATAACAATGATGTAAAAGAATGACTGATTGACATAAGACTGACAATTTCTGAGAAAAAGTCGAGCCTGTTCCAAACGGAACAAACGTACTAAAAAAAAAAAAAAAAAGAAAAAGTCGATATGTTTACAATGTTTGTTTTTATTTATTATTCGAATTTTGTATTTTAATTCGCTTTAATTTAATTAAATATAAAAAATAAATTTTAAATTGTGTGAGACTGTTTTATAATGGAGGAAATTAACTCATCTAGTGATAAATATAATTTATGTAGTATGTGCTTAAGCGCGGATCGTAAACTCTGCCGTGCCGGAAACATTGCATTTATTGATGAAATTTCGAAAATTAAACTTATAAAGGTACGTGCAAATTGAACTTAATCATTTGATAATTTGTCAAATCTAATAATACTAGTTAAGTGGCCATCGATATATTACCATCCAGTACTTAAGTATTTTTTCTTTTTTGAATAAAGTATGCCTATGATTTGAAGGCTGGCATATAACTAGTAAATGTTTTATTTACAGTGTTTGGATATCTGTGAAATGGCAGTGTGTTGGGAGTGTGAAGCAAACATGAAGAATATTATTGCATTCAGAAATAAAGTATTGAAGGCTCAGTCAGTCATCAGGGATCTGATGAAGAACAGTGTAGTTAGTACATTGCAACTTTTTTTTTAATAATAATAATATTAATAAATATTTTTTATTCAAGTAAACTTAAGAGTAAACATTCTTCTTCTTCTAGCAAGAATATCAAAAATGAAAATTTTTAATTTGTACTTTTTTATATTTATTATCTCATAAATGTCTAAAACTAATATAAAAAATGATTTTTTTTATCTGAAAAGAATATGGTTAGATAGAAATTTTATCAGAATTGGTCGAGTAGTTTAGTTTTTAAATTAAAGTAACTGGTTTTGTCACAATTTGTGTTTTTTTTTGTGGATTAAAAACTTCAAGTAAATACTTCAAGAATTTGTTTTAAAAATATTTACTTTAAGATTCTGAATATATCTTTCTTGTGGTGGGACGGATAAATCTGTTATAAATACTTTCTTTAAACTTTTTAGACCCGTCTGTGTTATTGAGGAGTTTCAATGACTTCTACATTCACATGTTGATTGAAATGATCAGAAGAATGTGAAAATATGAATTAATTTTATTTTAATAAGTGCCATACAATCATACCAATAGCCCAGTTTTAATGAATAAAGAAGAAAAAATAAATGTCAAAAACAAGATTAAAAAAAAAAATGAAAAGGAGTTAAGGAAGAAGTATCTTCCTTTTTTTGTTTTGTTTTTATTAGATAAATATAGGATAGGATGTGTTATGTGGAGCCAGGCAATGAACATCCAGGGGCACAACCTGGAACACTCTATATCCTGTCAGGTTGACCTCCACACAGTCCCCTCTGGAAACAATCATGTTGAAATCCAGATGTATTTATCACGGTGGACCAACTGACCTGCCTTTTCATTCTTACCTATCATTCCTCACTGGTGGGGGGAAAGGGGTTATTAGCAATGGAGTTTGACAGCCCCATTGCTAGCAATATGCCTTATTAGGTCGACCTCCACGTGGTTCACCCTGGAAACCATTGTGAACAATTCTTATTGAATTCATCACGATGGGCTAACTGACCTGCTTCATCCTCACCTAGCATCCTTCACTGGTGCCCCGCCAGTGTACATCGATAGCGCGGGTGGGGTTACCACTCCACTTTCATCCATTAAAATAAAGAAATTCCTCACTGGTGTTAATTAATTTCAGTGTTGCCAGCCTGTACAAAGCCTTTCTCGATTAAAACCTACTATAATCGATAATGCAGAAATAGTCATGTTACAATCCTCGATTGATGTGAAAGTCGAAAATATTTTTATAGAAGATCCTGATGTAAGTGAAGCATGTGATATACCTTTAGAGAATATTAAAGAAGAAGATGAAGAATATGTAGGAAATAATGAAGAAAGTAAGCTTATGCTTTTTATGACCTAGTTTATATAATAATAAATCATATTTATTCAAATAAACTTAATAATAAGCATTTTTGAATAGCCATTTTATTATTAATCTACTGGCCAGTTCGGTATGCAATATAATTTGCTGTTTAAATGGTGGGATATGGCAGTGAAGTTACAGGGTACAGAGGAATAACACCTGAGTCCTCAGGAATGGCAACGCATGGGGGGTATCATGGGCGAAACAGTCTGTTTGTCCATGATACTGCTCAAGTGTATAGGCGATTGTTGTCACTTTCCAACAGGTGAGCCGTCAACTTGTTTGCCATTCTAAGTTGCATAAAAAAACCACAAGTCTCGATTGCAGCGCCATCTAGTGTTTCTTGTCTAATTTTGTTTATTGACCAACCACTTTAATAAGGATTTATAAATAAATATCATTGCAGGTAAGGACATTTCAATATGTGATGAAAATATAGATCAAAATATATATACAGTAGTAAGTTTGAGTGAAGAAGAAATGAGAAATGAAAGAGACAAGAGGAGAACCAGCAGCAGATTCAATAAATGCACAGTGAAGTGTGTGAAATGTGTTGAAATATTTTCTAATACAAAGTGTCTGTATTATCATATGAGGAGACATGATAAGGTCTCACTTTTTTGTATCATAATCATTTATTAACATCATCATAATTAATTTTTATTATAATAATCATTCACCAACATAATTCATCATCATAATCATTTATTAACATAATCATAATTAATTTTTATTATAATAATCATTTACCAACATAATTCATCATCATAATCATTTATTAACATCATCATAATTAATTTTTATTATAATAATCATTCACCAACATAATTCATCATCATAATCATTTATTAACATCATCATAATTAATTTTTATTATAATAATCATTCACCAACATAGTTCATCATCATAATCATTTATTAACATCATCATAATTAATTATTATTATAATAATAATTCACCAACATAATTCATCATCATCATCATTTATCATCATCACCATTCATTATCATCACCATTATATTAGCCGTTAACCGTTCACTGTTGAACATAAGCTTCTCCCATAAGGAGGGTTCTACCGGTAGTTGACATGACGGCAATCGCAGTTAGGCTTTGATGTTTTAAGAGGGACACTGTTGCCCATGTTTGTACCATTAAGTTCTCTTAGTTGCCTCTTACGACACCCATGGGAAAAGAAGGAGTGGTCCATTCTATGGCAACGTTACATTGTCTGTCACTTTTGAAGAAATATTAGAAAATAATTGAATTATATAATAAACTAGCAAACCGGCCCGGCTTCGCACGGGTACATTGACTTCTCGAAGACAATATATAGCCTATATTACTTATAATGTAGCTTTGTATAGGTGAAAGAATTTTCAAAATTGGCCTAGTAGTTTTAGAGTCTATCCATTACAAACAAACAGACAAGCAGTTCTTTCCTTATTTTATAATATCATGGGCGGCGGTAGTCACCATCAGGAGAGCTGCATGCTCGTTTGCCCCCTGTATTATAAAACAAAATATATTTCAGGACGCAGGTGAATTCCTATGCAGCATCTGTGAACAGCGATTTACACTTGAATCTGAAATGACGAATCACCGCTTGACGCATTATAGGTGAGAATTTAATTTATTGTTAGCGTCTTCTTTCACACACATTACCACAAATCCTTATTTTCTGGGCAAGTGCCTTTCACACCAGAAGGGGGACTTTGTACTAAAGTAATTTCCTTGAGCACCTCTGTACCATTCGTATTTCTACCGTGAAGCAGTTGCATTTGCATGGCTGTGTTTCGGTTTAAGGGTGGGATATGGCGTGAATTTACAGGGTACAGAGGAATAACACCTGAGTCCTCAGGAATGGCAACGCATGGGGGGTATTATGGGCGAAACAGTATACTCTGTTATGTCCATGGTACTGCTCATGTCTATAGGCGACGGTTACCACTTTCCATCAGGTGGGCCGTCAGCTTGTTTGCCATTCTAAGTTGTATAAAAAAATTCTAGATCCATGGCCTTAGGGGAGGGGGGCATTGAAGGGCAATGCCCTACCTTAAAAGGCCCAATGCCCTATCTTAAAATGAAAAGCCCCAAAACAATAAGACATATTCGCATTTTCCAAGTCACTTAATTATGGCTTCTGTCCTGCCAAAAAATGTTTTGCCCTACCTTAAACATGGGTCTAGCTACGGCCCTGTCTGGATCATCATTTTTCATCAGGTGAGGTAAGATCAAACACAAAACCTAATTTTCTTCTTTTCATTTGTTCGCAGGCATTACAAATGCCGGATATGTGAGCTGGAGTTCCACAATGAAGACTTGATTCTGCGTCATCACCGCGACAACCACAGCGAAAATGGTTACGCGTGTGAAGTATGCAACACCGTATACCAGTAGGTATTGGCATGGATTTGTTTTTTATACAACTTAGAATGGCAAACCAGCTGATTGGCTGGCTGGTTTGAAGGATGGGATATGGCAGTGAAATTAATTCTTTTGAGTAAAAATAATATTTTATATTTTAACAAGGGCTCTCATTGGACACTGCAAACTAAACAAGCATATAGTCCAACTTGGCTTATGCCCAAAAAGTGTTTGCAGATTTTGTCACAGTGAGCAAGAAACGCCGCAGCACTGAATGTGTCGCTGTAGCCCTCTCGTACACAAACGATATGTCTCGTTTGGAAAACACACTTAAAACTCCTATCACTGATAGGAATTAGCAGAGAAAAAAGGGCGAGCACACAAGATCATAGAAAGGTCGCAGCATCACAAGAAAACCTTTTGACTGAGGGAGCTTTGAAAATCCGGAGACCTCGCCCGCCGCTGTCACTTCTTAATCTTCTAATGTATTGTGCATCTACTCATATTGAACTGTCTTTCGTTTGTTTTCCATTTCCGCAGACAGTTCTACTTCCTTTACCCCAGAAAGTCGTGCAAATCCTCCTCACAAAACACAGTATAAATTCAGTAAAACTCAGGAATGGCAACGCACGAGGGGCGAAATAGAATACTCTGTTATGTCCATGGTACTGCTCATGTCTATAGGCGACTGTTACCATTTTCCATCAGGTGGGCCGTAGCTCGATTGCCATTCTAAGTAGTACAAAAAAAAAAAGCACATACGAAATAACGGTCAGATAGCAAATTTAAGGATTCTGGATTATTCTAGAACGAAGAGACTGTACCAGTTACACCGACGCAGCAAACACAAGGGTCGCAAGTCGTGCCCCACGTGCCATAAGGAACTGGGACCCAACACTAATCTCAAGAAGCACATGCTGTGAGTATACGTTTTTGGTGCTTTTGAATAAAAATTCTGTGTCGTCTCGAGGGTGCCATAAATTTGACCAGATGTGACGAAATTAAAAAGTTATAATAAAAAAAAATGTTTTTCGTAGACTTAGAAAATAGAAAAAAATAGCATTCGGAATAGTTATAATTATTACTAGAGGGAGACTTTGTAGATAAGTCGTTTGCTTGGACACCTCTGTCCTATTCGTGTTTCTATCGTGAAGCAGTTGTGCTTTCATGGTTGTGTTTCGGTTTGAAGGGTGGGATATGGCAGTGAATTGACAAGGTACAGAGGAATAACACCTGAGTCCTCAGGAATGGCAACGCATGGGGGGAATCATGAGCGAAACAGTATATTCTGTTATGTCCATGGTACTGCTCATGTCTATAGGCGACGGTTACCACTTTCCATCAGGTGGGCCGTCAGCCTGTTTGCCATTCTAAAGTTGTATAATAAATATTTTTTAATCTTACAGTACTCACACGTCTGTGACATACGAATGTGAGGTTTGTAACAAGAAATATAGAAACGTTTGGAGCTTACGCACACATAGACAGTCGCACAACGTGCAGGCAAGTAAAGGGAAAGATGTAAAATTTTCATTTATGATACTTGAAATAAATATGAAAGATAATATGGCCAGAATGGGAGTGAATGCGGAAATGACTGTGAATAGGGGGGGGGGGGGGAGGAATTGTTAGTAATGCAGTTTGACAGCCCCATTGCTAGCAATGTGCCCTATTAGGTCGACATCCGCGTGGTTCCTCCTGGAAACCATCGTGAACAATTCTTGTTGAATTCGTCACGATGGGCTAACTGACCTGCTTCCTCACCTATAATCTTTCACTGGTGCCCCGCCGATGTATACCGATAGCGTGGGTTACCATTCCATTATCACCTATTAAAAAAAAAATAGAGAAGAATGGAAGAGAAAAATATATCACGCCGACCGCAAATAATAAATGATAGTAGAAAAATGGTGATGACAATTATATTTAGATAGATACTCGTTTATTGTTTCCTCCAAAAGATTACAGTAGTAAACTTATTATAGATACAAACAATTACGAGAAATAATCACAGTGAGAAAACAATGGGCGACCTTATCGCTAAAAGCTATCTCTTTCAGGCAACCTTTGGATGGAGGAGAGTAATAGAATTATATTTTTCTAATTTAGAATAAATAAATAAATTACAAAAAAAAAACAGGTTTTGTCGTGTGGTCCCAGAATAGAATGGTCCCTTTCTTTCTCGTGGTTGTTGTAAAAGTTTAACTAAGAGATCTTAATGATTAAGGGATGGGCAGCAGCGTGCCTCTTTAAATATTAATAAGTCCGGATAATCGAACATTTGTATAATCGAATATTGGATAATCAAATATTCGGATAATCGTATAATCGAATATTCAGATAATCGAATATTCGGATAATCGAATATCCGGATAATCGTATAATCGAATATTCGGATAATCGAATATTCGGATAATCGAATATTCGGATAATCGAACATTTGTATAATCGAATATCGGATAATCGAATACTGGGATAATCGAGATTCTATTGTAAATAAATAAACAGAAGAACGAGGCGGCGTACTGCGCGGAGTGCGATGTACAATACAAGACAGTGTACAGTTACTGGACGCACGTACGGACCAGTCTCAAACATGTCTCCCTCGAGGATCTCAAGTGAGTGTTCAGATTTTACCATATTGTGCAATAGAACAAATAAATATAACCCACCTCTTTCTATGGGTGTAGTAAGAGGTGACTAAAGAAACTTATTGGTAGAGAGATTGGAAGCAGCGTCCCTCTAAAAGTCTAATTGCGTTTGTCAATTCATCTGCAAAGCTTGGCAACTACTAGCAAAACTCCTCAAGGGCCCTTATTCAGCAGCGGACAATTAATGACTGTTATGAAGATGATGATGAATTTGTCTATCTGTATGTACCTACATTAATATTTGTGTTGTCCTGGTATGGTAGGTAGGTATAGGAAAGGAGAGACTTTGTACAAATGTCGATTGCTTGGGTACCTCTGTCCTACTCGCGTTTCAGCCGTGAAGCAGTTGTGTTTGCATGGCTGTGTTTCGGTTTGAAGAGTGGGATATGGCGTGAATTAACAGGGTACAGAGGACTAACATCTGAGTCCTCAGGAATGGCAACGCATGGGGGGGTATCATGAGCGAAACCGTGTACTCTATTATGTCCATGGTGCTACTCATGTTTGTAGGCGACGGTTACCGCTTTCCATCAGGTGGGCTTTCCGTCAGCTTGTTTGCCATTCTAAGTTGCATAAAAAAGAGCATATTCCTTTTTAAAAGGCCGGCAGCACACCTGCAATGCCTCTGGTGTTGCGGGTGATCATGGGCAGCGGTAGTCACTTACCATCAGGTGAGCCGCGTGTTCGTTTGCCCCCTATGTTATAAATAAAATATATATGTTTTTTTGCAGGTATAAATGTAAATACTGCAGCAAACGCTGCGCGTCCGCTTCGTCTCTCAAGTACCACATGGAATCGGTACACACGAAGGAAATGAACTATTCATGCAAACAATGCGACCAAGTAAGTGTAGTTTGAGAAGCAAAATTTAGTCCCACATGTTAGGTATATGGCTAGCAAAGGCTATCTTTATCACTAAACAAATATTATTGTATAAGTAATTATTATACAAGTATTATTGTACAAGTAACTTGTTGTAGGATTTATTATACTAGTATGTATTATTGTACAAGTAACTTATTGTAGGATTTATTATACAAGTAAGTATTATTGTACAAGTAACTTGTTGTAGGATTTATTATACCAGTAATTATTATTGTACAAGTAACTTGTTGTAGGAATTATTATACAAGTAATTATTATTGTACAAGTAATTTGTTGTAAAAGTAATTATTATATAAGTAAGTATTATTGTACAAGTAATTTGTTGTAGGAATTTTTATACAAGTAATTATTATTGTACAAGTAATTTGTTGTAAAAGTAATTATTATATAAGTAAGTATTATTGTACAAGTAATTTGTTGTAAAAGTAATTATTATATAGGAGATTATTATTGTACAAGTAACTTATTAAAATACAAGTAATTATTTATTGTTTTTAGGCATTTAATACCACGAAGAGATTGCGCGTTCACGTTAGATTCAAACACGAAGGGAAATCAAAACCGAAGAACAAAATTTGCTGTATTTGTTCTAAAGCGTTCTCGGTGAGTGTTTTATATATGTATACTTACACATACGAATAGATATGTTCATAAGCAATGTTCATAATGCTGAGCCTGAGCTAACGGACCTCATTTTGCAGGTATTGCGACGCACGCACACATACACTCATTTTGAATGAAACTGTTATAATAAGAATTGTTTTTTTTTTCTTTTTTAATTTTATATTCTTTATATATATATATTGTGTGTAGTTTCGTTGGTATAATTCTTAATATATGAATTTAATTTTTATAACCCCTGTGTGGGTGTTGTCGCATGTTTCTTTAAAATAAAGTTTCTTTCTTTCTTTTTTGTTTTCCAGACGAAAGTAGGTCTGCAACAGCATATGAACTCGCATACTGGTGCCCGTCCGTACGTTTGTAAGGTCTGCGAAGCGTCATTCTCTCATTCTGGCGCATTATATACCCACACCAAACTGTTACACAAGAGACAGAAGCGCCAAAAACCGGATAAAACCAGTCAAAACTAATAATACATCTTCTGTCGACAGAATTTAATTATTCTGTGAAGTATCAATTCTTTTTAAAAACAAGTATGAAGGCTAGGTAAGAAGAATAAACTTGTGTATAAAAAAAAAAATTTTTGTTAAAATGTGTTAAATTAGTAGGCGCTGCAGTCTTCCATCCAGCCTAAAGTTACAGTCTACACACCATGTGTAGACTGTAACTTTAGGCTGGCCCACTTTCCATTAGGTGGGCCGTCAGCTTGTTTGCCATTCTAAGTTGTATGTATGTATGTATATATATATATATATATATATATATATATATATATATTTATACTAGAACAGAACGTGGCGAGGGAAAAGCCTATTGCTATATGAGAGGCAAAATATACACGATGCAGAGCAAAATATAACATGTGGGGCAAAAGTGTGGAGGCGACGAGGACACGGCGCAGCACGTGTTGGAGGAGTGCCCCGCGTTTGCTGCGGAGCGCTGTGGCCTCGTTGCGGAAGTGGGGGATGATCTCTCGCTACCGAATGTACTTATTTCAGCTGGCATGTTCTGCGAGGTGGGTGGGTCGATGGTAATGGTATATTCAGATATCGCTGTCATTATAATACTGTCCTATTAGGTCCATAGTATAATAATTAATTTTAAAGATTTGTATTAGTATTAGATAATGTTAATAGTCAATCTCTGTAACTATATTTCTTTTATATAAAAAGGGAGATGTACGCATATGTAATATAAAACATTAGAGAACGCATTTTTAGTCTATGCTTGCCAGTCATAAAGAACGTCATTATGTCATGCCACGTAACATTTCCTTAATAATAATAATAAGAATGCATCGAACAAATGGCTGAAACGCGGCGAACTCTTCCCAGAGACAGAAGCATTTATGGTAGCAATACAAGACCAGACAATAGCTACCAGAAACTATACAAAACACATAATAAAGGACCGCAATTTGCCTAGTGACTCATGTCGACACTGTAATACCTATGATATTGGACCCCATTCCTCGTTGATTCCTGATATGGACTGCTATTCACAAAATTTTGAATTTTCGTAACCTAATTCCAAATTGAAATTTATTGAGGTATGAGCCTATCGCTATTCAGAATAACGGCGCACAGTCAAGATTGAACGGTATTGTATTTCCCAATGATGATACTTTGGAGAGTAGATACCGATATTCACACCTTTTACGAAATAGAGTATATACCATCCTCGCTGAAATGAAAGATAAGTTTAAAATGTTAGAACTTCGATGGGAGGAAAACCCCCAGGGACTAAATTTTGTAATAAGAAAGTAACATCAGTAAATTTAACTTTTGTAGAATCAGTCGGCCCAGTAAATGATGAAAATGCACCTATTCCTTTATTTGAAAGAACACTGAATATACATAGTTTTGGCGCTCAATTTGACGATATCAAATTGTTTTCTTGTTGCCTGATGGCATATTTACGATTTCGCCCACAGCATTTCTGGTTATACGATCTTTTCAACAATAGATTTGGTTAAAGCCTACAATCAGATATCGGTTTTTGCAGAAGATATACATAAAACTGCCATTGCCACAGCTTTCGGACTTTACGAGTTCCCTTTTATGACGTTTGGTTTGCGCAATGCTGGCCAAACATTTCGAAGATTCGTCGACGAAATGAATAGAGGGCTTGATTTTTGTTACTGTTGCCTCGACGACTTCTTAGTATACTTCAGAAATAAAGCCAACCATGTATACCACCTCCAACAGCTCTTCATTCGTATGAAGAAATTGGGCATCCTCATGAATATCTCAAAGTGCGTATTCGTTCTGAGGTCACTTTCTAAAGTTATCACATCTCCACGTCAGGAATTAAGCCTAATTCCAAAACTTAAGCCATCAAGAAATTTTCTGCACCAGCAAACGTCAAACAAGTGCTTCTTAGGGATGATGAATTATAATTTATTGCAGTGACTAAGGATATCTATTGAATTCAGTCACTAACCTAGCTTGCAGAAAGATTCTAATGAATCTCGCAGTTGAAAGATAGAAGGAAGCTAGTAAACAGCAAACGACAATAATATTTAAACAGCATTTAATATTTTACATTTGGTAGGATTCGTAAAGACAGAAAGATGGAAGTAAGAAAAGCTAAAAACCAAAATGTCACATATTTTCTAAATGATGCAAACGAAAAAGAGTCTTAATATTAAATTGACGTAAAAATTGTTGGCGCGGATTAAAGGAGGTAGCTCAATAAGTCCCTACATTTATTGTTATTTATATTGCATTAAAATTTATCTTTAGCCTTTTTGTTGTATATATTTTTTATTAAACATTGTGTCATTCATTTTTAATCTATGGTATCTGTACAGTGGCAGATAGCTTTATCTTATTTATCTGTGTTTTTGTTATGCACTGTGTGTGCATTTTTGGTCTAAAGAAATTTTGTACTTGGAAATCTGTTCGTTTTTTTTGTGTGTTACTGTAATAAAGTATTTCGTATGTGATTTTAAAGATGTTTTCAACATAAATAACACTTTTTCTTTTATTTTTCTATTGTTACGCCTTGACTAGACGCTTCTTTCATTATTCCTATCCATCCTTAGGCCAACAATTATTGCCTCTATCTTGCTTTTTGTAATAAGTTATTACTTTTTGTAATCTGCATCATTCCATAAAGGGAATAACAAAGAATTTTGATTCATTCATAGATTCATAAGATAGAGGTTGTTAGTAATAGGGATTAATGATTCCTTTGCTAGCAATACACCCTATCAGGTTGACCTTTACGCGATCCTCTTGAAAACCATCGTGGCAAAGTCCTATTAAATTTATCACGTTGGGTTTTTTTTTTGTTGGATGAAAATGGATTGGTAACTCTGCCTGCGCTAATGGCATACGCTGGCGGAGCACCAGTGAAGGATGATAGATGAGAATGAAAACAGGCCAGTTAGCCTATCATGATGAATTCATCAGGAATTAATCACGATAGTTTCCAGGGGGAACCGCGTGGAGGTCGACCTGGTTAGGTATATTGCTAGCAATGGGATTTTTAGTCTCTATTACTAACAATCCTTTTCCCTCCTATCACGTTGGGTTGACTGACCTGATTTCATGATCATCCCTCATTGGTGTTCCAATAGCGTACTAATGTTGCAGGAGTTACTGTTAAATTCAGATTTTTTAAATACTAAGTAAATATAATTTTTATGCTGTAATGTATGGAAAATAAATGCGGTTGGACTTATTAGGATTATATTTTAATAAACATCATATTTCGGGACATTCGCTAGGGTCCGCCGGCCTTGGGCGGCTCGTCATGTGCCTGCTGGTGAGCGCGCAGTGCAGCGCGGTGTGCAAACTGGACGCTGCACCGGGTGCACGAGTACGGACGCTCGCCCGTATGCGTGCGGATATGATTCGTAAGGATCTTATTCGTCTGGAATAAATAAATAAATACGATCATGACCATAATGAAGGAAGGCTTAGTTTACAGAGAAAGTAATGATTACTCATTCTGATTGAGCCGGCTATGTGGTTTCGGCATAGAATGGGCCACCCCTGCCTTTACTTTACCCCGTCCTTTACGGTTTCTTAAGAAGCAACTAAGGGTACTTAATAGTCTAGGAATGGGTATATAACTAATTCCTAATTCTTGTTTCAGAAATGCAGTACTAAATTGTAATTGGCAATAGATTGGATCGATATAAATTCAAGAGTTGTCCTGCTGTTTTTCTTTGTTAAATTTAGACTTCAATTGAGCTGAAAACGGTAGACGCTTTTTATTTTGTATATTATTGCTTTTTTTTTGTTTGTTTTGTTCTTAATTTATATGCTACACCAAGCGTGGCGACTACTGGCAAAACCTTCCAAGAGGGAGGCTTATGTTAAGCAGTGGAAATTTTATAATAAAAAAAAAATATAATTAAATCCATAAATTATTATTAAATTGAATTTAAAGAGAATTGTACAAGTGTATTTTACTTCGCTTGCTATATAGAAGCTTGACTTGGACGTTCATCAGTAAAATGTAATTAAATGGTTGCCAAAAAGCAACGAAAAGAAGTGTATTAAATATCAGGATATTAAAAAAATGTAATGAAAGCCAAACAAAGCTATAAATGTGACATATAGTTTTAGTAGTGTCGTTGATTAAAGGTCTACATAATTTAGCAGTAAGTGCAATGTTTGCTGAGGCCATACGTCATTATCTAGTATTTGAAATATTAATCAAGAATAAAAATCGATACTGAGACGACATTAAGACAGCAAGAGTGAGATAACTTTAAAATAGATTTGCGAAATTCAACGTCAGGCTGTCTAGCAACGAGGAAGATCAATCAAAAAAGAGAAGTGACAAGAGTTATTCAAGACGATTTTTACGTTCCATAACAAGATATCAAAAATCTGTTGACTACTTCTGTTAAACTTGGCTGTGCGTAACAAAAATTGCCTAGAATCGCTTCTGTTGTAGGGTTTCCCAACACACCAATTTACAATCGTAAGAAACAAGGCTGACATCCGAGAAACTCAAATGGGCCAGAATAGTGTTATTATAATCATTAATATTACCTACAAATTTTTGGTTCTTAATTGTAAACGATCAGTGTTGTCGACAAAATAAATCCCTTTGTCATATGTACATGAACCCATCAAGAGTATTTGTTTCACTGGCGTCCCATAGCGTCGTCATCATTATGTAACACTCGAATGGATATAATAAAAATCACCTAGCCAAGATATAACGAAAACCCCGGTTTATACAATTCAAATTTGATGTATTTCTGTCTTCAATTATATTTATTTTAATTCTGTTCTATATTGATTTAAAAAAAAAACCTTTAATATACAAGGGCTATTACAGCAACTTTTTTATAAAGGAATAAGTTTTATTTGTACCGTATAAAAGAAATTACTATAAGCAAAATAAAAAAAAAAAAAAAATGAGAATTAAAAAAGGAAACGAAAACCATATAACATCAGATGATGATCAGTAGACGTCAGGACTTTAAAAGATGGTTGTTACCAAAAAAAAAAATACAATTTTATTTTGTCACAATTATGGAAGTATAAACAAAGTAACAAGTCAATTTTAGATACCGGAAATGAAATAGAAAAATTATTCACTGAATTAACAATAACTCAGGCCGGAGGCTTTAAAGCTGCTTACGAAGAGTTGTTACCAATAAACGAAAAAACCGCAATTAAACAGTTTGCGTGTGGATTGAATATTAATACATTATCTATGATCATAACATGTCCTGAAATTGCACATTTACGTGAAGCTATTATGACAACAATAGAAGAAGAACTATCAATTTCAAAAACGTCTGAGGTATGCTATACGTTTCAGATAAGAAATCATTTGAAAGAAAAACGTTAAAAAATAAAATTAAAAACTGCGAAATTTTAATAGACAAAAACACAATACAACAAAATATTATAGTTATTGATCGCGAAGCAAAATCAGCAAATGCAATGTAAGAAAGGTCCTGCATTTATTAGTAATATGAGAATAAATTACCTAAATGGATCTGCTGACGATGAAACTACTATAACTTTGTTTGGAGAATACGACTTCATTGATATTTTACCTTTTAATACAAGTTTTGTAATTAAATACAATTGTTGTAATAAAATTATAAATGCTGTGCCCTTACAGGGTTCATGTTAATATTGTACCTTTAATTCTTAAGATCTATATTGTTACAACATGAAAATGCAATAAATGATTGCATTAAATTAAATATTTAACAGTAGATTCAGGTGCCTCAATATCAATATTAAAATACGGCTGGCTAAAGATTATGCCGTTAGTTATAATGTATAAAGAAACAAGGAGTTTGTGAAAATTCACAATCTATGGAATTTTATTTGAGTCTTGAATTTAATAAACAAACATTTAGACAAAACTTATATGTTTTTAAAAAATTGCAATATACTTCCCATGGAATAATAGGTGACGACATTTTAAAGACATTATCAGAAATGTTCAGCTTTAACAGACCATAAACAGGTTATGTATATCGTTTAAAATCAGAGATAAAATTATTAACACTACTAGCTGTAACTGTAGCAACTAAGCTAAATAAATTTGATTACTACTCGTATATTATTTTCATCAATTTGATTACTCTCCATCTTCAATGCTCTTACCATTTGTATGCTGGCGACCTGCAGCTTTATGTACAAGGTAATGTGGATAATATAAATGATGTCGTTGAAAAATTTAATCCCGACTTCAAGACCATTTATGATTGGTCTCTCAAGTTTGGACTAAATGTTAATTCCGCAAAGATTCAAGCTATAATTCTTAGCAGCTCGCGACAACTACGACAATATTAACCACTATAACCTCAAGAACGTGATATTCAATTCCACACCTATATCATATTCTAAATTTGTTAAAAATCTGGGACTATACCTGGACACCTGGCTCACTTGGAACAAGGAGGTGGGCGAGGTGAGCAGAAAAGTTATGGCCACCTTACGTTCTCTGTACAAATTTAAAAATTTTCTGCTTATCAGCACTAAGTGTCTTCTGGTGCAGGCTTTGGTTTTACCTCCCGAACCTCAACCAGGAATTACTAAATAAAATGGATCGTTTGCTTAATAACTGTATACGGTTTATTTACGGTCTTCGTAAGTATGACCATGTATTGTCTTACCGCTCTGAACTGGAATGGCTTCCGATTCGCTTCCAGTAATATCAGAGTTCTCTGTTATCTTTTTTCAATACTTTATGACCCACAATCTTCTCAATATCTCAAAGAAAGAACCCACTCTCGAGATCTTCGTTCCTCTTCTAATCTATTATTGTACCTACCGATCAAACTTGTCCTTGTGTAGTTTAATAATTTGAATATTTACTTTACATACTGAAGTATGTAACAGATGTCAGCCACGTGGCACTAATTTATATAAGGTTATCTTGGAGTAGTAGTGAATACAAAAAAGAAATACACGTAACAATTCCGTGCAGTCGGAAAAAGATGGCTTCTAATACGTATAATATACCAGCAAGTTTATCCATCGGGGAATATAAGTGAAAACTGGCGAAAATTTGTTCAAGCATTTAAAACTTATCTCGAAGAAGCAGGTGGTCTCACTACCGTTTCAAAAACAAGAAAACTAGCAAAATTTCTTAATATTATAGGCGAAGACGCCCTCGCTGTGTACAATACATTTGATTTGCACTAAAATTGGAAGATACTTTTGAAAATATTCAAGCCTATTGCAACCCCAAACATAATATTTTGCATTATCGCTTTAAATTCTTCAACAGAAAACAGCAACATGGTGAATAGTTTGAACATTTTCTATCTGATATCAAAACACTGGCAAACGATTGCCAATTCTGTAACAATTGCAAAGAAGACATGATACTCGACAGAGTGATTCTAGGATAACAAAACCCTCGAAAGTAAATCCAAATTTATTGATTTTGGATTTACCTTTATATAACACAATCATGGACCTTTTATATTCAGTGCAGAAATATGTCAGTGGCTTTTAACTCACTAAAGACCTTTTCTTTCAGCTTCTCAAAGGTTGACTGTAAAAGATCCCTTTATGGGATAAATTCGCCATTGTATATTAAATATTTTAATGTGCCCAACAACTACAACAACGACTTCTTAGTGATTAAAAATGTATCCTTTCGATGTAGTAGAAACATTTACCAAGGCTTTTTTGAAAAATCCAAACGGGGAGTTGGCTAAAAACGTGTTTGGCTATGAATGTGATTTATTTGACATTGAATTTCTGTGTGAGAAGATGGACAAGCTGTTAAAATTGGACAAGGCTATACAAAACGAAATATTAAATTCCGAAAACTTTGATTAAGCAGCTTATCAAAATGAATGCAACAGTTATAGAAACAAATGGCTACAAGTAAAAAACCGACTACAAAATTAAGATGATGGTGAGATCGGCAAAGCATCTAAAAGTAACATCAGATTGCCGAAACTAGCACTTGTAAGGTTCGACGATAATAATCACGAATTGTGGGATTTAAAAAAAAAATCATTTTTTGAGATTCCAGACTGTTTTTGCTAACGGGTTACAAAAACAGTTTGGAACTGAGTTCTATGGAGTGATAGTCCTAAATGTGTATTTACCCCAAATCGTGGTTAGGTTTTCGGAGCCAGTTAAAAAAAATTATGAAGTCGCAAATATAAACATAGAAACGAAATTTCCGTATTTACTTCAGGTCATCACACCGAACAGGAAGGCGAAAAATATTGTAGAAAGAAAAAAAAAATAAACATTTCCTATCTGTGAAAGAAATTTGTTTCGATTAAAGACTTGTGTTATTTAAAATATCTTAGTTTCATCTGACTCACCTCGCAACAGTGGTGTCAAAAGTGGGATTTGTTTAGCGTCGTAATTGTTAAACGCCCAACACGCGCGGGGAAGTTTATGGGACTTTCGTTCTACTTCTATCACTGGACTGTGTCGTGCTGAACTCTGTGTCGTTCTAAACTCTAAATAAAGTAGGGAAGTAGTAAAGAAGGAATCCTGACTTCATAATTTACTCCATTATTAAAAGACAGAAGTTCAAGCGGAAAATAGGGTAACAACAGCCAAAGCATTTTTTAACGATTTGTCTCAGATAGTTCCCACAGCATATAAAATTACACAGCACTAATTACAATTAGTAAGAGTAAAATATTAAATTTAATGTTTTTTTTTTTTTTTTTATAGAACTTAGAATGGCAAACAAGCTGACGGCCCACCTGATGGAAAGTGGTAACCGTCGCCTATAGACATGAGCAGTACCATGGACATAACAGAGTATACTGTTTCGCCCATGATACCCCCCATGCGTTGCCATTCCTGAGGACTCAGGTGTTATTCCTCTGTACCCAGTAAATTCACGCCATATCCCACCCTTCAAACCGAAACACAGCCATGCAAACACAACTGCTTCACGGTTGAAACACGAATGGGACAGATGTAATGTAAAAGAAAGATACATTATTATTAATCTATTGGTGTCCATTCTCTCAAACAGAAGTATAAAAACTTACCGTTGTTTTTAAATAATTAAAAGATGACGAATTTAGTATCATAATCTTGAAACATATTGGAATTTAATACCGTTATTATTGTTGATATAAATTACGTAAATAGTCAGCTGGTTTGTCGCTCAGAGGACACATTAAGATTCGAACATCTATGGGAGAATTCAAGATCAAAACACTAAGTACATACTAGGTAATCTCAGGTATCTTTAGCATGCTTTAGAGAACTGAGCGATCTGAATATGTTATAAGCCAGTTAGAGGAATTTTCGCAAATAAAAAGACGAGACACTTGATGGTTGTTTGAATCTAGATAGTGACTTTTGTAAATTTATCGTTACTTGATTTTCGTGCTGATGTTATTTTTAAATCTTGTCGTACATTCATTTATCATAAATTTTTTTTTAATGGTTGATAATGAAATGGTAACCCTGCCTGTTCTAACGGTATATGCTAGCAGGGCACCATTGAGGGATGATAGGTGAGAAAGAAAGCAAATCAGTCGGCTTATACTAACAAATTTATATAGAATTAATTAAAATGGTTTCCAGAAATAACGTGGAGGTTCGACCTGATAGGATGTATTGGGTTTGTTAGATCCCCAATACTCACAATCTTTTTACTCCAAAAACGCAAACCGTTCTAAAGATAACTCCGCACTAGCGAACACACAGCTATTGCTTTTTTTTTTATAGAGAATTGACAAATTGGATCAAAGACAATAAAGAGACTAAAATTATGATGGATGGTAACTGCCATAATGAAATTATAACAGAAGAATTTTTCTAAAGTTATTGTTAACAGAAATGGTGAATGCTAGATGAGTGCGAACAGTTACTCTTCTTATTTTTGCCTGGTACTTTGGAAATAGTAATTCTGATTATGATGTTTCAGGTACTTTAGCTTCTACCAGTGACTTATAAACAAGAAAGCAAATAAAATGAAAAAATTATAAGCACGGAAATGATAAATATATAATAAGTGAGAGGACATGCAAATCTCTTCAGTGACGAATGGGAAGCTATTTAAGCTGAGAGCGATAGTACGATACATGATCAATTTTGCGCAGATCCGCAAGTAAATCGTATGCAGAGGTTGAACATGAACATCTATTCAAACACTGACGAAGTGCCGGAGCGTGGTCGACTAATGAGCACGGATCTTGCCAATATCGGCATTCTCCCCGGCACCTGCGTCATTACATAGCTGTAGATGCCATCTAGCATTTAAGATCGTAGATTGGCTAAAATAACCACCCTTTCACATAGTATAGCCCAATTGACAGGCTAAGTATAAAAGAGTTCGAATAAACTAACTAGGTTGATGAGTTGAGATTGTTCTATCCAAGGCTCACATTGCACCCCTGGGCAAGTTTTAGTCGACACCCCTAACAGCAAAAAAAGGGCTTTTACTGGTGTTTCTGACCAAAATGATAATGTCGCCCTGCGATATTCTTCTGATACTATCTTCTGATAGTAACGATTGACAAAGAAAGATCATCGAGAATCCGCGCCAAGTTGCCTTCTGGAATACTCTGGGTTGGCTAGAATACTACCTTTTATACAGAATATTCTAACTGAGAGACAAAACGCGGAAAAGTAACTAACTAGTTTGATGAGTTTAGATTGTTACTACTACGGACCCGAATTAGTAACGGTCCCGTCCGTTACTGGAACTGTTACCGCGTTGACCCGCAAAACATGCGGCGGTGCATAAGTGAAGAACTACCTCGTCTGGTAGTCACCGCCAGTACGAGTGTAGGGACTGCAATGGTGGACTGTCCCCCAACGAGGCACCAGTTGGTATTGTAGAGAACATAGCAGAAGAACAGGAAGAGGGAGGAATCGACTCCACACAAGGTACTGCGGGGGGGAGCAGTAGCGAGGGCGAAGAATCTACAGTCGCGCCAAATCGTAGGGCACGACGTAGTACGTCAACCGTAGCAACAGGAGAAAGTGGGTCCCCCTTTACAGGACTACACATATACCGGGACTTTATGAACGCCGAAGACGAGGCTACGTCGAAAGAGGAGGGGCGGGCGATAGTCACAAGGTTGACCACCGACCGGGATGCCCTGGTCGCGGGGGTTGAGCCACGTATGACACAAACGGGGTGTTAAATATTGATATCTAGAACGCACCTCATACATTGTTAAAGTTGAAGTTATAGCATGAAAGACTAGGCTTTAATGTTAAATACTTACATAGTATATCAAAGGACGCAGGCATTAATTGATTTTTTTTGTGAACCTTGTACGTATGGTAAACAACACAGATTGCCTTTTAAAACTCAATCACATTATAAAGTAAATGCACCAGATGATATTGTCTATAGTGATGTTTGTGGACCTCTTTCAGAGCCGTCTGTAAAAGGCTCAAGATATTTTGTTTTATTTAAAGATGGTTATTCAGGTTATAAGGTTGTATTTTTTATTGTAAACAAGACTGATATTTTAAATTGTTTTAAAGAATATTGTGCACAAATAAAAACTAAGTATGGTAGGGATGTTGTTGAAAGTGAACCATACAGCGCCATCTAGTTTCTTTCGCTGTCATTCCTTCCTTGGCTTCTATGCGTTTTCTTGTGGCCGCGCTTTGTTTTCACTCAGTATGTTTTTTGCTTATTTTAAGTAATTGAAAAGGTTTATCGTTATATTATTATTACTTTTATTCCAACAGGTTATGGGCCATCAGATTAAAGTAAAATATCAGTGTAAACAAGTTTAGTTTTCCGAATAGTTACCGCGTGTAAAAAAAAGCTAGGTTAGGTTGCCGGCCACATTTTTTATTTTTTTAGCTAATCCATCAGTTTCTGAAACAATGTCTATAAACACCGTGCCTTTTAATAAACTGACCGGGAGAGATAATTATAATAGTTGGAAATTTGCAACAAAATCGTACTTGGAGCATTAAGAATTATGGTCGTGCGTGGACGCCGCCAACAAGGAAACCATTGACCCTTAGAAGGATGTAAAGGCTAAAAGCAAGATTATTCTCCTTGTTGACCCAAGTAATTACCACCATATGGAGCAGGCACAAAGTGCATGAGAAGTGTGGAAAACCTGCAGTCTGCGTTTGAAGACTCCGGACTTAACAGGAAAGTAGCCTTATTACGTAAGCTTCTTAATACGAATTTAGATAGTTGTACCGATGTTGAAGATTATGTAAATAAAGTTTTAACAACTTCCCACAAACTGAGAAATATTGGTTTTAAAATTGATGATGAATGGTCAGGAACATTAATGTTAGCACAATTGCCAGATCAGTATAAGCCAATGATAATGGATCTGGAAAGCCTTGGTGTCAAAATTAGTGCAGATTTTATTAAAACAAAATTGTTACAAAAGATTAAAAACAAACCTGATTCTACTGCATTGTACACAAAGCATAGGAATTATCCTCAAAAGAAAGTTACTAATCATAATATTCAGAATAAATCACGAGGTCCCCGTTGCTACAATTGTAACAAATATGGACATAACAGTAAGAACTGTTTTTCTAATAAGAAACTAAATACAAATCTTAATAAAAATTATGCTGCAGTTTTTTCAGCTTACACTACAATGGATGACAGTAACTGGTATGTAGATTCAGGTGCATCCATGCACATGACGAGAAGATCTGATTGGTTGTATGACATTAAGACACCTCCAATACAAAGTATAAGCTAATGACTCTTCAGTTATAGTACAGAAGATGGAAAAAATCTGGATCTCAATCTCTACTGCAATGACGATTCTGGCATCAAGCATCAAACAATAACACCATACACACCTGAGCAGAACGGCTTAAGTGAGAGGAAAAATAGAACGCTTGTAGAACGTGCCAAATGTATGCTGAATGATGCAAATCTGGGAAAAATCTATTGGGCTGAAGCTGTGTCAACAGCGGCTTATATTATAAATAGATCACCATCTCGAGTGCTTAATGACATAACACCAGAAGAAGTATGGTCAGGAAAAAAACTCAATATCAGTCACATGAAAATATTTGGCTGCAAAGCCATGGTTCATGTACCGAAACAACAGAGACAAAAATGGGACTGTATTTTTCTGAAATGAGGTTTGTTGGTTACTGTCAAAATACAAAAGGCTATAGATTATTAGATATTAAAAAAGGAGTAATTATAAAAAGTAGAGATGTAATATTCATAGAAAAGAATCAAATAAATTTGAATCAAGTACACACAGAATCAAATAAAAAATCAAAATATTGAGACTGTTTCATTCATTCAGACAAAATAAATGAAAAGAAGATTGAGATAATAAAGTTAGTGATGAAACATTTGCAGAAGCTCAAGAACATCCTGTGACATCACATACAATTTGAGGTCTAGAGGAACTTTAAAGTCACCTCCGTTACTAGATGAGTATGGTTTAATGTGTGTGAACTACAGATACCTAATACATATGAAGAAGCTATGAGGTGCCCTGAAAAGAAGCAGCAGAAAGAAATGAAACATGGGAACTGTTACCTTTACCAAAAGGTAAAAAGGCTATAACTTCTAAATGGGTCTTTAAGATAATGACATCTCCTGACAATGAAGTGCTTAGGTTCAAGGCCAGGCTTTGTGCAAAAGGGTGCTCCCAAAAATATGGGATTGATTATACAAAAACTTTTGCACCAACTGTACGATATGACTCCATTCGAGTACTTCTGGCAACAACAGTATGTAGAGGTTACACATTAAAACAATTTGATGTAACAACAGCCTTTTTGTATGGTGAATTGCAAGAGGAGGTATGTTATTCATGAAACCATCCATTGGACTTGAAACTGAAGATGAGTGAATGCCCAGATGGCCGCCCACATATGGCGTTACTTGGCCTTGGTTAACGGGATACAGGTCCCACCTTGCACCCCTGGGTAAGTTTCTTGACACTCCTAACAGCAAAAAAAGAACTTTTACTGGTGTCTCTGACCAAAATATTAATGGCGCCCTGCAATATTTACATATGAGGTTCTATTCATTTTGATGGCGAGTGTTACTGCATAATCTATAGTTGCTGTAAAGATCGTGAAGTGTGAAGCAAATTGCGACGACCTACTAATCAGCAGCCACATTCACGTCATTCGTTATAATTGACTTGCATTGTATATCGTCACCTCTTCGTTTTATATGTATTCAAGTTATTGTAAATTTACATAGTTCAGTAGCTCACATATTAAAATCATAACCAAAACAACACCGAATTCGTTATTACTCAAATCCAGTAAAATAAACTTGGAACTACCCAATTGGCAAGGGCAAACTAACGCACACATGCCCAAATAGCGAGAACAAAAACCTTTTACTGAGAAGAGAAGACCGAAATGTTAACTGCGCCTGGCGGTTCTTCTGATGGTAACCTTTAACAAAAAAAAAAGGTCATCAGGAATCCGCGCTATCCACTACTAAGACGAAGTACCTTATTAATTTTATAACGCTTCTATCTCAGCGACTCGCTTGGTGCCTTTTACAATATCCACATGAAAGGAAGATGTGGCCCATTCTACGCTGTAACTACAGGGTACGAAGTTTACTAACCGTAAATCCTTTACCACATACGTAGCATATCTTATTTCTTGGCGGCAGTATCCCGTCGTGGACACGACGCTTATGTTTCACCAAATCTGCGTTCCGTATGAAGTTCTGTTGAGAAATTTAGATATAATGAAATAAATGGCGTTTCTAAAATGCATGAAGCTTGGGGGAAAGGGATTGTTAGTAATGGGGTCTAATTGACCCATTGCTAGCAATTCTCCTGGAAACCATCGTGGTTTTTTTTTATGGGTGTAAATGCAATGGTGACCCCGCCTGCGCTAACGGGATACGCTGGCGGAGCACCAGTGAAGGGTGATAGATGAGAATGAAAACAGGCCAGTTAGCCCATTATGACGAATTCATCAGGAATCAACCATGATAGTTTCCAGGGAGAACCGCGAGGAGGTCGACCTGGTTGGGTATATTGCTAACAATGGGATTCTCAGTCTCCATCACTAACAATCCACTCTTTGGAATCAACTTCCAGCAGCAGTATTTCCGAACCGATACGACAACATAACCTTCAAGAAAAGAGCATATTCTTTTTTAAAAGGCGGGCAGCACACCTGCAATACCGTTGGTGTGACCATGGGCGGCGGTAGTCACTTACCATCAGGTGAGCCGCAAGCTCGTTTGTCCCCGTGTTGTAAAAAAAAAGCTTGTTTGCCATTCTAAGTTGTATAAAAAAAAAAAAAAACGAACCTTGTCACACTCCTCGCAATGGTATTTGTAGTATTTCAGATGCACCATGTTGTAGTGGTCCTTCATGTATATATTCTTCGAGAAGACCTTCTCGCAGCCAGGACACGGCACCCTGGAGAACGAGAATGGAATTTTGATTATTCTGCAACTTAGAATGTCAAACACGCTGCTGGCTTGCTGGAAACATCATTACTCGGGGGAGAAGGGATTGTTAGTAATGGAGACATTAGTTTTTTTATACAACTTAGAATGACAAACAAGCTGACGGCCCACCTGATGGAAAATGGTAACCGTCGCCTATAAACATGAGCAATACATTACAGAGTATAGTTTCGCTCACAATACCCCTCATGCATTGTTATTCCTGAGGACTTAGGTGTTATTCCTCTGTATCCTGTAAATTCACTGCCATATCCCACCCTTCAAACCGAAACACAGTCATGCAAACACAACAGCTTCACGGTAGAAACAGGAATGGGACAGAGGTGGCCGAGCAGACGACCTTTGTAGTTCCAAATTGCTAGCAATATAGATCTCCACGTGATCTCCCCTGGAAATCATCGTGACTAAATTATAGTGAACCTAGTATGATCACCAACTTCAGTTTCACCAACTGAAAAATAATTGACTGTAACATTATTTGAGACTCACCTCACCTTCTTGGCCGGCTTGTGCCTCGCACTGTTAGCTAGATGCCACCTATATCTGTATATGTCTGGAAACCGTTTGTCGCATTCGACGCAGTACGCGGCGGCCGCCGGTTCCTTCATATGGTGAGTCTTGTTATGAAGCCAGAGTCCATTGTAACGCGCGAAACGCTTGTTGCAAGGTTTACATTCGAACGGGTTGTGTTGTTTTCTGCGGAACTAAAGTTTTTTAGGGTTCCGTACGTCGAAAGGAGAAAACGTAACCCCTATAAGGGATTGGATGAAACTGTTATAATACGATTTTTGAACTTAACTAGACCCAAGATGTATCGTTTACTAACGAAACCCTGTGCGATCTACCATTTACATACTTCTTGGAATCGTAAATGAAACGACATAGTTCAGTACGCAGGGGCGAATGGGATTGTTAGTAATGGAGACTGAGAATCCTATTGCTAGCAATATATCCAACCAGGTCGACGTCCTCGCGGTTCCCCCTGGAATCTATCATGGTTAATTCCTGATGAATTCATCATGATGGGCTAACTGGCCTGTTTTCATTCTCATCTATCACCCTTCACTGGTGCTCCGCCAGCGTATCCCGTTAGCGCAGGCGGGGTTACCATACCATTTTCACCCATCAAAAAAAGTTCAGTACGCAATTATGTAGTATTTTTCATTTTATTAAGAGGGTAAACATAAAACGGAAAATTATTCTTAGTACTTATTTGTAACACTAACTTTTACACGGACCAAGTCGCGTGTAAAAGTTAGCGTTCCATGAAACTTGTTAAACGAACCTAATATGATCCTTTAAGCAATAACGCATTTTAAAACTAATTCCACAATAATCACATATGAATTTTTCGTGCCATTCTTTGAAGTGTTTAAAAAATTCACGCCGGCATCTGAAACAATCATGGTCATTACGGACTGCCCCGTGTGGTCCCGACATAGAATGGGCCACCCCGTTCTGTTCCCGTGGGTGTCGTAAGAGGCGACTAAGGGAACATTATGGTCGACTGATAGGCAGCAGCGTGTCTCTTAAAATTTCACTGAAAACTTAACTGCGGTGGGGGGAAAGGGATTGTTAGTAACAAGGTCTAATAGCACCATTGCTAGTAATATACCCTCTCAGGTCGACCTCCACGCGGTTCCCCCTGGAAACCATCATGGTCAATTCTTGTCGAATTCATCATGGTGGGCCAACTGACCTGCTTTCATCGTCATCTATCATCTCTCACTGGTGCCCCGCCAGCGTATACCGATAGCGCAGGTTACCATTACATTATCACCCATTAAAAAAAAAAACTTAACTGCGGTTGTCAATCTGCCTGCTAAGCGTGGCAACTACTGCCAATACTCCCCTTATGGGAAAGGCTTATGTTCACCAGTGGACAGTTAACGGCTAAATTGATGATCTAAGACTGTATGCTTCAAGTTGAGATTTATTTCTACTATCAATATTTACATATTTTTTTATACCACTGAGGTGGCAAACAAGCATACGGCCCACCTGATGGTAAGCGGTTACCGTAGCCTATGAACGCCTGTAACACCAGAGGTATTACGCGCGCGTTGGCGACCCTGAAGAAACCTCTTTACCCCCCTTTTGAAGAATCCCATGCTGTAGTCTCTTGGGAAAACCTCGGCAGGGAGCTCATTCCATAACCTGAGTGTTCGTGGGAGGAAACGTCTCTGAAACCGCGTTGTACGCGACCGTTTAGGCTGTAGGGTATGAGGGTGAACTCCCTGTCGATGGCGAGCCGTACGATGATAGAAAGTGGCTGTGGGCATCATATTGAACAATTCCTCTGAGCACAATCCATTGTACAGGCGGTAAAACACGCAGAGTGAGGCAAAATCTCTCCTAAGACTTAAGGGTTCGATACCGCTTGCAAGCCTGGGATCGTCGACTATAATTATCAATTTCATCACCATATTTGCCGTCTATTGTCCACTGCTGGACAGAGGCCTCTCCCAAAAGGGGAGGGGGTTTCGCCAGTAGTAGCCATGCTTGGCAAGCAGATTGGCAACTGCAGTTAGACTTTGGTGATGTTATAAGAGAGACGCTGCTGGCTAGAAGTTTTTCCTGCAGCAGTTCACCAGAGGGAGACTTTGTACAAAAGTCGATTGCTTGGGTACCTCTATCCTATTCGTGTTTCTACCATAAAGCAGTTGTTTGCATGGCTGTGTTTCGGTTTGAAGGGTGGGATATGGTGTGAATTTACAGGGTACAGAGGAATAACATCTGAGTCCTCGGGAATAGCAATGTATGGGGGGTATCATGAGCGAAACAGCATACTCTGTTATGTGCATGCTACTGCTCATGTCTACAGGCGACGGTTACCACTTTCCATCAGGTGGGCCGTCAGCTTGTTTGCCATTCTAAGTTGTATAAAAAAAAAAGCTACGTTTGGCAGGCGGATTGGCAACTGCAGTTAGACTTTGATGATGTTATAAAAGGGACACTGCTGCCTATCCTTCGACCATTAAGTTTTTTTTTTTGGTAGATGAAAATGGAACGGTAACCACGCCTGCGCTAACGGGATACGCTGGCGGAGCACCAGTGAAGGGTGATAGATGAGAATGAAAACAGGCCAGTTAGCCCAACATGATGAATTCATCAGGAATTAACCATGACAGTTTCCAGGGGGAACCGCGAGGAGGTCGACCTGGTTGGATATATTGCTAGCAATGGGATTCTCAGTCTCCATTACTAACAATCCCTTTCCCCCGACCATTAAGTTAGTCGCCTCTTACGACACCCACGGGACAGGAAGGGGTGGCCCATCCTATGCCTGGACAACATGGTATTTTAAATACTACCGAGTTGTTACACTTACCCAAACATAAGTCCACATTTTAAGCATTCAAACGCCTTCTTATGTGCCTTCATATGCATGTTTATATCTTTTTTATTATAACCTGTAAACTTGCATAATGAACACACATATTTACAGTAGTGTTTTCTCATGTGTGCAGACAGTCGTCGTTTATTCAGTTTACTTGTATTACATATATCACAAATGTACAGTAAATTCTGAAAAGTGTTAAATGCTATGTAATTTTTTTATGCGACTTAAAATGGCAAACAAGCTGACGGCCCACCTGATGGAAAGTGGTAACCGTCGCCTATAGACATGAGCAGTACCATGGACGTAAGAGTATACTGTTTCGCCCACGATACGCCCCCATGCGTTGCCATTCCTGAGGACTCAGATGTTGTTCCTCTGTACCCTGTAAATTCACTGCCATATCCCACCCTTCAAATTGAGACACAGCCATACAAACATAACTGCTAGACGGTAGAAACATGAAATATTATGTTACGCAATTTGGGGCTTTTGTAATATGTCAAAATAAGTTCTAAGTTGCATAAAAAAACTTAAAGAATGGTTAGGGTATACCCTTAGGATATACCCTAATCATCGATTTTAAAGAGATTTTGTACATAAGTAGATCTTGTTTCAAGTTGGGAGATATTAATCAATATTTAAAAGGGAGAACAAAAAGTAATTTTTCACCTTTTACTTACTTATAACATTGTACATTGTCTGCTTAATTGTTGTGAGCATATTGTTGGTGTGTCTTTTTTTTTATACAACTTAGAATGGCAAACAAGCTGACGGCCCACCTGATGGAAAGTGGTAACCGTCGCCTATACACATGAGCAGTACCGTGGACATAACAGAGTATACTGTTTCGCCCATGATACCCCCTATGCATTCTTTTATAAATAAATAAATAAATATATTTGGTTGCTCAGTTATATTTTTTTTATAGATGGTAATGGAATGGCAGCATCACCTGCGCTACCGGTATACGCTCGTGGAGCACCAGCGAAGGGTGATAGATGAGAATGAAAACAGGCCAGTTAGCCCATCATGATGAATTCATCAGGAATTAACCATGATAGTTTCCAGGGGGAACCGCGAGGAGGTCGACCTGGTTGGGTATATTGCTAGCAATGGGATTCTCAGTCTCCATTACTAACAATCCCTTCCCCCCCCCCTCAGTTATACTAGAGATACAGTAAAGAATATTTACCTTAATATGATGCTTCATTTTATGCTTATTAAATTGAATTTCTTTGTCAAACCCAATCATGCAACTATCACATTTAAATCTGACTGATTTATAATTCTCTCTAACTTTTTCCCTCTCTACATGTTCTCTCAACTCTTCTGAACTTACATGCACTTTTGTGAAAGCCTTATCGCGATCCGCCATCTTGAATTTCGGTTTTTTATTTTGTAACGCTCTCTTTTTCGCCCATTTATTGTTTGATTTGGACTTTTTATCCTGAATGTTAGTTTGTGATAAAACATTTCCAGGTTCGGTTTGAAATTGTGTTCTAACTACTTGAGGTTCTGGTTCATTTTTCGTTGGCTCTACTTTTATACCGTCTATCTTAAAGTCCATTTCAACTGTATCTTCAGTCATGTTATCATCTGATGAATATGTATTCATATGTTTGCTTGTTTGTGCGTTTGTTTGGTTCACATACACAGTGTGGGGATAAGAATCGTTGATTACAACTGATGTCAAGTTGGATAATGTTCCATATATGTAATTCTACAATGGAAAAAGACAAAATTTATTTGTATTTTGCATGTTAACCTTAATAAGTGGGGGAAAGGGATTGTTAGTAATGCGTATATCAGTCCCATTGCTAGCAATATAACCTGGCAAGTCGACCTTCACATGGTCTTCCCTGGAAACCATCGTGTTGAATTCCAGGTGTATTCATCACAATATAGTTCATCGTGATGGAACCTCACTGAACTGCCTTTTCATTCTCACCTATCATCCCTGACTGGTGCTTCGCCAGTGTAATACGCAGATATATCGTTAGCACAGGTAGGGTTGTCATCAATTAAAAAAAAACCTTAATTAGCAAAACATAGAGATAATAATAATAATTTGAAACTGTTTTTTCTTCTTTATAATAATAGTACAGACATATAGACAAAACACTTGGCAATTTATATAGCAAATACAACAAATAGATATAATTATTGATTAATGATGTAAAAGCCCCTAACTTTCAACTCTGATTCAAAACTTTTTAATCACTCAATAATTAAATAAATGAAAATCTATCTGTTGGATAAAAAGAAGGGTAAAGGACAAACCTGGTTCACGTAGTCCCCGCGTGTAGGTCTTTTGAATGAATGAATGAATGAGTATACTTTATTTGCATTATACAATATAGGAAATAAACAAGACAATTTACAAACACAACTATACAATTGTATATGTACAGTGAGGCGGTCTTATTGCTGAGAGCAATCTCTTCAAGACAACCTTAAGATAATGGACTAATTGTTGTAAAAGTAGGTAAAAATATATAAAAATTATATATATATACACATATACATACATATGTATACACACGCATACATATACATACACATACATATATACACAATCACATACATATACATATCAATCTTATCTCTTATCTATCTTTTGTAGGCGTTCTCGTTCTCTCTTCAAATTATCCAACACTTTTGTTGATTTTGCTTAAGTGTCACTGTATGTTGCGCGGAGATCGCGGCTGATAGAATAATTCGCAACTGGCGGAGATTTATTCGTGATCTTAGCGGAGCTTGATCAGCTCGACGCGCAGTTGGATTATATACTGACTTTGTCCATCTACCCCCCAATGTGATCCCAGATTGGATAGGGAATATGGATAGGTTAAAAGGGTAGAAGGATATTGCGTTCGTAAATGTTTAATGCATACACAAATATTTACCACTATCATTTAAAAAGTACTACTAACAAATGGATCCAAGATGTTAAAATAAGACATTTATCATTTTCAAAAGTCCTTAGAGTCACATAGCCACATCCGGAGTATAGAAAAAACACTAACCTGCCCACCAGTCTGTAGCATTTCATTGGCTCTCCGCACTTGTTGCTGAAATTGTATGACTTTACATAACAACGCCTCACACTCCCAACATACTTGTAATTTATTTGTGTATGCTGCAGGCTGAAAACATTTTTACCTAATTTTTAATATTACATGTAAAAATTGATGGACCAATGCAGTACAAGAAGCCTGTCAGAGTATACTGAAGACAGCACTGCTTGGAGAGGACTGATGACAAGAGTGACGTCCTCTGACTCAGTCACAATCTTTAGTTATGAGGAAATAAGAGAAATACTATTCAGAATGAAGTTTGTTCTTCTTAGGCTCTTATTCTTGTCAATTGACATGTCAAGGTATGGGCCTCTTTAAACATCACCAAAGCCCAACTGTGGTTGCCAACCCGCCTGTCAAGTGTGGCAACTATTTGAAAACCCGTTCTTAATGGGCAAGACCTATGTTCAGCAGTGGTCGGTTAACAGGTGATATGGTGATGATGAACATACTGCTAATAAATAAGCTAGTAGGGCCATAGTATCCCATCAATAACAATCTCTGTTAACATAATAAACTTATAATATCAACAATAGAAACAAACACTAGTTTTGAGGATCAGCCAATTAGTATGTATATATATAATCAAAATAACCATATGGTACCAGATTAGAATAGGCCACCTTTCTTTTCCCGTGGGTGTCATAAAAGCTGAGTAAGTGATGGCGAGGGATGGGCAGTAGCGTCACTCTTAAAACATCTCTAAAGCCTGACTGTGGTCGCCAATTCGCTTGCCAAGCGTGGCAACTACTGACAAAACTCCCTTTTGGGGAGCTTATGTTTAGCAGTGGACAGTTAAGGGCTGATATGATGATGATGATGATGATGATATGAGAATCGAAAATATAAAAAAAAGGATAATATAAATTTGTGACTTATATCAAGCGAAGGAGCACTGCAACCGTTACAGAGTCGAGATTAATAAACTCACCTGACAGTCAGCAATCAAAATTTCAAAAATATGTGCATATTTTTCTAATGGTACCAGTCTCCGACCAACACTGAGGCACGTCCGACACAATTCTTGTTCATCAGTGACAAATTCATGTTTTATTTCTATATCCTCCATAATTTTATTAGATATTTTCCGCTGTGACAATTTGTAAATATAACTTTTAGAAATTAATCTTTAAATATGTATTCATTAACTTAATAGAATAAGTACGATATATTATATTATTTTGTAATTAATTGATTATTCGAACAACGGTAAAAACAATAAGAAATAATTGAAAGAAAAACAAATTGACATTTTAATCGGTAAACAGAAAAACGGCGATAATTAAGAAATACTAAGGGTACAGATCAGGGAAACAAGTGAGAGTTGATCTTGAAAGAGAAACCACATGTTGTCGCGTAGATTAAGAATAGTACCTATCTTTGGGTTTCAGATAAATTCATCATTTTAGCCATTATTCATCCACTGCTGGACATATAGATAAATTATTGTTATAATCAAGCCGCCTGAATAAACATAAACTAGATATACTTACTTACGTGCTTAAGTACCTAAATTAAAGTAATAATAGCTAGTAAACTACATATGAACCAATTATTTCTTATAGAACAGAAACAGTTGCTTCAATTTTTTTTTAATAATACATGTATATGTTATTGATTATTTATAGATCCCATTTTGTTTCAGTTCATATCTAGACATCAATAGTTTCAATACTACCTTGAACAGCCATATTTAAGACTTCTCTATGAATTAGCTTGAAGCACAAACAGTGTACTCGACTTGCCTTTATTTCTAAAATTAGTCAATTCGCAATGATGGACCCTAAGTCTATTTTCATTACAAACGTAGTATATCGTACTGATTACTATGTAATCCAAAATACTCACAGTTCTATGACCCGTAAGTGAACACTTATAAATTATCAGTACAGGTAATTGTACCATACTATATCTATGGTATCTATATATTTCATACCATATACTACCAAAGGTTGCCTGGAAGAGATCGCTTTTAGCGATAAAATCGCCCATTGTTTTCTCACTGTGATTATTTCTTATAATTATTTTTATTTATAATAAGTTTTCTATTGTAGTAATCTTTTGGAGGAAACAATAAAAAACATCTATGTATCTATCTCTGCCTATTAAAAAAAAAACGTGATGTTTGTATATTTAATGGGGAAGGTAAAAAAATTCAAAGTTTTTGCGATGTAGGTCAGGTATAATAATAAAAAAAAAAACTGTAAGTAGTATTTCATTAGCTTTATTAATACTATTATTATACATTAAAAAAATCTTCAATCCAATCCTCTTCAACTTTTTCTTCCAATTTTATTTCACAACGACTTATTATTTGTTTCTTTACTTCCTTAGTTTCTTCATGCTTCCGTGTATCATTGGGGGTTTCTTCATGCTTCTCCATACAAATACGAATTTCTCCATGCTTCTCCATGTATTTAGGGCTTTCTCCATGCTTCTTTAAATCGTTAAGGGTTTCTCCATGGTTCTCCACTTCACTAGGCGCGTCTCTATGGTTCTTTATTTCGCGCGTATTCGCAACTTTTCCTTTCGACTTATTCCTCAAGTGTACCAACTTGTTATGGTTGTAAAGGGCAGCCTTAAACCCGAAGGTAGCCCCGCAAGAATTGCATATATACGGTCGAGCACCAGTGTGTGTGTTTTTATGATCCCGAAATGCGTTTAAAGACTGTAAAAAATGAAATATTTACTAATATGAGATGCAAATGGAATGGTAAACCCACCTGCGTCATCGGCATACGCTAGAAGGGGGAATAGTAAGGAAGGATGATGATGTCAGGGCAATTGGTCTAACGTGATAAATTCACCAAGAATTAACCGCGATAATCTTCTTTGGGGGGGGGAATAGATGAATAGTATTCAAGCAAAATTTATTATGGCAAGTGCGCTGCAGACCTTTTAAAAAGGGATATGCTCTTTTCTTGAAGGTTATGGTGTCGTAACGGTTCGGAAATACTGCTGCAGGAAGTTGATTCCAAAGAGTGGTTGTGCGTGGAAGAAAGTGCTGTGAAAAGATAATGGTGATAGACATATAAAAAAAATATTATTTCTACATATACAAAATACATACATATACATACATAACAAGTTAATGAGGGCAGTAGACGCTCTTTTAACTTACCGTGAATTTTTTATTGCATACATCACAAGTGTACAGCTTTCTTGGCTTATTCTCGTGTTTAGTACTAATGTGTCTACGAAGTAACAATTTCGCCTTAAATACCTGTAAAATGTTAAATAATAAATTTTGTGAGTCATATTCATCATCATATCAGCCATTACCTGCCCACTGCTGGACATTTACCAGAGGGAGACTTTGTACAAAAGTCGATTGCTTGGGTACCTCTGTCCCATTCGTGTTTCTACCGTGAAGCAGTTGTGTTTGCATGGCTGTGTTTCGGTTTGAAGGGTGGGATATGGCGTGAATTTACTGGGTACAAAGGAATAACACCTGAGTCCTCAGGAACGGCAACGCATGGGGGGTATAATGGGCGAAACAGTATACTCTGTTATGTCCATGGTACTGCTCATGTCTATAGGCGATGGTTACCATTTTCCATCAGGTGGGCCGTCAGCTTGTTTGCCATTCTAAGTTGTATAAAAAAAAACATAGACCTCCTCAAAAGACTTTATTTTAATGGGCGATAATGATATGGTAACCCCGTCTGCGCTATCGGTATACACTAGCGGGTGACTGATGAGGATGAAAGCAGGTCAGTTAGCCCATCCTGAAGAATTTAATTACAATTAGCCACGATGGTTTCCAGGGGGAACTACGTGGAGGTCGACCTGACAGAGTATATTGCTAGCGATGGGGCTATTTGACCGCATCACTAACAACCCCTTTCCCCCCTCCCCAATAGACTGTCTTAAGGAACGGTTCCTCATGGCAGTTTACTACTGGGGGGGGGGCATTTCGCCAGTAGTTGCTACGCTTGGTTTGGCAACTGCAGATAGGCTATTGGTGATGTTTCAAGAGGGACGTTGCTGCCCATCTCTTGATTATTAAGTTCCCCTAGTCGCTTATTACGACATACACGAAAAAGGAATGGGTGGCCCATTCTATGTCGGAGCCACATGGCATCGTGAGTCATTTCATTTTCATTTAAGAGTTTCCTCTTGTTGGTGCAACTAATTCATACGTGAGTCATACCGTGTTTTAATTTATTTATGTCGGTTTTACGCAGTTGTGCTCATTTCAACCATTATACGTCCACTGCTGGGCATAAGCCTCCCCAAAGACTGCTATAAGAAACAGTTCTGAGCCAACTGCATCCACTGACTCACTGCAATACATTTCAGGTCGTCACTCCATCTAGTTGGGAGTCGCTCTACACTACGATTGCCCATACGGGTCGCCACTCAAAAACCTTTCTTTCCCATCCGTTTTCAGATCTTGGAGCTATATGACCAGCCCATTGCCACTTCAGCTTGCTTATCCTTCGGGCTATGTCGGTTACTTTGAATCTTATGTGGATATCGTCGTTTTGGATTCTATCACACAGAGACTCCGAGCATAGCCCTCTCCACAGCTTGCTAAGTAATTTGAAGATTTTGCATGCGGGCAATCGCGTAGGACCATGTTTCGGTTTGGTTCAGTTTTCGGTTATGGCCGTAGCTAGAGGGGGCAATACCCAAATTTAAAAGGCCCGATGCCCTACCTTAAAATGAAAGAGCCCAAGAAAATTAGATAGATTAGCTTTTTCGAAGTCTTTGAATTAGGGTTCTGCCCTACCTTAAACATGGGTCTAGCTACGGCCCTGTGACTGGCTCATTTGTCATACTCGTGACCGGGTGCTGCTCGTGGGGACTGGTCTGTAAATAATTGCTTGTTTATTTTTCATGTATATTTATTTATAGAATCGATGGTTGAAGAAAGACATACTAACTTTCAACGTCTGGTATGGCGTGATCATCCGGCTCGAAGGACCAAATAGACGACGTACTCCAAAATGATACCAGTTGGAAGTAATCGAGATTCTACTTAATAACTAAATAGTATGTAAATTCGCTCACCATGTCACATTGTTGGCAGACATATTTTTTCTCTTCATTGTGGCTGTACTGTATATGGGCTTTCAGGTATGACATAGTTAAAAAAATGCTGTCACACTTCGGACACGGAAACCTGTTTTGGGAGACTATAGTCAGAGAGAGATTTTTTCTTTATATTACAGGCTTTATTTAAGAACAAGGAATTATATAAAGGGAATGGTAAAATAAAAACTGTAAATCACATGGTTGCCTCCTTTTTCCTTATGCAAATATAATTAGTAAGACGAGGACGAAAGATACACTATCAGTTGCTATTTTTATCAATTCATAGCAGGCTAGTGTTTAGAAAATGTTATACGGCCGTATAACCCTACCAAACTCAGATACATCCTGCTTGCGTACTTTCTACATAAACTGTGTCGAATATATAATCTTATAATGTAAATGGACAAAAATTTTACATTCACATCTTTCGTCCTCTTTTTACTTATTACATTTGCATAAAAAGAAAGGAGGTAACCATATGATTTAAAATTTTTATTTTATAATTCCTTCTATGTAATTCCTTGTTCTTAGATAAAACCAAAGAAAAAGCAATTACATAGAAGGAGTGATAAAATTGTCAAATCATAGCAGGCTAGTGTATAGAAAATGTTATACGGCCGTATAATCCTACCAAATTCAGATACAACCTGCTCGCATATTTTCTACAAAAACTGTGTCGAATATATAATCTAGTAACGTAAAATTTGTTACTGACAAATAACTGACATATCAAACATTTTCTATACACTAGCCTGCCATGAATTGAGAAAAATAGCAACTGACAGTGTATCTTTCGTCCTCTTTTTACTAATTATATTTGCATAAGAAGACAGGAGACAACCATATGATTTACAGTTTTTATTTTATCATTCCTTATATGTAATTCCTTGTTCTTAGTTTTTTTAGTATGTTTGTTCCGTTGTGAAACAGGCTTAGGTCGGAGACCATGCTGCCTAGTCTTCAATGTGATAATTTGTATGGAGTTTTACCTTGTTCTAAGGTTTTATTTAAACCATAGAGAATACAGATAACACAAATGTCACAGACTAAGTAAACAAAAAATATGACATTTTATATAAAACTTTGTAGTTTCTGGTATGTGTGTAATTTAGCTTATGTGATGAAAGTAAATAAAAAAAGCTTACCTGGAATGTTCTTTGGATATATGTTTCAACGTAGACCGCAGGTGATTTCGGTAAATGAACACATCCTTGAACTGTATGTCACATTCTACGCAGTAGGCGTTCTCGTCTCTCTGTTGAGCATTTTTTTTATACAACTTAGAATGGCAAACAAGCTGACGGCCCACCTGATGGAAAGTGGTAACCGTCGCCTATAGACATGAGCAGTACCATGGACATAACAGAGTATACTGTTTCGCCCATGATACCCCTATGCGTTAGCCATTCCCGAGGACTCAGATGTTATCCTCCAGATATTCAAAAACAGGCACCAGTGACATGGCAGTACCATGGACATAACAGAACATTTTTTTTTTAATTTTTCATTTTACACAAACACAATGATAGGAGCAATAAATTTAAAACGTAATATACAAAGGCGAGCTGATCTCTAATAAGAGATTTCTTTCAGCAAAACCTTTTTATCATATCATATTTTATATATTTCATATGTAAATTTTCGTATTTTTTTTAATTTTTTTTAATTTTATTGTTATTTAAATAAATTGTTATTTAACAAGAAAAATAGGCAGTCATACGATTTGTGTACATTGCATCAACATATTCTTAAGATAAGTATATATGTATATAGAACAAACTACATATTCATAACACAAAATGCATAAACCCTGTAAACATATAAATATTTTTTTTAATGGGTGAAAATGTATTAGTAACCCCGCCTGCACTATCGGTATACACCGACGAGGCACCAGCGGAAGATGATAGGTGAGAATGAATGCAGGTCAGTTGGCCCACCGTGATGAATTCGACAAGAATTAAGCATGATGGTTTCCAGAGGGAACTGCGTGGAGGTCGACCTGAGAGGGTCAGTAATGGGGCTATTAGACCCCATTACTAACAATCCCTTTCCCCCCTAACATATAAATATTGGAATAAATAATACACAGTAAAAAAATATAAACATACACATATACATAATACGTAAGAATAGTAATAAGCAATGCTGGAGGGAAAGGGATTGTTAGTAATGGAGACTGAGAATCCCATTGCTAGCAATATACCCAACCAGGTCGACCTCCTCGCGGTTCTCCCTGGAAACTATCATGGTTAATTCCTGATGAATTCATCATGATGGGCTAACTGGCCTGTTTTCATTCTCATCTATCACCCTTCACTGGTGCTCCGCCAGCGTATCCCGTTAGCGCAGACGGGGTTACCATACCATTTTCACCCATCAAAAAAAAAGTAATGCTCCCTTAGTCGACGCTTAAAGATACCTACACGATTGCCTTATTTCGAACGGTAGACTATTCCATAATCGAATGGATATAACTGTAAAGGAATTTTCTATCTAGCCTCCAGAATTATTATTCTATGACTTTTTTTTTATACAACTTAGAATGGCAAACAAACAAACAGCTTTATAATATATAGTACAAGATTTATTTCTCGGCAATTATGTTATTGTATTGGGTAATTTAATATACATTATTAATGGCGACTGAGAATCAACCTCAATGTGATCACGCCCCCCCCCCCCCCGACCCTTTAAATACGCTTATGTGTACAGTACCTGATTGAGGTGTGAAGCCTTATGATTTTTCAGGCCGAAGTGAGTACGGAACTGTTTCGGGCAAGCATCGCACTTCAAAAGTTTCCTCTCCATATGAGTCCTGAAATGTCATTGTATAAGTTAAAATTTCTCAAATTTACGGCTAAGCGACTTCTTAAAAAAAAAACTAACTTTTTTTTATACAATTTATAATGGCAAACAAGCTGACGGCCCACCTGATGGAAAGTGGTAACCGTCGCCTATAGACATGAGCAGTACCGTGGACATAACAGAGTATACTGTTTCGCCCATGATACCTCCCATGCGTTGCCATTCCTGAGGACTCAGGTATTATTCCTCTGTACCCGGTAAATTTATGCCATATCCCACCCTTCAAACCAAAACACAGCCATGCAAACACAACTGCAAACATAAATCATATAAAAACATAATACATACATACACATACATATATAATATATACACAATCAAATATATATATAAACATACACATACTTAACAGCACACATGCAATAGAAAAAAAAACGACGAAGGAAAACGAAGAGAGAACACAGGAAAATAGTACTAAAGTGAGAGGTAGTAGGATTTAACATTTAAGTGTTAATTCTATTATTTAGTCATCCACATCATCATCAACAGTTAACTGTCCACTGCTGAACATAGGCCCTCCCATATTGTAAGGTTTTGCCAGAAGTTGCCACGCTTGGCAGGCGGGTAGGCAACTGTGGTTGGGCTTTGGTGATTTTTTAAGAGGGACGCTGCTGCCCAGCTCTCCACCACTGTTTTTTTTTTAATGGATAATAATGGAATGGTAATACCACCCGCGCGGGAGGAAAGGGATTGTTAGCATTGGAGTTTGACAACCCCATTGACAACTCCAATATGCCTTATTATGTCGACTACCACATGGTTCCCCCTGGAAACCATCGTGAACAATTCTTATTGAATTCGTCACGATGGGCTAACTGACCTACTTCATCCTCACCTATCATCCTTTACTGGTGCCCCGCCGGTGTATACCGATAGCACGGGCGGGGGTACTATTCCATTACCATCCATTAAAAAATACCACCTGCGCTATCGAAGTCAATCTGACAGGGCTTGCTAGCATTGGGGCCGTGGAGAAAGGAATTGTTAGTAATGGAGTCTAACTGACCTATTGCTCTTAATTTGTAAGCTAGGGCAAAAAACATGTAACTGTGCAATCCTGTATTTGTTAATAAAGTTTATTATTATTATTGCTAACAATACACTCTATCAGATCGACCTCCACGCGGTCCCCCCTGGAAACCATCGTGAACAATTCTTATTGAATTCGTCACGATGGGCTAACTGACCTGCTTCATCCTCACCTATCATCCCTCACTGGTGCCCCGCCGGTGTATACCGATAGCGCGGACGGGGTTACCATTCCATTATCACCCATTAAATAAAAAAATATGTTTCCTTAGTCGCCTCTTACGACACCCACGGGAAAGGCAGGGGTGGGCTGTTCTATGCGGGGACCACAGGGCCATGGTAGTCAATACTCACGTAATGTGCCTCTTCAAATTGCTACTATTTGTATACATGTTCTCACAATGAGGACAGGCCACCATCTTTTTGTGTACTGCACGTCTATGTTTTATGTATAACCGTTTGTTTCTGTAACAAATATTGCTTTTATACAACTCAGAATGGCAAACAAGCTGACGGCCCACCTTATGGAAAGTGGTAACCGTCGCCTATACACATGAGCAGTACCGTGGACATAACAGAATATACTGTTTCACCCATGATACCCCCATGCGTTGCTATTCCTGAGGACTCAGGTGTTATTCCTCTGTACCCTGTAAATTCACAGCCCTATCCTACCGTTCAAACCGAAACACAGCCATGCAAACACAATTGCTTCACGGTAGAAACACGAATGGGACAGAGGTGGTCAAGTAAACGACTTTTGTACAAAGTCTCCCTCTGTAACAAATAAAAATAAATCAATTCTTCTCTCTGTATTTCTGCATATGTATTTTTTTTTAATGGAAGATAAAATATAATATAAGTGAAGATGAAGCAGGTCAGTTAGCCCATCGTGACGACTTCACCAATGAATCAATCACGATGGTTTCCAGGGGGACCACGTAGAGGTCGACTTGACAGTGTATATTGCCAGCAATGGGACTGATAGCCCGCATTACTAACAATCCCTTACCCCGGCATAATAGGTCAGTTAGCCCATCGTGATGAATACACCTGGCATTCAGCACGATGATTTCTAGGGGGACCACGTGGAGGTCGACCTGACAGGGTACATTGCTAGCAATGAGAACGGTAGTTCGCGTTACTAACAATCGCTTCCCCCTCCCCTCAAATAAGACCTTCAGCTGCACGCCCCCTATCGGTCTCCCTCTAAACACAGCAGGGTTCTTACGGTAACGTCGCATCGCAGTCCCCACATTGATATCTGGTTTCGTCGTGCTCGTCCTGGTAATGCCTGTCCACGGAGTATTCATCGGGGAACACGTCCAGGCACGTCCGGCACGTGTAGCTCCTGCGAACAATGTTGGAGTTAATTATAATAATAACTGAAATTTATTTGCTCAAATATGAGTTTTACAGTGGTACATTTTTTTTAATAGTTGTTTTTTTTTTTATACAACTTAGAATGGCAAACAAGCTGACGGTCCACCTGATGGAAAGTCGTAACCGTCGCCTATAGACATGAGCAGTACCATGGCTATAACAGAGTATACTGTTTCGCCCATGATACCCCCATGCGTTGCCATTCCTGAGGACTCATATGTTATTCCTCTGTACCCTGTAAATTTACTGTCATGTCCCACCCTTCAAACCGAAACACAGCCATGCAAACACAATTGCTTCACGGTTGAAACACGAATGGGACAGAGGTACCCAAGCAATCGACTTTTGTACAAAGTCTCCCTCTGGTAAAAGTTGATAATGGAGGAAGGGAAAGACCGAGGAATAACTATATCGGACAGATACAAGAAACACTAGGTGTCATGTCGTATAGGGAGGTCAAGGATAGAGTTGGCTGAAAAAAGAGCCATGAATTAGTTGCACCGACAAGAAGGAAGGAGACTTTGTACAAAAGTCGATTGTTTGGGTACCTCTATCCCATTCGCGTTTCTACCGTGAAGCAGTTGTGTTTGCATGGCTGTGTTTCGGTTTGAAGGATGGGATCATGGGATATGGCGTGAATTTACAGGATACAGAGGAATAACACCTGAGTCCTCAGGAATGGCAATGTGCGCGAGTGTGTGTGTGCGTGCGTGTGTTCCTGTGTGCGTGGGTGCGTGGGCTTGTGTGCGTGTGCGTGAGTGCGTGCGTGCGCGCGTTTGTGCGTCGAAGAACCGACAACCGATGGGAGAGAAAGGTTATTGAGTGGCGACTTCCTACGGATAAACGAATTGTAGGACGTCTACTAGATAGAGCGACGACGTCAAGTGATCTTACCTACCTATAATGCAATTCCTTGTGGTAACTCAATGCTGCCTTAACCGGAAATCGTTGTGCACATATTGTGCATTCAAATTTATTTTCCTGCAATCACAAATAGAATTTAACAAAGAAAACCTTTCTGTTCATGGGAGATATTTAAGAAAAACTGAAACGAGACAAAAAAAATAATTGCCTCGTAGTCCAAGCATAGGATGGTCATCCCTTTTTCGTGGGTGTCGTAAAAGGCGACTCAGGGAACTTAATGGTCGAGGGACCAATGATTTGAGAGATTTTGAGAGAGCAATGTTTCTGTTAAAACATCACCAAAGTTTAACTGCGGTTGCCAACTCGCCTGCTAAATTTGGCAACTACCAGTAGTCCAAATACCATTATTCTATGCAAGGACCTACACGACAAGCCAATATATACCTATATTGGGGGGAAGGGATTGTTAGTAATTAGGTCTAACTGACCCACTGCTAGCAATACACCCTATTAGGTCGACTTCCACGCGGTTACCCGTGGAAATCATCGTGGTTAATTCTAGTGGAATTCGTCACGATGGGCTAACTGACCTACTAACTACTTCATCGTCATCTATCACCCCTCACTGGTGCCCCGCCAGCGTATATCGATAGCGCAAGCGGGGTTACTATTCCATTATCAGCCATTAAAAAAAACTATACACCTATATATGTCGTAAAATTAGACTCAAGCGGTTTAAAGGCGACAATAGCATGTATCTATCCTATTTAAGAGCTGGTGCTCTTGTCGGTGGAGCTCTTGCCACTCACTTCGATTTTAAGCGAGTCTCTTCACCTCTTGATACGACACGACACCAACTCCTTCCTTGATCTGCCTCATGTAACTATGTCTCGGTCTCCTCTCCCTCTCCTTCCTTCTATCTTACCTTCTATAATAATGTTCATAAGTTCATCGTGTTGTATCAAGTGTCCCAACATTTTTCCACTTCTGTCCTCTGTAGAACAATTGAGGACAGAAAATAGCACACCAACCTTCAAATGCTTCATCTGATGGTCCTGCCATATTTTTTTATCCCTAAAGTACTCGACACATGTCAGGCATTTGTATAGAGATTTCTGGAATTTAATACTGTCTCTTCTGTCCTCTCTGGCCTTCATCAATTCCCCTTCACCGATTACTTTGACACTGTATATGTTTTGGCTTGAGTTTATTGCTTTCAGGCTATGTCCTCCATGTGATTTATGAGGTACTGAAAAAAATAATACTGTATTTCACAAAAAAAAACCGACTTCAATTTTTTTTATGCAACTTAGAATGGCAAACAAGCTGACGGCCCACCTGATGGAAAGTGGTAACCGTCGCCAATAGACATGAGCAGTACCATGAACATAACAGAGTATACTGTTTCGCCCATGATACCCCTCATGCGTTGCTATTTCTGAGGACTCAGGTGTTATTCCTCTGTACCCTATAAATTTACTGCTATATCCCACCCTTCAAACCGAAATACAGCCATGCAAACACAACTGCTTCACGGTTGAAACACGAATGGGACAGAGGTGCCCAAGCAATCGACTTTCTATATATATATATATATATATATTATATGTATACATATATACATATATATACATATATATATATATATATATATATATATATATATATATATATATATATATATATATATATATATATATATATATATATATATATATATATATATATATGTATGTGTGTATATATATATATATATATACACGATATTTTTTTTTATGCAAACAAGCTGACGGCCAACCGTAGTTAGGCTTTGGAGATGTTTTAAGATGGACGCTGCTGCCTATCCCTCGCCCTCCCTTAGTCGCCTTTTACAACACTTACAGGAAAGGAAGGGGTGGCCTATTCTACGCCGGGACCATATGGCTTTTGGTTATATACTATGTATAATTAAGAACATATAAATTAGTACCATATTTGTCGAATTACCTTCTTTTCCGTCATTTTGTTTCACAGCTTCATCTTCATTTCTTTCTATTTCATCACCATCATTATTTTCAGTGTCACAAGCCATATATTGTATGCAGTACTTGGTGAGATCATCTGCATCCGAAACGTCGACTGGCTGTTCTTCAAGAGTCTCATCGTTTGGGGTCTTGCCACGAGTTGTAACCTCACAACTGACTTGACAAATTTTCACTGAACTTCGAGTTAAACTGGATAAATGTTTAATAGATGTTTGGAACTGTAAAAATACATTTATAACTGTTAAATTATACAAAATATTGAGTGACAATGTTTCTTCAATGCTAATTTCCAAAATTGCTGGCCTGATTTTAATGAAATTTCGTAAATGTATTTTTTTTAATACAACTTAGAATGGCAAACAAGGTAACGGCCCACCTGATGGAAAGTGGTAACCATCGCCTATAGACATGAGCAGTACCGTAGATATAATCTCAGTATACTGTTCCACCAATGATACCCCCCATGCGTTGCCGTTCCTGAGGACTCAGGTGTTATTCCTCTGTACCCTGTAAATTCACGCCATATCCCACCCTTCAAACCGAAACACAGCTATGCAAACACAACTACTTAACGGTTGTGTTGCTGGTTTTTAACACCATACAACCCATCACAAACTAAAGTACCATCATCCTAACCATCTGGATGAGTAGCAATCCTCCACCATGCATTTTTCAAGTCACTTTTTTCGATGCACAACCACTCTTTGGAATCAACTTCCAGCAGCGGTATTTCTGAACCAATACAACATCATAACCTTCAAGAAAAGAGCATATTCTTTTTCAAAACACACACCTAGCATGCCTCTGGTGTTGCAGGTGATCATGGGCGGCAGTGGTCACTTATCATCAGGTGAGCCGCATGCTTGTTTGCCCCGTGTATTGTAAAAAGTGTATTGTTTGCTCCATCTTAAGAGATAGCCATTACATTATTTGATTAGAAGGGACATCCCATCAAAAACATAAATGTGAAATGAGAGCCAAGTTCAATATTATGATATATGCCTTGGTTGTTGACTTCAAGGACAAAAGAAGTGAGATAGCTAGATAGATACTCTTTATTGTTTCCTCCAAAAGATTACAATAGTAAACTTATTATAAATATAAATAATTACAAGAAATAATCAAAGTGAGGAAACAATGGGTGGTCTTATCGCTAAGAGCGATCTCTTCCAGGCAACCTTTGGATGGAGAGGAGTAATTATAAACAATTTGGTGAGATTTAAATGAGTGCCAAGTTCATGTTCAATGGTCAGTCCTGAAACTTATTCATTATTATAGTTTTTTCTCCACTGCAGTGGTCCCCAAGGGTCTCAAAAGCCTCCTTCATCTTTTTCCACTTCTCCTTAACTGTAGCGATATTTGTGCAGTTTTTCCTGCTGTCTTTATTATGTCATTGGCCCATCTCTTTCTTTGCCTTCCGACACTTCTTTTTCCTGCTGGACCTCGCCATTTTGTTGTTTGGAGAGTCGACCTTTTATCTTTGTACCTCACGATATGACCTGCCCATCTCCACTTCTGTTTCATAATATACTAAAGAACATCTGTTATTTTGGTTTTACTCATAACAACATAACATATCATTTGTTCTGATAACTTATATATATATATATATATATATATATATATATATATATATATATATATATATATATATATATATATATATCTGACAGAGATCTCTTCCAGTCAACCCAATGCAGTTAGAAAACATGTTGTTAGCGGGCAGCTGAAGTGCTACAACTATTAATATTTAGAGTACATAAACATATTGTAGCCTAAGGTTTTTTTTTGTCATCTTGTGAAACTTACCAAATTATTTTCTAATATATGACTAATAACAGCCTGAGCCCTTATAGCTTTCTCCCTGAATGCTAAAATTTTTTTCACTATGGCATCACACTCCCAACATATATGGACGACAGTCAGATCTGGCCTCTGTCAATAAGAAAAATAAAAATGTTTAGAGTAAGAAATAGGCTTACCTTTCCCATGGGTGTTATAAGGCACCTTACGGAGGTGAGGGGTGAGCAGTGTACCTGTTATAACATCTTCAAAGTCTAACTGCAGTTGACAATCTGGATAGCTAAGAGTGACAGCTACTGGCAAAACCCCTCAATCTTTGGGTAATCCCAAAGTTCAGATATCTTTTGAAAATTATATCTATTATAGCAAAGCTTTCTCAATATCTCTTAATATCATTGCCATATGGTACATTAAAATTATGTATATATATATATATATATATATATATATATATATATATACTACATATATAAATATAAGCCTCCCCCTATTGGGGAGTTTTGCCAGAAGTTGCCATGCTTGGCAGGGGGTTTGGCAACCACAGTTGGGCTTTTACTGATTAAAAGGAATGCTGCTACTCATCTCTCTTCCCTTAAGTTCCTTTAGTCACCTCTTATAGCATCTACAGGAAAGGAAGGGGGGCCTATTCTATGCCAGGACCACATGAACATACTTTCTGTTCTGGTCAATACAGATATTGTGGGGGGAAAGGGATTGTTAGTAATGGAGACTGAGAATCCCATTGCTAGCAATACACCCAAACAGGCCGACCTCCTCGCGGTTCTTCCTGGAAACTATCATGGTTAATTCCTGATGAATTCATCATGATGGGCTAACTGGCCTGTTTTCATTCTCATCTATCACCCTTCACTGGTGCTCAGTCAGCGTATCCTGTTAGCGCAGGCGGGGTTACCATACCATTTACGCCCATAAAAAAAATACAGATATTGTCATGTTAGTACTACAATAAACAAGTTATTTTTTAATGGATGATAATGGAATGGTAACCCTATCTGTATGAACAGTGTACGCTGGCAGGGCACCAGAGAGAGATGATAGGGAAAGGCAGGTCAGTTAGCTCACTGTGATGAATGCACCTACAATTCAGCACGATGGTTTCCAAGGAGGAACATGTGGAGGTCGACCTGATAGGGTATTGCCAGCAATGAGACTGATAGTTTATATTAATAATAATCCCTTAACCTCCCCACCCCCTAACAAATTAAAGTTATAATTATGTTATGTGAATACCTTAATCTTTGAGAATTTCATAAAATTTTTTACATCCTTCACAAGAATCAAACTTCGATCCGTGCTTAAGCATGTGGCACATATTTTCAATTTATTTATATCCATGATAATTTTTAAAACTAGTTAATTACATATATTTTGCACCGTCTTCAAGTTATTTCCATTTACGATTTTCTAGATTCGACTGAGAAAAAGATAATAAAAATAAAAACAAATAATTTCATTCAAAATTTTAAACTAAATCTATGGGGTCGATTCTGAACTGTTAATTCATCAAATTTATCTTTTAATGTATTATTCTAATTCGATAGTTCTGCGAAGTTATCATTTTGTAGACCATCATAAACTGAGTTTATAATCAATTAGAAATTTACTTTATATTGTTTTTTTAAATAAATTAATATTAAGAAATAAATATTTCCCTGTAATATTAAATTAAATGTTAAATTTTAGTGATTAGAAATTTGAGAAATGGCGCCTCAAAACAGACACCTTTTTGACTGACAGAAACAAAATATATGGGGAAACTCGAATAAGAACAAGCGGGTTTTTTAAATTTTTTTTATTAATTTATTAAAACTATCTCTATCAATTCTTATTATTGAATAAAATATTATATTTTCACTAAATTCAGCGACAGTAATATAATTAGCATTCATGGGGAAGCGCAGTTGTAGAAAAAGGAAAAAAAAAAGATGACGATTCAGGTGATGTAGACCATGAACCTTGTAATGACAAGGATATATATTCGGAAGATACTTCTACTGACTCAGAATCTGAAATTGATAAGGCCGATAAGTATAAACCTTACTACGTCACAGATTATATTAGAAGATATCCCGAGGAATCCCCTGGGACAGAATTTGTTGTCTTTGTAGAATCCTCAGATAGTCAGAAAACCATTGGATCCAGAGACTTGCTCTCACTCTCCTCCTGTTTAAAACGATTTAATAAAGGGGTAACTTATCTTAGATCTATAAATAAATTCAAAATCGGAGTATACTTTCAAAAGCCAGACTTAGCCAATGCTTTTTTAAATAATAAAACTTTTTTAAATGACTACCATTTTAAGGCCAGTATTCCTGCTTCTTCAACAGAAGTTACAGGCGTTATTAGAAATGTACCTACAAATATATCTAATAAAAAAATATATACTATGATATCGAGTTCTAAGAAAATTATTGCTATTAAAAGAATTTTAAGAAAAAATACCTTGACTCATGGATATGTGTTACAGCCAACTCTAACCGTGACAATTACTTTTGCTGCATCTGTATTACCTGAATATCTGGATATTGGAGGTTGGCGCCACAATGTCACTCCATATATACCACCAGTTAAACAATGCTACCGGTGCTTGAGGTATGGACATTTAGCTAAATTCTGTAAGAATTCTGAGCGTTGCAGCATCTGCAAAGGTGAGCATAATTATAAAACTTGTACAACTGGAATGGAAAACGCTATTTGTGTACACTGCAATGGAAATCACACAAGTGTATCACCGCAATGCCCTGTTAAACAAAAGAAAATTGCTGAAAATAGATCTAAATTCAGACCTGCTTCTTTTGGAGATATACTTAGCACTGAAATATTTCCTAAACTGGGTAACAAACCTAAAAAAAATGTAGACCTAATTTCAATTCTAAATTCTGATAACAAGAGTTTATCACTTTTAATAGAAAGCATAATCAAACTTATTTCACTACATAACACAAAGAACACATCTATTAACACTAAAAGTGTTTTGAATGTGTTATATGATACTTTTGGTAATAGACCTATTTCACAAAATTCAATCGAGACCAATTAACTATCATACAGTGGAACGCTCAGAGCCTACTGAGCAATCGACATATTTTTACACAATTTTTAAATGAACATCATATTCACATTGCTCTCATCTCAGAAACTTGGCTAAAACCACATTACAAATTAAAAATTAAAGATTATTGTATAGAACGAAATGATTGTGGTAATAACCACAATGGAGTAGCGATTATTATACATAATAGTATTAGATATAAAAAACTTCACTCTTTTTTCGACAATTCTTTGCAAACTATAGCTATTAGTATTGAAGTTAATAATTCTTGGTATTCAGTTGCCAGTATTTACTGTCCTACCAATAGTACACCTAGTTTTACTAAAGCCAAATTTAAGTTCTTTTTGGAGTCTCTTCCTAAACCCACTATCATATCTGGAGATTTAAATGCACATCATACTATGTGGGGTTGTACCTCCACTAATACAAGAGGTAAAGACATTCTTGATTGTTTAGATGAATGTAATTTGGTACTATTAAATGATAAGCAAGTTACTACTGTTGGCTCTCATATTTGGAGACCCAATGGCCTTGATTTAACTATGGTATCCCCATCCATATCATTAAAATGCGAGTGGTCGGTTCATGATGATCCGTTAGGAAGTTATCACCTGCCGACTTTTACTAAAATAAACACAAAGAACTCTTCATCAACTCCGTCAGGTGAACAACATGCTCCTATAGATGAAGTTAATAAACTTTTGTTAAATCGTATAAACCTACGTCTCGTTAATTGGGATCTTTATTCTGAAACTGTTAATCAATTACTTTTGGATTTCGAGTATGATGTCAATGAACCCTTAAACAATTACAATAGGTTCTGTAAAATTATTTTGACAGCTGTGGAACGTTCCGTTCCACGTAGGAACTTATCAAATAGCGGTGCAAATACTTCAAAGAGGCACAAACATATTGCAGTACCTTGGTGGAATAACAGGTGTGCGACAGCTGTCAATGATAGTAAAGCGGCTTACCTTAGGTTTAAACAAAATCCAACTCTCGATAATTACATAAATTTTAAAAGAGTTCAAGCTGTTAAAAAGTTAGTAATTAAGCAAGTAAGACAACAGGGGTGGCAGGAATTTTGTTCCAAATTTAATAGATTAACACCAATTTCCACTGTTTGGCAAAATATGAGAAAACTAAATTCAAAACATCGTCAAAATCATTTTAAAGATATATCATGGGTCAATGATTTTTTACGCAAATATACTCCTGATTTTGTACACTCACCTTTTGATGATAAACAGTTTAATTCTGTTAATTCATGCCCAAAATTTCTCACTGACCCATTCTCAATTGATGAAATATCCAGTGCAGTAAAATCTAGAAAAGATACAGCTAGTGGCCTTGATCGCTTAACATACAATATGTTTCGATTGCTGAATAAAATAAACCTTACTAAACTCTTACAAATTTTTAACGATTTATGGAAGGACTGTATTATCCCACCAGAATGGAAAATGGATTGTTTGATTCCAGTAATTAAACCCGGTAAAGATCCTACAAATTTCGACTCCTATAGACCTATAACATTGACGTCCTGTGCAGGCAAATTATTCGAACAATTAATTAAACAGCGTTTAGAGTTCTTTATTGAAAGTAATAGTATATTACCATCGAATCAATTTGGTTTTCGCCGTGGATATTCAGCGCGCGAAAGTTTAGCGAACTTCTATGTCGACCTTAGTACTGCTTTGAATAACGATGAATATGTTCTATCTGTTTTTTTAGATGTCGTAGGAGCTTTTAACAATGTAAATTTAACAGTTCTATCTTCGATTTTATCCTCATTTCTTCCAATGAAACTTATCGAATGGATTTATAATTTTCTTAGTAATAGAGAAGTGTATGTTAAAGTAAATAGTAAATTAATAGGACCTAGGTTAAGCTCTAAAGGAGTATGTCAAGGTGGTATTCTAAGCCCGCTACTATATATTTTATATATCTATAAACTTAATTCAATTTTAGGAAACAGTGTGAACAACTTGCAATTTGCCGATGATTTATTAATTTATATAAAAGGAAAGAATATTATTGATATGCAATTAGTGTTAAATGAGTCATTAAAAAGACTTGAGAAATATTTTTCTCTTCTTTCCCTCGATATTAGTTTAACCAAAAGTAAAGTAGTTGTTTTTCATCAAGTTCATAAATATGTTCCATTAATGAATATTATATATAATAATCAAACTCTTCCAACAGACTGTAGCGTTAAATTTCTGGGGGTAATTTTTCATCAAAATTTAAAATGGGATCTATACGTTGATTGCTTAGTAGATCGTGCTTTAAGAGCCACTAATATAATAAGATCTGTAATTGGTCGTAACTGGGGAGCTGATCCTAAAATTATCCTTTTACTTTACAAATCTCTTGTTAGAAGTAATTTTGATTACGCTTTCTTTTGTTATGCCTCAGAACATAAATTAGTAGAAAAACTCGAAAAAATTCAAAATATGAATTTAAGACTTATTTTAGGTGCTATGTATACTTCTCCAATTATCTCAATGCAAGTAGAATGTAATTTGCCTCCTATCCTTCTTCGTTTCGAATACCTAAAACTCAAATTTCTCTTCAAAGTTTTTTCAGTTTCCAATAACCCACTCATACTCAAATTATTAAATTGCCCCATTTCTATGTTTTTGAATAAAACTATTGTCAATGATTTGAATTTACGAGATGAATATAACATCTATAGTAGTAAGATACTTCCTTGTTATAATGGCCTTTATGAGAGTAAGTTCTGTAAGATCAAAATTGTTATACGTAAAGACATAAAAGAAAAGCACGATATGTATGAGACTTTATCAGAATTTATTGACTACAGGCAGATATATACAGATGGTTCCAAAAATGCACTTAGCACTTCAGTGGCTTTTTACGATTTGTCAAATAGATTTGGTCACGGTTATAAAATTTCAACTTTGGCTAGTATTTACACAGCAGAAGCAAAAGCTATATTTTTAGCATTAGAATACATAGAAAAACAGGTACTATATTCGAAATGGATTATAATTACAGATAGTATGAGTGTTCTTATGGCATTAAAAAATAACACATTCATTTCATCATCAAACTACTTAATTCAAGAAATTCGTAATAAATATTATCATCTCTGTACTATATATGGAAAAGATATTATCTTCATCTGGACCCCTTCACATATTGGAGTGTTTGGGAATGAACAAGTAGACACTTTGGCTAAAATTATTAATTCAAGTGCTGCTCGTGTTCAAGATTTACCCCTTTGTTATTCAGATTGTAGTATTGGAATACATAAAATCGTTACAACTAAATGGGAGGAGCATTGGACTCAAATATTACAGACTAAAGGCAAATGGTACCGCAAAATTAATTGGCGTATTGGAAAACCGTGGTTCTGCAAAGGAAAGGACACAAACAGAAAATTTTACACCAATATTTGTAGATTACGAATCGGCCACGGACATTTCAACGAACACCTGCACCGAATGGGCATGATCGCTTCCCCATCATGCACATGGTGTAACTCAAATACAGCCCAATCTCTACATCACCTTTTTTTTTGATTGCTCTGAATTTGTCATTCAAAGACACATTATGTTTGACGAACTTAGGATTATCTTCAAAAAACCCGAAAATATCCCGCACTCAATCCCGCTTCTCTTAAGATTTCCTTCTTGTTTCAAAGCTATTTTCACTTATATTACTACAACATTCAAGGAGCTATAAGAATACTTTTATTGAATTGCAAGACAATGATTTTTTATAATTATTTATTTTTAATTTGATAAATCCACTGGTTTAAGAAAACTCAAGAAAAGATATTTATGAAAATGTACTTACCGGATTTGACAAATGAAATATTGAAGATTATGACAATAATTGAAGCGACATTAGAAAAATAAAATTCCAGACAATTTATCTTTTTGAAGACTAGGCAGCATGGTCTCCGACCTTAGCCTGTTCCAAACGGAACAAACGTACTAAAAAAAAAAAAAAAAAAAAAACAAAATATATCTGTGATTGACAGTTTTGATGACACCTATTTTTTTTAAATACCTTGTTTGGAATTAGTGTTGTTCGTAGTAAATCAATAACAAACATTCAAATCGATTCGAATATAAAGAATTAAGATTAAGAATATGACCAAGTGTCTAGTAATCCTGAAATTCCATCATCATTACTGAGGTTAAAATATTTTGATTTTATACAGATAGTACATAAACTGTTTGATTCATTCTTGATTACCTGAAGGAGCACTCCTCCATGGAGTGTTCATCGGGGAACACGTCCAGGCACGTCCGGCATGTGTATCTCTTGAGAACAATGTTCGTGTCAATTATAATAATAATTGAAATTTATTTGCTCAAATATGGGTTTTACAGTGGTACATTCTTTTTTAATAGTTGTTTTTTTTTATACAACTTAGAATGGCAAACAAGCTGACGGCCCACCTGATGGAAACTGATAACCGTCGCCTATAGACATGAACAGTACCATGGACATAACAAAGTATACCTATTCTTTCACACATGATACCCCCATGTGTTGCCATTCCTGAGGACTCAGATGTTACCCTGTACCCTGTAAATTCACGCCATATCCCACCCTTTAATCCGAAACACAGCCATGCAAACACAACTACTTCACGGTAGAAACACGAATAGGATAGAGGTACCCAAGTAATCGACTTTTGTATAAAGTCTCCCTCTGGTGATGGTGATCAATCAGTCAATAGTTTGTGATACATAGGTGGAGTCTAATTGCTCCTTTTAAAATATATTTTACAAACTCTTTTTATTAACTCCAAAAGTTTTAAAAGTTCAATAAATATTTATGTATAACGAGTCATTTAGAAAATAATATAGATGCTAATGTAGCAAAGTTCAAATTGTTGTAATGTGAAAAAATTAGAAATTAAATATTCTACTAATAGGCGTAGATGAAATAACGTCAATAATATTTATTTTTTAATTGTTTATTAATTCTTTACGCGATACATGTACAAAGCGGAGTAATTGTTTGAGCCCTCTATATCAATCAATCTTGAAGTGTTAGAATGCTCGAATGCGATACTAGTGTTTATAAGCTATATTATATTATACACGAAATTGAGAATAATAATATAATAATGTTTTTTGCTCCAAATCTCGTCCGTGGTTTCCTCCCTATCCATACCTCGATTCCTATGGTGCCCAATTTACAATACTCGAGTGCAGTTGATATTTAAATCATCAATCTTGACAGCAACAGTGGAAATCACTATTCCATTCGATTCAAATAAATGTAGCCCTCAGGAATCATTAACTCTTTCTACTTACTACGGTCGAAAAATTTAGAGCTATTTTAAAAAATTATATTTTAAGTGTGTCCAGTCGAATTTCGGAAATAATTTTCCAAAATTGTGGTGGTTGAATCTGTCGTGATTAAAAAATATTGCACAATTTACTTAATACATATTGTGTTGAGCTATAAGGTTACCCATTTATTATTGCCTTTGACCAAACTTTTATAAAAAAGTTATTGTCGGGTAGATTATTTATATTTCGTTGTTAAAAATGTGTCTATTAGTAACAAATTACTGATGTGTATGAAATAAATCTGGTTATTCTCGTTTCCCGTACAATATGGTGATCTTTCCAGCGTCGTTTCATTGTTAGTATTTTTTTAGACCGATTTTTGGATTTATACAACGTCTCTGAAAAGTTTGCGATCTCTTATCAAGGGTATCCACTGATTCAGTTTTGTTGCATATAGTGCATACATACATATGTCATGCCTGTTTCCCATTGGGGTAGGCAGAAACAATGAAACGCTAATTGCTTCAACTTAAATAGATTTCGTGTTTCCGGGAATTGTGTATTTTATAGGTGAATGATTTGTTGTAGGTATTGTCATATAGAAAAAAAAAATGGTTAGAGAAATAAAATTAAGTAGGTAGCTTGTTTTTTCTTTGAACTTTGGTATTCTTGTTCTGCTGTAACTGTAAGGTCAAGGTAATTAATGTGAATGCTTTAGATGTATTTTTAAATGTTTTTTTTTTATTTTTTTTTATCGCTCCCCAAAAAAAGAACCAACCAACAAAAAAAAATTCAAAAAACTGCTAACACAAAATATTATTAAAAAAATTTATAATGTCATTCAGGATCATTTGAGGATTCTGTTAATAAGGTAATTTTGGATAATGTGGTAAACTATAAACGTTTATGGAAAAAAAAACATGAAATTTATGAGATAAAATATAATTAATTAATTCAATTTTGGAAGTTAATAGTTATATCAGTTACAAATTTCTGGTATAAAATGAGTGTCCTTTAAGACATTTGGAGCAATAAAATACTTGAAATATGTAGAAGTAACTTTATATTAATAGGCAATTAAATATATTCACAGAACAAGTTCATTCATACTATACATGTGCGCATGACACACCTTTTTAGTTTCTTTTTAATTTTATTAAAAAGATGTTTATAATTTGAAGTCTGTGTCAGTTCAGTTTTTGTTTTGTTCGCTTTTTTGCTCTGTTGGTTTGCTTTGTATATTTTTTATACAATTATCTTTCTAAAACACCATGTTTCCATACTAGCATACAATCCTTTCACCCACACATGTATGAGTTTTGATAACGGGTAAAAGAATAAAAAAAAAGTAGAACTAAACGTTTAAAGTCCATCAAAAAACAATATTCGATGTTGCCGTTCTATTATGTCAGGTTTTAACAGAGATTTTTAACCTTTTTGGTAATCTTGAATTGGTAAATTTGAACATCCATATTAATATTATAAATGTGAAAGTGAATTCGTTTGTTACATGGGACAGAGAGGGATATAGGATAGAGGCTTTTTTGTCCTGGTCATGCGGACAAAGTTGCAGGTAAAAATTATATATACCTACATTTCCTTTTATTCAAATTCAAAATATCTTTATTCATGTACGTCTATTACAGACTTATGATATATCAAATCTACCGTCAATTCGGAATGATTTCGAGATGAGAACTGACAAGAAACTCGGCTCGTATTTTCAAATAAATGTTATACATGTTTACAATAATACAGATTCATTTTTAAATTCAAAATTCATAATATTACAATAGAATTATGGCTTGGTTCGAAATTTGAATCGTGAGTGGATTTGATAAGTCGTCACGTACGTCAGCCTCGTGGTGCATCATCACCAATTGCCTAATAAGGCATTTACGTCATTTACATTAGTTTTAGATACGGTGTGGGGCCACCGATCCTTATAGTGGCTTGATATATATATCAGCCGATAATTGTCCACATAGGCTTCCCTCATAAGGGGGGGTTTTACCAGTAGTCCGTGAATCATACTTGGTTTTTCTTTTGTATACTCGTAAGAGCCTTGCGTTTTTGTAACTCTTACACTGTCCGAATTTGCATTGGAGGAAATCAGAATCACTGGATGCGGCTTTGTTTTTTTATCTTTGAACGAACACATCAAGATAAGATAAAAAGTTAAAAAAAAAATATTTATAAAATAAAAACTGATGTATCGTACTTTTTAGGCTTGAGAAAGAATATTTTTATTTAAAAAACACGAGCGGCAAGAAACAACCTCCCACGGCGACTGACAAACTCGCACTGAAATATCAGCGCTACCGCGCCGCGTAGCTGTATTAGAGACGTAATATCGAAGCGCGACGGCGCCGCGTAGCGGTCAAACGGTTAAGAGGGACGTTGCTGCATCTCTCCATTATTAATTCCTCTTAGTCGCCTCTTACGACACCCACGGGAAAGGAGTGGTCCATTCTATGCCGGAAACAGCAATTTTTACAATGTTATCTATATTTATGTTTTATTTCTTACATATAGTTTTTAATAAAATTTCTTGAGCTGTTCAAGTTTATATCGTCCAAGGAAGACATGTTGTTGCTAAGTGCTGATTTAAAATTTATTATTGTCATTTGTAGTTACGGTTTCATTGTCTTCGTCGTCCGTGTTTAATTGGTATATTTTTCAAAATGCCTCCCAAATTTAGGCATTTAATTTGAAATGATACGTTGGTACGAAGAGGTTGCACTTCGTTGTTCGATTGCGATCGCTTCGTGAGTCTCATTTATTGTTAAGTATGCATTAGTAGCGTGTTTGAATGTTATGTTACATATGAAATTTGTTATGTCGTGACGTTCTTTTATATTTCACGTCTGTTAACATTGGTTGGCTTGCCACCAACAGTTCCCACTGTTCGAATTAATTGTCAGTCAATTTAACAAAATTTAATAAAATTTCTTGATCTGTTCAAGTTTATTTCACTCAAGAGAAATAGAGTCGTTCATTTGTGGCTAAGTTGTCCGGAATGCAATATCGTGGATAGGATTTCAGGCTGTTGATAAGATACCTGGGTCGAATATGGCCACTTTAAAGTTTCGTATTTTTTTTATATACCATATGGTATTAGGGTAAGCGTCAGTACTTATTAGCAGTGTATTTATCTAGTGTTCAAACTATGAAGAAAATTATTAGCAAAGGCATTTACAGTTCGAGTTATTTTAATTTTTTTTTTAAATAGGGTTAATGGCCAATTTTCCGCCAGTGTATATAAATATGCCCATACTTATGGTCATATTAACTGTACGCTGAGTTTTAGTGACATTTTTTTATGGGATTTTAATTATAGAAATAAAAATATTTAGTAATTGTAATAAAATATCAATTTTGACCGTATACTTTGGAAGTTTATAATCACAATGTTAAATTGAACACAAATAAGAAAAAGAATAAAGTTAAACTAAAAATAAGTGACTAATTATCAGACTCTTAGACTTTGAAGAAAATCAATAATGTTATCATCTATGTAAACAAAATACTTAATATCTACTGAGATCAAGCGAGAAAAAAAACACCAAATCACAAATAAAAAAAAATTAAAGTACTTAAAACTTAATCGTGACTACATTTAGTACAAATAAAACTCTCTTCAATCTTTTTGACCCATTTATTAATGAGTTTAGGACTTGGCGCGTCATTTAAATGTCGAATATTGCAAACTTTTCTACTCGCTACAGTCGCTGAATTACCGTTTTTGTAAAACTCGCGTACGCACAACGCACGGTCCGTTCCCTAGAAACGCTCCATAGCGACTAAATTCCCAGAAGCTAGGTTACCGAATGACATACGAGGTTTGTCCGGAAAGTACGTATAAAAGTTTTTTAAAAATTTTATTTTACAATTATTCAGGTAAATCAATTTTATCCCCTTCAAAGTACTCCCCCTGTGACATAATGCACTTGTGCCAACGCCGTTTCCACTGTGAGAAGGCTCCTTGAAAGTCCTCTGGTTGTAGGTTTCTCAGCTGCCCCGTCGTAGCTTTTTTTATCTCATTTATGTCCCCCAAATGCCGCCCCCGAAGTACCAATTTGGTTTTTGGGAACAAGAAGAAGTCACACGGGGCCAAATCCGGCGAATAGAGGGGGTGTTCGGTCACCGTAATGGAATTTTTACTCAAAAACTCACGGACAACAAGAGAGGTGTGGGCAGGGGCATTGTCGTGGTGAAGAATCCAACGCCCCTCTCGCGCCAATTTTGGACGAACTCGTGCCACACGAGCTTTGAGGCGTCTGAGCACATCGACGTAGAATTTTCCATCAACTGTCTGGCCTGGAGGGACGAATTCTTGATGGACAATCCCCCGAACATCGAAAAAAACAATCAACATTGTCTTGACATTTGAGCGGGATTTTCTTGATTTTTTTGTTCGTGGTTCCCACTCTTTGCTTTGGGATTTTAATTCGACATCAAATTCGTAGAACCAAGACTCATCTCCAGTGATGACTCGGTTCAAAAAGTCACCATTCTCTTCGGCTTCCAACCAGTCCTCACATCAAGCAACTCTTCGTGATTTTTGATCCGGGGACAAAAGCTTGGGAACGATCTTGGCGCAAATTTTTTTCATTTGAAGTTCGTTTCTTAGAATTTCGTGGACCACGGTTTTGCCCAAATTAAGCTCTTCAGCCACCTGTCTGACCGTTAAACGACGGTCCCCATTAACACAAGTTCGAATTCTTTCCACGTTTTCGTCGGAATGTGAAGTGGAAGGACGTCCTGAACGTGGGTCATCTTGAACGCTTTCTCGGCCCTCTCTGAATCTTTTTAGCCACTTGTGGACGGTTGGTTCCTTCACAGCATCATCCCCATAAACTGTTCTGAGATCGGCAAAAATTTCACGGCCATTCTTGCCGAGTTTCGAGAGAAACTTGATTACGACGCGCTGCTCTTCAACGGAAGCGGGCTCCATGCCGACGGGGTTTCGTTAAGAGGTAACTTCACAGATGGCGTGACAAGCCAGTTCGCACCGCACGGCGGTCAGACCAGAACTGAAGCATTGTTAGGGACATAAGGAAGGGGTCCTGCGCTTACCTGGCCTCCCCACTCCTCTTTCTCGCATTCCAGAACACTTTTATACGAACTTTCCGGACAGACCTCGTATCCCCGCGCCCCTCAGAATAGTTGCGTTCACGCAATAACCAAATGTCACCTTCCTTTTGAGACACCCAGTATTTTATTTTCAACATAAATAAAATAAAAATGTAACTTAGTTTCTATTTTTATTTCTATATTTTTAAAATGATAACAATAGTATATTATAAACTTACCTTTTAAGATAGATAGATAATTTTTATTACCAATAATAAAAATAAAAAAAAAAAAAAATCAACAATAAAAAGAAAAAAAAATTTTGCTGGTAATAGGAGCCGCCTCAGCTGTTGCTATATATGTACAGCTCCAGCGAGAAGTGCCTATATAGCGCTATTTTTGAAGACATGTATAATTTCCAATAAAAATATATTCAATCACGTGAAACACCAAGAAAATAATCAATTCACTGTGTTACTTGTCACTACAATTAACAGTGATCGACTAAAGCTTCTAAAATGGTAACTTGGTTTAAATAAATCAAATAATGAGGTTAGAATTTTTTATTTTTGCTAACCCATGCATAGGTCTGTAGGTTCATCTGGGTTAATAACTATACGGGCCGCTTTATGAAAACAAATCATTATAATTAATTATATTTTAATACTATAATTAGAGTCCTGTAGATAATTATCATTATCGTAGTTTATAGGCTGAATACCTAGAATTCCTGTAGTACCGTTATTGAATCCATTCCATTCATCGTCAGAGTCACTGCTTTCACTTTCGCTGTCGCTACCTAAATTGACTATAAATGGCACATTCAATTATTTATCGTTTTTTCCATAATCTTTTCGATTTTTTTTTTTCACATGGCCAAATTTTGTTGCCATTCTGAAACTGTTATTTTATTAAATGCATCTACAACTATCTGGGGCATTTCAACATCTGTCTTTTTAATATTTAGTTCTGACAAATTTCGTTTTATTGAACTCCAGATCATTTCTATCGAATTAAGGTCACAACGATACGGTGACAATCTAAGAACGGTATGACCATTGTCTTTAAATAATATATTTATTTCATATTCATGGGTTGGCTTGTGTCTCTATTAATTGGTACAACTGAGGTTTTCTATAAATCCAATATTATTAGCTGAAAGCCACTTCTGCATATCAGCTTTCTTACAATTTAAATTGGGACATTTTTTGCTGCAAATGCTGTGGTAAGGAACATTGTCCATGACAATAATACACTTTTAGTGTAAATTAGGCATAAATTTTTCAATAGCTCACTGTTTAAAGTTAATATTATTCATGTCATCATGATAATCTCCACTTTTTGTGTTAGATTTAAAAACAAGTAGGGGAGAGTCAACTCTGTCAAGAAAATCAACCGAAATAAACATTTATTTTTAAACTTTAACTTAAACTAAACATATATCTTATAATATTAATTAAGTTAGAAACTGATAGTTTTATTATATTAGCTTAAATCAAGTCTCAAAAGCAGTCTTCAATATTTGTTAAAATAATTTTTGGAGGGTAGCCCCGGACATAGAATTACTGATGACCAAATCGTTCTTTAGCCTTGCATACGTCACAATAGTAGTAAGCCAGCGATGGATCAATATCCACACACGCTTCGTGCGCCCAGTCTTTGCATCTATGACACTGGATCCAATCTTCCTCGAACGTTTCTCCACAAATTATGCATTCTGTATCGTGGTCTCTTTCTAGCTGAGTCAAACTTTGAATATTCTTCTTTGTTTTCATTTTATTAGTTGCCGCCTTTCTTTTATTCGTTGTAGTTTTATTGGTTGCAGCCTTGGTTGTGTTGGTCGCAGCCTTTTTCTCTACCAACGCATTTTTGAAGGGCGAAGATGTCAGAATCTCACTTTTTTGTGTTTTTCGTGAACGCGCTGCAAGACGCCTCTTGGATGCATCGGGAAGAGGGGACAACTGCTTAAGCAATTCATTTACAGTAGCAGGTGCAGTTGATTCTGTAATTTCTGACGTTGATGCGGGCATAAATGATGGCTGCGTATTGCCACTGGCTGATGGGTGTGATATAAGACTGGTAGATGGTTGCTGGTTACTACTAGTGGATGGCTGCTGGGTGCAACTAGTGGATGGCTGCTGGGTGCAACTAGTGGATGGCTGCTGGGTGCAGCTTGTGGATGGCTGCTGGGTACCACTAGAGGATGACTGTTGATTGCAGCATCTGGATTTCTGCTGATTGCAACTAGTTGATAACTGTGATCCCACGACTGTCTCTTCAGAAAAAGCTGGTTCCTGTTCAATATTGGTCATCAATGATGGCAAAAAATCCAAATCACTGAAAATTTCCCTATTGAATGGATAAATCCCTGTGCATTTGAACCCATTCTGTGCTATTTCTAGTCTCGCTGCCTTAACGAAAGCTGAATTGACTAAAGCAGCGATGTCATAATCAGTGATCCTAGCCCCTGGATTTTGTCTCATCCACATTGCGCTTGCTGAACCAAATGCAGACTTAAACGGCTTGAAAAATACCCTGTCCAGAGGTTGCACCTTGTGTGTTGTGTGTGGTGGAGTGCTAATCATATGGATGTGATTAGCTCGAGCAAATTCTATCACTGCCAACTCTTTATGGCTTCCATGTCCATCGAGAATCAGAAGGACAGGGTTCTCCTTCGAAGGCTGTACGTGCTGTTTGAAATGCTGGAGCCACATTAAAAATATCTCACCATTCATCCAACCACTTTCGTGTGGAATAGCAATGCTATCTGGTGGAGCTCCAATCATCAAACGACCATTTTTATCCATCCTTTTCCTCGGGAAAATAAAAAGTGGAGGTATAAAATGGCCGCACACGCTCATAGCAAACATCAGTGTAATGTTTCGTCCTCTTTCACCAGAAGTCAACTTGCCAACTTGCTTTTTTCCCTTAGTAGAAATAACTTTCTCATTCTTGTGTACAGTGGAGACCCCCGTTTCATCAGCATTGTATATTCTGGAGGCAGGGAATTTGTATTTATCTTGTAGTTGGTGGAGCTGATCATAAAACCGATAGACTTGTGGTTTATTAAACCCAACGGCTCTTGCAATGCTGGTTGACTCTGGACTTCTGAGAGCAATATCTGGGTATTTCTTTATGAAGCTATAATAAAAATCTTTGCCGGCCATTTTGTTTTCTTTATTGAACCTATGAGGTATTTTTAAACGTTCTGCAAATTGAAATGCCAATTTCAAAAACTCTACTTTGGTCAGCGGCATCAGGCGATTATCGAGGTCTTTGACATGGTTATATAATTGCAGTGATTGATTTTCTGAGAAGGTATGTTCATATCTTCCTAGTGTTGGCTTGAACTGTGCTTCTTGTCCACTACCGACAGCTTTTATCCGATCCTGAAGGGTGCTTCTCGGCACATCATATCTCTCAGCTGCTTCTCTCACCGATATCTTTTTTTCCAGTACACATCTTATAGCCTGTTTCATTTTATTTTCGTCCCAATTTCCTCTAGGCGTAATCCTTCCTTTGAATTTTGGCATTATCTGCAAAAGACACAAGATTTTATACACTTGTCTCAACATTGTAATAAAAAAAGACTGTAACATAGAGATGCATAGACAAACAGACATGGTGAAACTACCACGTTTCTTAATTTCACTATGCAATCCAAGAAACTAAACATTTCGTCATAAAAGAAATGTCCGGGGGTACCCGACAAAAAAGTGTCCGATTGTACCCGACCGCCTCGATCCTATGTTTTTATTCATATAGGAAATATCAATAAAAACAACGTCAAGTATTTACCTAATTTGTTAACTATAATGACTAACTTACAGAATTAGTAATATACTATGGTGAAGTATTATACTTACATTGTATAACCAATAACCGCACTCAAAAAGTAAACGGCGCACACAAAAGTATAGGTACTGTTAAACAAACGAATGTCACGTGTTGTTCGCACATCAGTCGCAGCGCGTTTGATATGAATATACGGCTAAATGGTGCTGCGGTCGTGTGGATGTGACACTTGTGCATGTATGTGTGCGAACTTTCCTGTAACTAGCACTGACCGAGGGTACCCGCCGGCCGGGGCTACCCGACTCTCCCCTAACCCGTTTCGCACAAACCCTGTTTCTGCTCCCTCATGAACTATTATCCAGCAGTTTCTCTTTGAAACGGTGTTTAAAACACCATCAATATTATCATTGCCAACAACGACCAGCAGTATGTGACGAATCAATATACTATATGTTTCGTCCAAATATGTTTTAACCAATTCCTTTTTTCAGTTTTTTTTTGCAAATATAATAATATAATGCCCTCCATGTTAATATACGAGTATCACTGCGTTCAATAAGGACTTTTCGATTCGATTTTGTTTTTTTTTTCTGTACCGAAAACCAATTTTACGCAATATTTTTCTAAGATATTCATTAGCTTTAAAGTCAATTTCTTCTTGTAAAATATTGAGCAACTTGATATTGTTCGTATTTCTTTCTTCACGGTGTAAAATTCATGAATTTTTCTTCTTATTAAACCAAGCTTAATTTTGCTTAGATGTGTCTTCAACGAATGTCTCTAGACGACTGGCGCTAACTATCGTCGTAAAGGAATTTATATAACTGGTGAAAATTTATTTGAAACCTATTCATTCATGTTCAATACCATACAAGCATTGACTAAAGACGTAGCCATCTCAAGGCGATAATGAAGTACTCTGTGCACGAGCAGACAACGGAATCTAGCTCTTAAAAGTCCAATTGTCCTCTCAATTTCGTTTCTTGTCTTCACATGTGCAATGGTGTAATGAACTTCTTGTGAGTCTGGGAAAGTAGTAATTGGAGTCATCATCTATTTTCTGAAAGTATGTTCTGAATTACCTATAATTAAAAGTAACATGTTAATATAATGCTAAAATGTTGTTACAAAAAGTGAACATAATTTTAATACTTTCATAATGGAATTTAATTCTCACTAAGTAACCAAATGGACTCATTTTGCTGAACTGCACTAAATGTTGTCTTGAGGGATGATTTGCCAAAATAAAAGTGTCACGAGTAGCTAGCTCTCCCATAGCTGGCATCCACACTTACAATTTCCAGCGTTACTATTTTAAAATATGTATGTTTGTATTTTTCATATTAATCACATGAATAAATTAAGATTTATGCTTAATTTATTCAATTTAGCAAGTGTAAACTACAGAAAATCAATCGATCAATTTGATAACAACGCACGAGCCGATGAGTACAATGCGTGAGGAAACAAAAGGGTATTCACTCCGTGTTAGAGTTTGTGGTCGACTGAACTGCCGCATACACGTCGGAGTAATTATACTCGTATTATGTTTACATTCGATGCGTTTCACAGTGTAGCGCTTTACGCTGCATCGGCTATGATTCCAGTGCGGTGCAATAATCGCGCGTTATTAGGCTAGTTTAAAGGCCACACTTCACCATACTCTTACATTCTATCTTTATACAAAATAACTCATATGTTATACAAAAAACTGAAGATTTTGAGGGAATGATTGCCTTTTAAAAAATACAATTTAGATTTCGCGCCAAAACGCTAGAATAGTAATAGTGTCGCCTATGATGTAAACCTTTCGTAAATTCTTGACAAGTGACAACTTACAGTAAAGGTTATAGTAAGAAATGGTCGCATTACACTAGCTATTATGGAAACGAAGCAAATTGAACGAGTTATTAGAGGTTTAAGGGAGTTTAATATGTTAGAACCTCTGCACGTCTAAATATAAATATTATTAAAGTTTTTGGTTAAGCTTTTATAAATTTGCAAGGTTCACTCATTAAATCAAACAATAACTACACTACAATTTGTGCATTTTATTTACATCTTTACAACTTACAAATACAGTCATTAATTACTCTTTTAAATCGGCTAGCTTCGTGGGGTTCTTTTATGCCAGTAGAAAAACGTACACACTGCTTTTTACTTATTTTTTATTATGAAATTACAATAAAAACGGTAGCCATTTGATAATATTATTGTCTCTCGGAACCTAATCATTCTAGTAGCGTTTCGGCGCGCAAGAGACGCGGCGCGGCCTCTCATTGGCCCGCGAGACGCATGCGCTTGGAGTTGGGTTTTCGGGCGCGGGAGTTAGCCATTAGCTACTAAACACTTTTATACAACACTGGATACACATTTGTTTCCAAATATTCACTAAAACTTTCAAAAAATCTGACATATAGTATATGTCATAAAATGTCACATTTATTATTTCCACTTTTTTATTTGAGCTATAATCACTGTCAGCAAAAAAAAAAAATAACCCGAATAAACTGAAAAATTTAAATCGCAAAAATAAATTTGTGATTTAAATTTTTCAGTTGGTTTGTCATTCTTCATGTATTGTGCTGTATTGTATTATAAATCTGTATCCACTGTTTGTAAATTTCGATATTTTTCCTGAATACGTATCAGTTTTCCGCCAATGTATATAAATATTTATTGCCTAATAATTGCCGAATGTAATTATATAGTTGAAATTTTGGAAAACCCGTGGAAAAGTGATTTTTCACGGGCTCCAAAATCTCGAATTTTGAGGTAGTTTTGGAGGTTTATTTCTCCAAAACTACCGGGTGGAAAATTTTGATTTTTTGTACACTTGTTGTGTAGGGTCTAAAAGGAATTTAGGGGTGGGGGGGGGGGGGTCAAAAAAGTGGGTTACAGATCTATTTCGGCCGTGACGTCACTCCGAAGTTTGCCAAAAATTTTAACACTTTCCGACCTTTGGGTCTCCGCTTCCCGTTTCCCGATCCGGAAAATTTTGGTGTCAATTTGAAGCTGCCTCCGATGATTGCAGGTGCCGACCCGGCAGCAGCTCCGCAAGGTGTCTTCGTGACACCAGCAAAATCTTCAGCAGCCAATAGCTCCGCAGTTTTTCCTTGGAAAATTCCGGGAGAGGGCTCCCTGAAAAGGTCTCGATGCGTTCTTTCCGATGGTGTAATAATATTTGGGGGTCGTCGCTGAATTTTTAGCGACACACGCGCCCAAAGGTGATTTTTTGATGTTTTTGGCACTTTTTCACTCACAATTATCACAGTTTTCAATTTTTCACAAAAAATTTTACACCACTGTAATCCTTGTTTTATTCCGCGTCGTTTGATGCTACGCACTAATAGATTTGCGAACATTTTTCCACAACTTAGATTTTTGAGACTTTGTACGGGCGGGAGCACTCAATTTTCGTGGCGTTCGGGTCAACGAACGTAACGCGACTTGAGACCTAGGCTGGGCCCGGGACATAAAAGAAGTTTGTATGTCAAAATAGTACGGACTCACCTTGACTGCGGATTTAGCGTAAGCGGTACACGCTCAGGATGCATCAGGTTTCAGGAAGCCACGCAACGTGAATGTCACAATGACGCTGATCTATTTTGATCTACTTGTGAAAACCACACTATATATGTTAAGTGAACAATCACTCACGACACTTGGGAACGATAATAGGGAATGTCCAGGAGGTTCACGAAGTCTCGACATAGTAAGTAGGCACACAAAAGCAACACGTTGTAGAGTGCTACGCGGTAGACGTTGGGCTGGGACCATTTATCTGTTTTTCTTATGTCAGGAGAATCGGTAGAATATTACGCGAAGGATATTACGACATTTGTAGGGATGTTGACTTTCTTTAATAAATGTAAACCTCACAAATCCCATCCGGTGCACCTGCTATCATTGGATACTTTTTAGACAGCTTGAGCCCGCACTATGAAATTTTCTTGCCAAATTTATTACTAACAGTTTTTCTCACGTCATCTTCTAATAACCTGCTACGTTTCATGGCCGATGTATATGCCGCTGCCCATAATCTGAACTATTACCCACAAGTGTACGGGTTGTCGATCGTCCTAGGTTCACTTTTAGCCACAAACTTGGATGAATGCCTCATTGAAGCACTTTTATTATGATTATTTATTCGGAATGCGCGAGACGGCCGCCATCGGTGATTTTTGTTTTTTTCGAATGTTGTCATTTTGTGCAGCTCTGATTGGTCGCGTTCGCTGAAAGATTGAATGGAAAAGAGGGCGCAGGATATTTGAATATAATTGTTTTAATGTTCTAACAGGCTAGTGAGAAATTTAACAACTCGAAAGGTTAAATTTCTGTGAAACATGAACCGTGGGTACTCTTTCTGGACTCGAAATTCACGCATCGGTCGTATGGGAAAAGAACAAGTTTTTTCTAAAATGGTTTCAGAAATGCAGTCCGGCCCTTAAATGTATCTGGTGAGCATTCGATAAAATTGAAAGATTTCAGTTTTATAAAGGAAAACTTAACTCTTGGAAGGGAACAGACCTTGTCTTTACGGCATTTAGTATTCGTGACATAAGGTGTCTTAGAATGCTGTAAAACGACGGCATGCAAAGCCATGTTACGATCACATTCCATGCATGAGTACATCTCTTATGGAGAATATAACTGTGACGAATTCTAAGCGGTTGCAGCAGTGAACTATGTAGTGTAACATTCTAAAGATGATATAATTTTTATTTCGACCATCACACGAGTCACAGAAAATTATAAGAGACTTGACCTGTAACTACATTTTACTAAATATGAAATTAAACAAATAAGAGTCCACGTCGTTTGATCCTTTTTTTTCAATACTGTAAAAGTAAAAAAAAATTCATTATTGTCATAGTAAGTAAAGAAATAATATGAGGATTAGCAAGCATATGAGCATTATATTTTCTACTAAAATAAATAGTTTCTTTACATAAATCAATCTTCACAGAATTACAAAAGTGCCATATTTTTTTTTAATCGCAGAGAGGAGACCATTCGTCATACACAGTAGAGTGCAAACATAGAGTGCGTTCCACATCTACATTATTTATCCGTTAATATCGATGCATTCTCATAACGACAACACATTAAACATAAAATAAGTCGGTTGCCTTTTGTATATACATCGTTTGTAGTTATATTCGATACAGAAAGATTTTTTGAGAAATCCATTGCATCGCTGCTGTTGTTATATCTTGCCTAGCCGTCCAAAGAGCTTTTCTTTTCATAAAAATGTTCCAGCTCTCTTTTTGTGTGCTAAGATTTCAATTTATAAATATTTAAATCTGCAGTTTATACTCGAAATATGGAGGTGAAGTTTTATTACACGAGGTTAAGAAAGGTAGAATTATTTCTATTAGCGAACTGCTATTATTACAGTCTTTAGTAACCATACAATCGAATTCCAGTTATGGTTTCGTTTGGTTTCAGCACTTCATAGTAAATCATATCTCTGATCCCACCAAATACATAGCAGGAGTTTAGACCCATGGATATTTCACTTTGCCATTGATGTTGATTGTTGGCCGGGCTTAACCCATGACTGTCTGCACTTCAGATTGTCGTAATGGATCCATTTTTCATCACCAATGACAATTCGATGCAAAAAACCTTTTCTTTCCTCCCGTTGAAGCATCAATGTCAAAAGACGCTTCTCAATGCCCCTTGGTTTCAATTCATATGGGACCCTACCTGTTTTAAATCAAAGCCTTGTATTTATTTGAACGTTTATTTGTAAACTACTAATCGACTCACAATATTAATTCTCAAGATGTCGGTCTTTTGAGCATACGTGGCTTTTCTGAATAACTTAACCTCGCTAGCTATTTTGACAGTTGACATGTCATCGCATTACTTTTCTTTATTTATGGGATGGCCACAGATATATTCAACACTACCATTACGAGATGTTTTCTTACCGTTGAGAACTCGACTTCTAATGATGTAGACAATTCTTGAAGGGTTTGAGATGAGTCTTCATTGAGCAAAAACTCTTTATCTCAAATTTTTTACCGACCGTTTTTTACAAGTTTTAAAGCTAACAAATTATTAAAACAAAAGGATTTGTATCTGACTAGAACCATAATGAGTAACCGGCTTAGAACGGTTTCTAAAAAGTTGAATTGATGTGCAACAGCCTGCTATCGTGGAGAACTATAACCATTGCATGAATGACATCGACTTATATGATTGCTTGATAGCATATTGTGTTACTGCAATTAATGTTTTTTTTTTTTTTCAATTAAAGTGTTTCCCTTTCATTGGTCGTTGGTTTTTATTATTGATAAATTTGTATAAATGACATAAAATAATCTCTGAACGCCTCTTCACTGCTTTGTCTAGCGTTGAAATAGAAGATTTTTTTGTTTAATACTTCATACTGTTGGTAGGTTTTCGATAATTTATATATATATATATATATATATATATATATATATATATATATATATATAATTATCGAAAACCTACCATATATATATATATATATATACGAGGTGTGCTACTATATATATATATATATATATATATATATATATATACGAGTATACTATATATATATATATATACGAGGTGTGACAATTAAGTAATGAGACTGATTCCATAAAAACCGTATATTTCAAAATTATTCTACAACTCTGCCATCCCCTTCAAAGTAGTCCCCTTGGGCAGCTATACAACGATTCCAGCGCGTTTTCCATGCTTCGTAACATTTCTGGAACGCTTCGACTGGGATGTCCGCGATTACCCTCGTCACGGCCGCCTAGATGTCCTCAATGGACTCAAAATGGGTTCCTTTGACCACCGATTTTGTTCTAGGCAACAAAAAAAAGTCACAGGGTGACATATCGGACGAATAAGGCGGTTGTTGCAACACGGCGATCCCTTTAGAGGCCAAATACTGGGACACGCTGAGGGCGGTGTGGCACGGCGCGTTGTCGTGATGAAGGATCCAGTTACGAGCGATGTTTGGGCGCACCCTGTTGACTCGTTTTCGCAATCTTTCGAGTACTTGGCGATAGTAGACTTGATTTACGGTTTGCCCTGGTGGAACAAATTCTTTGTGAACGATTCCACGGCTATCAAAAAAGGCAATAATCATCGTTTTCACCTTCGACTTGCTCATGCGAGCTTTTTCGGGCGGGGGCGTGCGGAGACAACCATTGTGAGCTTTGGCGTTTGGTCTCCGGGTCGTATTGAAAAAACCAGCTCTCATCGCCTGTAATAACTCGATCAAGCAGCGTGGGATCGTTTCCCACTTGTTCCAAACAGTCTTCTGCGACGGTCATTCGATGCTGCTTTTGCTCCTCGGAAAGGTTCTTTGGAACCATCTTCGCGCACAACTTTCTCATCCTAAAATCGTCGGTTAAAATTTGTCTCACTGTTTCACGGTTCATACCCAGTTCCGACGCCAACATTCGAACTGTTAAACGCCGATCTTCACGGATTAGGGCGCGCACACGCTGCGCATTCGTGTCAGTCCGCACCTCGACTGGTCTCCCGCTCCGCGCCTCGTCTTCCACGCTTTCACGCCCCTCCTTAAACTCTGTATGCCATCGAAACACCTGGGCACGACTAAGAGCACTATCACCATGCACTTTTACAATTTTAGCGTACGTTTCCGAAGCTGTTTCGCCCAATTTGGCGCAAAATTTTATCGCGACGCGTTGCTCTTGATTTCGTTTTTCCATTTTCGTGACGAGCACTACGAACACACGTTTACTCAACACGACACAACAGGCGAACTAAACAAGCTAGAGCGATGGCAAATATATCAATGGAGAGAGGAAGGATGCGGGAGAAGGGAAAGGGAATTTCAAGGTCGCAGGGTTACCACAATCGCGGCAATATAATCAGTCTCATTACTTAATTGTCACACCTCGTATATATCTTTTTGAAGAATTTATAAAAATACGCCACTGTACGGGGTCGTATGAGATCTTAAATGTGTTCATCAAACCTTCAATATTAATGCAATAAACCAACTCGTCTGTGAAGAGCCCTCTACTATGGTGAAATTATACAAATAAATATTATATTTCTCAAATAGTACGCAACCTGATCAGCTACTTTGAGCAGATTAAGATTTTTTTGACAATCATACGTGAAAGTCTTTAATCTTTTCTTCTTTAACTTTTTCGAAAAAAGCTTTTGCTCGCAACTTATGTAGCCTTTGGGCCACTATTGAATAATTTCTTCTACTAAAATTTTCGCTACTAATTCTAGCGTTTCATTTGCTCATTGAATTTTAAGCAAGTTGCACTTACACGTACATTGGTTTGAGGAGTGCCAAATGAGAGATTATATTTTGTATTGAATATACGCCTGAATTAAGGCTTCTTTACTTTCAGGTTATGGACGTCTTCAGTATTATTTATAGATAATTCTGATGACAGATAGTACTTTTCAGTATTTCTTCTACAGTAATGTGGTTCTTGGTATGGTATTTTATTAATCAAAATTCATTATAGACTGTCGATTTGCCGTATATTTTATTGAAACACGATCATCTCCTCTTTTTTCAGACAATAGTTTTCCTATCTTATAATATTCTTTCAACACAGTTTGAACTCTATACTTTATAATTTGTAAAACTGTTAAAAAGTAACCTTGACACATTTGCATTTTTTTCTTTAGTGATTGACAGTGAATGTAAAATTTTGTTTGAAAGTCTTGCTTTTCATATTTTGTTTTAACAGGACGGCGACGTGATACAGTGCAAGTGGTGCAATGTTTTAAAATATAAACATCCTCTTTTATTTTATCTGGATCTGCATAAAAATTATCATAGAATAGCTTTAGATTTATTTATAGATGGTGTCAAATATCCAAAATCTTTTTTATGCCGACACAATAACAGAAATTTCTAAATATTATATTATTTTATACAATAGTCAGCGATATTTATTGCAACCGAGTCCAAATATGTCAAGGTCATTTTGATGAGCGTCATTATATGATCTACACATATTCGCTATAGGGTTATTTAAAGAAATATTATTTCTAAAAAGAGGCACAGTAAAAGTACGTTGAAGATGAATTCGGCCATTTGTCTTAATATTAATTAATTCTAAAAGTTGGGGACAATCCACAATTGAGTTTACAATCTGGTATAGATACAGTAATTTTTTTATTTTTCTTCTCTTAGTTAGATAATCATCGCTATCAATGACCCATCTGCTGTATGACACTTGCTTACTCCATACGAGGTTTGTCCGGAAAGTACGTATAAAAGTTTTTTAAAAATTTTATTTTACAATTATTCAGGTAAATCAATTTTATCCCCTTCAAAGTACTCCCCCTGTGACATAATGCACTTGTGCCAACGCCGTTTTCACTGTGAGAAGGCTCCTTGAAAGTCCTCTGGTTGTAGGTTTCTCAGCTGCCCCGTCGTAGCTTTTTTTATCTCATTTATGTCCCCCAAATGCCGCCCCCGAAGTACCAATTTGGTTTTTGGGAACAAGAAGAAGTCACACGGGGCCAAATCCGGCGAATAGGGGGGGTGTTCGGTCACCGTAATGGAATTTTTACTCAAAAACTCACGGACAACAAGAGAGGTGTGGGCAGGGGCATTGTCGTGGTGAAGAATCCAACGCCCCTCTCGCGCCAATTCTGGACGAACTCGTGCCACACGAGCTTTGAGGCGTCTGAGCACATCGACGTAGAATTTTCCATCAACTGTCTGGCCTGGAGGGACGAATTCTTGATGGACAATCCCCCGAACATCGAAAAAAACAATCAACATTGTCTTGACATTTGAGCGGGATTTTCTTGATTTTTTTGTTCGTGGTTCCCCGGATGTCTTCCACTCTTTGCTTTGGGATTTTAATTCGACATCAAATTCGTAGAACCAAGACTCATCTCCAGTGATGACTCGGTTCAAAAAGTCACCATTCTCTTCGGCTTCCAACCAGTCCTCACAGCAAGCAACTCTTCGTGATTTTTGATCCGGGGACAAAAGCTTGGGAACGATCTTGGCGCAAATTTTTTTCATTTGAAGTTCGTTTCTTAGAATTTCGTGGACCACGGTTTTGCCCAAATTAAGCTCTTCAGCCACCTGTCTGACCGTTAAACGACGGTCCCCATTAACACAAGTTCGAATTCTTTCCACGTTTTCGTCGGAATGTGAAGTGGAAGGACGTCCTGAACGTGGGTCATCTTGAACGCTTTCTCGGCCCTCTCTGAATCTTTTTAGCCACTTGTGGACGGTTGGTTCCTTCACAGCATCATCCCCATAAACTGTTCTGAGATCGGCAAAAATTTCACGGCCATTCTTGCCGAGTTTCGAGAGAAACTTGATTACGACGCGCTGCTCTTCAACGGAAGCGGGCTCCATGCCGACGGGGTTTCGTTAAGAGGTAACTTCACAGATGGCGTGACAAGCCAGTTCGCACCGCACGGCGGTCAGACCAGAACTGAAGCATTGTTAGGGACATAAGGAAGGGGTCCTGCGCTTACCTGGCCTCCCCACTCCTCTTTCTCGCATTCCAGAACACTTTTATACGAACTTTCCGGACAGACCTCGTATGCTTTTGGCACTGTAACATGTCCAAACCGTAGCTCATACCACAACCTGTTTTTATATTGTGCATAAGTATTTTCTTCAATTATTTAAAAAAAAAAAATCAGTAAAATACTGAGACATTTTAACCAAGAATGAACCACAATCATTATCATCATAATGTTCAATAACACTAGTTTACATGGTTTTCATACCCTAGCTTCATTCATTTAGCATTATTCAGAAAAATAATTAAAAAATTCTGTCACGTCTTGTTGTAGAAATATTTATAAACCCTTTTTTGCATGATTTTTTTTTATTGGTGGAATAAATCAAAGTGATATAATTCATGTTCGAAATTAAAGGAAAAATGGTTAAAGAAATAAATTTGACAGCTGTTTTTTTTCTGCAATGGACATTAAAATGGTATCCAGACACGATCAACCTAAAGTGAAATTGTTCTTTTATATAATTTTTGGGCATTCAATGTTATGATGGAAATTTCCACCATTATGCAAAGAAGGGTTAACTTAACTGAAATACATAATTTTGGTATTAATATTAAAAAAAAAATTATAAATTTTTGCCTTCTTTTTATAGTTATTTGAATCTGTATCTGTTGTAGTTGAGTAACAGTAATCCCCTAACATGTTTTCATTCCAAATCGTTCTTCAAAAACCTTTAAATCTTGGTGAAAACGTTCCCCTTGTTCGTCACTCGTACTTTCTAAATTTTCAGAGAAAAATCTCAGATGTGAACGTATAAAATGAATCTGTAACGACATGTTTATTTCCATCTTTTGCAAAATTTTCCAATAAATCGGTAACAATTTCTTTGTAATCTTCACTTTTTTTTTTATTTAAAAAAAACTTACTTCTATTTCTGAAAAACGTAACTTTTGTGTCTGGTAGTAACAAGTTCCATTGTTGTAAGCGGGAACCAAGAAGCTCTGCTTTAGATCATATAATTGTAAAAGCAGATAATTGTAAATCTCTTATGAGATCATTTAATTCGGCTTGGCTAATTAAATGTGGAGTATTTTCTTGAAGTGAGAATTCATCAGAATCACTAGAAATCAAGTTGAATTTAACATCACTTTCATTGTCATCTAGTATATCGAGTGCAAAACTCGAATAACCGGGACGAATTGGATGTAGTAGTAGATCTTTCAAATATATGGTCTTAGTAACAGACGGAACATCAGCATATGCTTTATTTTTTTTATTATATCCCAATGTCTACGTAACACAAAAGTAACAATCATTTTCATGATTACTAGGTCCTCTCCATAGCATTGGTGAACCAAATTGAAGGTAAACGTTATCTCCTTATGGCTACTGGAGTAATATGATTCTACAGCTTTCGCAAAACACATGAGGCATCCACTTTTTATATCCAGATTTTATCCAGAATATTCAAAATATTGAAGATATGCACTTGTTAAAGAATTTATAATGAGTCTTTTCTTTTTGAAAATATAAACTGTTCACAAACACTTTATACTTGACATTTTAAGGCAATCCGAAACAAGATAATTAACGTTTGAAGCGGACGAATAAACATTAAACTGTCGTCAACACGTTAGGTAGTTATAAAAAAACATTTACCTACAGGAAGAAATTGTGACGTATTAAAATATTTCAGCTAACACTTTTAGATTTAACGAAGGTAAATTACCATATTTATGTACATTTATTTTAGGGTATTCGATTGGCACTGTAAAAGTTTTTAATTTGTTTATTAATGTTTTCTGACTCACCGCACCGCCTTTGCTTAACAGTCTTTAGTAACGATTATTCTCTTCTTTGTTAATTTGGCTTAATTGGCTTTAATTGATTTAATTTGAAATTAATTTAAATTGCTTAATTTTGCTTTTTAAATGAAAACCTCCTTTTAATTAGATTAGATTTCTTTATTTGCGGGAACATTGTTTTTTACAGATATTGATCTATTAGGTGAAGTACAAATGTTCGCCTTATATTCTAAATCATGCAAAATTATTACTGGGTACAAGATACATCACATTTAATACATACATATAAGTGCTAATAGAGTACAAATTATGTCATTCTGTCAATAATTCTCCCAAAAAACGATAACGTTTAACGACATTAAGTAATAATAATTCGTCAACTGTTACAATTCATTCTATTACTGTTGAATATATCTGTGGCGATTCCACAAATAAAGAAATTGAATGCAATGACAGGTGAACTGTCAAACAGCTAGCGAGCGAAGTGAATCGACAAAAGCCACGTGTTCTAAAAAAAAACCGACATTTTTCTATAATTAATATTGTGATTCGATTAGCATTTTATAAATAAACGTTTTAAATAATACAAAGCTTTGATTTAAAACAATTACAATAGTCCAATGTCAAATAATAATCGCATACAAGTAACAAATACAATAATATATAGATTTAAATTCAATTTGTACAATACGAGTATGTCACAGCTTACATTCATGTCAAGTATGATACACTAAATATTGTCACATTTATACTTATATTTGGATATGTAAATTTCTTGGATAAAACTTATAATTCACTTCGCATTGTTTTTTTAATACACAGCCGTGTTCTTGATAACATGTCTTCTGCGACAGTGGCGCTACTGACGCATGCGACGGCGTTATTAACGGTCAAAGTTTCAACATGTTTTGCTAAGATTAGGGGAGGTAGGGGAGCATTGGGCACTTTTTTACATAAATGTTAATAAAACTGTTATTTTTTATCATAATCAAAATTTTATTCCTAATATAGGGAGCACACATATTTGGTAGTAATTATTATTAAGAAAAGTTTCAATATTGTAATTAGTTTCAAAGTTACAAGAGATCTTCGAACACATGTCCAAAGTGCCCAAACCTCCCGGCGGTCGGGAGGTTTGGGCACCCATGTAGGGAGGTTTGGGCACTGTATTTAATATGCACGAAATTGCTTTACTATACTACTAGGCTTAAGTATTATATAACATTACTATAAAAAATTGTAATACAAACATTTTTTCTTATCATAGATTTTAGAAAAATTTAACAATGTGACTTAGAATCAGTACTGCACGATGTTAGACTTAATTAAACTTATCTTATATTTGGTATGATCCATAGAGGCTTGTCAAATTTATATTTTAAGCTGCCACGTTTCATCCATGTCGTTGGTGTAGGCAATTTTGTCTTTATATCCTCCAGGAGGACACTGGCTACGTCCTCGATGTCAGGAAATATAAAAGTATTTCTTAACTTACTCACTCTCATAAATTTTACAGTTGCCATCGTCTGATTAACATCTTCGATTATTCCAACATAATGGTAGACAGTTTTTTTGGTGTCAAATTTCACTAATACAAAGTTATTGATCTGGAAATTTCTATCCAGAACGATCACATCGTCTTCATCAAAATCTTCCGATTCAACAACGGTTTCGTCAGAAACTGAAACATTTTCTATTTCATCATCGCTGCTAATTTTCCTGTTTTTCTCTAGTTTGGAAGTAAATTCATCAGCAAGTTTCGGAATTTTTTTCTGTCCTGTATTTTTGAAGCATTTTCTATTTTTGTTGAGCTCTTTGATCTTGTTTTTTCTTTGTCTTTCTTCTTCTTCCATTTCTATAAGTCTTTTCTCGGGTGTGTCCGTCAATATTCTAGTTTTTCCCTTCTTCCGTTTCATACCCTGCAATTTCCTGGGGCCGGCCTTCGGATACGGTCTTACTACATCAGGTGTTACATTGACAGTGCCACTAATTTGACTTGTAGAGGGAGATTCCAATTGAGATGGCCCAATGACTTCCACATTTGAACTTGTACGATCCTCTAGACTCTGATTTTCCCCTGTTGAAGGCTGTTCAGTGACAGGTTGGTCTGAAATAGATTGTTCTGAAGGAACATTACCCTCTTCCGACAAGCAGCGATCAGTTATAAAAGAACAAGCGAAATCTTCATCGGAGAAAATATTTGAATTCAATGGCCATATGCCAGATTTTTCAAATCCACTTTGAATATTCTGCAACTTGAATGCTAGTGGAATGGCTTTTGCTGCTAATTTTGGTATTTCATAAATTGTTACTGTTTTGGCCGGATTGCTTACCATCCAATCTGTTACAGCAGTGTTATAATAAGTTTTCAGTGGTCCATAGACAGTCAGGTCTAGAGGTTGCAGTTTATGGCTGCAGTGTGGTGGGAAAGTCATTAAAACAATGCCTGATTGTTTGCAAAAATCGAGAACTGGTACTGAAATATGGCTCTCATGATTGTCCAGCAGCAAAAGAACTGGCGATGAAGGCGTTGGTTTTGCGTGTTTGGCGAAATGGTGAATATATTTTAAAAAATTTGGTGATGTCATCCACCCTGAAGGATGTGCTGCTCCATCTGAACCAACAGGGGCATCATTTAGCATATATGTTTTGAAATTAACCCGTGGGAATATGAAAAATGGTGGTATTGAGTTACCCAATGCATTAATACCGCAGCAAACCGTTACAAGCGTCCCTCTTTCAGCTGACGTTACTTGCCCAACTTGCTTAGTGCCTCTGAGAGCAATCACTTTCTGGGTTCGTTGCACCGTTGATAATCCAGTTTCGTCTATATTGTAAATAGACTCAGGGCCGAAGCGATGCCGTTCATACACAGTTTTAAGATTTTCAAAAAAATTTCCGACATTTGTCTTATTGAAGCTTGTGGCCCGTGACAGACTGGTAGCCTCTGGTGTCCTTATCGAAAGTTGAGGCTGTCTTTTAAAAAATCCCCTTATCCAGTCTTTGGATGCAAGTTTCTTCTCTGTCCAGTTATCTGGTATTTTCTTTTTAATGGCAGTGGCGTATTCATAAACCAATTCGCGTGTTTTCAGTTTTGATAGTCCATGGTTTAGTTTAAAAGATGTTACAAGATATTCCGAAATTTTCTCTTCTTCATCTTTTGTGAATATTTGAGACGATATAAATTTACAAGAATTATCTTTTACGACACCACCCTGCTTGATATACCTTTGAAGGTTAGATCTTGGTATGTCATATTTATTCGCAGTACTTTTAATTTTAGCACCTTTGGAAACTTCTTCCAATGCGCGCAAAATAATATCTTTAGGGATTTCACGTCGCTTATTTTTCTTTTTAAATGAAAACGGCATTGTCCTAAAAAGAAATGATTAACCACTCAATCCAATAGGCATAGCAAAAAGACACCAAAATACACTAAAAACAGAGCCAAACATGCCCAAACCTCCCTCCTACCTGCGTGCCCAATGCTCCCCATAACCTCACTTTTCAAATAGATTAGAATAAGATTATTTTTATCAAATGTAGAAACCTAATTTACAGGCAAATATAATATTCATTAAACACAAAAGAAAAAGATAACACAGATACTTACACGTTCTTGCAGATTTCTTTGATAAGTTACATCAAATCACAAATAAAATATTTACTTCTGTACGCAGCAAACCGTTACGCGCATGTAACTTGACAACCAAGTGAAATGACAGCTGACACTTTAGATAAGCGGTGTTGCTAGTGAATAAAGTATAGTGCTGTGGTAGAAAACAAAAAATATCTATGAAAGTTTTGGAGAAATGAGGGGGTGCCCAAACCTCCCGACTGCCCAATGCTCCCCTACCTCCCCTAGCATGCAAATTTTTTCATCGATGCCAGTCACCCAAGAAAATGTTGCAAAAGTTGAGAAAATTATATTGAGCGATCAAAGAGTTACTATCCGATACTTAATTCAAGAAACGGACATTTAATATGGAAGTATTCAATCCATATTGAAACAATCTTTGAATATGAAAAAAGTTTCCGCAAGATGGTTGGCGAGAATGTTAACCGACAGTCAGAAACAAAATCGACTTGATATTTCGAAGATATTGTTGGACAAGTTTCAAGACGATTTTTGTCTCGTTTCGTAACAATGGACGAAACATGGTTCCATCAGTTTGATACCGAGACAAAACTGCAATCTTCGCAATGGAAATTGCCGTCATTACAGACCCCGAAGAAGTTTCGTGCCGTGGCATCGGCTGGCAAGGTGGCCTCAATATTTTGGTACTTAGAAGGGATATTATTTATGGATTACCTGGAGTGTGGAACTACTATTACAGGCCAATGTTAAGCAGCTTTAATTCCCAAGTTGAGGAATGCCTTCAAAGAGAAAAGGAGAGGGAAACTTCGAAGGAGCGTGCTGTTTCATCGCGACAACGCACACGCGCAAAGGTCGGCAGTTGCGATGGCTGCCATTTAGCAAGCTGACTTCGAATTGGTTGACCACCCCGCTTATTCACCAGCTTTGGCGCCTAGCTATTTTTATCTGTTTCCCAAATTGAAAGAATAATTAAGGGAAACAGGTACGATGACGATGACGAGGTGATGGATGTCGCGGAGAACTTTTTGCAGGACCAAGACAAACTTTTTTTTGAAAGAGATTGAAGCCTTGGAAACGCGCTGGACTGTAGAGAGACTCGGAGACTATGTAGAAAAATAAATTATTAAGTTATCAATAGTTATTATATTCTATTTCATTCTCACTACTTTTTGATCCCTCCTCGTATTAGGTAATAACATAAAAAAAATCTCTATTTTATCCAGAATTATTTATAATTTTTTTAAAATAAACAAAATAAATTTATAAGACACTAGTATCTAGTAATATAAACAATAGTGTTTGCTCTCAAAATGTACGAAAATTTTGTACAAGCCGACAATAGAAACCTACCTAAGATAGATGAATTTATGGTCGCACTTTTCTTTAAAAATAATACTGATTATTATGCTGCAGAGCTCAAAAATATAAAAACGGCTGTGTAAGTATCTAATTCTTTATTTATAATGATATTTTTTATATTAATTTACGTCGAGGTTTCACAAAATATTTAGGTTATGTTTATTAATCCCCATAAAAATTTGTTGTAAAACCTTTCTGACCTCGGTTTTTCTTTTATTCTACTGATCTTCCAGCATTCGCTGGATGGTGATGACACTGTTGGCTATGTACAATTATACCGGGAGCATGGAATTTGCACAGTGAAATGTAAAATGTGTCCTGAGCATAAAGTAAGAAGCAAACCATATATTACAATAATGGTGAACGAAGCTAACGATGCAGGTCGAGCTAAAGCTGAACTTGAGGAGCAGCTTATTGAAAAGAAGCTGGCCGCTGACATTGCCGCCCTGGAAGTAGAAAGTTCCAGAAGTACCAGGAGCCAACACTCGTCGGTGAACCCCAACACCAAGATAGAACAATGGTTAGATCGCAGTAATCTGGATGCACCTGAGCGCCCGCACTGTGGTGAGCCGCTAACGTCCAGCAGTTGACCTGCGCTCTCAGAGACGCTATCACCACTGGAGTCGACACGAGTAACCGGCAACTTCTGTCCTGATTGAGTACTTCAAAAGACTTACCTCAGTATTACAGCGATTCCTTGGAGTGGCTCCAGTTCCATAAATCGTACCAAGAATCCACAGAGTTGTGTAACTACACTAACACGGAGAATCTGTGGCGTTTGAGAAAGTGCCTTCGCGAAAAAGCGAAGGATGCCGTGTCCTCTATGCTCACCGGCAACACCTCACCTGATGTGATCATCGAGACCTTGGCACTTCAGTTTGGAAGACCGAAAGTAATAATAACAAAGATCGTCAACCAATTAAAAAAGATAGCACCGCTACCATCTGCATACCACAACGAAATAGTGACCTTCTCCACCAAAGTGAGAAACTATGTAGCAGCAGTGCAGGCGATACAGCAGTCCGATTACCTACGGAGCCCGGAATTAATGACAACCGTGATCTCCAAGTGCCCTAGTGTTCTTATTACCAAGTGGGTCGATTATTCATTTAGTCATTCATACGAAAATAGAACCAAATTGGAATTATTTGCCGAGTTCTTACACAACGAGGCGACCAAAACGGCAACCGCCGGTGTGAGCAACATATATAGTCATTCTGAAAATAAAAGAAGACACGAGACTGAATATAAAAAAAACCGAATAAATATTACAATGTGCATACAACAGTCGAACATGTGATGAACACCTCGACACCAGTGAATGTTTGTTAATTCTGTAATAAGAGTAAGCATCGATTAGACAAATGTACTCGCTATAAGCGAGCGATGCGCCGCGACCGCTGGAATTTCGTGAAGATAAACAAACTTTGCTACAAATGCCTAACGTCCGGTCACAACAGTGAAGCGTGTAGAGCGGACAACTGTGATGTCGACGGGTGCCGGCAGCCGCACCATAAATTACAGCACTACGTGAAGTCGCCACCTGCAAATGAGACAAAAGAGGAAGATAAACCTGCGGAGACCGTCGCACATAAATATGCACTATTAAAACCTAAAGTGCTACTGAAAGTGGTACCTGTAACCGTGCACGGCTCGAAACAGAGTGCACAGACGTACGCTCTACTCGATGATGCCGTGACCATCTCACTGATAGCGGCCGATATTGCGGACAGCGCAGGACTCCAGGGGCAGACTACGACTATGCGCGTGGACAGCGCATGGGATGCTGGGCACCTTACGTGTTCAGCAGAGAATGTCCGTTTCAATTTAAATGTTTGCAAAATGCGAGAACTTAATCTCCCAGTGTATAGCGTGTCCGATCTTAACGTACAAAAGTATAAACATGTGCGTGAAAATAACTTTATACCTAAGTACTCTAGTGATATTAAACCTAAGTTATTAATAGATCAAGATAATTATCATTTAATTGCGCCGCTCGAATGTTATGGTAGTAAAAATGAGCCGTATGTAATAAAAACACAATTAGGTTGGTGTGCGAATGAATCTGTCTATAGTAAAAATGATGTAAATCATTCATGAGAGACCATAGAGTAGATTACATAGCATAGCTAATAACCACAGATTATTACATTTCTCTGTTTCACAGATAATAAATATATTAGGTACTTAACACTAGATATTATGTTTTGTCATTTTTGGCTAATGGAAGTTACCAAAAAATTATTGGTAATAAATTTAGATACTTTAATTTCTCAACCATCAGTGTCCAGAGTAAAGGTAAAGATAAATTTATTTGCACACACGTGTGTGTAGTAGATACTCGTACATGCTGGGTATTTTAATTATATTATAGTTTCAACATGTTTTGCCAAGATTAGCATGCAAACGCGCAAACAAAGCTAAAATAAAGGACATGAAGGCAATATTTGATGTCGCTGCAATACAGATGACTGAAAGAACAACAAGAAAGCAGAATAAGACTAGCTTGTGGTATGAAATTAGATATGGTCGTATTACTGCTTCTAAAGCACATGAAGTGAGTGTTTGCCGTACACCAGATGGCTCATTAGTTGCTGCACTTACGGGTGCAAAAATATCTAACACTGTTTCCATGAAAAGGGGTAGTTTGGAGGAAACAGTAAGGAAAACAATCAGTAAGAAATTAAAAACCAAAATTGATTTGTGTGGTTTGTATGTGTGCCAAAATTATCCTATGATTGCAGCTTCACCTGATGGTGTAGCTAATGATCCCATTGTAGAAGTAACGTCCCTAGTAAAGCAAAATCTGTAGATAAATATTAAAAAAATGGTGTTGCATCTGAAAAATGTAAAGCCCAGGTGCAAATACAAATGTACCGCTGCTGTAAAAAAGTGTTATTTTTGTATTGCTAATAGCAAATTTAAAGAAAATGCGACAGTTGAAATTCATTTAGTCACTTATGATGCTGACTATGTCAATAAGTTAATAAAAAAGCTTTTTGATTCCTGAAAATAAAATATTTATCCTATTTTCTTAAGAAACACTAGTGTGTGACAATGTACACTCGAGAGCAACGAATCCGGGTCACTTAAGAAACTTGTAAATCTCGGAAAATAAGAAGCTTAATGAAATAAATTTAAATACTCCTTAAATTAAGGTAATAAAACCTTTAGTTACTGCAAGGTTATGTCATAAAAAAAATCAAATTTGAAAAAGGGAGACTTTCGAAAATGCAACTACGAAATTACTGCATTTGATTTTGCTTTTGTTTCTAATCTGTCATTTAAGAGGGTACATAAACCATATTGATAGTGTAAAATATTTATTATTCAATCTGTAATCATGTCGCTTACAACTGAAGAATGGTATTTATAATGATATTTACAGTTACAAATCTTTTTTTAATGGTATTTATTTTTAGAAAATATTTTTTTCTTAATAAATAAAAAAAAAAACATAAATAATTCAATATATAGCTGTAAATGACCAAAAATTTAATTACACGTTCAAAGACCAAGTTTATCACAAAGTGGGCTCATTGTTGCCAATGCCAAGCGAATATCATAGATTTTTACTTTATGGGTGACGACGACTCCGAATGCACACTCGCCAATCGCGTGGATCCACGTTACGACTACAATAATCTCAATTCATCTTTTGCCAGGAGCATCGTCGGCGAGCTGAAGGCTCTGTTAAATGGGTACAATTGTTGAAATTATTAACCTCACACATGCTCAAGCTACAAAGTGACAACCACGGTATTGTCATCAATCCTGATAGACCACCAGCTGGAGAGTATATACGTAGATTTAACTGTCGGGAAAAGACCAAATTACTTTCCGAACAACCCAATAAAATCGTAAGTCTTTATATTTATTTGTTATTCATTCAAATTTTAAATACAAAGATTACACATTATCTAATGGTAGAGTCCTGTAAGTTTATTAAGTGCACATGCAATATTATTAATCATGGCCAAGTACACGAAGTATATTTAAATTAATTACAGAATGTTGCTTTAACATATAGAATTCTCTGATACGTCTTATTTCACATTTTATGTGAATCCGCTAACTACTATAGCTATTATATTTGTTTGTCGCACTTGGTCTTTGGACAACTTTTCACCAGTGCTGACACTGGGCGACCTCATTAGCTTCATGCCCTTTTCATTGAGCATCTGTTCAAGGTGTTTAAAGCCTCTGCCAGCTAGGATGACGGTGCCCTGTTGCAATCCATCTAAAAACTGGCAATTTTATACTACTGTCACTTCACTTGTTCTACCCCCGAAGCCTTGAGACACAAAGATTACTAACCCATTTGTTGTACAGGATATTAAATATTTTACAGTGTTTCCTTTCTGATATTCAGACCATGGTAAAGCTTGATGAAGAGCTTTAGATGGTTTTCGGATGTCTATCTCAAAGCAATCTATAATGCAGCTGACATGATAATTGTGTCTGAAGGAAATTAGATTTTTTTTTTTATTAATTCTTGATCTATATTACCAATAAATGGTTTTAATAGTTAAAAATAATTTACTTGCATATGATAATGAGATACCAAAATTATCCTCTAGTTCTGAAAATGTTGTTTAATTTTTTTTTCAAGCAAAGCATTATTATATTATTTCATATTAGTGTGCTTATGTAACAGATTAATTAAAAAAATAATAATCTTCGTTAATTTTTATACACATTGAAGGTTTCCTTTGTATCAACTGCATATAATTTTTGAGGCACATCTCTTGTTCGATATTTTCATTAGTTTCTATAGCAGTGCTGTCATAGTTTGTAACCC